AGTGAGAATAAGACTGACAGTTTGGGTGACAATATGACTGTTGATTTGAGTGAGTGTATGACTGACAATTTGAGTGACAATATGACTTCGGTTTGACACACACTATGAATTAGCTTTTTAGTTAGAATAAGACTGACAATTTGAGTGACAATATGACTGACGGTTTGACACACACTATGAATTAGCTTTTTAGTTAGAATATGACTGACGGGTTTGACAGCCTCTATGACTTACGGTTTTATTTAGAATATAACTGAGAGTTTGGGTGACAATATGACTCATAGTTTAAGAGAGTGTATGACTGATGGTTTAGTGAGAATAAGACTGACAGTTTGGGTGACAATATGACTGTTGATTTGAGTGAGTGTATGACTGACAATTTGAGTGACAATATGACTTCGGTTTGACAGACACTATGAATTAGCTTTTTAGTTAGAATAAGACTGACAGTTTGACTGACAATATGACTGTTGATTTGAGTGAGTGTATGATTGAGGGTTTGGTGACAATATGACTCATAGTTTAAGAGAGTGTATGACTGATGGTTTTAGTGAGAATAAGACTGATAGTTTGACTGACAATAAGACTGACGGTTTGACTGACAATATGACTGAGAGTGTGAGCGCCAATATGACTGTTGATTTGAGTGAGTGTATGACTAACAATTTGAGTGACAATATGACTGACGGTTTGACACACACTATGAATTAGCTTTTTAGTTAGAATATGACTGACGGTTTGACAGCCTCTATGACTTACGGTTTTATTTAGAATATAACTGAGAGTTTGGGTGACAATATGACTCATAGTTTAAGAGAGTGTATGACTGATGGTTTTAGTGAGAATAAGACTGACAGTTTGGGTGACAATATGACTGTTGATTTGAGTGAGTGTATGACTGACAATTTGAGTGACAATATGACTTCGGTTTGACACACACTATGAATTAGCTTTTTAGTTAGAATAAGACTGACAGTTTGACTGACAATATGACTGTTGATTTGAGTGAGTGTATGATTGAGGGTTTGGGTGACAATATGACTCATAGTTTAAGAGAGTGTATGACTGATGGTTTTAGTGAGAATAAGACTGATAGTTTGACTGACAATAAGACTGACGGTTTGACTGACAATATGACTTACGGTTTTAGTGAGAATAAGACTGATAGTTTGGGTGACAATATGATTGTTGATTTGAGTGAGTGTATGACTTACAGTTTGACTGACAATATGACTGACGGCTTTAATTAGAATATTACTGACAGTTTGAGTGACAATATGACTGTGGTTTGACAGACACTATGAATTAGCTTTTTATTGAGAGTAAGACTGACGGTTTGACAGCCTCTATGACTTACGGTTTTATTTAGAATATGACTGAGAGTTTGGGTGACAATATGACTCATAGTTTAAAGAGTGTATGACTGATGGTTTTAGTGAGAATAAGACTGATAGTTTGAGTGACAACATGACTGACGTTTTGACTGACAATATGAGTGACGGCTTTAGTTAGAATATGACTTAGAGTTTAGCTGACAATTGGCTGACAGTTTGAGTGACAATATGACTGAGAGTTTGACTGACAATATGACTGACGGTTTGAGTGAGTGTATGAATGAGAATATAACTGACGTTTTGACTAACAATATGACTGACGGTTTGACATCGAAATTCATTCATATATATGTATTGATCAATGCAATCACCCTATTTAATATTATTATTTATCAATTAATTTTTCATTACTACATGCTCTCAATTATTATGACATTAATATTTATCAATAAATATTTCATTACTATATGCTCCCACCAAATTTGACATTATTGTTCTTTGACAAATTTTTCTTTATTAAAGACACTCTCACAAATTCATATCAATATATTTTAATTATCACCTATTCCAATCCATTTTCATATTCATATTCTTATTGAGTTAGAATAAATTGAGGATGACTGAGAATCAAATTATAATTAGTGAGAATCAATTGAAGAATACTGGGAGTTAATTAAGGTTGTTTAAGAATAAATTGTGAATAAGTGACAATCAATTGAGGATGAGTGAGAATCATTTGATTATTAGTGAGATTCAACTGAACATCAGTGAGAATCAATTGAATAATACTAAGAAGAAATTGAGGAAGAGTGAGAATCACTTGATTCTTAGCGAGAATCAATTAAGGATGAGTAAGAATCAATTAATAAGTAGTGAGAATCAATTTAGGGTGACTGAGAATCAATTGATTCTTAGTGAGAATCTATTGATAATGAATGCGAATCAATTGATTATTTGTGAGAATCAATTGAAGATGAGTAAGAGTCAATTGAGGATGAATATGTGTCTATTCTGATATGACTTAGTATCTACTGAGGCTAGATGCTAACATCTTACTTTTATGATCATAATTTTTCAACTCCATTAATATTTATAACAATATTTTGATTACTATTTAAATAATTTTATCAAATGATAATTATTAACATATATTAAGAGTATGTTTAATTTTCAACATACTCTTAAAAATCCGAAATTTTAAAAAAGTGACAATTTTTTTAATGCTAAACCATCTTCATCTACCATTAAATGTTTCGGATGATTTGATTTTAATTCAGTTGGGTTCTATTAGATGTAATAGTGTAAATTCTGATTCAACAATTTATCCAGATGGGTATATTTCAAAAATTTTATATTATTCTTCCAATAAACCCTATCAAAAAGAATGGTATACAAATAAAATAACTTATCAAGATGGTAAACCTAAATTCACTGTTTTGGATTCATTATCAAATGCATATGTCGGAGATTCACCATCATATCCTTGGGGACAAATCGTTTCAAAAATCAAAGAATTAAACAGAAATATTAAGAATGTATATAATTTTGGACATAAATTATTTGGATTTGAAAATAAATCTATCATTTGTTATTTGGAGGAACTCAAAGAGCGTTTTATCTCGAATAGCGATGAAGTAAAGTATCTTCAAACATATGAAACAACACCTAAATTTCAGAAATCCGCTGAAGCTTTTACAGAAATGGTAAATATGATTATAAGTGAAAAATATTTGCAAACAGATCTCAGTCAAATTAAAATCAAAATCCATCGTCTAGGGGAACAATATATTCTTAAATTTTTAGAAGCATTTATAATTGCCCGCCCCAAATTTTATGCACAGGTTATAGGTTTCTTACAAAATTTTTCATTTGACCAGGAATTATACTCAAAAGCAGGAATTTCTAAACCATTAATACAAGCAATAATTAATGGCGATAAAAGATATTCGAATATTTTTGCTTTTTCAGGAAAATCGTGTGATTTAACAATCGAAGATTTTATTAATGTTTTAATTTCAGATCAAACAAATCAAAATGGTGAAGAATATTATCAAATACGTATCAGATCTATATTGGATAATAGTAAATATTCTTTCTATGAACTAGCAGTTAAATTTGAATCAATTAATATTTTAAATTCGTGTAATATAGATAATGTTACACCAATCATGAAAGCATTGATAATGTCAAGCCCAAACGAAACAATTTTCAAAATGAATGATAAATTCAATTTGCAGACTTATCAATTTACAAACCAAATCAAGTATGTTTTATCTTTTGCATACAATATCTCAGAGTTATTTTCTACATTTAGAAATCCATTACTCTCTTCGATTGTTTCAACAAATAATATTATATCAGTAATGAATTTGAATGAAAGCAAAGTTATTCGTTTAAAGATTCATTTAATCTTCCATGAGGCCCTAATTCAAAATAATGATTTTATGTACAAGAACTTTAATGTTTTGAATCAAATAAAAAACAATGACCTTCTGGAAATTTTAGCAAAAGCTTGTTTGAAAGCTGACAAAAAAATTCAAGCAGATTTTGAACAAATCATGGGTATTAAATTTACAGCGATCAAACAATTTCATGAATCCATAGAAAAAATTCCAGTTGATCGGTCTCCAATTACAATAGATGGTTGCCATATTTGTTTTGAATGCTCTAAAAATACTGATATTGAAAAACTCAAATCAATGCAATTAATTCTAATAAGCCCTGGTATTCATATCAATGTGTTAACTTATGAACAAACATTGAAGTTTTTGGAACAAATGCCAGCATTTATTCATTTGGGCCTTTCCAATATAAGTTCTGATCGATCTGTAAACTTAAATTATTTTCTACTTCAAAACGAAGATTATTCCCCTTTAAAAATTTCTACAGATAATTATTATTACTTTAAGATCACATTGTATGACAAAATCGTATCCTTTGAATATTCAAAAGTAATACGTATCGTTGTGGATGATTACTGTACCAAAAAACATGAAAAACATAAAATTACCCAAAGAGTTTTCAGGGAGGTTAAAATGGTACATTCAAATAACGAAAGTTGATCTCCCAGGACATCCTCTGCAAGATGAAATACAGGAAAAAATAAAGCATGATAATGAGATTGGTGATATCTTAACTTCATATCCCGGGAAATTTTATGTAAATTATAGCACAACGATAAGAAGTGATAGTTTATTCGTCAATGGAAATCCTATAGAATTTCTTATATATATTCCAAGCGAATCAGGAAATTTGGCGTTGGAGTGTAATTTAATTCACTTAGATGCTACTTTTTCATGGCCGAAATATATATTTATTTTTCCTCGTGGTAATTACTATATGCGAGGTTACCCTCTAGGGATATACATAGGGCGCAGCGAATCATCCGCTGCTTATCAACGGTGGCTTACAGCCATGAATATTGAATTTAAATCATTAAACATTATGGAGCACTTTTCAAGAATCAAATGGATGAGCGATTTAGGTACTGGAGTTTTAAAATTTTTGAATACGAATCATTTCCAAAATTATATCTGTATTAGGCACTATCTCGGAACCATGGGCAATAATACTTTACTACATGTTTTTGCTCTGATAGTATTATTATCAAAATCGGCCCAAGATTTTGAGGACAATTACAAATGTTTTGATCCATCGGTTCAGAAAATGTATGCTACAAAGAATATATCAGATGAGCAGCTGGAAAAATGGAAGCAGATATATAAAGATCAAGAGCATTTAGCAGCATACCACCGCATTCCACCTATAAGCACTAATAATAGTGCAGAGGGTAAGCATAGACACATTAACGAACTTGCAAAAAAAGCAAGAAACTTTTCTACTTTCATCAAATTCATTCTGAATGATACTATCATTAGGATTAATGAATCAATTGATCCCATTAATAAGCAAAAACGCGAGAAGAATGACTTGTTAAACGAAAAATGCATACATTGCGGATTCTCCTATAATGATATTAATACTGATAAGAATCCTTGTAAATATTGCAAGGATTTCTTTATGAATAAGAGTCATGTTCCCTCTGCAGGCATACATGTTATGAAAATAGGAGAAAACGTAGGTGAAATCATAGAATTCCCAATCGATAAAAATGTAGGTGATCAGGATGAACTCGTGGATCACAAAGAAAAGAGTTCGCCGATCGAAATATCAAAATACGCAGAATTTATTGATATTGACGATAAAAATAAAGCAGTTTTAGTCGTAAAACTGCTTTATAATCTTGAAACGTTCCAAGATGCCAAAGAAATCAATTCTCTGGAAAAACAATCAAAAAATTATGAATCTGCATTACAAAATAAACCAGAAATTTGGTTGGAAAAATACTTGCCTGAATTAATGAAGGAAGTAAAAGATGCGAGAGCTGCTAGAATGAGATTGAAGATAATAAAGAAGTAGAGATGATGAGTGAATAAAAACTTTGTATTAAATTTGTATATAAAAGAATTGTAAAATATAAAAATAAAGAAGTGGTTGATAGGAATTTGAAAATTTGTTGGGTGCATATAAGTTTGATAAATATATTTATGAATATTAATGTCAAATTGGGTGGTTGCATATAGTAATGAAAATATATTAATAAAAATTAATGTCAAATTGGTTGGGTTGTGATAAAATAAAAATTAATGAAATTGGGTGGGCTTCTGTGTATGTGTGGCGTGAGTTAGCATGGGTGGTTGCGTGATAGAATGCTTCTGTGTATGTGTGGCGTGAGTTAGCATCGGGTGGTTGCGTGATAGAATGCTTCTGTGTATGTGTGGCGTGAGTTAGCATCGGGTGGTTTCATCACAAATTTTAACCCATCCAAATCTTATTAATTATTAAAATTCTTTTACAATTTCTGATGTATTTTTTGAAAACATTTCATATGCAATATTTCTCCTTTTCTTTCCTCAAATCTTCAAATATTAATAACTTTGGATATGAAATTATTTGGATCTTTTATGAATTTTAAATGTCTTTCTTAATATCAAATCGATTAAATTATTAATATTTTCTAAATTATGCCTTAAAAATCCAAATATAAAAAATCGTAAATAAAAAATATATTTTTTATTTTTATTTTGTAAATAATCCGTTTACTAAATGGGACTGTATCATGAAAGTAACAAAAATCATTATTTAACAAGATTCAAAACTGGTGCAACGAAATGCACATTGATTTTGTAGTGTAACAAAGAGAGATTTATTGTAAAAAGTACAAAATAGTATATTTATTATCGTGATTAGCGTAGAAATGTATGAGTTTGGGACGGATTTCTGGTGCATTCATAACTAAAGTGATACATTGTCTGGAGCAAGTTCAGATCTTTAACTTATGGCTTGTTTGGTGCTAACTCACCCAATTTAAGTGCACTAGAGGGGATTTTGTCTGTAATGAGCATGCACCTTGAGTTGTTGCTTGGTCCGTGTACGAAAGATAGTAATTTAATACTATACTCGATTAAATGTGAATTTCTAATTTTGAATTTGCGTTTTTTCCTGAAAATAGTTACAATATATGAAAGAGTTGGCAAAACTAGAGGACACGTCTTTAAGGGTTTGGCTCTTGCTTCATGTTAATATGCCGAAACTAAAATAAACGTATATTGGGGGTCGAAAATTGAGAGCTCATATCTTTAAGTGTAAAATTGCCAATTAATTTATCCGTAATTCTATATATTTAAATGTGCTAATGTAACTCAATACTTGCAATTTTAAGGGTATAGTCCACTAAAAATTTTTAAGTTTTGACAATGAAAATAAGCTCTGTGACCATGTAAATATATATCTATGCAAAACGAGAGGTTATGCCATAATTTTTTTAGTTATCAAATTTTCCTTTTTTTGAGAGAAGTCTCTCAATAATTTGAGAAGAATCTTTGATATAAAGAGATACACATTTGTAGAACGAAGTAAGTGTTTTCCAAACATTTTATATGTTCATCCTGTATAACAATATAAAGCTGCATAGTGCCATCTTGTGCGTTTGCTATTTTATGTACTTTTCATTGAGATAATCCCTCTTCTCGGGTGATTTTAACAGTCAACTCAATTTTAAAATAAAGATTTCATCAAAATGATTTCGAAATTCGGATATTGATTATATAAATAGCACTGTTAACATATTTTGGATGAGTAAAAAATACCTTGTTTTGTATGCATTTAGTACACCTTTATTTTTGATTAAAACTATAAAATTTTTATTCCTTATATAATAAATAGTATATGTTACATAAACATGAAATTCAATAGCATTCAATTTTGGATTTTTTAGATTTGGTAAATTTTAGAAGAAATAAAATCAGCAATCAAAATAAAGAAACTTTTTTTGTATCTTCTATGATTACCTTTTGGTACTAAATTTTGCATTAATAAGTAAATTATCTGTATTATTCTGTGAGCACAAGCCCTCAGTTATGCTGGTAGTGAATGATGAATCGTCATTTTGCGAAGAGAACGCGATTATTAAGGTAATTTTGAGAATTGTCTTGAATTATTTAAAATTAAAGTTAATTGAATAGGTAGGATAACTAGCCTTTGCTAAATTTGTATAATTTGACCTTATTCTAGTTGGATCTGAGAATATTTTGCTGAAATAATAAATTATATCGCCGATTTATGAAAATTTCTCTGATGGGACCGACTCGCTGAAACGTATTAGTGTTAATGGTAACTTGTCTGAATTTTCAAATTTTTTTCGAAATCCAAAAAATCACAAACAAAAGCATCAAAATTAGATTTGCATTTAAGGTTTTCATTTTTTTTGGAAAATAAAAATATTTTTCCCCAATAAAGTTTATTTTTACTTTTGAGAGGAATAGAAACGTTATTTTGGAATTTTGAAAAGACAGAAATGTTCCATTTTTAATGTAGATTCTAAAATGGGGTCAAATTTTTGATTGAACCGTTATCCATTGAAAAACCTCGATTTTAAAATGTTATTCCAAAATATTCATCTAATGATATAGTATATATTTATTAATTATTACTTTTTATTCAATTTTCACTTTTGGCGGGATTTTATTTTTTTGTTGTTGTATGGGCCATATTGTTCACCCAAAACGGAAAACAAAGGCAATGCATAACATTTTACTCCACGAACGTCGTCGACTCTCAGCGCGACAGATGCTTGGTGCTTGCATAATGACCGGAATGCCATATACAAAAGGTGCTCGCTTTCTTTCTCTTTGTGGAACTAAGCCCCCTGTGAAGAGTGGTGTCATGAGACAACAGAGATTTTGTGACGATAAGATTAGAAGACTTAAAAGTATTTCCCTAATGCTGTCGAGAAAGTCCTTCAGTGGTTACTTATCCATTGATGCAAGATGGACGCACAGGCGAAACTCGCCAAGTTGTACAGTAACTGCGCTCGATGCTGTCACAAAAAGAGTTCTTGCATGCGTGAACATCAACCATATTGGTGGAAACAGACAGCATGCTCAGTATTCCGGAGCTTCCAACAATATGGAAAGTGCTGGAACTCGAATCATCTTGAAGCAATTAAAGAAATACAATATCTTGAAAGATGTTAAAGAGATTATTAAAGACCGAGATAACAAAAGTGTCTCTGTCTTTAAAGAATTTGGCGTCTCTCATCTTGAAAGATTCGATCCAGGTCATGTATCAAAAATATCTCAAAAGATTTTACAAAGTTCTCAGCTTCTCATAAGACAGTTGAAGTTTTCAACGACAAGACTCAGAAGATTGAAAAAATAGAGAGACCTTTCTGGGGTCTGAATGCAAGCCTAAGTATGTGGCTTTGGTCATGTTTTGCCGAAGAAAATATTGACAAACGTACGAAAATGTGGGAGAATTGTGTCTACCATTACGTAGGCAATCATTCTTTTTGCGAACCGCACAATTACAAATGCTTTGAATGGCAAAAAGGTGTCAATTCGATCCAACTTCAATTCATGCTCTATGACTGGGTTCACAAATGGACACCCATAGTTTCCAAAGTTTCTTCCATTGGATCTACCTGCATGAATGAAGCGTTTAACTCCAAAATTGCATGCTATTTGGACAAATCAAGAGCCTGGAAGAACATTAACATTAGAGTTAACGTTGCAATCTTAGAATGGAATGATCCAGAGCATTTTCTCGGAGATATACAAAAAGCATTACATCTTCCCCCACTTCCAGAAGATTGTGTCAAATCATTTGAAGAGAATTGTTACTCCAAAATGATATTGAAACAAAAAACTGTTACAAAAGGTTCTAAAAAACAGAACAAATACAAAAAATTCATTCAGAGTGTACCAGGAGGAGATTATCAAGTTTTCAAGTCCGAATGGGAATCAGAAGACGAAGACATTGATGACTTTGATTAACGAAAATTACATTTTATTTATTGTTTTTGTTTTTAATTAAATTATTATTATGCTCATTTTCTTATTTTGATTTTTTCTCATTATGATATAAATAATTTATTAATGCATTTATCCAATAATTATGCTATGATATTTTTATGCCTTATTTCATTTCTCTTATATTTGATAATCTGGTAAAAATAGTTCAGACTATAATCATTTTAGATTATTGATATATTTATATAGGTTAGAATAAAATTAGTTTCATTTTCTACTTTTATTTTGAATTAATAATTTATAATATCAAATATTATGGCGTAACCTCTCCTTTAAAAATAGATATATATAGGCCTATAGAGTTTATTGGCACTCTCAAAACTCTAGAATTTTGAGTTTACTATACCCTTAAATAAATTCATTTTCATTTTTGATTCTCCATGGAGAACCTTTTCTCACTTAACATAGAAAAAAAAAAAAAAAAAAAAAAAAAAAGGTAGTGGGGCCTCCAGGCACTTCGTGCCCTCTAGCCTGAAGATGTTTAGTATAACTTTGTCCGGACAAGTAAGGGTCTATCGTCGCTACAGGAAAAGTTACGGGCGTTCCAAGGAAGTATACTTTGAGAAGCCTTTTCTCCATTTTAAAACAAGATAGGACGGTTATTTTTACAAAACTGACAACACTTTGACCGAGTAGTTTTTTGAGCTGAACAAAAAGTGTCATATAAACATCTGTCAAAAAACTTTTTAACTTCACTTAAAATGCCACGTAAGCTACGTAAGAATATACGTAAGAGAAGAGAGCATTGAAACATCCAATAGTAAAACTGACACCACAACAACAGTTGCAACAACAAATTATGAATGACCCCACTATGTTGCAACAAATGTCAAGCAACCCTATGCTTTTAAACCGAGTTATTGGTGCACAGAGTGGAGGTTTAAGAGCGGCACTTTTAGCGAAAATGGCAGGCTATGTGGAGCTGCAGACGGAACAGCCTATAACCCTCAAAGTCAAATGAATTTGAGTTCACTCAAAAATCAAATAACAGATGTCAAAAAGTCAAACAGACATACAGAAACAAATAAGTGAAAACGAAAAGAACTAGAATATGACAGACACACAAAGAAACTCAATGAGTTAAACGTAGAGAAAAAGAAGAAAGAAGAACAACTGAAAGAACTAAGTAAGAGGAATATGCGAAAAAAGTGTCAGAAAAAGCAGCAGAAGTAGCAAAAATGGAACAAGATGTTATAAATTTGAAAAACCATACTACTCAATATAAAGTACTGAAAGATGAAGAGATAAAACAAAAAGCCCTGAAGACATATATGGATAGCGATGAGTATAAAAAAGAAGTTGAAGCAAATGTAAAGGCAGAAAAACTTTTACAGTTGCAAAACCAAACCGTACAGTATGAAAACTTAGCACAAGAAAGTAAAAATAACGACGCAGCCATGCAAAAGGCAATGAAAAGCGCAGAATATATAAAAGCTAATAATGACTGGTTAGATGCCCAAGCCAACGCCAAAGCAGCCCAACTTATAGGGTCAATAAGGACAAAAATACAAGCGGATGAAGACAGTTCAAATGAAGCTTTAATGAATGCTGACTTTAAGAACGCCTTCGAAGCTCTTCATAGTAAGGTGAAACTAGTGAACGACTTCTCATCTGGAAAGAAACTGAAGTCTGAAGGTTTCGACAAAGAGTTAAGAGAAGTAGCACAAAATATGACGAAAATAACAGATGCAGCAACGAGACAGGCAGTTCAAAGTGCCTATGACGCCGTTAGAGCAACTGTTGTGGAAAGTCAAGAAAAAGAGTTACAACAGACCAAAAGACCTAGTAAATGCTTTCTTAAGAACGAAAAGTCAGGTAGGACATTATGCTGCAGATGGAACATATGTGCCAGCTGGTGGAACTTATATACCAGCTGGTGGAACTTATATACTAGCTAGTGGAACTTATATACCACCAAACCTCCAAGAGAAGCACCTGCACCAGGACTACCTAAAACATTTACATCGTCACATGGACACAGACACAGGCATGCACCAAAACCAACACAACAACCAACAGTTCAAAATCCAGCACAACAACCAACAGTTCAAAACACTGCACACAACAACAGTTCAAAACACTGCACAGCAACCAACAGTTCAAAACACTGCACCACAACCAACAGTTCAAAACACTGCACAGCAACAACCAAAACAGAGCAAGGACATAAAAGAAGTAGAGAACAAGGAAACCAAGAATTCTTAAAAATGCTTAAGGAAGACTATGGTTACCCAGATACTCTGACTTTTAGTGACAGATATAAAGAAGCTATTAGAAAGTTCAAGGAAGGAAATACTGACCCGAACCTATTTAGCTTTATGGTTCAGCACCAAATGGGATATAATTTCAAACCTGGAAAATACAAGCTCGCTAAGGGATATGATTTAATAGCATATCATCCAAATGACATGACTGAATTTACTCCGAGATATTTGGTGTCAGAGATAAATGATAATTCAACTATCTTCATGAAACGCGTAAAAAATAGAGACGGAACGAAAGAAGAAAGGGTTATGAATGCGGATGACTTAAATAGGGAACTTGTTAAAAACGGTCTCGGAATATATGAAATGCCAGCAGATGAGGTACAAGAAACTCCACAGGAAGAAGTTCAGATACAACCAGACATGGAAGAAATAGTTCAGCAACAACAGCTAGAAGAGCCTGAAGGAAACAAACAAGTCCCTCCTTTGGAAACTAACTTCACAGAACTAGATGAAGATTTGGAACAGCCGAAAAATCTTGACCCTCAACAAGAGTATGCGGAGAATAGGAATCTTTCCAAGAGTCTAAGAAAAATTCGGCTGACATAGTAGAAGAATATCGAAAAATGTTCGCCGACATACAAAAGACTCCAACATCAGATGAAAAATATTCAGCATAGAATGGAAGAACTGAAAGAAAGTGTACGCAAATACAAACAATCCTTTTTACTTACGACCATATAACGTTCAATCTTTGGCTGAACTCGGTGAAATAAAAGGTTAAATTTCAACAAAACATATAGAAATGAAACATTGTTTAAAGTTCATTCAGAACCTAGCCAATATGGAAACAAACCTACTTTTGTTTCTGCAGACTATGGAACTACAATGAGATGGGGTCATAAAGCTAATCCGGATAGGTGGTTCATAAACTTACAACCAAAATTCCAAGATTGTAGACGCAATGGAAGTGAATGGTGAACCAGATATAGCTGGTATTTTCAGCGCGGCTTTAATGCCATTGAAAGATATGAAACATGCAGATATTTTGAACCAGTATGAAATGAACATGGTGATGGAAATATAACACCTGACGTTCTAGAACATTTATCTCAAAGAACTACACAGAACCATAAAGATGGTATATTTGGTGAAGAGTTTAGAAAGAAAGTTAGGGAGAAGAGAAGGAAGAAATTGTACATGACCTTGCAAGAAAGTTTACAAAATGTCATAAAAATTACTTTGCAGACAATGAACCGAGAAGGGATGAATATTTAAGAAAATCAAATGGACAGTACAAATGAAATGTTAGTATTGAAAAACATGTTCCTGACAAAATAAACCACTACAGAAATAAATGACGCAAGACTGAAACATTGGGTAAAAGCTTTCCCATTCACAAAAGATATTATTGGTAACATGGAAAGAAAACCAGAATGGCTACAAAAACATATATTTGGAAACGAGCTTATTCCATATGGACAAGCTCTGTTTGAAGAGCTTGAACCGGAAACTCAGGAAGAGTCATGCAAACAATACGCGAAGACTCAAATACAAACTATGAAAAATCTTTCTAGGATATAGGTTACCTGAGATGGGCGACCAGAGCCCAAAGGCAAAAAGGACATGGGAAATTTACAACATACTAGGTGAACATGAGGCAAAGATGCAACAACTTGAAGCAGAGGGCAAGTTACCAAAAGCGACACAAAGAAGAAGTAGAACAAAGTGAAAGTAGTGAAGAAGTAACTTCATCTAGTGAAAGTAGTGGCAATGAAGGAAAAAGAAGAGTTAAAAACTCAGTCAGGAAGAAAGTAAAGCTTGGTACGAGTGGGTTCTATTATGACACATAAATCCAACTATTCTATATTTTTACCCATATGAAATGTACGCCGCTCAGAATATAACGCCAACAGTTTTGGATGCCATGAACGGAAATGTTTCCGAATGGTATAACGAATGCGACAATGCCATTAGAAGGTCAGAAAATAGTTCCTGGAACTTACGAATATACAACTGCTGTTTCTTATGGAAACGTAGGTGAGTTTGGAGAAGGTTCTTCAACAACAGTAGATATTGCTTGCGACAGGTTTCATATTATTTCTATTGACAACTCATTCTTATACGTGGAACAAGACATTGAAATAAAACCTTTGCCAAGTTGTCTGACAAGAAAGGTTGCAATGGAATTTTCTATGTCGGATACCAATATGCTCCAGAAGTTTTCATGGGATATAAGATATATTCTAACTCTGACTTAGTTCAAACAGTAACATGGGCAAACTATGAATGGTTCGCTTTGAGAAACTCAGTACAACCACAAGCTAGAGAACAAACAGACCAGTATGCAAATATTGAGAAAATAAGAAGACTTGACCCTAACGTTCCAGGAGTTTATGTTAACCTTTCTGGTTCAGATGGAACTGCTGCCACTAAAGTAAAACTGAAACTTAGAGTTCCTTTGTCATCTTTCCTCATCTTCAGGTTTTTAAGATACTTGCCAAACTGGGCAGGAAAAATTTCTATTGAACTTACTCCAAGCAAAAATAACTTAGTCATTGCACCAACACAAGACCCATTCAGCATTACTGTAGCTGGAACTGGTGGAGCCAAGTTTCTGTGACTTTTGCAAAGACAAAGTTGACTTAGACTTTGGTTTCTCAAACTTCAACAATGAAGTAAACTATTATTTCAATGCTGCTGGAACTGCTTGGGACCCAGTTAAGTTCACATGCGAAAAATTTGAATGCAAGAGAATAGAAAGCAGACTTGCAGTCTATATGTTGGACCCAGATATTTCAAATGCTTTAGCTGCCAAATATATTGCAGTTCCACTTATGTTCCCTATACACCAAATATCTGTCAAAGACTTTGCAGGTGAAGTTGGAAACCAAAGTGCTGACCCAGGTGCAAGAACAGATATTGCTTTAAAACTGCAATGAAACATGCAGATACTATGTTTGTACTGTTCAGACGAACTATAAATGACTATTCTTGTTTCTACAACCCCGGTATTAAATATCATATAAACATAGATGGCAAATATTATCCAAGAGAAGAATATTCTACAGTTGAGGATATGAGGTCATACAACTTGACATTAGATGCTATGAACTTTAACAACAACTTCACAACAACCATTAACCCTGAAATGCAAAGTTCTATTATGCCATATGTGAAAGTATGGACTCATACAGGAGGTCAAAAAATCAATATACAAATGGAGACCGTTCAAACTTTTGGCTTGGCATTCCATTTGCTGACTCAGAAGACTTTATGGGTGGTATTTCAACTGTTGGTACTGTACAAATACAATTACTGGTGACAGAGACGGTCCAGATGAACTGAGAGCAAAGAAGTTTACAAAACCAATAGCACTTTTCACGGAAGATGCTCTTTTGAAGATTCGTTCGATGAAACCTGCTGGGGCTCCTCAGATTGGCATAACGACAGCTTCCATCGAGCAGATTTTGGCAGCAGGTCAGTAAGTTGTTCTTGAACAGACTTCTCTCCGTCAAATATTGACAGTACGCCAGTTTTGACATAATATTGTAAGATAAACTTACCTTTAGAAATATCTGTAAGTTTTGAAGTTATATTTTGTCAACGTCAAGAACTTTCACCATTTCAGTTATACCAACTTTCTTTGCTTTATGAAAATATTTTGGTTCAGCAAAGACTGCTATTCTATAACATTTACCATTGTTTGTATAAAGAACTATTCTGTCAATGTATTTGTATTGTTTGTGTGTGTAAACTTTGTTCTGCTTCAATTCGAAGAGATACTCGAATACGTCCATCTTTTTATTCTAAGTAAAATGTCATTTCCGAAAAATAGAAGCGTAAGTGTTTCAAAAGGTTTAATGGCGGTGGCAGATGTGAAGTTAAATTCACCAACTCAAACAAACAGTCAAAGTGTTATTGTCAATGTCAAAGACAGAGATGTTGAAGTGGGGAAACCATACGAAGACGAAGATGGTATAACAATTGTTCCTGTAAAAGAACCAAATATCTGAAGTTAACAGAGACTTAAGTTCTGTTGCAGATATTCGAAACGACTACCAAAACTGAAAGACAAACTTCAAACTCAGGAGAAGATTGTCAAGCTTTAAGTATAATGTTAAACTTGGTCGAACACAACCCTGTAAAAGTGAACTCATATGTCATTGCACCTCATGAAGTTTTGAAAGAACTATTGAAACTTTTGACAGAGGCAGACGATATAAACATCAAAGAAATAGAACCCGACATTAGTTGCTGTGGTGTTTCATATAATGTCATTGACAAGATATACGTTATGAAAGGAGGTGAAACGTTGAACTTAAAATATAGTTTCCCAGACGTTATTAAAAATATTTGACGACCACAACATTTCATTAAAATTTATTTGCTAAGTAAATGGCAGAAGACATAATGGTTTATACTATTACGACTAAAAATCCTGAGTCATATAATTCTATAACAACAAACTTACAAAGTCCTCAAGGACGATATTGTAAACTAACCTTAAACACAATGACGACTAAAGCCTGTTTTGCTCTTTTGACACCAGAAGACTTTATTGTTGTGAATGGTAAAAAATACTCCTTTGAAGATACTTACTCAGATATACCACCAACAGGTTTTGTTGACTTATTTAATACTTTAAGTACGGGTGTAACATGTGCTGCAACTAGAGCAGGTTTCATTATGTTTGGATGTCCGACTGAGTTTACTATAAACGATATGAGCTATAATACAAAACTTATTTCTGGTTTTTACTACCAACAGTTTCCTATAACAGGAAAAGGTGTCATACAAGGAATGTCTATTCCATTGACATTAAGCACACCAATCTTATATATTGTTTCAAACTTAGGTTCAAAGTGTTATTCGAATGTCGACAGAAACTATTATGACCAAAAGATACTTATGCGTATAAACAATACTTTCTCTGCTGGTTTGCCTATTGTTCATTCGAATGCAGAATTTTCAACCTTAGTGAACTCAAACACATTGGCAAGTATAACGTTGACATTAGTTGACGCAAACTTTGTTCCTGTAAAACTTTTATGTCCTATGTATTTGTCAATGACGGCAGAAAGTTTCGAATTGGAAGATGCAACTGGTGAAAGTATTGTATTACAAGAACAACTTCAACAACAAATAGCTCAAGAACAACAAAGGCAACAAATGCAACAACAAAGTCAAGAATAAAAAAATATTTTTTTTTATTTTTATAAAAATGTACAGAATAGATGTTTCAGATTTTTATGACTTCCAAGCATTCAGAAATATGTGTCCATTTCGAGACTATAACAAAGCAGTCGAGAATTTGAAACGTTTAGTTATTTATGTTGACTCTGCCCAGAATGTTATGTCATGAAAAGAATGGGATGTTGTCTTTAACAAACCAAGAGCAACAATAGTGTCTGAACAAGAATGTAGACAGAAACTTAAGAAAATAAAAGTCGTACAAGTTGGCATGAAGATGTTAGATGCTTGGGATATCTTATTGTCAAAGTTAGAAGATTTTTCAGTTCGAGGTATAAAGTTCTATACACCTTCTCCAAACTTCTATCTATCTTCACTGGATATAAATACGAACAAGTAGAATGGAAAGAAAATATTATAGAAGCTTGGTTAGACCATGTCAAAGAAATTATATGCAATGGAAACGAAAAGGTTTATGAGTATATCTTATGTTGGTTTGCAAACATCTTACAACATCCAAGTGCTAAAAATGAAACTGCTCTCATTATAATTGGAAAACAAGGAACTGGTAAGAATACTTTCTTTACAGATATTTTGTGCAAACTGTTAGAAGGTTATTCGAACCCTAATATGACAAACTTAGAAAACATCTGCGGCAAGTTTAACTCCTCAATAGAGAATATGAAACTTATAGTTTGCAATGAACTTCAAAGTATAGATACAACAAAAGTTTTGAACTCAGATGCTTTGAAGAGTCTTATAACAGACAAAGTTGGAGTTGTTGAAAGAAAATATAAAGACCAAAGAGTTTGTGAAAATGTTGCAAACTTCATTATGGTTTCAAACAATACTGTTCCGATGAAGTTAGAAAGTTCTGACAGAAGATATGTAGTTGTCAGAACGTCAGATTCTCATATGCAAGATACAGAATATTTTGACGACTTAGCAGAAACTTTGACATCTGACTTTTACAACCACTTGTTCTCATATTTTATGACATTAGATATTTCTAAGTTCAATCCAAGACAAATTCCACATACAGAAGAGAGACAAACATTGTTAGAAGCAAACAAGAGTGTATATGAACTGTTCATAGATGAAACTGACTTTGAGTGTTTAGATGAAAGGTCATTGTACGATTCGTATAAACAATATTGTCAAGAATATGGTTATATGACAGCGTCTAAACGAACATTCTTGGCAAATGTCAAAAGTCTTTTAGACGTACAGAATGGTGTATATACAAAGAAAATTTTTTTCTGAGTAAATTTTTAAAAAAAATATTTTTTTATCCGATAGAAAAGATGACGAAATTCATCTCAGTAAACAAGTACATGTCAGGACTTAAAGAAGAACTAGACCCATTCACATATTTGAATGTTTACTTCTACCATTTTGAAAAGTCTTCATTCAGCAAAGTTTGGAACATCGAACCAGTTAAGTTTGCTGTCGTGACTAAAAACGGTGCGAAATTTGAAGACTTAGACATAGAAGGTTTGTTAGCAGTCAAAGAAAGTTTTGACAGAAGGTTTTCAAACCTTAAAGAAGGCAAAGCATACAAACTTGTTATACCTTATGAACCAAAGAAAGCAGACGACTATGAATATTATGAGTCTAAGATAGTTGAAGTTCAAGGTAAATTGGGTAAAAAGATTTTAGAGTCTAAGCCAGTGTTTGCTCCTAAAGAGGAAGAGAACATTGACATTGACCCAGAAATGTTCTAAAAATAAAATTTTATTTTTACATGTCAAATTTCTTTTTCTCTGGAACTGGTTCAGGTTCTTTCTTCTCTTCTTCTACTTTCTTTTCTTTCTTTTCTTTCTTCTTCTTTTCTGGTGGAGTTATGTCAAATTTCTCCGAACCATATTTATGTAAAAGTTCTTTGTCCTTTAATAGCTCTTCTATTCTGTTTTCTATTTCATCTTCAAGAACAGCGCATGTGTCTTCTTTGCATTCTAAGAACTTTTGTTGGACTTCATCTTTCCAATCGGTGTCATCTCTGTCAACAAGTCTGTCATTGACAAATTTTAAGACTGCTCTGCTTAATGTTTTATGGTTCTTGTCATATTCCCAGAAACAGAACTTTAGAACAAATTCACCTTTCTTGTTTACACTATGTAAGATTTTATGGTCGACAGATGTTTTGCTGTCGAAAAGCTTGTCTCGAATATAGATAGCGAAATCGCTAGACATTTTCTAAAAGATAAAAATTTTAATTTTTCTAAAAATATGTTAGAAAAAAAGTTTGCTGACATTGACAAGAAATTTGAGAATGTTTTAAACAAGAACAAGAGGAAGTTAGAAAATGCTCAGATAAAACCTATACATGACAAGTTCTTATTTGCTCAGAATGGTATAACAGGTCTAATTGCACCACCTGGGTCGGGTAAGACTTTCACTTATCTTAAAATGGCTGCACAACAACAAGAACTAGATGAGAAGAACCCATTCTATGAGTTAGTTGTCATTTGTAGTACTTCTGGTCAATTTGACCAAACCGTCAATTCGTTCAAAGATATTATAAAGAAGTCTAAGTTAGTATGTATAAAGGATACTGAGTTGTTAGATTGGATAAAGAAGTACCAAAGAAGAGTTTTGAAGTATAATGCTATAAATGAGTATATAAATTCTAAGTTTAAAGACCCAAATGAGGAAATGCAGAGAATATTAGAGAAGAAACACTTCAGAAACAAACAGAAAGAGATAGAATACATTTCGAAGAAATTGCAATCTTACGATTGGAAGACATACCCTCATAGATGTCTTCTTATCTTAGATGATTTCGCCTCTCATCCTTTGTTAAAGAACAGAGAACAAGATATGTGTCGAATTCTTAAGAAGCTCAGACACTTTAACATCTCAGTTGTCATTTGTGTACAGACAGCAAAGAGTTTAAGTAAGGATGTTAAAAGAATACTGACTGACATTATACTTTTCCCCGGATTGTCCGAAGACGATTTCATGGAACTTATGAAAGAGTCCATGGCAGGTAAGTTTGACAGACATGAACTATGGGAGAAGTACAAAGTCATACAAGACCCTCATACTTCTTTCAGAATTCATATCTACGCGAACAAAGTTCAAATTGTAAAAAGTCAAGCTTGAAAAATCTAAGTGTTTAGTCTTAGTAAGTCTGTTGTGGTGCTGGGGCTGTCGGTTCTTCTGGCTTTGGAAGGCATTCAGGAAGAGGGACGTGAGACATTCGTTTGTGTCCTGTCGGAAGGAAGAACTTTTCCTGTTGTCGGGAAAAACTTTTCCTGTCGGAAGGAAAAATTTTTTCTGTTGGAAGGAAAAACTTTTCCTGAAGTTCGACCAAAAAGTTCTCAATTTTCGAAAATTTGAATGGTTTACGGACGGACAACTGGAAAATTTTTTCTTGTCGTCGGGAAAAATTTTTTCTGTCGGAAGGAAATTTTTTTCCAGTTGTCGGGAAAATATTTTTCTGTCGGAAGGAAGGACTCGGAATGCCAGAAGGATTTGACAAGGCAATTTACTTTATAGAGCTACTTGAGCCATCTGAAGTCAAGCTTGAAAAATAAATGGTTCATCTACTCTACTTGTTTGAAGTTGTCAAAATACTCTGTTATTTTTTCCTTTAACAATGGCAAATCTTCTTTGAAGGTAAGTATTGTACAACCTTTCATATCATAGTGTGTTTGAGGTAAAGTATCTTGAACTATTTGTTTCACATCTTCATTCGGTGTCATTGAAATCGGTAAGTTTTCGCGATAGAACCAATTTCTGTCAGATTTGTAAATCTTAGCAAGGTCGTAAAAGCTTTTGTTGTTTCTTCTGACTAAATGCAACATAACCATATCTCTGTCTTCTTCATTTTCCATCTCTTCAGTATAAATCATATACTTATAGTTCTTTTCCTTTCCTTTTGGTACCGAACGTGGTATTCTTTTCTGAATGCTTTTGTCTTTTGCTTCAAGCTTGTTCTCTAGCTCTTCACGTTCTTGTCTATGAATTTCATCTAACATCATGAAAATATAACAAGCGTAACGAGGTGAAGCCCACATTGCAACAGCATTTACAAGAAGTCTATGTACATACCAGCCTCTCAAACCATTTAGCAAATTTTTACGATTTTCGTACGGAATCTCGACTCGCGGTTTTCCTCGGGTCGCAAACATATGAGGAAATTCTTCTAAAAGTTCTTTTGTCTGTTGGTTTTCAAACCAATGATGTGCTTGCTTTGTAGAACGAAGAGCATTCAAAATACTTTGCATTTGGTACATATCGTCTTTGACCGAACGAATGAGACGGAGTTGTTTGTTAAACTGTATGTACTCATATTCTTCATTTATGGCTTCATGAACGATAGCAGTTGTTGTGTTCTCTGATGTTGACATATCTGTCCTTACATACAAAATAAAAAAATAAATAAAAATAAAACTAACTTTATTTTTTCTATCTTAAGGAAATTCACTGTTTTCATAGAGTTTTAGGCGACTAAGTTTTTTAACGTACTCGCAATTTTTTACGATTTTCATGAGTTTTAGGCGAGTAAGATTTTCTGTCTTGTATAAAAGATATGATTTCAGGGATTTTTTTGACGAAGTGTCAAAGTTCTCTTCGTAAAAAAATAACAGTTATATAATGAAATTTGGTCATTTTTTCACGATTTTCATGAGTTTTAGGCGACCAGGTTTTTTTCCCTACTCGCAATTTTTTACGATTTTCGTACGGAATCTCTACCCTCGGTTTTCCTCGGGTAGCAAACATATGAGGAAATTCATGAAATTTGGTCATTTTTTTCAGCAAAAATAATGTTTAGGGTAGAAGGTTAGATCTACCCTCCTTTCTACCCTCTTTTCTAACATGGTCTAAAACACACAAAACTCATGAATTTTCATGATTTCTTCGTATATGTTTTCTCAAGACTTCTTCGTAAATGTTTTGTCAAACATGAACGTACATGTTTTGTCAAGACTTCTTCGTATATGTTTTCTCAAGACTTCTTCGTAAATGTTTTGTCAAGACTTCTTCGTACATGTTTTGTCAAGACTTCTTCATCGTAATGAGCGTAAATCAGACAAAAATAATGTTTAGGGTAGAAGGTTAGATCTACCCTCCTTTCTACCCTCTTTTCTACCCCAGTTATTTTATAAGCGTTTTACATGGTAAACGTTATTTTTGGAATTTTGTGAAAACTCAACGGTTTGACACAAGCCCTAAAAATTATTTTACTCAGAATTTTGTTGCTGAATTCAGCAAAAATATAATTTAGGGTAGAAGGTTAGATCTAACCTGTCTTCTACCCTCTTTTCTAACCTCTTTTTTTTTATAAGCGTTTCACATGGTAAACGTTATGAATTCGTGAGACTCTAAACAGTTTTGTAGCTTCTATTTCTTCGCTGAGGATATCGAATGTTTTAACAATGTCGAAAGTTTCTTTATACTTCTTCTTGACGTCAGATAGAAGGAAATCGTCAGCAGTTGGATAGTTTTTGTTCAGAAATTCTAACATGTTCATTTTATCTTCTGCTGGCTTTTCTGCTTCTTTCTTTAAGTCAGCATAGTCGTTTCTCATACGTTCTATCTCTTTGACGGAGTAGTTATATTTCCTAATTGCTGCTTTACATTTAGAACATTGCGGGTTCATTTTTGCGTTATACATTGAAATTTGACCTGCTAGAACAACTAAGGCGTCAATGGTTTTCTTTAACTCAAAAGTTGCTGGTTTTATTTGTTCATTCCATACCTTACCTCTTCTATCTTTATCTCTTATCTGCCATACACATTCAGCAACTAACGAAACAAAGTTGTCGTAGGTCTTAAATTCTTCAGATTTATATATGTCAGAAACATTCTTATATACCATGTCGCAATCTTTGTCCATAACCTTATGGTTGCAATGAAATCCTAGAAACTCATAGTTTACCTTTCGTATGAACTTCTTTATTTCTACTGAGTCAGTTGCTTTGACTTCTATTTCATCGAATTCAGGAATAGTGAGCTTTTGCTGCTGAATTTCAGGCAATTTGGGTAAATGGTCAATAATGTCCTGCATTTCATAAAGATACTGTTCATTTTGTTCATCTTTCGCACAACAGTCCAAAGTACTTGTTAAAAGTTCTTGCTTTATCTTCTGGATTTCTGTTTCGAAAGTATATGAAGAAGGAATGAAGCTTTTCATCTCTACTAACATAGATGTTGGATTCATGACTAAAGAGTTTGGTGCTGTTGTTTGAATTGTTGTTGTGCCGATTGTTGAAATCATGTCTTTTATACAAAATAAAAAAAATAAAAAAAATAAAACTAACTTTATTTTTTATTTCGGGAAAATTCATGAAAATTCAAGAGGTTAGAAAAGAGGGTAGAAAGGAGGGTAGATCTAACCTTCTACCCTAAACTTTATTTTTGGGTCCTTTACACTCATTACGATGAAGTCTTGACAAAACATGTACGAAGAAGTCATGAAAATTCAAGAGGGTAGAAAAGAGGGTAGAAGACAGGTTAGATCTAACCTTCTACCCTAAATTATATTTTTGGGTCCTTTACACTCATTACGATGAAGTCTTGACAAAACATGTACGAAGAAGTCATGACAAAACATATACGAAGAAGTCTTGACAAAACATTTACGTTCATGTTTGACAAAACATTTACGAAGAAGTCATGACAAATTCATGAGGTTAGAAAACGTGTTAGATCTAACCATCTACCCGACATTCTCGTCAAATACAAAAAAATACAAAAAAATGACACTTTTTCATTAGATAACTGTTATTTTTTGACGAAGTGAAGAGTAACACTTCGTCAAAAAAATCCCTGAAATCATATCTTACATACAAAATAAAAAAATAAAATGACACTTTTTCATTAGATAACTGTTATTTTTTGACGAAGTGAAGAGTAACACTTCGTCAAAAAAATCCCTGAAATCATATCTAACATACAAAAAAATACAAAAAAATGACACTAACTTTATTTTCTGACTTTCACAAAAGACCAAAAATAAACGCTTTACATGTATTTTTCAGCAACTTCGTCAAATAATTTTATAGCTTTATCTATCTCATCTACTTCAAACGTTTCTTTACCTTTCGTGGGAGCACCATACATTTTCTCAAACTTTTCAAGTAGTTCTGTTTCAGCAGCTCTCATATCGTTAACAAACACAACCTTGACTCTATTGACTGTACTGTCATATCTTAGAGTTATATTATATGTTCTTCCTATCTTATATCTTTTTGTATTGAAGTCCTTCGGTTTCTGAACGATGTAAAGTAAGCCTTCACTGCAACGTTCCGTATCGAATGAACCATATGTTATGAAGTTATATCCAACAACTGGGTCTAACCATAACAAAACTATATAAGATTGTCGATGAGATATGCTGCAGTTCCATGAAATGCTACCGATATCATAAGCTCAGGATTTCTTGTCAAAATTTTCTGACTAGAAGCAATTCTAACCCAGTCCTGCGGTCTCTTTCCAGATGGAGATAAAATGTCTGACAAAGAATATTTGTTGTATTTCTTTGAGTATCTTACGTTTAAATCACCTATTCTAACCAATTTGGTGTCATTGTCTATCTTTTTAACTGTTTCAAACTCATTGTTTGTCATTTCTGTTCTTACATACAAAATAAAAAAAATAAAAAAAATAAAACTAACTTTATTTTTTATTTCGGGAAAATTCATGAAAATTCAAGAGGTTAGAAAACATGTTAGAAAACATGTTAGATCTAACATTCTAACATAAACTTTATTTTTGGGTCCTTTACACTCATTACGAAGAAGTCTTGACAAAACATTTACGAAGAAGTCATGAAAATTCAAGAGGTTAGAAAAGAGGGTAGAAAGGAGGTTAGATCTAACATTCTAACATAAACTTTATTTTTGGGTCCTTTACACTCATTACGATGAAGAAGTCATGACAAAACATTTACGAAGAAGTCATGACAAAACATTTACGAAGAAGTCTTGACAAAACATTTACGATGAAATCATGAAAATTCATGAGGTGAGAAAAGAGGTTAGAAAAGAGGTTAGATCTAACCTTCTACCCTAAATTATATTTTTGGTCCGGGAACAAAATGAACGAGGTCAGGATGTATGCAAATACCTTTGAATTCATTCATAACACCCTTTGTAAGCTCATAAAATGCTTGTTTTGAGGTCGAGCCACTTTTGGCTCCACCGTATTCTTTCAACCAAAACTCAAGAATTTCCCGCATGAATTTTGTATAAAAACCAACCGTCTGTATTCCGACGGTTGCTATATTCTTGACAAAACATTTACGCTCATTACGATGAAGAAGTCTTGACAAAACATTTACGAAGAAGTCATGACAAAGCATGTACGTTCATGTTTGACAAAACATTTACGAAGAAGTCATGACAAAGCATATACGAAGAAGTCATGACAAAGCATATACGAAGAAGTCATGACAAAGCATTCATGAAAATTCATGAAAATTCAAGAGGGTAGAAAAGAGGTTAGATCTAACCTTCTACCCTAAACTTTATTTTTTGGTCCGGGAACAACTTTCTCTCAATTGGAGCTGTAGCATACTCTTTGCGTAAGCGGTTCAGACCTTCTTCGAACTCTTGGTCTCTCTTCGATTTGGTTTGGGAATAGACTGGGTTGGTGGTACGTCGGACATTGTCTTGAAACAGTACAAATATTGTTCTGAAACAGTACAAGTCTTGTTCTGAAACAGTACAAATATTGTTCTGAAACAGTGCAAGTATTGTTCTGAAACAGTACAAATATTGTTCTGAAACAGTACAAATATTGTTCTGAAACAGTACAAATATTGTTCTGAAACAGTACAAATATTGTTCTGAAACAGAAAATTTTTCTCACAAATTGAGAGCTTTTACGGGAAATTTGTTCTGAAAAAGTTCAAGTCTTGTTCTGAAAAAGTACAAGTATTGTTCTGAAACAGTACAAATATTGTTCTGAAAAAGTACAAGTATTGTTCTGAAACAGTACAAGTATTGTTCTGAAAAAGTACAAGACTAGTTCTGAAACAGAACAATGGACAACATCGAGCCATTAGATGAGAGCTTTTATGTTTTTTGTGAAAGTGTCAAAAATAAATTGTTTTCATGAGTTTTCTACGATGTTAGAAAAAATGTTATTTTCTAATATCTTCACATTCAATACTTTTTCAGCACTTTTCCGTAGTTATATATGAAAGACAATTCGAGATAAAAGTCGTAGTACAATGGAATAATATGTTGCACACCATTTGTTGTGAACCAAACTTGAAAGTCAGAGAAACTGTTACTAGGTGGTTCGTAGAATTTAGAAGCAAAGTCATAAAAGTCCTTACCAATACATAGAAAACTATTGTTGCTTGAACTGAAACTTGCATGACACATAACATTTTGAGGGTCAAACACGTTTCTATAAACTGTCAAATCTGCTGGTGGAAGTATAAATTGAAATGGACCATCTGGTGGTAATGGTTCGTTCTGGTTTAGTAACCGAAGAAATTGTGCCCAAGAACGTTTGTCTACTTTCCAAAATAAAAACTCTGTATCTCTTGGAGGGTTAATTTCAATCTTTTGAAATGAAACGGTGGAGTTCATCTTGTCATATTCTAGTTTCAGATAGTATGTTCCATTTAGTAAAGAGTCGTATTTTTCTTGAAATTCCCAATAATATTTGTTCATTTGAGTTTGAAAGTCATTTAGAGTTTTCTCAAGACTTTCGTCTGAACGAACTGTAAAGATCCTCATTTCGTCAAATTTGTTTAGACCATCATGACCTTTATACTGCCCATGAAAAATATACTGCGAACATAAATGCGTTAGTTCTATTTGAAAACAAAACTCTTCTAAATCCTATTGCTTTGCATCTGAAGGACTTTGAAGCCAACGAATTGGATAGTCAAACCTGTATATTCGGGATGAAATTTCTTCATCTGAAATAGTCCTACCAGCATTTGTAAAGATATAGTCTAACGGTTTTGTATCTGCTACTTTTGTTTCTTTGTTTTTCAACCTGAAGCATTTAATATATGTAAAATATATTGTTTTTAAAATGGTATGCCATTTCATATTTCTCATCTAACAAACAAGTTTCCCAACGTCGTCTCCAACAACTCAGCGTACATTTCAAATAAAAAGAAAAAAAATATTTTTTCTTTACTTTACATAACCGCCTGCTGCCATAAGTCTTTGACGCCAACCCATACCAGCTAATGAAGGTTGACTTGGTTTAGTTTCCAAACTAAACTTTGGTTTTGGTTTATCTTCAGTTTTTGGTTTTTCTTCTTCTATCGGTTTTTCGTCACTTTTCGGTTTCTCTGACTTTACTTCACTTGCAGGAACAGTTGTGTCGTCAACATCTTCATAAATATTCATATGCCATTTGTTTTTGTTTTCCTTTCAACTTTTGTGTTTGTTGTAAAGTTTAGAATATTTCGACTCTAAGTCAATGAGATGTTCTATAATGAACTGTTGGTCAGTGAAGTAAATTTCCATCTGTTGTCTCGAAAGCTCCTTCAGACTTCAATATTTTATTTGTGAGAGTCTGTTTCTTTTTTGAGATACTTGCCGTTCCATTTTTATGAAAAGTGACTTTGTAGTTAGGGTTTTGTATTTCCAGACCTGGCACTTTCTATTATTGAATTTTTCTCTTCATCTGTAAGTTCTTTGACAGGTTTGACAATGGTTCTGAACTTTTTGTTTTGGTGTTAAATCTACCGTTTCAACTTCTTCGGTCATTTCATCTCAGTAAAAAAATTTTTAGTTTGGTTTGTTTTCAACTGGTTGTTGTTGTTTTTTAAGTCGGTCTAAAACTTCCTGAGGTATAGGAAGAACTTGACAAAACACGTTGTGTAACTGCTGGAAGTCGACAAATCCATCTTGAAACCATTTGTCTCAATGCTGTATTGTTCATTTCATCTCAGTAAAAAACTTTACATTCCCCACGTTTGAGGCGGTTGAGGTTGGTTATTTTTACCCATGTTGTGCATGGTTATATCTCTGTTAAAGAATCTTTCACCTTGGTCCATATAGTGTCCTGCTTGGTTATAGTAGTCATTTGCTTTGTTATAATAGTTTCCTGCTTGTTTTCCATTGTCATCCATCTTGAACTTTTCCTCTTGTTTCAGGATTTGGAATAAGATTTGTTGCATCTCGTGCTACATCCCAACCTTTCTGTACAGTTTGTATAATAGGTTGTGCTTTCTCTTTAAGTATACCTAATGTACTCAAAATCTTTCCTTCCAACTCCAAATACACCTCGGCTATTGTTCCCACTGCGGGTAAAAATCTGGATGCAACTCCTGCTAATGCGCCAAATAAACCCATTTCTTATAGGATAAAAAATGACGAATCCAAACAAGGACCCTATGTTTCTAAAGCGACAAAGAAAGCACTCATGATAAAATCTTTAGTTCAACACAAATGCTTGGTTTATGGATATCTTGGAAAACATTCCGAGGTATAGAGAAGATGGACCACCATACTGGCTAATATTTGTTGGTCAAAACACAAGATTACTGTGAAGCCATACCATTACAGTCCAAAGCTATTTTAGATATCTTAGCAGCTTTGACAATATTCGTTGACAAATACCATCCAACAAAACTGACATCTGACTGTGAAAGTTCTTTCAAATCAGATGATGTAAAAAACTATCTGCGTTCAAAAAATGTAAACCAATATTTCATTGTCGACCAAAACATTCTGCTCTTGGTGTCATTGACGGTTGTATAAAATGTTAAGAGACTTAAACCAACCACAAGGTGGTGAAGCAAATGAAATGTCATATGACGACAAGTATAGACACTTCTCCATGGCAAAGATGAGACAAGTTTTAAATATTTACAATAGCCGTAAACAAAAAGGTTTGGGAAACCACTCCCCCGAAGAAATGAAAAACAACCCTGACTTAGAGAAAAGACTATATATTTAATAATTTAGTCAAAAGAGACAAACAAGAAAGAATGCCGGGCTTCAACTTCAGAAAGGTGACAAAGTAAAAATAGAAATACCTAAACGCGACCCATATGAAAATACTATTGACTATGACAACAATGGGAACCCGACAGGTACTCACGTTCGTGTTCGTAAAAATAGAAGAAAGTATACAAGAGAATATTATGAAGTTTTTAGGCAACATGGCAAAATGTACACACTGCAAGCAGAAGATAAAACTACTATTGTCAGACCTCGTTTCAAACTTGTCAAAGTTCAAGGTGGTATACTTTCAAAGACAGTTCCTAACAAATATAAGACAACTCCTGACGAATATGCTAAAGAAGTTGAAAATGACGACTAAGCATTTCTATACCATGCGTAAACTGTCATGTAAGGTGGCATGTAGTCTTTACTTTGTCCCGTTGTTTGCGTATATCCTGAAACGCGATGTGTATGGTTTCCTCCTCCCTCAGTGTTACTCCAGAAACAATTTATAGCAAACTTAACGTTGTCTTTAACATCATATCCTTTACCTTTTGTCATTGCTGACCAATCCCAATATCTATGCTTATGCCAACCTGCTTGAGATGTACTTAAATCTATGTAGTGACTGTGTGCAGGTAAATTTTCACCTGAAATCGTTTTACTTCCACCTGTTTCCTTTGAAGAGTTTGCACAATACAAAAACCTGTCGACTATTTGAGTCCAAGTTCCAAAACCCAGAACTGTTTCTGGTCTGGTAGAGTTCATTGACGTATAATAGAGCCTATAGGATATAATGTTTGAAGTATTTCTGTCTTTAATGTGTTGAAGCTCTGTTTTGTCTGCTTTTCTTGTCATATAAATCTTGAGCAGTGAATTTAATATTATGTTCATCCTTCATGACATAAACATCTTTACATCTAATGTTTCTCATCGTCGTTATGTCGTCATCCGATGTTAAACCTTGTGGAAAGTTAGGAGGTTTACAATATAATACATCCCACCAGTTTCTTCAACCGTTCCTTCAATACTTTCTATAGCAACAGTTGTAAAACTTGTATGTGTATGGTTCTTGTCTGCTTTCTTCTCTAACTCATCGTTAACATAAGTTTTATTGCTTTAAGGTCTAAACATCCTGAAACCCATCCTGTATCGGCTTTAACTTTAAAAGTCTTCGATGTCCATTCATGGTACCAGTCAACCTTTCTATAATTTCTTTATCTTTTCATCATCCACATATTCCTTATCCGCTTTCTTCTCTAACTTACTAGCCACATATTCCTTATCTGCTTTCTTTTCAAGGCTAACGTTTAAGTCTGTTATTTCAGATATAGAATGTGTATGAGTCTTTTTAGAATATTCGTTTTCAGCTCTTGTCACTTCACTTGACATTTTATTGTCAACATATGTTTTGTCTGCTAGTTCAGGATGAGTATGTTCTTTTGTTGCATAAGCATTGTTAGCTCTTTCTTCTTCTTTTGCTATTGCATCGTCTACATATTCTTTGTCAGCTTTGTTGTCAACATCTGTTTTCAAAAGAAGTTCATTTATAGGTTTCTCGTTTAAAGTTCCTTTTGTTGGATTTATACAGACAGTATTGTTCTTCTTGTCTTGAAACAGAAACTCATCTGTCATTGGGTTTAATGTCAGTTTTAAAGTTTCCTTCTTTCAATGACTCAGATATCTTAGAATAGTTTGAAAGTTTGTTGTGTTCTTATTTAGAGCTTGCATAATGAGTTGTCGGTTGTGTTGTATTTCTCTTATGGAAGCAATATCTTTCGACATTTTTATTCTAGATAAAATATGCTTTCAATAGAAAAAGAAAATTCAAGAGTTGCTACAACTAAACCATTAGATGAACTTTTTACTAATGTCGGTCAAAAGTTTGAGACAGAGACCGTAAAGCATGAAGGCTATCGTTTTGACTACCCATTAAGATGGTTAAGAGACCCATCCGTCACAAAAGCTATTGGCTTTCGTAGAATGAAGTTCATTTCAGAAGCCATACATGGTTTCCCATTTACGGTCGGTTTTGAAGTTAGATACTATAACAAAGAAAAACGTATGTATGAGAAATTTGAACAGGGAAAACTTTTACAAGTTAGTTTGCTTGTAAACTTAGAAACAACTCTTCAAGCTTTTCAAGAAAAAATAAACGATATCTATATCGAATATGCAAACCAGTATAACATTGACGAGGGAGAATACCATCTCGATATTATTTATGACAGGAAAAATGCAACTGTTAAAATCAATAGAATAGAAGACCTTGGAGAAAACGTTTATATTTCTACAAAATATAACAACTTGGCATGGTATAGATTTATGAGGATGTTAAATCAGCCTGCAGCATATCCAGTACACCCAGACTTTTATGAAGTCGAAAACCCTAATGGAACATATGAAAATGTTTTCGACCAAGATGCTATTATTGTTCATGCTTCATTTTCTGGCGCCCAAAACTCTTTCTTATGCTTGGCAAATGACTTTTACGAAAAACCTACAAAGTTATACGAACCACCAAGTGGAAGTATTTCAGACTTTCAAGTATGGTTTACTACAGATGGAAGAAAAGAATAATTCCATTATACCATGCGTTTTACTTAGAACTTAGTTTCATATACAACTACTATCGAACGGTAAAAATATAACTTTTTAATACGGTTGAGGTGTTGGATTTGGTTGCCAACTAGACTGTGGTGCAGGTTCAGGCTGTTGTATAACAGGAGCTTGCTCTTCTGGTTCAGGGTCTTTAGGTATAATTACCAACGAACTGACCTACTCTTTTACCAATATTTTTGACTCCGTTCCAAATTCCTCTTCCTACGGTTTTTATTCCATTCCATATACCTCTTCCAACTCTTCTGAAGAAGTTTCCAATACTACTGAAGAAACCCATTTTACTACGTGTAAAAATCTAATGTCCGCCTAGTCTCTTACGTTTCCTGTTGAGTTCCATAGCATTCTTTAACTGGAGCTCATACATTCTGTTTCTCCTCTGGTAGAAAACATATTCTGGGTCAACTCCTGTGTTCGCGTCATCTGCATAAAGTTGTTTATATCCCACTTCAGGGTTTGTATAAAACTCTTTCCATCTCATATTTGCATACCATGTGGAAAACCTAACGCAGCGTCATTTGACATGCAGTTTGCATTTGTACATCTGTTGGCACTTGACCATAGTTTGCCATTGCAGTTTGTATTCTAACTTCATTTGGAATATTCTCGGGTTTGGTTGTCCAGGTTGCTGTGCATTCGCTAAGTTCTGTGCGTCCATTTAATATTAGATAAAAATATCTCTTACGAGTACATATACTGAAACATTTGCAGGCATTGGTTCATCTTCATATTCTCTGTACTTTTCTGCCACGTCAAATAAATAAATGACACAATGGAAAAAACCTAAAACAAGTAGTCCTATTTCAAACCACATTTACTTACTAATAAAATTTCGTTATTGTGACACTTTCTCCGGTTTATAGGACCTCTCTCATATTCTATCTTGTCATATCTAAACTCATAGTCATGTATGTCCTCTAACCATCTCATAACGGTTTCCAAACCACTTTTATCGGATGTAAAGTAAAAGCATGGATGGTTATGTATAACGTCTAAAGTTTCTAAAGAGTCTCTCAAAGTCCAGTCTACTTGGTATTGAAAATCCCATGTGTTAAAGAACGGCGGGTCCACTATAAAGAAAACATTTTCCTTGTCTTTATATTTTTCATACAACTCTGTCCAATGACATCTCACAAACTCTATACCCTCAATATATTTTTCTATGTCCTCTTTGAAAACATTTGTATAGTTAAGATATAAAACTTTTGACATAAGTGTTTCAATGTCATGAACTCTTATAGCACCACTATATAATAGTCTAGCAGATATACTATCCCAGTCTATATATTCTGCTTTTTTCAAAACCTCTCTCACAATATTTTTCTTATCTAATGGTATACGTTCCATCTTACCTATCTGAATCTTTTCTTTTAACTCTTTCAATATATTGTTTGTGTCTGGAATATGTTTGAGACGGTCCATATAGTTGTCGAAGTCATTGCATATAATCTTTGAGTCTGGGAATATTGTATGGCACAAATGGATATATAGAAACTTCCACCGAACAAATCTACAAATGTTAGACCATTCGGTAGTTTCTTAAGTTCTCTCAATATAATATCTTTACATTTACTCTTATTTCCAAAGAACGGTAACGGTGGTTTTGTAAAATTCATATATATAATAATAAAAATGTTTTTTTCCTGAAAAGTGACAGAAAAGTGACAAAGCATGAAAACATATATAATTTGTGAAAAGCGACACATTATATAATGTTTTCGACCCAGAAGAAGGCTTCTTCCCAGAAGCAATGGAGGAAGAAGAAGAGTCCTCCGAATTCACACCAGAAGACTAAGAATTTTCCGAATAAAAACTTCATTTATACTAAACATCTTCGGGGCTAGAGGGCACGAAGTGCCTGGAAGCCCCACTACCTTTTTTTTTTTTTTTTTTTTTTTCATAGATCATTTATTTTTTCACACAAAAAATACAGCTTCTATTAATATAAGTTACAGTTCTTAACTCAAACGTTATGGCCGAAATTGATTCAATTACAGCCGATAGTTTTTCCTTGATAGGAAAATTTCTATTCCGAGCTACAAGTTTCCGTAATTTAGGTTCCAAAGTTCATTTTTTAAATATTTATTACAAATTTTTATTATATTGAGTCGTATTTCTTCATTATAATAGAAATGTGCTTATATATCTACCAGATATCCATTCAACAATATCCACTTTGCATAATTGAGTATTATATTCTTATTGAAATCAGACTTCATGTGGATAAATTAAAAAATAATCTATATTTGATCTGTGGTTGCATTTATTATCATTATTTTGTCTAACAATTCAACAAAGTAATTTGATATCCTATGGATAGCGCTAATGGTATTCAAATCTGCAGAAAGCTATTAATTTCGAATATATGGACTGAGGATTAATGCATATATGAGTACTTTTTAATTTGAGTTAATATTTTAGATGATATATGCACTATTGAAGCAATATCCAATCTGGATAATTCTGCAGCATATCAGACTAGATTGGAGGAACCCAATATTTCATTGCAACCTAAATCTATGATCTGTAAATCGATTTTGCAACCATTTTTGACACTTTTATTTGAATTCACAGATCAGACACTTCTTTATGCAAGTTCTCTACATCAAAATTTCTGATTAGAGTTTTCGATAAAAAGTTTACAATAAATGTGACATCAATATTTAAATTTTCAATATATGATACCAATTTCGCGTGATAATGACACTATCTTGAGGGATAGGGGTCTTTCACGCGGAAAGAGGAATAGATCTCAAGATGGTTCATATATTACATGCGAAAAACGTGCGGAATTGTTGAAAGAAAAAGGTTTTCAGCCAGAATTTTTTGTAAATTTTATTCCTATTGCTTCTCCTTCCAATTGGAGAAAGGATCTTACAAAAGTAACGAAAGATTCCGTTAAATCAACAATAAATAAACTCGAAACTATAAAGAAAAAAGTTCAACAATTGCTATTAGATTCCCAAAACAAAGTTACCGAACTTTTAACAGAAGATAATGCTATAAAAACAAGAATTCTTACTTATAAAGGACGTGGATTAAACGAAAATCGAAAAATGTTTTATTTAATTTCTTATCTATCATTATTACGCACAAAAAAGGAGTACCTCATAATTAGCGAGTCAGATGCTATTACAAAACACATAAATGCAATGATAAACATCTTAAATCGGCCAATTCATTACGAAAATATCATAGTATCCGTTGATATTGAAGGATACCTAGCCGCAAGAGTTGGTTTAGGTCCAAAAATTAAACGAATTGTTGCTAAAATTAAGCATTTAGAGTCTTACATCAAATGGCCTTCATTTACACCTCTTCCTACTGAAATAGGAGATCAACTAATATACCCTACGGCAGAGACATACTCGATGTTCAAGAATATGGCATCAAATGCGAATACAAAATCAATAGAAAAAATATTCGAAGAATTTCATGCAATGACAGACGACAACGAAGAGTTTATGATACTATTAGACCATTCATTCGATTTCGGTTGGCAAAAAGCTGATTTTCCCTACCTTTGTCTTCAACCAAGTAAAATCGGACTTTTTTTACGCGTAACACCACGAGCATTGAACGTAGACTTCATTCCAGAGCAGTTCATGGATGTACCTGTCAACAATCTGCAAGGAAAACAGTGGCCGTACAAAACTGTCGTTGATATTATCATTTCTATTCTTTTTGAGCTGAATCCAGTGAGAATGGCGCGAATTTTCAACAGTTCCCTTGAAGAGATTTCGATATGCATCGACAGATTGTATCCAGAACACTCTGATATTGATTTTGACACCGTTTTTTCATTTGCAGTTTTGTCAGTTATGGCTTCAGGAATTTTGGCCGAAGAAAAAGTTCTTGCGTACATTTCTCAGGTTTCTCTGCTTGATATTAGTGATTCATTGACGCAAGTTGGTGCTACTTATGCAGCAACAGCTTTGAATCACATTCTGTCACTTGATGAAGAAGAACTTACTAATATTAGCTAACTTTTTAATATTTTTTGTTTTTTTTTTGTTTGTAAATTTCGTTTTATTTTTAATTTCCTTTGTTTATTTTAGCTTTCAACAAAGAAAACATGAATGAAAAACACCTCAATAGACAACAAAATATCAAAAGTATTCATTTTTATGAGGATGCTTTATTGCCGTCTGGAGAAGTGACAAAATTATCATTATGGTCCAAAAAAGAGATTTTACAAGCATGTTTTGGTTCCCAAATAAAGGAAGAACTTCAATGCCATCTATGTATATAGTGCGCGAACACGCATTATATATGGAGTGGCTCTTTATCTGGTTAAAAATTCTATAATTCGAAAATTCGCATTGCCGTCTAAAACAGCCAAATGACAATAATAATACCACATTTTTATTATTTGAAAACTATACTAAGCTTTCAATATGAACTATTTCCTTGTAGTTTCAGGTTTTTTGATAAAAGCAAAAATCTAAAAGCATGATGTAATATTTTGCAGATCTGATGCTTTTAATAGGGCTTACCAATTCATTGAAAAATATTATACAGAATGCAATCAAGAAATTATTCTCCAATGTTGTGAAGAAGGGCTTTGAGAAAAAGACAACCAAAGATATATAGAATTTTCTTTTTATTGAAGTGAAGATCTCTTATCGAATGTAGCTTCAATAAAAAGACTAAAGATTAAAAATGCTCCACTCATTCATCCTTCATGAAATGTATATCTTGAAGTTGTTCAATATCTTATCACAGTTTAAGAGAATATCAGAAAGTGGGAAAGTACAATTTTAAAACACATATATTTGTAAATTTGTAATATAAGAAAATAAACATTTTATTTAACATAATTTAATATGATCAAGTCTCTTCCTGTCTGAGAAGCTCTGTATGCAATCAGAGTAATCAGATCAGTCATCTTCTCCATGTGAACTAATTCTGTTGCTTCTCCCAAGCAGTCGTATTCGATGAACAAAAGAGCGCGAAGTTTGAGGTCATCAACCATCATAATAAAAGCAGGAATATTCATTGAGTACTTCGACAAAGCCAATTCAGGTAAAATCTTTCTTATAATGAGAGGAACCAGCCTTCTGTGGTTCTTTTTCTTCTTCATTTTACTCAACAAATCTGTAGCTTTCATTGGTTCAAATCCTTTAATAATCTCTGCCAAAGCTTTTACCAACTGATTGTCATCAACACCTGTTGTGCTGATTATATCTTTGTAGAGAGATTCAGTTTCATGTCCTTCAAGAAGTAAAATTGCAGCCATTTTCGCACCACTTTGTGGGTTGTGAATTATATCAATTCCTTCTGTTTCGTTCAAACTTATCATGAGTTTTCTATTTTCGAACAAAAATTGGAAGAAATGATGTTGAATACTAACTAAATTGTAGCTTTCTTGGAGCTCATCGTAGCTATAATTAGATCTTCCTTTCTGTGATTTCAACGCGTTGTCTAAACTCAACAAAGCATTGCTTGTTAAGTTGTAACTCTGCGTGAAACTTGTAGCTGTAGAAAACAAGTTTAATCTTGCAATTGATTCTTCAGCGTACATTTCTCTGAAGCAGTAAACGAAAGCAAGGTTTTCGTACATCGACATTTCTTTGAGATATTCTATCAATCCATTCCACATTTTGTTTGTCAATGCGAAATTAGGATCATTAGTTTTCATGAATTTCTCAAATTCATTACCGAAATTCAATGTACAAAAAGCAGGAAGATAAAAGTAATTTGCGAACAAATTGACTTTTTCTTCTTCATTTTCTATCAAAAACAATGTTTGATAAGCATCTCCAATGCATTGCATCATCATTAATATTGACAATGTATTAGAAATATCATAATATCTCATTACAAAGTATTTCGCATGCATTATTAATTCCAATCTCTTCTTATCATCATCAGTTCTTGTTATTGGCAAACCTGGTTTAGATTTCCTCTTTTCTATGAATCTTTGCGACAAATTCTTCAAACAAAGATAAACATTTTGGGAATCAATTTTTTGTATATCTTCTTCTTTGATGGGAAGACTTAATTGTAACAAAGAAGGAGCTAATGATGGTGGAGCAATGGTTGCTTTCATCAATGGCATAATGAAAAGAGCGGTTGTGTCTAAAAATGGACTCTGATTTTGATGCCAACCTTTGTATTCAAAATTCTCAAGTCTGGTGGTTTTTGTAAAGTTAATCTTTTTGGCGTCATTGTAGAGTCCGAGTCTAAGAAGCAAAAATGAAATTTGGAAGTTCATCTTATCTGATGAAAGGTGACATAAATCACAAATTTCATTTCCAACATCATAAATGTCACTTTTAATACTAATTTCCATCAAATAATCTCCGAAATTTTCTTCATCCAATCCACTAAAATTGTAAGAAATTTTGTGGACGGCAAATAAACCAGATCTGACTAAGTTAAGAAGTATTTCTACAAGTTTATGTTGTTCGCCTTCTGCTATCGTCATGGCGGTTTGAAGTGTCAAAACCGCCGAATTTTCAGATTCTATAGAATTGATGTAAATTGATTTCACTGTGTCTTTGACTATCTTTTCAACAACAATTGACAAATTTTGACTTTCAGAATAAAATTCTTGTAAAAATCTGACAACTTTACATTTCATTGTAAAATCTGACATTCTATTTATCAAATCCGTGAAATCGTCGTCAGCCAGGAAATAAGTGATCTCTTTCTTGAGTGCAAATATCTCAGAAGGAAGCTTTTCTAAAGCATTTAATATTGAAATTCTGTCTATCGTCTGACATTCATTCAAAATTTGAGAAGGTAACAATTTAAATGCGTTTAGAATATCTCTGTTCTGCGGAGTAGCAGAGATCTCGAATACCTTTGTGAATCTAGTGAATTTCGTCAATAACTGGCGGAAATATTTTGGAAAACTTTTGACAATTTTTACCAAGAAAAATTCATCTTCTTCTTTGTATTTGTCAAATAAGTTTTCTACTGTCAAATATTGGCAATTTTCATTTTTGTTTATAAGATATTGCAAAGCAATTTCTTTTGACAATTTCTCAGTCAAAACATTGACAATGTCATTTTCAGAACCGTCACTTTTTGTAAAGTTATCAATAACAAAATTGATTTTGATGTTAATTATTTGGTTTCTTTCTTCTTCATTTTCTGTTGTGTACTCTACAACATTCAATACATTATAAACGGTTTTTGTAAACTTCAGAATTTCCTTATTATCAAGCAAATACTTCAAAACTTGTCTGTGGTTGACATTGAACAAAATATCATCAATAAATTCATCTTCGCCTGTTTCAATTATTTGAATTAATTTCTTAAAATCATTTGAACGGTTTTGTAAATCAAAGTGAGGTGAAATATATGACAAAATTTCCTTAGGAATGTCAGGCAGTTTCATTAGTATGGAAGGATTGATCTGTGTGATACAAAGAACGATCATTTCCAGTTTATACTCATTGAAATTTTTGAGAACAAAATCTTCATCCAACTCGAAATCGGAAGAATTCTCGAGGATGACTTCCATGATGGATTTTCCGGCCATCTTGCAAATCTTCTCAGCAAACTTGAGGTTGCCGGACTTGTACGAGGTCATAATGGCCTTAGGAATGTCAATCTTTATCATATTTGTTACATGCCTGTATTCGTTAAGGTAATTGGAGAATTCGTAAAGCATGCTGTGCTTCTTGAGGTCTTCTAGGATGGGTTCAAGGTCGATTACGTTGTAAAATTGTTCGCAATCGTATAATGCTTTTCGAACTTGAGTTTTATTGAGAATATCAATAGGATCTTCGCTTTGCATCCTTTTCTCAATGATATCTTTGTATTCTGGGAATTTGTCAATGAAACCTCTCAAATTTATTTTCTGAGATTTTGTAAACTCAAATTCCAAATCGATTATTTCTTTATATTTGAGACTTTCTTCGGAGAAATCTTGGTCATTCAGCTTGTTATACATCGCGTTAGATAACAAGAAGAATTTCCTGTACAAAGGAAGGCCTTGTGTCAGCATATCAGCTTTATCCCAGCGTTGGCTTAGAATTGCTTCGTAAATATCGGAAGGATTACGCTCGAAAAAGCTGTGGAACTGCGGTTCACGCTGCCAGAATGGTATTTTCTGGAACATCGCGTTTGCATTTGCGATATATTGATTTGTACTGTAGTTATTTAATACTTTTACAAGCATTCTGACTGTACTTGTCGTAAGCATGAAGTTTCCATCCTTTTTCATGAATAATAATGAGAATAAATCGATGCAAACACTGTCAAGAATTTTTGGATTTTGAATTGTAGATAATACATCGTTGATTTGTTCGATAAACTTACTGGCATATGTAGGAGGAGATGTTAAAATCGAAAAGAAGTACCTAAAAGCTGTATATGACCTTAAAAAGTCAAAATCTGCTTTTGCTGCACGATCACTGACTGTAAAGTATCGTACTTTGCCGTAATTGAGTATTTCTGCATTACCTATCGCGTTTTGTATTAAAAATGGAATTGAATTTTTCAATAAAATTTCTAAATCCGGAGTTTTATCTTTGTTGTTTAAGAATTGTATTAATTCGAGTAGCTTGTAATCATTCCTGAATCTTGCAACTAATTGCGAGGCCCAAGAAGGCGGAAAATTTTCAGATAACAAAGGAACAATATTTTGAAGGTCTTTGTAAACCAAATCTTTATGTGCTACTAAGAAATAAGGAATTGTGGTCTGAAAAAGCTTAAAATTAGAAATCATCAAATTATAGTCTCCGCTCGTTAAATATTCGATTGCCATTTGATTCATGACATCCATGAAGTGTGTATTTAGATTTATAACAGTGTTCATACATGAAAATGCTAAATCTGGTATTTTTGGAAACGGATTTGGATATAAATACAGATTTGTAAGTCTTTTTTGCAAAGCGTGTGTTACATTTATGTCTGTATAGAAGAGAGGTATCTTAAACAAATCAAATACAACTTCATTATCAATGCGAAATGAGTTAAAAAATGAAATCGGAGCTTCTTGAAGGAGCCAGAATGATTCTTGACCAACAGAGTCATATAATGTTTCTAGTGTAACTGCATTGATTAATTGTCTGAACTTGTTATAGAGTATTTTGTATGCTCCTGGATATGTATCTTTAAATGCCAACAAAAAGAAGGCAATGTTGTGCTTTTCTTTATCCGAAAAGTTGTAATTAGCTTGATTCGAGTTAAGATATGGAAGTAGAGCTCTTACAATTTGATCTTTTGATCGATTAAGAAAATATAATACAATTTCTTCATTAAAATTTAAGTCGGACTTATCAAATCGCTTTAGAATGCAGTCAACAATATACCTATTACCAAAATTCTCATCACTTTTATCAATTAAATTAAAATATTCATGCAGATTTTTAATTGCGATGTTTTTGTCGCAACTTTCTACGAAAACATCCGTTAAGAGTGCTTCGCTGAACATAGCATGATAAATGTAATCCCATGTTGACCGATCTTCTATGGGATCCATTCACTTTTAATTTATTTTTTATATTTATTATGGGGTCGGTACATAAAAAAACAGATAGGAAAAATATTGATAACAAATCGGATCATTTCACGAGAAATTTTGCAATTTATTCTTATATACAGTCTGAGTGAATTTTACATAGAGTTCAGATTTGATTTTGTCAAAATTCCAGTAGTAGGATATGATGGGCTTTGTGACTTTTTTTGTAAACGTAAGAATTCATACAATATCGAGCGATTTTGTATCATTTTTTTAACATATTAATTTTAAAATAATTTATTTTTTTATTCTTACATAAATGACCCAACAAGTAAAACCAGATAAAATAGATTATCGAATTTTAGAGGATGGTGTTCCTGTTTATATTCAAAGATTTAAAGGGAAGCAATATTATAGAATTGTTAATCCTGAATACATAAAACATTTATTTAAAAAGGAAGATTGTGAATTATTAAACGTTAATGAATATGAAACCAATAAATCAAAATTGAAATATAAATATATTGGAAGTGATGAAAGATGCAAAGATAAAGATAAAGTTTATACAGTTTCATATAATGAATGGAAAACCAATAAGATAAGAAAACATTTAGGAGATTATGGGAAATGTTCTGAATTCTTTAAATCTAGTATATACGAGAGAGTAAAAGAAATTAGAAATAATTATTTTCATGAATAAAAGATTCACTACCATAATGAAATAAAAATTTTTTTAAAAAAATAAACCATTAAAAATTCATGTCTTACATTTATGAAAATTTATTTTTATTTTGTATGAAACCGATTTTAAAAATTTATGAATAATTTATAAAAAGTTTTTATTCCTACAATTCCTATATTACCATTAATAAAAAGAATATATTTTATAATAATTTCATTCGAACATGTTAAAATTTATCTGCATTTTGAAAAAATTTTATTATAAATGATAATATAATTTATTAAATTAATATATAACTTATGAATAATTTATTTTTTTAATTCGTAAGAAAATGAGTGGATCAAGATTCGTAACCGTCAATCAATTAATGGATGTTCTTTCACCAATTCTTGAAAATGTTAAACAAGTAGATGTTTATTTCGATGATTATGTAGAAAGTTTATATTATAAAGGTAAGTTTAATATTAAACCCATTGCTTTTGCATTTGATAATAAATTAATTGAAAATGCAAAAATTTGGGAATTAATTCCAGATATTGAATTTATAACAAATATTAAGGATAAATGGTTTAAACGAATTCCAACCACTAAAGTTCTTTGTAAATTAATGATCAAAACCGAGGCCAAAGAATTTCATGAATTTACATATCATCCAAATAAAGTTTCAGAACTAGAAAATGAAAAACTTCAGAAAAAATTAAACGATAGACTTTCAAATGATCGTATTGAAAAAATAAATAAACTAGCAGAAGTTGCATTTAATAATGAAATATTTGATGAATATAACCTTGAACTCAGTGATGGACTTTAAGTCCTGGGCTTTAAGGACCCGGGCTCAACGAGTTATGATTTATGAAATCAATTATTTGATTCATTCTTTCTTCAATCTCTTCTATTCTTTTTGTTAAATCATCAATTTTCATTAATGAGGTGATTCTTGATTGAGGAATAGATTTTAAACTAACAACACCTTTTATTTTTGAAATTTTGAATCCATCAACTTTAAACATTTTATTCAATTTACATGTTGTCAATTCTTCAAATAATTTTTTATTATTAGCATAATAGTCATTAAATTCTTCAACAGATGAAAAAATTTTTGTTTCAGTAATGGGTTTAACAATGTTTATTTTATTTTGAACATCTTCACTTTCATTTATTTTCTTCCTTCTCTGTTTCATTTTTTTTAATATTGGTTTCATTTATCATTAAATAAAAATTAGAATATAAGTGATGAAATATATTTTTTAATTAATATTAAATCAGAAATGGCGGCAGGATTCTTTAAAAATTATGGGAAGGAATTAAGAAAGCAGCAAGTTGGGTTCATCAGAAAATAATAAAACCCATTGCAAACTTTTTGGCACCAGTAGCGAAAACGGCAGGAACTATAATTGGTGGAGTATTAGGTGCTAAAGCAGGTAATCCAGCGATGGGAGCACAAGCAGGTAACGCAGTTGGTGGAATTGCTGAAGGAATACTTAATAAAATAGGAGGAAAGTAGTGGAAAAATAAATATTATTTTTATCTCAATATCGGTTGTAGTCTTTGATAAACTTTTGCTCCCTTATTTAAAACTTCTCTTACCGGAACATTAGGTGCTATTTGTTCCGCAACGTCACTAATTGCTTCTTTATTCTTAAATATCCAATTTGCTCCCTTCTTCATTGTTTCCCAAACTTTATGCGCTCCTCTTTTTACTTTATCCCATAACTTTTTAAAGAATCCTGCAGCCATAGTTGATTATTTCATTAAAATTAAAAATTCATTTTCATCTTTTAATTTTGATTTTTTTATTTCATCATAAATGACGACTAACTATTTGGTGCCAAACACTAAACCGATTAATGGAAATGTATTTCATTCATTCGAAAAGATAAATGAAATATTCGCAAAGAATGACGGTAGAAGATATTATAGAGAACTTGAAAGTTCATGCTATGACTCTGATGCTCCATATTTTGATGATAAACAAACTCATTTAAGAATTACAAATCCGGCTCATGATGTGAACCAATTAGGTGACACATATATTAAACGTAAAGTTAAAGCAACTTTAGTTTCAAATAAAGCTTTCACATGTGATGCCGCTTTTAAATGCATGCGTTTATTCGTTGGTTATAAATCATCAAATCAAAACTTTAAGCAATTAGAAGTAGAAACCGAAAGAGGTGATGCCGGCTATCTTCAGATGGATTGTGCCCGTGAATCTTTCGCATTTGCAACATATAAACCAAAATCGGAAAGGAAAGTTAAAAAGTTTGTTCATTCATTATATAACAATGTCCAAAAATATGATAACTCAGTATGTGGTAAATATATTGACCCCTCGGAAGTTTTCAAGAGAGCAAATGAAGAAGTTGATATCACTTTTGATATGATTATTCCAGTAAACGATTTGTTAGCATTTCAGGCGTTCGACGATTATCCTAAATCATTTGGTGATATCATTCTTAAATATTATGTTTTCAGGGATACTTTGGTATTTTGCCAAGTTGACCCGTTAAGAGTTGCTGATTTACAAAATTACGTTTATGAAAAGATAACTGATGAAAATTATGAAAAGATTATGAATCATGTTTATAAATACGATCGCAAATTCCAACAAATCGGACTTCCTGCAAAATTAATTACAAGCTTAGCCGCTACATCTGCTGACGCAACAGTTGAAGACGTTATTATTTCATGCACAAAGATGGAAGTTTTAGAGGATAAATGTATTACACCAGGATATGGTTTAATTGAAGAATCAGTTAAAGCAATACCACGTTTATTCAGTAAGGAAGATCCATTCATGATTCCAGCTCAACATATTGACGTTCGCTCACTAAATGGAGGTTGCATCACTCCTGAAGGTATCAGCTCTGATTTCTCATATGCTCTTCATAATGTTACAGATATTGTGTTAGCATTTCCGAAGAATGCAATGCAAAGAACAGTTTTAGAAAATCCAATGCTTCGAGGTCTTCAGGTCACTATAGATTCCAGAAACTTCCCCGATCAAGCGATGACCACAGTGGGTGACATATTCTTTACACGTATGCTTCAAGCTTCTGATTTAGATGGAGTGAATGAATGCACGGAAGAATACGAGGACTCATTAACTAGACCACTGAATGATGATAATGGCACGCCATTAGCTAGAACATGGAAAGACCAAACTTCATTCTTATGCACTATTCCAGTTCAACGTGATGGAGCGGGTATATTCTTTGATGGATTAGAAACTTTCAACTCACAAGTTACAGTACAAGTGAAAGCTTATCCAATCATTCAGGGTGAAAATGACACTTACTGTTCAAAGGTGACAAATCCTCCTCAGGTTTGGTTTACTAGGACTACATATTGGACATGGACACCGGATGAAGGTTTGAAATATCATTCAACAGGTACACCACCACAGTATAGAAGTTCATATGATGAAATATTGATGAATAGAAATGTTTAAAATTATAAATTTATTTTTGATTAAATGGATTTCAATTCTGAAGAATTAACAGGAGTATATAATACATACATAGATGATATGATTAATGAAGCATTGAGTGATAATAAAATGCTCTATCTAAGGAAAAATTAATGAAAATTCCATATTCTGAATGTTATTTAAATTCAATCACTGCAGCAATTGGTAAACAAAATAAAGGTAAAACATTAACGATATTAAAACAAATTATCATTATTGCTAACACTTCACCCTATTCACATGTGTTAATTTATATCAACCGTTCAGGTTCACCTTCAGATGATACATTTGAATCTTTAAAGCATTTAATCAAAATTCCAATTATTTATTTATCACAAGAAGAAGCGGAAGATTATTTGAAAAACTTTTTAATGTATAAAGAGTTATATAATACAATCAAGAAGCAAGGATTAGAGGATAAAATTATTGATAAACAAAGGGATGAATTATTTGAAACACTTTCTATTTCAAATTTTGATAAAGAATTTTTGCATTCACTAATTTTTCTAGATGATGCCGTGAAATCAAAACTAATAACTAATGAGAAATCATATTTTAATCAATTATTAACTCAATGTCGACATATTCAGTGTTCATTCTTCATGGCTGTTCAATACTTTAAAGCATTAAGCACAAACATTAAATCAAACCTGTCCACCCTTTTCATTTTCAGTGGGTTTAGTCGTCAACAGTTGAACGTTATGCTTTATCAAGTGAATTTACCAATGAGCATTAATGAACTTTACACACAATATCAACAATTAGGAGAACATGGAAAAATAATAGTTGATTTAAATAAAGGTTCCATTAAATTCGAATAACTTTTTATAATTAATTTTTATTTTTTATTTATAATTAAACATGACAGAAATTGCAAATCTTCTACAGGTTCCATTAAAACAAGGAACAAACAAAAAGGGTGCATATAATAGAACTATGAAAGTTCCAGACGGAATGAAAGAATTAGTCCACATTGTTGCCGGTCTTCAAAAGGATGTTAAACAAATGAGAAACGTTTTAACATTACCAGAAGCTCAAGCATATGCCAAACGTCATGGACCAAATTGGGAAGCACATGAAGCAGACATTACAGGACCAAATGGAAAGCCTGATGGTATAAATGAAGTCTTTGTTACTGATGGTCAAGGAAATATTAAAGTCATAAATGGGTATAAATTAACAATGACGGATTATCCTAAACGTAAAGCATATAATGAACGTTATCCTATGCAATTTGATGAAAATGGAAAAGCTGTTAAACAACATATCGGAGACAGTAAAGATGGACCAATTCTTTCATACCGTCATAATCCATATTCTTATTTCAATGAAGAATTAAATGCTATTGAAGAAGGACCAAACGGATTACCTCAATATGTTAACCAGTTTGATGGTCAATATGCAAATTTGAGACCTGAAATTCCAGCTAAGAAATTCTTTAAAGTTGCTTTATTCGATCCAGTGTTCAATGAACAGAAAGAAGCAATGAAAGCAGAATTTAAACCAATTCAAGTGGCAAGAATTTCTTCATCTTCACTTTCAGAAGCGTTCAAGGAATTGATAAAGAAACCACTTTATTCTCAACAAGGATATAACTTTGATTTAATTAAAGAAAGTGATAGACGTAAATTAGAAAAATCGGATGATTTTAAGAATGCATGTAATGAAATGATTAAAGATATTGTAAATGATAAAATAAGACTGGGAGAAACTCAAATCACTATCAATAACATAATTGGTGCAATTACAAAGAAAGTATAAGCAAACAAGGATGAACCTTGGGATATTACCGTAACAACTAAATAAAACTTTAAATATATTTTTCTTTTTTTTATTCAATTATAAATGAGAAGACGTTTCACAAGTCAAAAGAACACAAACGCAAAAGCAGAGATTACGGTTGGTTATAATGTAAATGATGATAAATCACGAATTATTCAAAATGTTAAAGTTAATGTTAGTCCTGAATTAACAAGGTCAGCAACTCAACCAAATTTATTAACTCGTGACTTACCAAAGAAAGAAGAGGAGCAAAATAAAGAAGATGGAGACCCAATCATTTTATCTGAACCTGGAAAAGAACCTGTTGAAATTCCCACTTATCCAACATACCCCCACCACTTGATAACCCAGGAATCTACGATTCCAGTCGCAATACGCCATATAAAGTAGACATTAATTCAGAATTAATGAAAATATATCGCGATATCATAACTGATAATTATGATTCAATAATAAATTTAATTGACCAATCCGGTTTAATTATTTTACCATATGAATCATTAATTCATATTATCGCTGTTCTTTGTGATGTTCAGGATTCAGACGTGAAGATTCAATATTTCATAGATGATGAGGTTTCATGCTGCGGAACAGTTGCAAAAATAAATCCTATAAAGGATATTAGCACAATTAAGATATCAAAGAACGGAACAACAACTGAACTACATTTAACATATAATGATATTTATAATAAAATAGTTGATGAATATAAAATATCACTTGAAAAATTCTTTGTTAAGGCTATTTAATATTCAAGCATTAACATTATCGAATAATAATCCTTTGAATCATAATCAATAATAATTGACCTTTCACCAGTTTCTATCGTTTGTTTTATTTCTTTTTGTTCCCCACTATCTGGATCGGTCATTGTAATTGTTTTTGTTATAGTATCAGCTTTATCTTTAACTTCAATCTTTTTTCCATCAGGATATTTAAACCAAAATTCCAAAAATTCGATATTGTCAATCTGTTCATATTTTAATCTATCAATTACATTTTTAATATCTGAAAATCTTATGAAATGGTCATTATATGGGTTTGATTGAACCAAATTTGAATGAAGTGAAATATAACCTGTTGATGAATATGACATCGACTCATATTTTTGAAAACACTAAAATTTATAACATGAATGAATTTCTTATTCGTTGAATTTATGAATTCTTGAGGTAATCTTATTCTAGTTTTATTTATCACTGGAAAATAACGCTTTACCATATTTTTAATCGTAATAAAAATGTCAATTATCAATATTATTTCGAATAATAACTGTGAATTAAATTTAACAGTTAGTGGAATTTATAATGTTTCTCTCGTTTCTGTGAGTGGTAAATTTAATCCCATTCTTTTAGACCCTTCGGATTATATATCATTTATTAAAGATGACCATGAAAAAACGTATGATATGTATATAAATAATGTGATAGTGAAATGGGATATTAACATGATTTTAAGTTATTTAAATGAATCATTTATCGTATGGTATGAAGAAAATTTTAAATCAAAACCTGATAAACTTTTTGAACTTGATGAAATAAATAATCTTATTAAATTTCCGCTGAAAATTAAATTTTGTACTCCTCGTCTTCGTTCATTGTTGGGGATATTAAATTTTGAAAAAGATGTTGGGGATGTTTTGTATTCTGACACTGGTTCCAATTTCATTTTAATCAAATGTGATAAAGTTAATACCCCAATGAGATTTTCACACCAAACATTTGACCCTAACTCTTACCCATCAATACAAAACATTTTATCCATCAACTTAAACACATTTTCTTTATCATATCCGTTTCAATTATCCGGGAATTCATTTATTCTTCATTCAAAAGATTTATCAAATATTAAATTTAGAATAACTGACCTATTTGATTGTGATTTAGAATTCATGAATGAAATATTATGGCAATTTCAAATTGAAAAAATAGCTGATGAGATAACGGATTAAATATTTATTTTTAAATCGTAATAAATGATTAAACAACAGCAACCACAACAACTTAAGGCACAAACCATTACATACGCCACATATGCATATAATTCAAAGACGGCAGAACAAACACAAAGGTTGAAATATGGAGATTTGGAGATAGTATTGAAAAATGACCATTTCGAATTCGTTTGCAAAGGTGGTGCAGTGATATCAAATATAAAAGAAATTTTATTTATGAATTCAAAAATTAAAGGAATAACGGATGATATAACATCAATTCCACCAGAAGAACAAAGATATTACGCATTAAATGCATTTCCTAAAGTTTTGAAGATTGGAAGATTTAATTTAAATGAGGAATTCATAGAAGGTTTCCTAAATGACATAATGAAGAAGGCGGATAAGGAATATGTGGATAGTGAGTTAGAGAAGAAAGCTGATATGGAATACGTGGATAGTGAGTTAAATAAGAAAGCAGATATGGATTGGACATCGGCGACTTTTAACGTTAAAGCTGATACAAAATGGGTTTTAGCATGTTTAGACAATAAAGCTGATATGGAATACGTGGATAGTGAGTTAAATAAGAAAGCAGATATGGATTGGACATCGGCGACTTTTAACGTTAAAGCTGATACAAAATGGGTTTTAGCATGTTTAGACAATAAAGCTGATAAGGAATACGTTAATACTAAATTAAATACAATTCTTGAGATGATTTACCCCATTGGTTCAATATATACATCAATGAATTCAACAAATCCGGCAAGTGTTTTAGGTTTTGGTACATGGCAACAAATAACCGATCGTTTCTTATATTGTGCTAACTCATCAAAACAAACAGGAGGAAGTAAAACAATTACGGGCGAAAATTTACCTGCTCATAGTCATTACGTTAATTTAAACACAACCGAAGCAGGTTGGCATAAGCATAGATATTGGGATTGGTCAGGAATGATAAAAGGTAAAGGATATGATGTTAAAGATGACGTTAAATTTGCTATTAATTGTTACTGGAACGATACACAGGGTTCAGGTAATCATACACATAATGTTTCAGGATATACACAAACGACGGGACAGAGTAAAGATTACATGCCGCCCTATATGACAGTTTATGCATGGTTTCGCACGGACTGAAAGTCCTGAGCTCCAATTCAGCATACCTCAGTAATGAAATTATACGACTGAAGACCATAACCATAATATTAATGTTTTCATTAATTTTTTTCAGTGTGCCTATGTGCCCATGTGTGCCTAGGTCAATTAACTTCTTTTAAAAATGGTGACAACATGACATTTTGACAACAGGCATGAAAGGAGGAAGGCAAAAATAAATTATTTTTGAAGAACTGAAGGTGTGCCTATGTGCCCATGTGTGCCTAGGTCAATTAACTTCTTTTAAAAATGGTGACAACATGACATTTTGACAACAGGCATGAAAGGAGGAAGGCAAAAATAAATTATTTTTGAAGAACTGAAGGTGTGCCTATGTGCCCATGTGTGCCTAGGTCAATTAACTTCTTTTAAAAATGGTGACAACATGACATTTTGACAACAGGCATGAAAGGAGGAAGGCAAAAATAAATTCAAATCATACTTTATAAAGCTTCATTTACAGGTATTTGGTCGTCAGTAAATGAATCCTCATTATCGTTTAGTTCAACCTGTTTATATAATCCTTTCATTTCTTCTTTCAAAACATAACACCATGTTTGTTTACCGTCTATTCTTCTTCGTTTCTTATCACATTTATCCTTAATGCTCATTTGAAAATTCTTGTCTTTCATGTCTGATGGTTTGCAGAATAGAGCATTTTTACACGTCATACCTGCACACAATTCATCATAATGTGTATTTATCCATTCATCTAAAGGATTTGTTGATAATTCTATTAAATCTTGTTTGGCTTCAGTCATTGGTATAATTCGTACATTAAATGATGAAAGGTTGTATTGCATAAAATATGTTAGTAAATTATCATAAAATTCCTTTGTGCATGAATCCATTAAATTCTTGAAGTAATCAAATTGACCCTTAAATTTACCATTAACCCTTAAAACTGCATATCTTCTGTCTCCAACTTCAATTTTGACAGGGTAAACGTTATTAGTTACGAAAATGAAATTGGCAACATTTGAGCAGTTCTTCTGGGTTGATTCTTTTCATTAATTCTAATCTCATTATCCGTTATAATTGATTTCAAAGCGTTGAAGTTTGCGAGTCTGTCTTCACCAACATTCTTGAGTTCATTAAGTACAAGAAACATTTTATTCTCAACAACTGAATTGAAATTACCCGTTAGCTCACTTATTTCGGTAATGTTTTTACATGAATAACCGCGAGAAGTTCAGAAATAATGTCTGTAAATCTGTTTTTACCTGTTCCCTGAAGTCCTTTCAAAATAATTGCTGTTTCATTCTTGATTCCAGGATGTTGAATCATTGATGCAATCCAGCCGAGAAGGTATTTATACACTTCATCGTTATTATCACAAATGGCTTCTTTAATGAAATTCATAAACATCTCAATTTTTGTGTAATCTACTTTTTCAAGAATGTTGTATTTATAACCTTGAAACGTTGAGAAAACATCTGTGGAATCAGATTTAAAGCAGACACCCTTAACAGTTAATGAAGACAATTGATTTAGTAGTACGTCCCATGCTGTTATTGTTTTACCTTCTTCTTTAAATAATTTAATCATTTTAAGTGACTCTTTCATGTTTGATTGAAGAACGAATGATATTTGATTCATTTTATCGTGTATGTTGTAATCCTTTTGAATGAAATATTTGTTTCCACAATCTACAAAACGAATGACACGTGATAAATCCTCAATTACTTCAGAACTGTTTTTATACTGATGATTTTCAGCCTTGCGTCTAATATCTGTTATCAAAAACGAGTCATCAAGTTTTATATCAAATGTTATTTTTGGCTTACGTAATAAAGGTAAAACGTATTCATCATAATATTCTTTTTGATAAAGTTTAAGAATCTTCACCAAAACAAATGGAGAAGTCATTAAATGTGCATATCTACTACGTGCTTTTTCAAAATTACTTTTTGCATTTTCTGTTAAACTGCAGAAGTTATAAACGTTATCGTATGCTTCATTAATTAAATGATCCGGTAACGAATTAATAGCTTGAAACAGTGTGAATAATGTAACTTCTTTTTCTAAATTCATGTTTCCACCGTCATTATGTACTTCAAAATCACAAATACCATCAACTATGCTCTGGGCAAGTTTATCGTCAATGTTTACATCTTTGTTTTCATTCATTATACTCTTTATTTCTTCATTCTTTTGTTCAACTCTTACCTTAATATTCAAATCATTTAATATATCATTCACTGTTCTAGTTAATGTTGAATCATAACTTCCACGAATGAATGAGTATGTATTGATTGGTTCTGTTGCATTCTTGCGAACTCTTGAATCAGCCATAACCACTAATGAACGCTTTGAATCATCCATTGAAGTCATGATATCAATATTATAATCATTGCAAGAATAACATTTAATCATTCTGTTCGAGGTTGAATAGAAGAAATTAGTGTTGCAATAAATGTGAAGACCTCCTGAAGCGGTTTTAACGATAACATCTTTATCTGAAAGTTTTGATAAAATGTCTTTTCTAACTGTTTCTTTAAGTTCATCATTGTACGATTTATTGATATCAACATCTATAATCGTTAAATTTGAAATTTTATTTGCTAATAAAGCTGTACCAGTTTTCCTTCCTCTTCCTCCATCATATTTGAGGTAGTTATGTAAATCAATCATGTTTTCACCAATTCTTTCGTTGAGGGTTTTAGTTTCTGCCACAACTAATTCCTCAACTAATGAATCAATAACTTTTTCATCAGAAACGATAAAGTCGATGTTGTTGTTTGTTGCTGTCATTTATATAGGAATAAAAAAATAAAAATAATTTTAAAACTAACTTTATTTTTGTAAGACATGAATTTTCACCCCTGTTGTCAAAATGTCATGTTGTCACACTTTTTCAGAGAAGTTAATTGACCTAGGCACACATGGGCACATAGGCACACTTCAGTTCTTCAAAAACGTAAGACATGAATTTTCACCCCTGTTGTCAAAATGTCATGTTGTCACACTTTTTCAGAGAAGTTAATTGACCTAGGCACACATGGGCACATAGGCACACTTCAGTTCTTCAAAAACGTAAGACATGAATTTTCACCCCTGTTGTCAAAATGTCATGTTGTCACACTTTTTCAGAGAAGTTAATTGACCTAGGCACACATGGGCACATAGGCACACTTCAGTTCTTCAAAAACGTAAGACATGAATTTTCACCCCTGTTGTCAAAATGTCATGTTGTCACACTTTTTCAGAGAAGTTAATTGACCTAGGCACACATGGGCACATAGGCACACTTCAGTTCTTCAAAAACGTAAGACATGAATTTTCACCCCTGTTGTCAAAATGTCATGTTGTCACACTTTTTCAGAGAAGTTAATTGACCTAGGCACACATGGGCACATAGGCACACTTCAGTTCTTCAAAAACGTAAGACATGAATTTTCACCCCTGTTGTCAAAATGTCATGTTGTCACACTTTTTCAGAGAAGTTAATTGACCTAGGCACACATGGGCACATAGACACACTTCAGTTCTTCAAAAACGTAAGACATGAATTTTCACCCCTGTTGTCAAAATGTCATGTTGTCACACTTTTTCAGAGAAGTTAATTGACCTAGGCACACATGGGCACATAGGCACACTTCAGTTCTTCAAAAACTTTAGAACGGTATAATTTAAATTTTTATTTTATCATAAATGAATACCCCACAAGCTCAAAATTTACCACGAATCATAACAAGGGAGGAAATGATAAAAATGATGCGAGAACATGTTAAAAATAACAAACCACTAAAACTGAGAAAATGTGGTTATGCAGTAATGATGGAAAGAGAGATGTTGTCAAAGAGGAATAAAAATTAAATTTGGATAGAGTTTAAAAATTCATCTTTATTAAATTCATCTCTTCCAATCAATTTATTTATTCTATTAAATTCTTTTATTTTTGCTTCACTCAGTTTAAGGATTGAACGGTAAGTTTCTAATTTTTCGATTATTTCTTTATCGTTTTCAACCCCACCACATTGCGGCTTCTTTTTGTAATAGCATATTTTTGATTTAATTTTGTTTAGTTTCTTTTTATATTCATCGTCTGGACTCTTGACTGCTTTGTTGTTACTCATTTCTTACGAAATAAAAAAATTAAATATTATTTAAATATAATGGAGTAATAAAATAAATCGGAATTTCTATTAATTTATTGTTAACCTCAACTAATGCATTGCCGTTAATATATCTAACAAATTCAGCTATTGTGTCAAATCTTCGTCTTCTTTTTGTCATTGATTTATCAGTTTTTCCATAATCGAGATGAATCAAAACTTTATCCCCTTGTTTAAAATTCATGAGCCCCGAATTAATTTGTTCACGTTTAACATCATTTAACCTTTCCATTTGTTTTCTAATATATTCCCATTCTTTTGAAATATCATTTTTCATTTCCACTGGTTTCATGTTAATAGTTCTATGCCATGTATTATTGTAATAATATACTAACTGCTGTATGATGGAGTCATGATTTCCATCCCAGTATATCTGACCGTTAACCCCTAACGCATCTCTAAGAGTTCTCATTACTGCATCAACTATTTTATTATGAAACGTATATGGAGAGGATGAAAAGTAAAAATTAATTTGTGGGAAATAATGAGTCATAGCTGCCTGAAATCCTTTATCACCATCACCCCTTATATTATCTACTTTCTCATGATCTAGTAAGTATTGTATAGCTCTTCTTGTTTCCTGTTCTGTTTTCCCTTTCACCGGAATGCAATATAAATATCTAGTGTTAATGTTAATGGCAAATAAATAAGTAATATTTCCTTTTGAATATTCCAGATGATCGATTTCGTATGAATAAGGTGAAGGTGCAAATGATGGACGACTAAATTTTTCTTTTAATGGTTGAATTTTCGGGTCAATTGGTTTATTTAATATCTTGAAATCCTTTTTAAAATCTTTTTGTTTCTTTAATGTTTGAAATGGATATAATAAAGTGAATGATGAAGGATTAACTGAAGGAGGGAGAGGTACTCGTTGGAGGTACTGTCGTTGGAGGTTTTGGTGTTGCAAGTGGTTTAATTTTATCTGCTTTGATTTTGGATTTCATTCCCCCTTCATTAATTCTGGATGTATTCTATTCATTTGTTTTAAATATGCTGTATATAAAGGTTTGATATACTTTCCCGCTTCGAGTTTATGTTGAAGGATGAATTCCAAAAGTTGATCTTCATTTAAAAGTCGGGTTGAATATGTTTTAACTAATGAATCATAAATTAAAGCTTGTGCTTCATTTATGAGCTGCTGAACGTCCAAACTTTTCTCTTTTGGCTTTTGCGGCTCAGGATTATATAATTTATATAATTCATCAATATCTTTTTCAGTTAATACTTTATTTTTGAAATCTTTCAACTGTTTAAGTTGTGATTTACTTTTTCCCTTTGAATATTTTCCTTCTTTAATGTTCTCTCTTAAACGTTTAATTATTTTATCATGATATTTCAAAATTTCGTTTTTATAATACCGATAGTATTCATCCATATCATCACCCGTTATATTTTCATCATGTTTTTGGAGATATGCTTTTAAATCATAATAACTAAGAAAATTTTGATTAAATACTAAATCATCAATTAAATTTTTTAAATCTGCGCTATTCATTTATATAAAAATAAAATCAATGTTTTATGGGTGCCCACCTCTTTGTCTCTTCTGTGGCATTTCATTAAATAAATGGCATACAACATCCATTTTCACAACATACAGCTTTAGTGTGTGCCCCTGTTAATGCAGTCTTACCGATTGTTAAGCGAGTCATTGACCCATTTTTAAGTTGTAAATTAATATTTTGACCATCGAAAATGACTTTATCATTTATTATATCCAAATAATTTTTAGGTGTTAATTGTTTATTTTGTCGTAAACTTACACCTTTCATTTTTTGTGCTATCTTTTTGAAGGAGTCTTCACCAATCATTCCGTTGAATGATGTATAACACTTAGGGCATAAAGCAACCATGTTATCACCTTGTTTCTCAATTGCTAAACCCAATAATTTTTTCTCATGTGCTTTTTCTTCAGCTTTATTCTTTAATTTAGGTTTAAATTTCTCATCAAAACAGAAGAAATCAAAAGGTGCGAATTTGAAAATGTTTTTATCATAAAATTGTTTATCGGTTACAATTGCTTGAAATGCTTGAGTGTTAGGAAGATTTGGGTCGCCAGCGATTGCCCAATATGATGAATCAGTATCACCTTCAATGAAATGAAAACGATTAACATTCATGCATTTATACATAAAATCATAAATGAAAACTAAATACCAGTATTTAGCATTATCTAAAGTAAAAAATGCCTCTTGTAAACATGTATCACATCTATAAAATCTATCTTTGAGCATCACTTGATATGTATCCTCACCTATTTCTCTTATGTTTTTAAACTTATTTGACATACATGCAACGCGTGCCTTCTGTGCATTCATTATTTTAGTCTTTGCGTAATTTTGTGTATTCATTGCATCGTAACCATATGATCCATTAAGTGAAATTTTGCAAAATAAACTTTTTCCTTTATTTCCTTCTAATTCAGCCTTTTGTCTTTCGTTCATAAATTTGTTCGCAAATTCATTAAAACAAGTATTTTTCGTAAATGTTAAAATTGATTGAATATCATCATGATAAAATGAAATCTGTCTATTAGATACCAAAGATAATAAGAAGAAAATGGTTGATATTGGTTGTGTGTTGATGCTAACTGAGTTAATTTTCTCTGTTTCTGGTCAACTGGTAGATTGTTTGATTTCATGTAATTATACATAAAACTGCCAATTGTTTTTTCATCTGTGATAATATCTAAGTTTCTTATTATCGGTAAAAAGTTTATGTAATCATTAATGTATTTTTCATCAATGTGACCCTTTACTTCAGCCACGAATAAAGTATTTTTCTTCTAATATTCCCAGTGCTTTTGCTTTCTTTGTTGCTGTATCACAAATGATAACACCATTCAATCTTCCCGGCATATACATTTTATGGTCAGTATATTGAATGAAATCATGGGGATTAGATGAAAATGATGAAGGATATAATGAATTAAATCAACACCAACGAAATGAGTCATGATGTTGGAAGTGTCCTCATTTGATACTGTTTTAGTTTCTGGATTATATGAAAGTTTATTAATGTGTGTGATTCCTTTAAGATTAACACGATGTTGAACATTTGATAAACCACCAGTAATTCCATTACGGAGGATGTGATAAGCTTCACTGAATCTAAAGTCATTGGTAAATTATTTTTTAATGCATAATTTCTTAAATTGATTCTTAAACGTTGAACATCTTCATCTTTATTTGATTTTACGACATTGCAATAACAACACATTAACTGACAATTTTCTTTGGTATGTGGTTTTTCATTATCGATTCTATCCAATGTTGGTTTATTTGCATATGTAAACGCTTTACCACACATTTTGCATTTAGATGAAAGGATTAAATCGTGATAGTATTGAAGTCATCCATTGAAACATTATTTTTAGTATCCTTTCTGCTTTTTCATCTTGTTTCTTATATGATTCAATTTTATATTTCCAATACTTTTTCGTTAATTCAAAACTTGATTCCACATTTTCTTCTTCTGGATATGTTTCGTTAGGATTAAGTTCTTATATGCTAACGCGTAACGAATCATTGATGCATTCGATGATAAAGAAAGATTATGAAGCATATCAATTTTATAAACAAATGTTTCTTCAATAATTTTATCAATTGGGTCAATCATAATTTCAACATCTTTATTGCAATAATGAATAAAATATTCTAATCTATTCTTAAAATTTTTAGCATCATTGAGATATATTTGATAATCACTAATCGATATTGTTTCTTGTGTTAATGCTGAATAAAATGAATCTTTGAATGGTTCCTTTTTATATAATTCTTCTTCGTAATTTCCCATGTGATGAATTGATATGGGAAATGATTTAACACGTGTTTTATTGTTTCCGAAATCTTGAGTGAATTGGTCTAATGTTCCACCCGCTATATAATTTCTGATGTCAATAAATCTCAATTCATATGGAACGTTTGTTTTCTTTACAATGATTTGCTTAAATTGTGAAGAAGAACCCAGCATTGATTTTATTTCCATTTTGCAGTGTTTAAATCACGAAGAATTAAATTTAAATCAAACTTTCCCGAATTAAAACCTATGATATTCACTTTATTAAATTCTTCATCTAAAAGCTCTTTCATTGCTCCCTTTTGTTTCTCATTTAATGTATGGGACTTCAATAATTCTTCATATTGTTCAATATTTGATTTAGCAACTAATGAACAGGTTGAAAATAAAAATTCAATCCAATCAGAGATAAACGAATCACTTGATGTTAAGCAAAAATTCCTCGTAAATGTTTTATCATGGTCTACGACCTTGCCGCTTCGGTCTGAAAGACCTTCAGGACTCAAAGAGTCCGTTTGCGGCTTTATTTTGACAGTTGATGATACCATAAATGGTTTTAAGTAAGCGTTCAAAGTTGCACATTCAGAAAGTTGAAGTTCTTCTTTAGTCTCTAATGTTTCGAAGTCAAAAGTAATATAATATCTTGTTGGTTTATAATATTCCTGCAAATTATGTGCTAATAGCCATTGATATATCTTCTGTTTCGTGATATGTGGTGCATATGGTTGCTGTGTGTTTTGCAATTGTACGTCTTGAATTAATCTTCCATTATTTTCTTTACATTTCTCACAATGTTTTAAAAATCTTCTTTGGTTTTTCCTTTCTGGATCATCACGGATAGAATATACTTCTTCTTTGCAAAAGGGGCAAACTTTATATCCTGTGAGTGCTTCAACGTCTGTTATTCTGTCAGCGTGAAGTTTTCCACATGGACTCTGTGTTAATAAAATATTTACTGTTTCAAATTCTGGATCTATCATTATTGATTCCACTAATGGAAAGTCTACCTTGTTAATGTCTACGTCTTCTGGTTGAGGGTCACAATAATAAAAATCAATATTAACGTTTAACATTCTTGCTAACCTCTCACTTTCTGATGAAATGTCAAATCCTTCATATGCATCTATGGCTTCATTTAAATAACTTCTACGAGTTTTAGGATTAACACCATCAGGAATGTTATAGAAGCGTTTAAATAACCTTCTACCTTCGGCTCTTATTTGATTATCATTCATTTTAGCTGTTCCGTTTTTGTTCATTTATGTAAGAATAAAAAATTAGAATATAAAAATAAAGTTTATTTTTTTAAAGTCCGAGACTCAGAGAGTCCAGGGCTAAAGTCCATAAAATGAATTAAGAACACACAAATTTTTATCATCTGCAACGTGACGAATACATTTTAATTTACTCAAGAATGTGTACCCTGATACGTTAAATCTAATTCCTGTCTTATTTAATTTCACAACTTTGAAAAGGAATGTGTGAATAGCTATGAAATGATGACGAGATGATTTATGTGTTGCTTCCATTTTTTCTGAAATAAATGAATAAATATAATGTTTATAGGTTTTCATATCTTTTATGTTCTTAATAACGAATGGAATAGATCTTTCCACTTCGTCCTCCTTCGGAGCTGTTCTTTCATATGAAACATCAACGGTATCTTCAACAATGAAACCGCAATCACATAAAATTTTATATGTACCAATTGTTTCTTTTGATATTTTATCTAATAAATCAAAAACTTTATCAACACCTGTACATTTATTTAAATAATAATTTGTGTAAATATCATGGTCTTCTTTCTTAATCGTATTTGTTGCATATGTTACATTTTTCAGTGCTTTTTTGAATTTTTCAGAATCAAGAGGAGGTGAAAGTAATATACATGGATAATCTCCATCGTCAATAAACTGAAGCTTATGTTTATGAATAAATTTTGTGCCTTCTTCTGAAAGTGTTTCGTCAATATCACCATCTAATAAATTTTTAGTTGATTCCAAAAAGTAATTTTTATATCTTTCCTCATGTGATTTTTGAACTTCTGATTCTGAAGCTGGGATATTCATTAAACCCTCTACTTCATTCTCATTATATTTTTCAACTTCTCTTAATTCCTTAATTTTTTCATTTATTTCATCTCTTATTTTTTTCAGTCTTTCAATTTCAATTTCATCATATTCATCATCTTTAATTCGTTCTTCATAATATTCAGGGAAAACATCAGGTTCTTTAGGTTTTTCTTTTTCTTTAGATGTGGGATATAAGAAATTTATAACATCATCTTTATTCATTTTTCCATCATAATCAAATTCATTTAAAAACTCCGCGAATTTTTGACAATTTCTTAAATAATATTTATTAACTTCATAACCTGCCTCCTCTAATATATCCTTTATTTCCTCATTTGTGAATCCTGAATATCTAACATCGTTAGTTTTGACACTCATTTTCTTACGAATTAAAAATATTTTTTTCAAAATGCAGATAAATTTTAACATGTTCGAATGAAATTATTATAAAATATATTCTTTTTATTAATGGTAATATAGGAATTGTAGGAATAAAAACTTTTTATAAATTATTCATAAATTTTTAAAATCGGTTTCATACAAAATAAAAATAAATTTTCATAAATGTAAGACATGAATTTTTAATGGTTTATTTTTTTAAAAAAATTTTTATTTCATTATGGTAGTGAATCTTTTATTCATGAAAATAATTATTTCTAATTTCTTTTACTCTCTCGTATATACTAGATTTAAAGAATTCAGAACATTTCCCATAATCTCCTAAATGTTTTCTTATCTTATTGGTTTTCCATTCATTATATGAAACTGTATAAACTTTATCTTTATCTTTGCATCTTTCATCACTTCCAATATATTTATATTTCAATTTTGATTTATTGGTTTCATATTCATTAACGTTTAATAATTCACAATCTTCCTTTTTAAATAAATGTTTTATGTATTCAGGATTAACAATTCTATAATATTGCTTCCCTTTAAATCTTTGAATATAAACAGGAACACCATCCTCTAAAATTCGATAATCTATTTTATCTGGTTTTACTTGTTGGGTCATTTATGTAAGAATAAAAAAATAAATTATTTTAAAATTAATATGTTAAAAAAATGATACAAAATCGCTCGATATTGTATGAATTCTTACGTTTACAAAAAAAGTCACAAAGCCCATCATATCCTACTACTAATTCCCGATTACACAAGTTTCGTTATAATTACACATTCAAGTAGGATTGAAACTTAATATTCTCATGTAATAGTTTTCTCCGATGTATTCAAATTTTAATATTAATATTAATATTCTATGAGAATGAACTCGATGAACTCTTAAATGCATTAACCTCTTACAAGCTTATACAATTTAAATAAAACAATTATAGCACAATGTGAAGTTATCGCTGAAATTCAATATGTAAATTATCCGAATTTAATGACACTCATGATGCTAAATGTATGCTGAAAGTAAATAATGATGAAGAGTTGATTTTTTTCCTCCCAAAAATGGTACGACACCGTTTCATTATGCAACAATGAATAAATTATAAAAATTCCAAAATTGTTTATTTCGGCCGTAGAACCAAAGTATCTAAGGAATTATCTTAAAATCGTAATAACATCAATACGCACAGTTTATCATATAAATTGATAAAAATTGAATTAGATGCAGATTAACATTATCCACAAACATCATATTGCAATTATTTAGATATTGATCTGGATCTGAATCCTCAAAAGTGCTACCTCATTGATTTTCTAATGTATGAGGATAAATTTTATTTGTTATTTAAACAATTGCTATCAGAAACATTAACATTGAATTACAAATCCAATAAAATATTCAATATGTCTCATATACAGCTTTTAAATCATATTGAGTTTGAGATCGATTTTAGATTAAAATTTAATTTTTGATGAAAATAGTATGACTCAACTTTACCAAGGATGTGAATTCTACTATATCATTGAATACCCTTGAAAAATACAATGAAAAGATACGATTCAGATTCATCGAATTTAATATGCGATAGCTAAAATTGACATGTGATATCATGCTATTAACCGAATCAGATGAATTAAGCTTAATTTTGCTGTTTTTGAAATTCAACCTCTGACGATTTCTCTATCCAGAATTGATTTTGCAAGGAATAAAATCTGAGTAATAATCGGTCTATTAAAAAAGCGATTATGAAAGAGTTTTACGATCTTTCATAAATTATAAAAATAAAAAAGAAATAGAGTTTCTCATGAAGTATAACATATTTCCAATTTTCACATTTTTTATCTGGGATAAAAAACATGTGAAATCATTTTAATTATTTTATGTTTGGTCATTCTTCTTCTACTATGCCTTAATAATTTAATAGATTATTTTTCAAAGATGAACTGAAAATTTTGTGAGATCTGTATACAAAATTGTGTGCGATTTGAATTACATGCATCATCATTTGGCCATTTTAAATTGTTATCATAGCAATATATATCAATGAATTTCATCAGTAATTTATTACAAGAAAATTTTGACGGTTGTTTCAACGATAATTTTTTTTTCTTGGCATTTATTCATAATTTTTTCGTATATGGGCAAAAACTGGACCGCTACCGAGGACATGGAACTAATGAGGCTTGTCCGCAAGTACGGACGCCAGTGGAATGTTATTGCAAGCCATATGAAAGACAGAACTGCCAGCCAAGTTTTGGCTAGGTGGGAAAAATGCCTCGACCCTATAATCGTCAAGGGGCCATTTACCGAGGCTGAAGACGACTTAATCAGAGAGTATGTCAAGGAGAATGGACCACAGAATTGGCCAAGAATTACGTCATTTTTACCAAACAGAAGTCCGAAGCAATGTCGCGAAAGATGGTTCAATCACTTGGATCCAGCCGTCGTGAAGCATGCTTGGACACCAGAAGAAGATGAGACAATTTTCCGCAATTATCTCAAACTCGGATCAAAGTGGTCAGTGATTGCCAAACTAATCCCCGGCCGTACAGACAATGCCATCAAGAATAGATGGAATTCATCCATTTCAAAGAGGATTTCAACGAATTCAAATCACAAAGAGATCCTTCTCCCTGATCGTTCAAAGAAGCGTAAGGCTGCTGATGTCCCAAAGAAAATCATTACAAAATTTGATACTCCGACAGATGTACCATTTGAACCATTTTCCGAATCTACTTTACTGTCACCGAGCCGTTTGAACTCGCCAGCACCACCAATCCCTGGCTTCAATTCGACTCCAGGCGCATTCGGGGGCTTGATCACTCCCATTGCGCTTGACAATTCACCGGTTGCAAACTTGCAATGCGTTGCTTTTGCTAAATTTTAAACAAAAACATTTGACTTACTGATAATTAAAGATAAAAGTATAATTTTTTCACTCTTTTCTGTATTTTTCCGACGAAAAAAAGTTGATGAATATTAAAAATGGATATGCAATTAAAAATAAGATTTAGCGATTCTGCAGCATAGATATAAATATCTTGCACATAATGGCTCGTATAACAAAACAATTAACTATATATGCATGTTTCGACTTGAATAAGCATCGCTAGTAATTATACGAAGGTAATATTCGCATCTATGGTACCTATGGCAAATGTTGTTAACATAAGATAGAATCAAGAGCGAAGAAATCGAAAAATTGTAAATCTTCATTTTTGGATGGGATCGTAGTATTTGGTCATAATTTGAAGAAACAAGATTGAATTAAATGCAATTCAATTAATGTTATCTTTAAAACATGTTTGCTTCAAAAAAACGAAGTAATGCAATTTGCTTAAAAGCGCTCAAAAGCTTCAAATGCAGCAAACATTTTGCAAATCATTGCAAGAGATTGTTGTTTTGTAGATTATAAGAAAGTTTATTACGTTCAATCAATAATGGGGAGATGTTTTTCACTTTATCATCGCCGAGATTAGATCTTGCATTGATTTATCGAATGTAGTGTTAGGATATGTCGGACATCTGTAATTGATTCATTATTTTCCCGAACATTCAATTTGAATTTTAGATGATATGCGTAATAACTGAAATAGTGAGAATACTAATAGTTGCTGATACAGAGAACATAATTCATGACATGTAGATGCTGATGGGAAACATTTGATAATAAATTTTGATAAATCCCGAAATTTTAAACGTACATTTTTCGTAGTTGAAGATAGTGAATATTAATTCACTAACTATAAATATTCGTAAACAAAATATTTGAAATGCTCTCTATCTCAAAATGAAAAATTTCAAATCTCACAGTCCAATAAATACAAAATTGAGGTATATTTCAACATAACAATTATTATAGGTTCTGTATTGAGTTTTTAATTAATACTTATTTTTTTTATTTGAAATTTTGAATGAAAAATAATCATAAATCTTCAATAAATTCAGAAAAATGAAAGACCGCAAATCACCACAAATAACATTTACTGACAAATCTATATAATTGTAGGCATTGCTTAATAAATTAGAATACATAGATTATCAATCCAATGGTTCTCTAATTTTCACAATCAATATTCAACTCCATTTTTCTTAAATTATATAACTCCTTCTCTATTATCATTAACACAGGAAATTTGATAAAAAACACGTCATAAAAAGATTTTTATTGATAGAAGAAGTTTAAATTGTAAATTTGAGGATTTTTCAATTTGTACTCACTGTGCTATTCCCCAAACCAATTTTTTTGAAACGAGTCAAAAATTCATATTTTATAAAAAGTATAAATAATATATAGATTTTTAAAGAGGAACATAATAGTTATATTTAATCGTTAAACTACGACTTCACTCAATCTCTGAAAAAAGGTGAAGTGACAAGTCAAAGCTTTTAATCAAGACTAATACTTTTCATTTATTTATATTTTGATTAAATATTCATCAAATTACACGTTATTAAAAATTTTAATTTGTGAAGAAGAAAAAACGTGCTTTTAACAAAAAATATTGGCCCATATTTTTCTATGTGACATGTGTTATAAAATAAAAAATTTACATTGATGAAAATTTCAATTGAAAGCGACAAATAACTCCAATGTCTAATAACTCATGTATTCCATGCTCATTTTCTCAATTTCAGGATGCCATTAATATTATTTGGTCTTTGAATGAAAATAACTTTGATTTAGTGATCAAAAAAACAATAGAACACCTCGACAATAAAGTTGTTAATTCAATTGACGTTTTTAATGCATTAATCAGCTTGTACCATGTAAAGATCCATCTTTTACAGTCTATATTCAATGTTATATCTCACATTTCCAAAATCTTTGAAATGAAAAATTTAAATCTCAATATTGAAGACTCCCCATTAAAAAGCATGCTTATCCAAGCCAATATATTAGAAAGCACAAATAATGATGAATACCACACTCTTAGAGACTTCAAAATGAGCATTCCATCGCTTAATCCAATCAATTTTTCATTAATCAACGATGATTTCTTACAATTCATAAAATACACAGATGACGTTTCAAACTACGATTCTCAGTTAGTGAATGTGCAATATGAAAAGAACCCTTACTTATCTCTGCTTGATGCAGCTGCGTTTTATGGTTCCTTTAAAATTTTTACATATCTTTTCAAACCATTTAGAATTACAAAACAAACATTTTGTTTGGCATGCTTTGGAGGTAACATAAACATTGTGCGCCTTCTATTAGAACACAAAAACAAATTTTCTATTGATTCAAATTGTATCGAAAATGCAATAATTAATCATCATGATAATGTTGCAGATTATTTACTTTCAAAATTTAACCTTACTTATTCATGGTCTTCTACATTATCGACAAATAATTTATATTTCTTCTTCAAGAAATTGAGAGAATCAAATAATATAAATGAATTTGATGACAATGATGAAAATGCTATTCTTTGCTGCGCAAGATACGATAATAAAAATTTAATGAAATATTTAATTTCTATTGGTGCAAACATTGAATCAGTGGATAAGTCAAAGAGAACACCACTTATAGTAGCCGCAGACGTGGGTAATTATAAGATAATCAAATGCCTACTAAAGAATGGAGCAAATATCAATAAAAAGACGGCATCTGGATCAACAGCACTTCTGAGAAGCTGCTATTCAGGAAATGTAAACTGTTGCAAAATATTACTTGAGAAAGGTGCCAACACAGAAATTAAAAATGATTATGGAATGACACCTTTGCTTATTGCATGTTCTCATAATTATGAAGATATAATAGAGATGCTTCTCAACTATAATGCATGTTTTGTTACTGTGGATAACGGTGGAAGGAATTGTTTGGAAATTTGCATTAAAAATAATAATTTAAAGTGCTTGCAAGCGTTACTTAACCACAAAGCAAATCCAAATATTGCCAATTCAAATGGTTTAACGCCTTTACAACTTGCTGCAAAACTTGGAAATTCCAACATTGTAAAAGCTCTTCTAAAGTCAAAGGCAAATCCATATACAAAGGATCCAAATGGGAAAACCGCCAGAGAAATTGCAGATGAACTCGGTTTTGATCACATTGTTCATGTTTTAGATCATGAAACCAAAAATATTTGCCTAGTTCAAAAATTAAGGATATCTTCATCATTCAGAAACTTATACGACTTTAATAACTATTTTTTATCAGAAATTGTTTAATTCTGATTCAAAATTATTGGAAAAATATATGAATTAATACTTTTTGTTAGTAAAATTTATTTATACTTCTACTTATATTTCTTATAACATCAAGCACTGGGCAAGATATTGAGAATTTTAACAAAATATCGATAAAATATTGTTAAAATGAAGAAATAATCTATATTACAATGTTTTAAACACATATATATAATACTTTGAGTCCTGGACCATTTACACCAGGTTAATTTATCCATGGTTTTTGAAAATGTTGATAAATAAAACTTCGGTAACTTTAATGCACTTATAAACAATATCTCTTGTACATGTGATCACTATTTTAGCCATAATTGATATTTTATTGCAGTCAAAGTATGGAGATTTTATTCAGCCATTTATAAAGACGTGCTTATTCAAATTTTGAATTGATTTATGAAATGTAACGGACAAATAAATAAATGAAATAAACGATAAAAAATCCGATTTTATTGTATTTATATAATTGATAGGCATGCTAGAATATAATATTCCTTATCAATTTTTCAAATTGAAATAAACTCACTGATTGCAGAAAATGATCATTAATCATAATCAAACAAAATCTAAAAGTCCGAAGACCGTAAGGAAATTTTCGATTTTGAAAAAGTCGATCTCAATTATACATAAATGTTCCAATACGTCAACTATTCGCTGGAACAGATTATGCAACCGACAATTGGTGTTCCACAGCAAGTAACTATTGGTGGGATGACAGTAACAATCAAAAAGAAATTTGCAGAAGGTGGTTTTGCACAATTATATAGTTGCCGTGATGCTGCCAACGTAAAGTATGCAATAAAATACGTCTGTTCAAGTACATATGACGCATTTAATGCAGTGATACAAGAATTTAACTATCAGAAAGCTCTTTCAAAAAATCCCAACATTGTAAAAGTTTATGGCATGCTTGCAAACCAACGAGAATTGAAATCTCTCATATTAATGGAGTTTTGTGACAAAACTCTTGTTGATTTGCTAAATAAAAACTTTAAAAAATCACTTACAAACCAAACTATTCTTGGAATCTTTATTCCAATCTGTGAGGCAATGAAATGGATGCATTGCCAACCAAAGCCTCTGATCCATAGAGATATCAAAGTCGAAAACGTGCTCCAAAAGGATGGTCAGTGGAAATTATGTGATTTCGGCTCAACAACAGATACACCGTTGCTCGGATCCGAAATAAATGATAGTACAAAATCCATTATCGAAAAGTATACAACACCAAATTACAGAGCTCCAGAAGCTATCGACTTATTTAGGCACCAAGACATAAATACTAAATACGATATCTGGTCATTAGGATGCTTACTTTTCAAATTATGTACTTATAAGGATGCATTTAACGCTTCAGAGTCACTTGGCATATTAAATGCCAGAGTAAACTATCCGAATGATCCAATCGTCGATATTGCCATGAAAACACTCATCAAATACATTTTGAATCCAGATCCTGTGTCGCGACCTACAATTGATGATGTTTTAGCAAAATCTTACGATTTATTCCCGAATTTAGTTAGCCCAAAGTACAAATCCAAGGCTGTTAAGCAACCATCATTCGATCCTTTCGCACAAATGAATCAATCTGAGAAGAAACCAGAGATTAAAATTTCCAGATCGTCTTCTGAGCATAATATTGACGATCTTGACTTCGACGATGACGAAGATGACAAGCCACAACAAGCTAATAACACTAAAAAGTCCAGTAAAGAGAAGAAACATCATCACCATCATCATTCAAAGAAATCTGAGAAACATTCTGGATCATTGAGTGATGGACTTAGTTCTGGATCATCAAATGATCCATTTGCGGCAGCAAATTCATCAGATCCTTTCAATCCAAATCAATCTGACCCGTTTGCTCAAAATTCCAATGATCCATTCGCTCAGAGCTCCAATGATCCATTTGCTCCAAAGCAAAATGATCCTTTCGCACCTCAACAGCAAGATCCATTTGCAATTCCACAACAAGACCCATTTGCCGCTGCGTCATCATCAGATCCATTTGCTGTACCCCAAGGAACAAAGTTTGATCCATTCGCGGCCCAACCAAATCCATTTGCTCCAAGAAATGATCCATTTGCCACTTCACCTGGCCAATTTGGAGTTCCATCGTCTCAATCTGATCCATTTGCCAATAGTTCCCTTTCTGACGAATTAATTCCTCATATTGATGCTCATTTACTCGAAACAGACCAGAAAGAGCTTGAACGCCAACTATTGATGCAGGATGACTTTGAAATAGCTTCATCTGTTACTTCCCTTTACAACCAGGCTCCAAATGCAACAATTTTATTCCTATTTACAATTCTTCCTAGAACAGGATCGAAAGCTCGGGCTATATTTAGCGGTGTTAATCCAGCTCTTGTTGATGAACAGCTTGGAGAGATCATTACTATGCTTAAATCATTGTATGACGAAATTCCTGGATTAAAAGGTGACTTTTCAATGGAAACAAAGGATACTAAATGGGCACAACCATTACTAACCCTTGTTGATGTTGTCTGCCAGCTCGTAAACCAAAGATTCATTGAAGAACTTGCTTATATTATTGTTGGGGCTTATAACGGTGTATTGATGATTCATAAGAATACATATAATATTAACATTAAGCTTAGACTTAAAATGTCAGCTGATAATGTCACAGCTGCATTAGAAAAACTCGGATCAAATCTAACAATTGAATATCCATAATATATTTTTATTTATATTTTAAAATGTGATTTACTTGTTTAATTTTACTATTTTTTATAGTCATTCATCTTAATTTGATGTTAATTTTTCAATTTGTTATTCCTTCATAGTTATTTGATATTTTCAATAATGTTATACATTTCGCATACTGAAAATGAATGGTTTCATGAAAGTATTTTTATTCAAACAACAAACAAATAATTATTCATTAGCCTAAGTAAGGCATGCGGTGGAAACAGTATTGTAAATAACCAAATTATAATAATGCTAAAAGAAAAATAATATAATACCTCAAAAGGTGATGCATATTTGATAACATTTTGGAAAATCATTCGAAACCGCATCAAATTATATTAAATGGTCAGGATATGATTATATAAGTTATAGGTAAAGCAAAGAGTTCATCATGGACGCAATCACATGCTTGTTTTACCTCTCCGCTTTTTAATTGGTTGAACGTCAATTATTGGCTGCTTCGGTTGTTGTGGCTGCATTGCAATGGGTGGAGTAGGGATTGGTTGCATAGGAATAGGATCTGGAAATACAAGACTTTCAAACTTTGATAAACTTGGAGATCTCCTAACAAATTCTCTCTGAGAATTAATATTTAAATTTAGACTATTGAGTATGTCAACAGGTGAATAAAATGAAGGATGCTGTTCTGCACTAATTTCTAAAGTTTTTTGATCAAGTGATAATTCCGAGACTCCTCTATCATTAGGAAACTCAACGAATATAGCAGGCAACTGAACAGATCCTGATGGTCTAATCTTTGTTTTATTTCTTTCAAGAAGAGCTCTATATAATAAATATGCCTTGAGTTTTCTAGCAACTGCCTCTTGTAACATATCACACTTTTCTGATAAATCTTCTTTTTCAGGGATTTCTTGTGGAGGATTGAATGAAATTGAACTTTGAACGTACTTAATGTTTTTTGCTTCTTTTGTGATTAAACCTGCGGCTAAAAATACATTTAAAACATCATAAACTCTTCTTCTAGTTGTCTTTTCATTACTATATTCATCATTACCGTTGCATTCTTTGATTATTTGATCAGCGACTTCTGAAAAAGTAGTGGTTTGATGGGTACGTATGATATTTAATATTTTAGCTGACATATTATTTAGTGATGCAGGTGATGATCTCGTTCCGGAACTATCAGAAAGCATTGATTGCTATTCAACGAATTTGAAAAAATAAACGTCCACTTTTTAGATGCGAAAATTTGGTACACATAATAAGCACACAATAACAAGTATATTTATCTTTCATCCTTCAATCGAATTCAATTTTTTGAATGAAGGGAAATTATAATTTGACCGAATAAAATCTATCGTTTTATTCAATTTTCGTTCTGTGGAAAAAATAAACACTAAAAACAAATACAGGTAAAGTACAAACAAAGTTTAGTTCAGCTTGAATTACTAAGGAGAGATTGATAAATCTTCCATGTTTCCGATAACAATGGATCAATAACTACCTCAGGCTTTATAATTGGTTTGATCTCAGGTTTAAGTGATTCAAAGAGCCAATATACGATGCCTGGCAAGTAAGAAGCTGCATTGAGCAAAACTGTTTTAATAGTTGATGATCTCGTTGAATTAACAGCCTGTGAATAGTCTGTAAATGCGCTAAGTGTTGATTCTAAAGCATTGTTCGTTTCGACTAATTGATCATATAGTTTTTGATTATGTTTTGCATTAAAGTTTACAATAGATTCATTAAATCTATTTGCAGAGGACTGAAGAGCAATAGCATTATCGATGAGAATTTGCGATTCTCCTAATTTTGTGCGATGTGGTGTAAAGCAATCTTTTGCTGCCAGGATGGCATTGTTCAAAACAAGCCGGGTTTGCTTTAATGGACCTTCCACGGATGGGACAATAGAAGTATTAGTCATATTGTTTCTTCTGGCAGGGCTTAATTCCATCTCAAATTATAAATTTGTAAATAAAAAACGACCAGATAGTCACTTTTCCTTTCAATTTTATTTATTGTTTATTTTATTTCAAAAATTGAATTATTTAATGATCGTTCACAGATGGAAAATATTTGAAAAATAACCATGAACATCATACAAGGATCATTTTTAATTTTCATTCGGTTCTCTTCACATCTCAGATGAATATAATCAAAAATAAGTTTTCATAATGAATTCATACTAACAAATTCTATAATAATTAAAGTGCGCAATTTCCTAAGCAAAAACTATGTTTCTATGAAATTCAGAATGTAATCTATCTATTTTGGATGTTTCCCATCAGATAACCATTAAGAAATTTTTATATAATAATTTATTTAGGGAATGGAGATTCAAATATCCAAATCGAAAGTCAAATTATATTATTATCTATTACTTTAGACCAGAAATATAATTTTTCTCTATTACATCAAAATAAATACTTAAAATTAGTGAGAAATATGAAAAAGGTCCATAAAATAATAAACTTTTGATTGATTTCATGTGCATTACTATTTTGACTCGATGAAATGCTGACATTCATCAACATATTTATGTTCCATGATTTTTTCGAATTATGCTGTGTTTTGCATATCTTCTCAAATTTATGCCTAGAGTTGTTATATTTCTCCTTATTAAATCTTTTATGATTATACATATGATCTAGAATCTCAATCTTAAACACTGCTGTGGTTGGACAGTTCCAACAAATCAAAATGCATGCGCTTTCACAATGATTCTATTCTTTTTATTACAATACGAAGATCCATCAACAGGAGTCGAATATGACTCGAATGGAAGAAGATCTATTATCAGTACTCCAACAAAATTAACAAATTTTGTGGTTCCTTCTTCTGTTGAATATATCAAAGGAGGTGATTCTTCTAAGAAAAGTTCTTTCTTCAATTGTCGATCTTCTATTGTATCTGTCGTTTTCGAGACAGGATCAAAACTTTCTAATATCGATGAATGGGTTTTCGCCGATAGTTCTTTGCAAACAATTGATATGGAAGCTTGCACAGAATTAGAGCAGTTGAGTAGAGGTCTTTTCCAAAATGCAGCAAAATTATCGAGTATTAAATTTCCTAAAAATTTAAAAAGACTTAGGGCAGGGTGTTTCTATTTATGTAGCTCTCTCAAAGCAGTTACATTCCCTGATTCACTAGAAAGAATTGATGCATATGAAGGTGGTTTCAATCGAATGTTCTTTAAACAACTTGAATCTGTTTCAATTAGCAGGGAATCAAATTTAACAGCAATTTATGCTGATGCATTTATGGATTCCAAACTGAAATATTTTTATATCCCTTCAAAATTAACAACAATAACTCCTTCTGCATTTTCTAACGTCCCAATAGAACGGTTTGAAATAGATGATAGAAATCCTGTATTTAAAACAGATGGAAAAGTTATTTTTGCTAATTCTAATAATGTTACTTTATTTTTAGTATCTTCCGCAGTATCTGGAACCTTCCAAGTCCCTTCTTTTGTCACAAAAATAAGTTCTCATTGTTTTCGAGGTGGTTCCGTTCAAAAGATAATATTACATAACAAAATCACTAAAATTGACAATTGGGCCTTCGCTTCTACAGACATAGTTCAGTTTGATTATGTTTCAAGTATAACAACCATAGAACATTCAACTTTTAAATATGCTGCACTACTTGAAACTGTAAATTTGTCGGATACGATTATATCAATTGGAGAAAGTGCATTTTACTCATGTCACAAGCTTAAAAATATAGTGTTACCGTCTAGATTACAAAAAATTGATAATCTTGCTTTTGGAAATTGTGAATCATTAACAAAACTAATTTTACCAGGTACTGTAACTTCCATGGGCCAGTCTGTTTTCACAAATTGCTTGCCAACTTTCGAGTTGGATTGCACACAAAACGATAATTTTTATCTCGACAACGGAATGTTCTTCATTGATTCAAGACACACATTGTCCGAATACTTCGGTAATAGTAACCGAACGGATATTTCAATTCCTCCTGAATGCACATCTATTGCCTTGTCTGTTTTTGAAAATTCAAACATAAGAAATGTTGTTTTCTCAAACAGTGCAGAGTTAAATGTTGGAAAAGGTGCTTTTTATTTATCTGAAGTTGCACATGTTACATTTCCTTCATCATTGAAATCATTAGGAGATTATTGCTTCAAGAATTGTAAACAATTAGAAACAATTATATTCCAAGGTAACTCTATAACGGAAATTCCTTCCGAATGTTTTTCAGGATGCACAAAACTAAGAGATTTCGTTCTTCCTAGCAGCATTGAAGTCATCAATATAAAGGCATTTCTTTCATGCACTTCAATAGGAGATGTTTTACTTGATAAAACAAATGTTCGAACAATTCTTGCTGAAGCTTTCAAAGATTCAGGTTTATCAAAAATTGCATTGCCTTCTACAGCAGAAACATTAGATTACAGCTGCTTCCAGAACACAAAAACAACAAGTTTCTCTGCAGCATGCAATATATCAATGTTTTGTCTAAAGAACTCTGTTTTATTGACAACAGTTACATTGAAACAATGTGTTGTAACAATTGGAGATAGCGCTTTTGAAGGTTGCACAGAACTAGAATCAGTAAGCCTTTCAGCTTCTGTTGAATCAATTCGATACTATGCGTTCCAGAGTTGTGCTGAATTATCAAAATTCAATATCGAACTTAACAGCAATCTTAACGAAATTTATGGCGGATGTTTCAACAATTGTCCAAATCTTGTAAATTTGGTACTTGACAGCCAAGAACGGAATTTGAGATTTTCGAATGGAGCTTTGACTGATTGGGCAGAAACAAAGATCATCTGTTTCTTACCTGGAAGCAATATTAACACATTCATTGTACCAACGAGTATGAGAACAATAGGAAACTATGCGTTCCAAGGTGCAGCGAGATTGACAAGAGTGTTATTCAATGGTAACCAAATCAATGATATTGGATACCAAGCTTTCAAAGGATGCACAAACCTTAACTTTCTGTTCTTTAACTCTCCAAGTCTAACTGTGTTAAATCCTTCAGCTTTTGAAGACTGTCCATCCCTTCAACAATGTGGAACTGTTTCTTGTCCAACGAGTCTCCAAAGTCTCTTTAAAGCTGCAAAATTTAAAGAAATCTGCTTTAAAGTCGACTGTCCAATGAAGAATGAGTGTACTGTTATGTGCAGGCTAACATAATTACCTCCTGTAGCTGTATTCATAGCAATGCTATTATAAATGAATAAAAGAGATTTTTAAAGAATATCTTAATTATTATTTCTAGGTATTAATATATTAATAAAACAAAATATAAAAGGATGAGATAAGATATTTTTTAATCATTGTAAAATTAAGAAATAACTTTAGATCGAATATAATTCATCATTATATTACTCTGAATACATTCGATATTTAGTGGTGCGGGCCTCCATGTGGACCTTGTGGGCCGCCGTGCTGACCACCTTGTGGACCTCCGTGTGGACCTTGATGTGACATTCTAAAAATGAAGTGATAAATTTTGTGTGCAAGTTTTTTTTTATTTCAAATAAAAAATTGCCTTAACTTGCTTTCAATTCCTATACAAAATGCCTTATCATAATTCTGAATACAATTTAACAAATGAAGTCTTCAAACAACACATGAACATGTTTGATTAATTTGTCAAATATTAAACCCTTTTCAATCAAGATTTTTGAAAGAAAATGTTTGACAAAAATTTCAATCAAAACCTTTCAAATTCAATAAAATCAAAAACGTGTATTTTAATGTCTAATGATGATTTTATGATTATTTTAAGTTTCACATCTGATGGATCGGTTTCAATACTTGGCGTCAAATGCCTTACTTTTGTTGAATATTCGATTATTGTATGAAATTATGTGAGGTGATTTTCTGGTTTTGATTGTTGTAATAGTTGTTCAGCCTTACTGTACTCTGTACTTGTGATTATCGTAATATCACACATCAACCTGATTTTCGGGCAATAGAAGTTGAATGATTAAAATCAGGTCGGAATGTAAATATTTATTTGGTTCTTATTGCATTTTGAGAGATTTGAAGTTTACATTCTGGTTCTAAAATACTTTGTAATAGAATGTATTAAAAAAAATATTATTATTATTATTTCTCTTTACTTAAGAAGGCATTTAACTAATTGGTTGGAAGACTGTCTTGTCACCTGCCTTTGGTAATTTCATACGAATGATAATGAAACCAACAACAAAGAGAATGATTAAGAGAACGACAATTACAATCAAAACTATCTCAGCAACTGAGAGGCCGATGATGTGTCTTGCGTTCAATTCACCTGGGACTTTAGTGCTGCATGACTTGAGAGCAGCTTTACCCAACAAATCACCATATGGATATTTATCTGTGACATAAGCGTTTGTTAAGATTGGATTTGAAGCTTCTGGTGATGATTGTGAATAAACGAATCCATCATAGCAAACTGTGTAAAGATATGTATCAGCATTGAAAGCAGTTGGATCAATTGAAACAACAGATGCTGGAATCTTGATGACAGTTGTTCCAATACTCTTCTGGTAGAGGGTGGTTTTGCCGACAGTAGCTGCCTCAATCCATGGGCGGATTGAATTTGCACCGATCTTCTTTACATCCTTTGGAATTGTGTATGTCTTTGATAACTTTCCGAATGTTAAGACCAAGTTTCCAGAATACTTGTCAATTAAGCAATTTCCGGATACTGTGAAGAAGACACTGTTCTTCTCAACCTTGAGACTGACATCAGCAGTATCGAAGACTGTTGGATCAACAGACATTACAGTAGCTGGAATTGTCAACTTAGAAATTCCAGAGTATGCGAAACATCCAGCATCGAGTGTCATCAAATTCTTTCCGAAAGTAACCTTAGATAACTTCTTTGCATTATTGAAGACATTGCTAACAACTAATATGAGTTTTGGTGGGTAAACAACTGACTTGAGACCAGTATCACTGAATGCGTACTCTCCAAGTTCCTCGACATTATCAATTTTAACAGATGTCAAAGCTGTGCAAGCTACGAAACAGTTGCCTCCAATCTTTATGACGTTGCTTAAATCAATATCAGTGAGGGAAGTGCATTTTGCAAAGCAATATTCGCCTAACTCTGTTATCTGGGTGCTGAGAACGACCTTCTTTAAGTTTGTGCAGTTAAAGAGCAATCTTGCTGGCAATGAGTTTTTAAGTTTATTATCATTTGCTGTGTAGTTGAATGTAGTTAAGTTGAGACAGTTTTCGAATAGTCCTGCTGGAAGTTCAACGTAATGACTAATATTGACTGTCTTTAATTGTCTGCTCAAAACGAAAGCATCAGCAGAAATTTTCATTACTAACGGTGGGAATTCGAATTCAGTTGCCTTACTGCCAAATGCGTAGAGAGTTAACTTCATTGAGTCAAAGAAAACTCCATTATCATGAGACAAATCTTTGGCTGATTTTATATTGTAATCATATAACTGTTCACATCCAATGAATGGAGATAAACTTAAGGAGTCTCTATCAGTGGAGTTGAGAACAAGGGTCTTCAAATGCTTGCAGTTCATGAATGGAGCAGATCCCATTTGTGGAACAGAGCTGAGTGTAAGCTTTGTGATAAGTGTTTCGCCGAAAGCAAATGATCCGATCACTGTGCTGAATAACTCAATTTCTCCAGTGACCTTTGTCTTGTAGAATGCCAAGTTGCCAATCTGTGTTAACTTGTCATTGATCTTGAGTGTCTCAAGAGCAAAGCAATATGCGAAAGCATTATTTGGAACAGCATAGCTTCCTTCGATGGCGGTTACATCAACGGACTTCAATTTTTCGCAGCCTTCGAATGCTTGGGCACCGAAATTTGAAGAATAGAACTTCAATTCTGTGATTCCAAGGCATCCCATGAACGCTGAGGAACCAATTGTATATCCCTGGTAAATTGTTTTAATAACAACTTTGTCGCAATAGGCAAATGCAGAGTCGCCAATTGACATTGTCTGGTTAGGGAAATCAACTTCTAATTTGGCACATAACCAGAATGCTTCACCACCAATTGATGAAACATTGACAAGATTGAATTTTTCGAGACTTGAGCAGCGATAGAATGTTGCTTGTCCGACTGTTTCGAATGTTCCCTTGACTTCCTTCAACTTGAAACACTCGTAGAAGAGGTTGTCATCTAATCTAACCTTCTTTGATCCAAATGTTACAGTCTCCAAAATGTTGCATCCCTTGAAAGCACCATTTGTAAGTGTAACATTGTCTCCAATTGTTACTGTCTTGAGAAGTTCGTTGTGAGCGAATGCTTCCTTTCCAACAGTTAATGCATCAAAGTTTTCCAATTTGAGATCTGCGAACAATACGTGTTCGAAAGCATTGTCGCCAATTTGCTTTAATGATCTTGGTAAGGCAATCTCGCTGATGTTTGTGTTTCCGAAGGCGGCGTCGCCGATTTGCTGGAGGGTGGACTTATCAGCGAAGTTGACCTTTGTTAACTTTGTGCAGTAAACGAAGGCCCTTTCGCCAATAACTTGAACTGTGTTAGGGATTGTAATGGTTTGAAGATTTGCGCAATACATGAAGCAGCCTGTTTGGATCTGTGTAACACCAGAGCCTAATTCAACTTCTGTGAGACCTGTGTCCATAAATAATCCAGCTCCAAGCTCGGACTGGTTGAGCTTGATTTTATCGAGGCTGTGGCAATAGCGGAAGGCGAACTCACCAATAGTTTGGATGTGTGAGAGGTCAATTGTGGTAAGATTTGTGCCTTCGAAGCAACTGTTGCCGAGTTTTATGATATTCTCTGAGAGCTCAACTGTTGCGAGCTTACGGCAGTTCTTAAAGCAGTTTTCTGGAATTTCTGTAACTTTGGTGGCTGTGATCTTGATTGTTTTAAGTGTATCAATGTTTTCAAATGAGTAAAGCTCTATGATTTCATCACCAGTAATAATAATTGTATCAACATTCTTTTCAAGACAACGCTGTCTGATGAGACCGGTATCATTGATTTGGTCTAGAGTAGAAATGGTCATTTTATTTCCATCAATAGGAGCTTCATCACTATTAAACAATACATTTCGACGAAGTATTGAGCTAATTGCAATACTTGAATATAGCATTTAGTGAGTTTTAATAAAAGTGAAGTGATTTATTTCAAATCTGAAATTGAAGACGATATAAGGTCGCCAAAAAAAGTGCGGAAATTAAAAACCGCAGTTTGAGTACTTTCTGAGAGTCTGTTTGTCAGAAAGTATACATTTGTAAACTTTCTGACACTAAAATTTTTTTGGTCCTTTCAAAGTTTTTGACAATGTCAAAAAGTATACATCGGGGCTCACAATTTTCCTCTCAAACGGCGGTTTTTTAAAAACGCTCAATTTTTCATCGACCTTATATTCCTACGATATCGAATTTTCATAATATTATTAATTACTGCAAATATGCATTATATGATATGGATAAAATAAGGGCAAATTCGTCAATTTCTTTCAAAAATCGATATTTCATAGTTTTTCTATCGTATCATTGAAAAACAATTTTCTTATTATAAATAATACAATCTAATTTTACCATTTAATTAATTTCTGATATAAACCGTTTAATTGATTTTTTCAATATTGGGCAGCCAAATTATCCAGTGGGAATCATAATTTCGACTTGTGCTGAAGATAATAAACTGCAGATCCGAAAGTATTTCAATCATATATCTCAAATATTAAGCACTTTTTCAGATTAATCCCCAGAAAAGATGGCTAAAGTGTAAAAAGTTTTAATTTATTCTATTTTTTTGGAGGATCAATCGAGTGTAAGACGAATAACATATATAGTCATTTTATGACATCTTATTATGACCTAAAAATGCTGGAGAATCGAAATTCCGGGCCAAACGATTATTTTTGATTGAATTTTGAATGAAAGTCTAATCATATGATTATGAAAATAAATATAGTAGTGAACTATGAATCAAATGCATTCTTGTGAGATCAATGATGTAGGCTAGCATTTCATTAATGAATACTTGAAAAGAATTTAAAATCGAATGAATAATTTATCATATCAAATCTTTAGGATAAGATTCATCAATACCTGACGTAAATTTTTATTCAAGAATGTTTGAATGATAATATAAACAAAAAAAAATTATCTTAATTATTTCTTAATTCAATCATATCATTTCATTTATAAATGTATTTCTTTGAAAACATACAATTTTCATATGGCATAACATATATGTCTGATCCAAAACCAGTTTTAAATAAGAAAATTTCTAATAATGGAATACTAAAACAAGATTTGAAATGCACAAGCATTGTTGAACTTAAATTACCCGATGAATTACAGTTTTATCAGGATATTGATGATTTGATTCGCAACCAAACAGCAGAAAACATAGAAGAAACCTTCAACAAACTCAAAGGTATCACTGAGGTACGTGAAGATTTCATTTATTACATCTTTAACGTAATTCATTATTATACTTTTCTCAGAGCAGATGAACACAAGTATGATACTCTAGTAAACCTCCTATCTACAATTCAAAAGCCAGAATATGACAATAATTTCAGTACTCTCTTTGAAAGTGAAACAATATCAAAATCAATTCGTCATCAATTACGTGATGATAATATTGAAAGTGCAAAGCATCTCCAAGCAAATCGAGGGACGAAGAAATAGAAGGTTCTTGAAGCCTGCTGTCTTGATGGAAACGTAAATTGTCTAAAATACTTTCTTGAAAATGGCCGTGCGATAACTCCTAGCTTAAGCAGATGTGCTGCAATTGGTGGAAATATGGAAATTATCAAGATTCTAGAGGAGAAAGGTGTAAATTTTGATAATTGTTTAGAATGCGCAATTGCAGGCCATAATAATGAAGTTGCTGACTATTTAATGCAAAAGTATACATGCGAACCAATTGATGCTCAAATGTGTATCTTTTACTTTAACTTCAAAGCATTTTATTTTTGCGTCCAAAATTCATTAGACACTAAATCAGAGTTTAATTTATTTTTGGCAAAGGATATAAACAATATCTTGTGTTCATTGCATCTGATGCAAATTATTTTGATGGATTCAAAAGGCATTCGCGAAAATTCATGGAAGAGAAGGATTACGAACTAATTAAAGTATTGAAAAGAACAAACAATATTTCGGAAATGTATTCAGATTATGAAAAAGTAAAATTATATTCTAAACTTTGTAAAAAGCATGATTTGGAAACTGAGATTCTTGCTTTAGTCGAATCGAAAAAGAAAGAGGATTCTGATTATAGTTGATTATTGATATTATTATCTAGTTTTACTCTGCATGTGCTTAAAACAGCATATATCTGTTTACTTATAATTGATATCAAACAGATACATGGTTGCATAAAATAATTTCATAGATAAAATATACTGAAGATGAAAAAATAATTAAATTTATTATTATTTCTCTTTACTTAGAAAGTTATTTAATTAATTGATTGGAAGATTGTCTTGTCACCTGCCTTTGGTAATTTCATACGAATTAAAATGATTGAGACAATAAGGATGATGATCAGGAGAACAACTAGTACAATCAAAACAATCTCAGGAATGGATAGGCCGATGATGTGTCTTGCTCTATATTCACGTGGAAGTTTAGTGCTGCATGACTTAACAGAGGTAAGACCAAGTAATTTATGGTACGGATACTTATCTGTGACATAAGCATTTGTCAAAAGTGGTTGTGCAACGTCTTCTACTTCTGGCGAATAAACGAAACCATCATAGCAAACTGTGTAAAGGAATACATCAGGAAGGAATGCTTGCTTGTCGATTGAAATAACAGAATCAGGGATCTTGATGACAGGTGCTCCGAGATTCGTATTGTAGAATGAGATTGAGTTGACCTGTGCTGCGTCTGTCCATGCACGAATTGAAGTACCACCAATCTTCTTGACTTCCTTTGGAATTGTATATACCTTTGGTAAATTTCCGAATGTTAAAATTAAGTTTCCAGAATTCCTTTCGATTAAGCAATTTCCGGAGATTGTGAAGTATGGGTTATCCTTCTCAACTTTAAGACTGATATCAGCATAATCGAATGCTGATGGATCGATTGTCATAACTGAATTTGGAATTGTTAATTTGGAAATTCCTGAGTACTTGAAACAGTCTTCCTTGAATTCCTGAATTGAATTTGAAAATGTAACTTTAGATAATTTCTTTGTTGAGTTGAAAACACCTTGGGAAACGGCACTCAAAGCAGATGGATATACAATTGATTTAATTCCTGTGTTGCTGAATGGAATATACCAAGATTTTGGACATTTTGAATATTCACTGACTTCAATGATTGGCAATCTGCGAAACAGTTGTCGCCAATCACTTTAACATTGGCTAAATCGATATCTGATAATGAAGTGCAACCAGCAAAGCATGAAGCGCCTAATTCAGAATCATTCAGAACAAGTGTTTGAAGTTGCTTGCAATCTTTAAATGAACTTCCACCAAAGAGTATATATTGATTCATTGTAACCTTTGTGATGTGTGTTCCTTTAAACGCGTAATCTCCTACTGCAGTGCAGTATAAATCTAATTCGCCATCAATAATTGTTCCGACAAATACACCATCGGCTACAACACCAATTTTTTCGCTGCCTTTGAGTGTCTGAAGTTTAGAACAGTATGCAAAAGCATAATTTTGAATCATCAAGTCTTCGTTGTGACCAGTCAAATCAACAGATTTCAGATTTTCACATCCTTTAAAAGTTCTCTCGTAAATTGAATTTGTGCCAAAGAACTTTAAATCTGTTATTCCTTTGCAATCCATAAATGCGCCTTTGCTAATATAATATCCTTGATAAATTGTATTAATAACAACTTTGTCGCAATAGGCAAATGCGGATTCACCAATTTTCATTGTCTGGTTAGGGAATTCAACTACTAATTTGGAACACATCCAGAATGCTTCATCACCAATTGATGAAACATTGACAAGATTGAACTTCTCGAGACTTGAGCAGCGATAGAATGTTGACTTGCCAACTTTTTGGAATGTTCCCTTGACTTCCTTCAACTTGAAACACTCGTAGAAAAGGTTGTCATCTAATTCAATCGGCTTTGATCCAAATGTAACAGACTCCAAATTTGAACATCCTTCAAAGGATCCATCCAAGACGAAAACATCATCTCCAATTGTGACTGTCCTGAGTTCATCACAATAAGCAAATACTTTGCTTTAGGGATGCGTTAAACACGCCATTTGACCGGGCGTACATTTTTTTTGTTCGCCCAAAAATTTCGCCATTTGAGAAATTCAAAAATTAAAAATAAAATTTTAATCTTGATTTTTTTATTTTCGTGATTTTTTTGAAACTTACATAAGCGATGAAATACTTTTTTTAAGTAATCGTTTATTATATATAAATATATCTTAATAAATTTAATTCCTTAAGGTAGAGCGTGTTCAAATTTAAAATCTCATACAATATTTTCTTAATGGCGTATTTTTCTGAGGTCGCCCAAATAAAGGTGAATTCAAAATTGAGAACTCCAAGGCGTATGGCGAGTATTCAAAATGTACGCCACTTACAAAATATTGAATGTGGATTATCAATTTTTTGGCGTGTTCAATTTCAAATTTTGATATTTATGTTTATTTTATTCAGTATAATGCTAAGAATTAAAATATAAAATTCATAGAATTTTTTCTTTGAAAATATTTTACATTTTTATTAGACCACTCCTAAACTAGTCATCAGGTTATCCTCAGATCATCCTCAGACTACTCCTTATCAGATTACTCATCATCCTCAGACTACTCCTTAGACCCCTCCTCATCAGACTACTCCTCAGATTATCCTCAAACTCCTCAGATCTTCCTCCTGAGACTACTCTTCAGACTACTCCTTAGAGTCCTCCTCATCAGACTAGTCCTGAGACTAGTCCTCAGACTACTCCTGAAACTACTCCTCAGATTATCCTCAGACTCCTCCTCAGATTATCCTCAAACTCCTCCTCAGATTATCCTCAGACTAGTCCTCAGATTATCCTCAAACTACTCCTCAGATTATCCTCAGACTCCTCCTCAGATTATCCTCAAACTACTCCTCAGTCTAATCCTCAGATTCCTCCTCAGATTATCCTCAAACTACTCCTCAGTCTAATCCTCAGACTCCTCCTCAGATTATCCTCAAACTACTCCTCAAACTACTCCTCAAACTCCTCCTCAGATTATCCTCAAACTCCTCAGACTACTCCTCGGTCTAATCCTCAGACTCCTCCTCAGATTATCCTCAAACTCCTCAGACTACTCCTCAAACTACTCCTCAGATTATCCTCAGACTCCTCCTCAGATTATCCTCAGACTCCTCAGATTATCCTCAAACTCCTCAGACTCCTCAGATTATCCTCAAACTCCTCAGATTATCCTCAAACTCCTCAGACTACTCCTCAAACTCCTCAGATTATCCTCAAACTCCTCAGACTACTCCTCAAACTCCTCAGACTACTCCTCAAACTCCTCAGATTATCCTCAAACTCCTCAGATTATCCTCAAACTCCTCAGACTACTCCTCAAACTCCTCAGACTACTCCTCAAACTCCTCAGACTACTCCTCAAACTCCTCCTCAGATTATCCTCAAACTCCTCAGATTATCCTCAGACTCCTCAGATTATCCTCAAACTCCTCAGACTACTCCTCAAACTTCTCAGATTATCCTCAAACTCCTCAGACTACTCCTCAAACTCCTCAGACTACTCCTCAAACTTCTCAGATTATCCTCAAACTCCTCAGATTATCCTCAAACTCCTCAGACTACTCCTCAAACTCCTCAGATTATCCTCAAACTCCTCAGATTATCCTCAAACTCCTCAGACTACTCCTCAAACTCCTCAGATTATCCTCAAACTTCTCAGATTATCCTCAAACTCCTCAGATTATCCTCAAACTCCTCAGACTACTCCTCAAACTCCTCAGACTACTCCTCAAACTCCTCCTCAGATTATCCTCAGATTATCACTTTACATATATATATCGATAACTAAATAATTACTTATTATACTTTCTTTATTTTTTTTTAATTTTAAAATAATATTAATATCTCTTTCTACGTTTAATGATGAAAAGAGAAAGAGGAGTAAAAAGAGGAAAGAGAAAAGAAAGAGAGAGAGAGGAAAAAAAAGAGAAAGAAAGAAAAAAAGGACGGCGATAATTTTGTATTGTTTTGTTATTCGGCCGAATGGCGGGTACGAAGTACCCGCCATTCGGCCCCAAAAATGGCGTATTATTCTATTTTTAAACGGTCATGGCGTAAAATCGTCGCATCCCTACTTTGCTTGTGAGAACTAAATATTCATTAGTCAATTTAAGTTCCTTGACTTTTGTATGTGCGAAACAAGATATTTCAAGTTTAGTTAAATCGCTTGGGAAAACAATGCTGTTGATGTTTGTGTATTCAAATGCACCTTCTCCAATTAACTGCAGCTTTGATTGATCAGCAAATTTGACTGTTGTCAATTTTGAGCAATATTGGAATGAATATGGAGATATTTCAGTGATTTGGCTTGGAATTGTAATGGTTTCAAGATTCAAGCAATTCCTGAAAATTGCAATCGCGAATTGTGTAACGCCAGAACCAAATTCAACATCTTTAATTCCAGAGTTCGAAAAACTCTCGTAACCAAACTTAGACTGATTGAGTTTGATATGATGGAGATTGTAGCAATAACTAAAGGCATTACCATCTATTTCTATTACGTTTTTCAGATCAATACTGGAAATATTTGTATATATAAAGCAATTTTCTCCAATCTTTGTAATTTTATCTGAGAGTTCAACTGTCTCGAGTTTGAGGCAGTTCTTAAAGCAATTATCTGGTAACTCTGTGACTTGGGTGGCAGTAATCTTGAATGTTTTGAGAGTATCGATGTTTTCAAACGAATAAAGTGCTGTTATATTATCTCCAGAAACAACAATTGTATCAATGTTTTTAGCCAAAGCTTGTTTCCTTATTAAACCATATTCTTGTATATCAGATTGTTCAGTTATGGTCATAGTTGATCCATCATAATGAGGTTCGCTATGCAAAAATACGTTTCTACGCAGTAATGAGTTGATCACTACACGAGACGCAAGCATCTAATGAAAAAATGATCCGAAATATTATTTCAATACTATATGAAATCTAAAATCAAGAAATCAATATAAAAGAACTACTTTTAGCTTGAATTTTGATCATAAAAACTAAAATGGTCAGTTCATAGTCAGATCATTTGAGTACTTTCTGAAAAATTCTATTGAAGTAAAATATTATATATAATTATAATAGAATGTATTGATGAAAATTTTTGTTCAATTTTTTTAATCGTCTTTGAATATTTGAATATTGGAATTAAAATATTAATTGAAATGCTGCTTTGAACAAAATAAAAATTCTGTCGAAAATTTGAATAGCTCTCAATTTATTTTATATTTATCATTAAGGATAATGTAGCGAAGTTAATAACATATTAATTTGCGATCAATAAATTGAATCAATATTCAGATCAAATCACTTGAATTTGTTTGTCACTTTTATTTGAACCCACGATTTCATATCCTCGCCTGAAAACGAGAAGTTTTATGCGATATTAATATTTCGGAATGAATATGTTTAGGTAGTTGAACCGGTACAAAAGCTATTCACAAAAAAATATATGTCACTTTTTTGTTAATTGTTTCTAGAATAAAAAATGTTGCATTTTCCGCAGGCAAATATATTTTAAAACGTTTTATAATATAATAAAAACATAAATTTGGAAATCTAACAAGAATTTGAAACATTTTACATTAATTGGAGCAGTCGCTAAACAGCAATAATTGAAAGACTTGTTATTCATGCCAGATGATATGAGTGGATCAATAAGAGAAGAGTAGCAGTCAACACCACAAGATATTTTGGTGTCCATGAAAGCTGATCGCCCAATTGAAGGCTGACCATAAATTCTCACACTTTTAAGATTTTTCAAGCCTCTGAAAGCTTCAACTCCAATTTTTGTGACAGAAGGAGGTATAATAATCGATAGTAAATTCACAGCCTTTATTAATGCATAATCCTCTATAACTTTTGTTTCATTTCCAAGCGTAATAATTTGGACAGATTGATACTCAAGTTGAGGAATACTTTCCATTTCGATAGTAAGATTTCGCAAGTTTGGACAATTGTCAATGACATACAGATGAATTATGCTAATACTCTTTGGAATTCTCAGGTAAATAAGATCATACATATGATGGAAGCAACCATATTCTAGTTGGGTGCAAGATTCAGGTATAATTATTTCATTTAATCTGGAAAAGCAGAAAGCATTTCCATAAATTCTTTTAACAGAATTCGGAATATAATATGTTCCTGTTAGCATACTAGGATATGAATAAAAGACTGTTTGATCGTGGCTCAGAAATGCCTTTGTGACTATTGAATATAAGGATGAAGAATCTGAATAAATTTCATATAGATTGTAGAGACAAAGAAAAGTATCTGGTTGGATTTGGGTGAGTGAAGATGGCAAATAAATGTATTTAATATAAGAATAAATGCAAATTCTTGATCCAAACGACAAAATTCCTTCGTTAAATCTCATTTCTTCACCTTCAAATTCAGAAAAGCATCCACAATTTTGGGATAGTTGCCCATTTATGTATCTTAAAGATAATGGAAACTGATATGATGGAACTTTTCTAATGCGGTAAAAGCATGCGTAATCTAGTATTTCAAGCTTGGACTGCGTTGGAAAAATGACTCTTGATATTGCTGAGCATTCTGCGAAGCAAAATGAGCCGATATTTTCTAAAGAGCTGCAATTCGAAAGATCAAGTTCTGTTAAAAGTTTACATTGATCAAATGAATAATGTCCAAGAAACTTGAGCGATGATGGACTTTCAAATAAAATTTTCTTTAATGTTTGATTTTAATGCAAAATATTGGCTTGATGTTCCGTTTGCAATACTAACAACATTGGCCGAAACAATATATTCCGACACCGGACTTCCAATATCTTCAAGAGTTTCCGTCAGTAAAAGCTAATCAATTGATTGGGTTTTGTCACTTTTTGTAAATCTTATTTTTGATAAAAATACATCATTCATCAGAAATTATATAATCCCTAATCGTTTTCTATGCAATTTTCTGATTGAGGAAATATCTTAAATCAGAAATATACAATTTTTTTCTCCCCCAGACTTTTTAGAGAATTGAGTTTGAGAGAAAAGATAAATATAAAAAGTCTGCAAAGATTATATTAAAATTATAAACAAACAATTTTTTACTAATTATCGCGTTGTGTAAGTTCAAACACTTGATTATCTACATCAACAACCGAGTTAGCTCCTTTGATAATTTCAGAAGCTCTTTGAAAAGTTTCCAAATCGTTTACTTCATTGCTTTTGATAATTTTTGCAATATCAACAATAGAATGTGACATGATATCATTTGGACTTTCCATTCCAGAATTGAACAATAATCTGGCTTCAAATCTTGGTATTCCTGGAATTCGCATTAAACTTAGCAATTCACTTTTTGCTCCATACAAAATTGTTTTTCTAAATTGATTAATAGCTGCTTCCAACATTGGCATTCCACATGAATTACAAATCTTCATTACTTGTACTGCAAATGCATGAGCATTTCTTTGTAATGACTGGCAGTGGCCTCTTGCAACTCCATATTTTTCTTCAATTTGTTTAATGCCAATTTCATCAGTCAAATCAAGTAAAATGCTGGAAGCAAACAATCTTTGAAAGATAGTATCAATGTTATCTAAGTTCATCACATTGTTTCCTCTTATTGACATAATAATTTTCTTTTCAAATTCATCTTTTCTGACTCCTAATTTCGTTTCAATTACTGTTGAATGTCTTTTGAAGATATCTTCCCAAACTTGATTGGAATATTCAGGTACAGAGAAGTCATTTTGTGCTGGAGTACAAAGGAACATCAAATGTATTTTATCAATAAGATCCAATGATGTATTTGCCCTTTGCAAAAACTTGTAAACTTCTAATCCTTCGTCAATACTCATATTCGCCAATGCAATACCTCTTCCTAAATCTGTTGGATCTTCGTTTTCGTTCAATAATGACAAGTTCTTTAATCTCTTGATAGATTCATCAATAATATTCTGTGATTCTTCTTCTGTCATTCCTTTTTTAGCCGCATAAAACGAAAACAAAGGAAAGTTTTTGTAAAGATTTTTGTCAAGTTTTGAAAAACAAATTACTTGGAGGAAATATCGATCAAATTCGCTTGCTTCCAATAGATGACTTTGAATACTTTCTATTTTCCTATTTGCTAGTTCTTGTATTATCTCTCTTTCATTAGCAAAACTTCCACTTTCAATAGTAACAGCCATTCCAGGATTTTCTTCTGTTCTTCCTGCTCTTCCAGCCATTTGTGTGTACAAAGAAGGTGTCATAATTGTAGGCGGCTTCTGGTAGTTTCTTCTATAAATTGTATCAATTATAACTAAAGCAACATTAATGAAATTAATGCCAGCACTCAAAGTTGTCGTCGCAACAACAATAGAAATTGCGCCATTTCGAAATCCTTCTTCAACAAGTTTCCTTTCTTCAACTAACAACCCTGCATGATGATATGAAACTCCTTTCAATACTAATGGTGCTAAATCTGATGAATCAGTCTGTCCTTGAGCAAATCTCGTTAAATTCACTGCGATTTCTTCTCTCATTTTTATTATATAGTCATTTTTCGTCTCAATTTTGATGTGTTTTGCCAAAAATTTTGCTGCAGAAGCTGCTTCTCTTCTTGTGTTTACAAAATATAAAACATTTGCATTTTCAGCAAAATTTATTACATCTTCTATCAAAGGGAGTGCTCTTTTGACATTACTTGTACTTCCTTCTTTTAGTGGATATACTTTTTGAGCTTTTTGGAATTTTCCGTTTACAATTGGAATTAATTCTCCTTGGACTGAGAGCAAATATTGATTTAAAGTTGAAGATCTATTCTCCGATCTGAATATAAATGCATCCATCCATTTTTTATAGATTTCACAGTCTTCATTTGATATTGTTGCAGAAAGACCAATAATTCTTGGTGGCTTTGTGGCTAAGAGGAGTTTTGCAATAATAGCTTCAACATTTGATCCTCTTCCTTCATAACTGATCATGTGAATCTCATCAATAATTATTAATTTAAAAGAATCAAGATAATCACTCCTAATTGCAGCATTTATTAGCGAATGCGCTCTTTCAAATGTGCAGACAGCTATTGATCCGACCTGAAACTCTGAGCCACCAACATTTTGATAAAAAGCTTTAACTTGATATTTAGGGAATCTCTGAGAAAATTGAGTATATTTCTCAGCAGCAAGAGATACAAAAGGGACACAATACAAGATCTTTGAAGTTATATCAGCTTCTAATTGTTGTGCAATTGCAACTTCAGCAGCAACAGTTTTTCCACCTGCTGTAGGAACTTTCACAACTATATTCTTATTTTGTCTCCATTCAGGACGCGAAAACAATACCCGCTGCCAAGTGCGTAAAGATCTAATTGGTGGACTTGGCTTTCCAAGAAGAAAAGTTTCTTGGAGAAAACGTGGTATACCAACAGAATCCATATCCGGAGAAAATATCTCACCTGTCAATTTAATTTGAGAACCATCAGACATTTGTTGTCAAAAAATTTTTTTTGAAGGGAGGATAAAAATTGTGACCGTTTGTAAATTCTACAAGACGATTAAAAATAAAAGCGGCACTTTTGGCAGTCATTGTCACTTTTGCTTTTCTATGAGCTGTGATAGTCTCTCTGATCTTGGCTTGAATGGCCATTTCGGTCAGACTGGAGCAACGATCACAGGCTATTTCAATCAACTTTCGAAAGAAAGAACTTCATTAACATTAAAAATCAGGAGAGAATCTTTTAATGCAATGAATGTTCTTCTTAAGAGGGATTTAAAGGTGCCGAAACCAAAGGTTTTGAATTCTGACAAAGATACACCGCTTTTACAACCAGAAAACGCAATTGCTGCTCTTCAATCTGATTCTGAAAACACTATCCTCACATTTTTGAATGAATTCATAATAAACGTTCAAGCAAACTCCAAGAGCGTCTCTCGCCTCGTCTCGAACGAGAACTTTATTACCAATTTAACAGAATTATTTAACAATGAGTATTCTTCATTGACAACAATAGCTCTATTCCAGGTTACAGCTATTATTTTCCAGCAGAGCAAGCTGAATAGACAGCTCGTGGACTCTGATATCATAGCCACATTATCATCATTAATTTTAGCTGATGAATCAGACATTACGACCCCTCTTATAGCTCTTATTGGATCAATTGCTGCATCTTCGGCGTACGCGCGTGACGCACTTCTTTGCTTTGGTATACATTTTTCTTTAATTGACAAAATTAAGCAGACAGAAGATGAATCACTCAAAGAAGCAACTGGAAAGTGCCTGTGTATCATCTTCGGAGGTCCACATCCATACTCATCTGACGTAGTTCACGATTGTATCCAATCTTTGATCCAATTGCTCGAAAACGCCTCTATTCCTTTAATCCAGTCGATATTAACAATCCTTATAGATATGACAAACAAAGTTACGGAGACAGTTTACCTTATCTACGACCTTGGCCTGTTTCCATTCGTTATTGAAACTTTACAGAACCCAGAACTTCGAACTGTTGCTCTTGCCTTGTGCGGGAACCTCACAGTATCACAACCAATGCAGGCAAAGAAGTTCATGGACCTTGGTCTTTACGATATTTTAATGAATGTCATGTCTGACGACGATGATGCTCCATACGCACTTTGGATATTATCTAACTTGCTTGATAGTATTCCAACCGTGATATTGCCACTGTTAACTATGGAAATGATCCTTCAATGCGTCCAAGCAACGGAAACATCGACTTCTGAGTTCAAACAAGAGGTCACTTACTTCGTAGGAACAATTATCATTGTCGCGGGAACAGAAATCAGCCTTCTTTTCTTGAGACAAGAGATATTCGACCTTTTAGTTGAAATGCTTGGGTGCGGCATATATAATATTATTGTTAGATGCATTGACTCACTCCAAAAAATAGCTTTGTCGTCAATTTCGACTGGACATTGCGACCAATATTCAAATTTGATCCATGCAACCGACTTTCCTGACAGAGTAGAGGAATTGGATGATAGCGATAACCCTATTTACCATGATAAGATCGAATCTCTCCAGAAAACTATAGAAGATGTTGAAAATCAATGAAAACTTTATTATAAATTGTTTTTAATATGTATCATAACTAATTTATTTTTAACTTACAAAACATTTAGATTTAATAATAGTAATCTAGATTTAATGGGGAAATATAACAAAATTTTCCAAAACATTGTTCCTTTCAGATTATATGACTTAGATGATATCATTTAACTGTGGAATAAATGTGATCAATATGGTTATTGAAGTGATAACTAATCAAATTCTGAAAATAAATAATGAAATTTTATAAACAAAGGTGATTATTAGGAAAATGTAATGACTCTATGCGCAAATTGTTTAAATTTCATGTTCATATAACTAAATCATCGAAATATATATATATATATATATCAAATAAATATTGTATGAAAGATGTCTCAGATATACTTCATGAATTGCTTCATCAGTTAGAACTGATTTTATTTCATTTAGATAAAGCTCTAAAGACAATTTCCTTTATCAAATTATGCAAAATTAATATCAAGGAATGGCTTTTTCAGTGATGAAACTTGATCTTTCGATCTATCTCGTCGGATGTATTCATGATACAAAAATGAAAAGATTTCTAAACTGCGACGTTTTAAATTTTTTTTTTACTTTCTCAAGGAAAGTTTACAAACGGTTTTTAACGGAATCTCAATTCGGAGCTATGTCTTTGAAGCTTAAGTACAGCAGCCTTCAGACAGGTTCATATTCTATTATTCATAATGGCGATGAGTATCCGATAGACCCAATCTTGTTCCTTAAATACTCACGTAGATTTGGAACATTATTTAATTTCGCAGAAAATCATGTAGCAGTCAATGATGACTACGACAAGCATACATTCGAGCTATTTGTCAAAGCATGTCAATGCCAGCCATTCGAAATCTCAGGAAATGATTGCATTAATTTACTTCTTCTTGCAGAATACTGGGAATCGGCTACACTTGTCAAGAAAATCGAAAAAATCATCAAAGACACAATTCCTGCAAAAGATATCCTCGAAATGTACATAAAATTCCAAGGAACAGAGTTTCCAATTGAGCGTTTAGAAAAAATCATGATTGCATGCCTTCCAGAATACATTGTTGAGCCATTATTCCCAACATTACCCTTTGAAGTCATAGATCGCGTTGTTCATGAGTCAAAAGCCCAAATTTCGCCAACGCAGATAGTGAAACTATGTTTGGCTGTTGCCGAAGTTCACGGATTGAAGTCAGTCCACGTATTTTCTCATACATGTTTCGATGATATTCCATCAGATGAACTCATGGACGTTTCCGAGATATTCAGAAATTGCGAGGACAAGCAGTTATCGCAGTTTTTCCAGGCCATGGGACGTCTTCTTTACCAAGTTTCAAATGGAGCTGAATCCGCCACTCAATTCGAAGTTTCATGGCGTTCAGGAGAGACAGGAACATGGAACCAAGCATTCGACTTCTACAACTATGTCACAGAATACAAAAAGAAACATGTTACAGCAGATACCCCTAATGCTGCGGCCAAAAAGCAAGGAGAGTCTACTACATCAACAGCTTTCCTCAAGATTGCTGCCGATAAGGGTAACTACACCGCTCAATACCAATATAGTAAATATTTATTCAGAAAAGCAGCAACAAGTGACGAACGCCAAGTCGCTTTGAACTATATGATCCAAGCTGCCGCTGAAAGTAACTCAGAAGCTATCACAGCCCTCAAAACGATGTATCCAATCAGCGAAGTTGCTTCTAACATGAAAATCTACGTTTATTCAACAATGACTCTTCAAAACTTACTTCTTAACCTCAATCCGAGAAACTTTGATAACGTCAAGACCGCAATTTTCGCTTTATTATTCGGAACAGAGAGAAACGGCATCACAGCGCTTACATCTAACATTCTTCGTGCTGTAGTTGTTCGCCAGCGTCTTATTCCTCTCTACGCCGACCTCGTCAAGTACTTAATTTCAGTTGCATCCGAAACAAATAACTACGCTTTACTTAAAGGCTCAATTTACACCAAGGTCATGGAGACCTTGCTTACAGACAGTCCGCGCGTCAAACAATTTGCCCTCATGCGCTTCCTTTATCTCTGTTCTCGTAAGGAAATCTACAAAGACGACGAATTGGCCGAAAGTATCTCACAATTCATGCACGAGCAGAAGCACCTCACGCAGTCCAACCTCATCATCTTCTACTACTTCGCTCCTTTACTTGAAAGATTCGAGCGAGATCTCTACAAGCAGATGTATTTGACAAGGTTCGACGGTGGAATGGGCTGCCTCGACAAGATGATCGCTGATTTCAAGGACAACATTGTTATGTTAAGACTTAATGATTGGGCCAACTTCTATACTACTCGTGAAGATGCTTTGTATGCAACAGAATTGGGCTACGCCATTGCTCATGATGATCTCGGTAAGTTCCAGCAGCTAACCTCTAAAGAAGACTTCAATTTGACCCAAAAAATTATGAACGACGCTTACGATTTAGAGGGAAGTGAAAAAGTGACGGTTTTACAATACTCATGTTTACAAGGCTCACAGATTATTTTCACATATTTATTACAGAGAGGTCTAGTTAAGACCAGCGGTATGGATAATACAACAATTACATGCGCTGTTATTGGCGGAAAAGATTTCATAGAGAATTTCATTGTAAACCAGATGAAGAACAAGAATGACTTATTTAGAATAGCTGCTAGATACCAGAACGTTGAGGTTCTATCAAGATTCTTCAAGTCTGGCTTTGATTTCTCATCTGTCGACGAAATCGGCCGAACAGCTTTACACCACGCAACACAAATGGGTTTGCCTGATGTTGTTAAGATCCTCCTTTCACTTGACGGAATGGATTTGAACAGAAAAGATAAAGATGGACTCACTGCTTTACACATCGCGGCTAAGAACAACGATTTGGATATTGTTAAGATCCTCTCTGTTTGCAGAGGAATTGCTTTAGACTGCCGCACTAATAACAATGAATTACCTTTCGATCTCGCGGAATCTCCTGATGTTAAGGCTATATTGAAGAAGAAATAAATATATTTTATGATTATTTATGGTTTGATGAATAAAAACTTTTATTTACTTGTTTCTGACATTTCATAAAAGTTTTTATTTTTTTTTATCACAAAATGGTGTCTGATGTACTGTAATGATAAGCTTTCTTATTAATTTTCTTATTAGGGTTCTATATCATTAGCATTTCTCCAAAGATGCAAATTCAATTTTTAGAAAATTGAATTCAGAGAAAAAGCTAAATAGATTCGACTTTTATTGTAATTGTGTCTCATGTAGAAGCTAGAAAATTAACCAAAGAAGGAAAATAAAATAATTCATAATATAAGATTTAATAAGAGTGAGTATATGTACTTAACATGAACATGTATCGAAAAGCGTTTAGCATATAACTATTAGTGTTGCAATTCGGAATTTCAGTCCAAAATTTTCCAATAATTTTGATTCCGGCGAGAAGAAAGCAAGTAAAGCAGCAATTAGATGAATGTACGCAAGTGTTTGATTCCATTCGAATTTGATATGAAGTAAACGGTATTTTGGAATTAATTTCATATGTTTTACTTATATTAGGATAACACTTGTAATTATCGGCAGAATCTAAATATAAAAATTCCCGACAAAACGAATCATTGATAAAATATATTTCTTGCAAATCTCCAGAATTGGTTAATCCATATATGCGAATGGAATTTGGTGGTACTTGATCAGCATAGGATAGAAATGATAAAGTGGAAAGGGTAAATGGAACTGGAGAAAAGATATTCAAAAAAGGAGATGAAGGCGTTGACCACCATGTGCATGATTTATCCCATTTCGTAATACATTGAGGATTTGGATCACCAGATATCCTGAAGTCAAAAATAGGTAAATTCAAAACTCGAAATTACAAGGAATTATTAACAGGATCACCTAGTAATATATTGAGGGTCTGGATCACAAGGTATCTTAAGTCCAAATAAGAATAGTTGAGTCCTGAGAATTCGTATTATTAATAATTTACTAAATGAAATCGAATATTCAAATAATTTACGATGACTATTAGTGAAAATATGCATAATTTTTACATATTTTACTTCCTTTCTAATAAAAATTTACCCTTTTCCTGAAATCTTTTTTACCCTTTTTCTCTTCAACCTAAGAAAAAGAAAATGTCGCAAGGATTATGGCTTGTTTCTGCAGGATATGATTTAAGCATATGCTTCAGAGATATTACAGATCAAAATTCTCAACTAACAAAGCTTAACTTGACTCAAGCTCAAGCAAATAGAATGATTCCATACGCTGATTCGAAATTTTTCGTTGCAAGCAATCCATATATATTCCTTTATGATAGGAATTTTCGCTCGGGAAAGCATACATTCATGTATCAAGGCCACCAATCAAATGTAACTGATTTATGTTTCGCCGGCAATAGTCTTTATGCTTGCAGTGAAGATAAGACATGGCAGAAGTGGGAATTTGGAAAACCAAAGTCTCTTAAAGCAGTTCACACTGGTTGCTGCTTAAATGCGATTGCATTAATTCAAGACAAAACAATCTTGATTACAGGCAACGACCATGGCCAAATCGAAGCATGGAATCCAAACACATACGAAAAGATTACGACCGTTAAACTTGGCTCTTCTCCAATTCGTTCAATCGCCGAATGCGGCAAGAATGGCCCGATCGTTGCTGGCCTTCAAGATGGTCAAGTTGTTCTTTTCACATACGCAAACAATGAAATTACAATCCAAAAAACGATTGTTGCCCATAAAAACATTCTTACACGCGTTGCTGCTTCTGCCGATGGCAAATACTTTGCAACCGCTTCAGCTGATTCAACAGGTATCGTTTGGGTTACTGAAACATGCGAAATTTATATGAGATTAGAAGATAAAGCACAATCACAATGGATTTGGGATGTTTGCTTCTCTAATGATGGAAAATATGTTGTTACAGGTGGAACTGATAAGGTTTGCCGCCTTTGGAGCCTTGCTGAAAAGAAATTATCAAATTATTACGAATGGAACTTGAAAGGAGTAACATGCTTAACTTTACTTCAATAAGCATTTAATTTGTATTATTTAAACTATATATCATACCAATTTTTATTTTTTTATTATTTATATTTTCCAAAATGAGGTCTAACTATTCAAAACAAGAGGCAGACTTACAGAGACATTTATAAAGTTCTTCCACATAAAAACTAGTGAATACATTGAAGATATGTGAAATAAGATTACAAATATTTTGATTACGAAGTATGAATTGTCTGACATGCCACTTACAAAGATAATTGGGATCGCCATTCAATATAATTATGCGTCTTGGATAATAATGGTTAATCTTCTTTAGTTTTGTGCAAATGTCAATGAAAAGACAAACTTGAAATAACATTTCTTCAGCATGCAGAATTTCATAATAGTAAAGAAATAGTTGAACTTCTTCTTTCACATGGTTCAAATATCAATGAAAAAGAAATTGATGGAAAAATTGTTCTTAATTGAGTTACTTATTTAACATGACGCAGACATCAATAAAAAGGATAAAAATTGCCAGATAAGGGTCATAGTCTTGTCGTTGAAGATCAATTTTGAAAAGATGGCAAAAATTTTAAACGGCAAATTCATGCGAGGTAAAAAACCAACTTTACTACCAGATGATAAACTTCAAGAACTTTGTAATGAAGATTTTGAACAGATCTTTACCAAAATAGACGAAGCAAAACGAAGATTTGTCGTTGCAATTCAAGATGACTTAATAAAATACGTTGAAGACTATGAAACGTCTCGTAAATCATCAAAAGCAAATGCAACTCAGAGCATGAACTTTACTACCAATATAGATATTTCTGATCCAGGAATGGATCAACTCGATTTAAATCAGTATACGACTAATGATCAATTTACTAATATTGATCAATCAAGCGGAACTGACCCTGGCAGTATTACTGGTGAAACACTCACTGATCATAGATCATCACAATTAACACCAAATGAATCTTCTAACGAAGAATCCGCAATCCAACGAACAACAGATAATCAATTTTCTATTAATAATCTTACTATTGATGATACTAATGAATCAAAGCCACTTGAATCCATAAATACAACCGGAAGTATTCAATCACCAACAAAGCCTATATCAACACCAAGCAGTCACTCTCCTACAAAGCCTGCTTCAACACCTACACCAAGTGTTCAATCTCAGATTCAATCTCCATCTCCATCGCCAGCTCCTCCACCACCAGCTCCCAGAACATCACCAATGAATTCTTCAAGAGAAGAAAAGACAGCTCAAGCTATAAAACCAAGAATCATTCCTCAAGAAGATGATTTTGATGAGGAAGAGGATGACTTTGACTTCGGAGGCTTAGTATAAGTGTGTTATTTAATTTTAAAATGTGTTTAGATATTTTTGTTTTATTAATATTAATTTTTTATATAAATGGCTCAAACATTATGAAGATCGAAATATATGATCTTAGTTTAATTACTAATCACTATTGAAAGAAAATAGCAAATGAATTTAACCTCAAACGCACAAAATGGTAATGATATAAAAAATTTTAAAGGCAAAATAGAGTAATATCAAGAAATTATTTACAATCAAAATATGAACTTAACTATACTATCTATTGATCTGGATGTGTTGGAGCTGCGGTTTTAGCTTTTTTGTCATGAATTGTTTGAAGGAAATAATACTTTCTACGATCGCTTTTGAGAGCGCTCATAATATCATCAGCTGAAATTTTACCAGCGGATTGGGAATTTTGTAGTGCTGTCTTAGTTAATTGAGTCAAATAAACTTGTAAAGCGCCTAAAACTGTATCTACTGTTTCGTTGTATTGCTCTTTATTGCCTGAACATGTATACATGATTTGTGTAACTGCTTCGCGAAGTGCATTCTTTGGAGGCATTTTTCCTCCTTTTTATTTATTTTTTCCCCCTAAATTTTTCAAAAAAAGTGAAAAAACTTCATGAAGCTTTTTCATCGATAACACTGAGAGGTGAAGCCTTTAGGATATAGTTTATCTTCTAGATTATGGATTTATTATACTTTTGGAAGTTATTCCTTTCTAAATTGAACGGATTTTAAGAAATGAAATATCAAGCATCTTGCATGTCCTTTGGGCACAAATTATAGAAAGTGTACCTGAACGATACGGATATTTGGTCAAAGGAGTAGCTTAATTTTTGACCATTATTAATGAGACATGTATATAGAGCAATATAATGATTTTATTACAGTATTTGATAAATTATTTCATATTAAGTCAGATGAATCACTTGAAGATACCTATAATTTGATGTTATCAATAATCTCTAAATATAATTTGCGATTAACAATAGTCATTACCGCCATATTTGCCGCAATACGATGCAATTATCAATCTTGCGAGCAATATATCAAAATACTAAATCATATCTTAGCTACATTTTCAAATTCAAATTCAAAACTTTATGCTGATCTTTTAAAAGAAAACGTGAACGATTATAAAGATTTACTTTCGTTTAAAGATGGAAATACATATCAAATAGAATTTGACCAAAGTGCTTTTCCAAAAGAAGGAGATTTGCCTTATATAATAATGAAAGATCAAATTGAGAAATTCAAAGAATATGTAACTAATAATGAATTAGAAGATGTTCTGCTTCCCATTTCATATGAACCTCTTTCACCTATTGAAATAAGTGCCTATTTTGGATCGGTTAATATTTTTAGTTTTCTTCATCATAGTTTAGGATTTGAATTAACTGATTCTTGTTTTCAATTATCTATTATTGGAAGAAACACTGATATAATTAATGAATGTATGAATTGTTATCATATAGATGAAAATGTCATATATTTTGCCCTGATATCTCATAATCATGAATTCACGGAATACATTTTAGATCGCAAAGAAGTTGATATTAATAAAATTGATCATTCTCCTATTGTCGAATCGTTAAATCTAAAAGCTCTCTTTCTCATGTATGAGAAAAGCAAAAATTCGATAATACCATGGTGTGCTGCATTTCAACAAACAAATGATTTAATAAAAAAAGGAGATCTTGATTTTTCTAAAATCGATTTAAACAAAAGAACATTATTGCATAATGCAATTATTTATTATAATATTGATATATGCAAATTCATTTTAAATAATTTGAAAACCAATCATATAAATATTGATGGAAAAGATTCTGATGGGAAAACAGCACTTCACTATTCAGTTCTAAACAACTGTAATACAATTACTGAAAATCTTCTTTTACGTGGTGCTAAAATTAACGCAAAAACTAAGAATGGAATGACAGCTCTTCATTTTGCAGCCTTAAGGAATAATGTAGAAACATTTGAAATCCTTATTTCTCATGGAGCAGACATCAATTCAATAGATGATACAGGAAATTCTCCACTTCATCTTGCAATGGATTCAAAATGTAAAGAAATAGCTGATATCCTTATTAAGCATGGGGCTAATATCAATATTAAAAACCAATTAAAAGCAACACCTCTTCACATTGCAACATATATGAACTTTAAAGATACATTGGAAGTGCTCCTTTCACTTGGAGCAGATGTTAATGCTAAAGACATAAATCAATTTACTGCTCTTCACTTAGCAGCTGATCAAAATTTCATCAAAGTTGCAAAAATTTTGCTCTCGAAAGGAGCTGAAGTTAATTCGAAAGATCACAAGGGAAGAACTCCCCTTCATTTAGCAGTTCTGAAAAACAACGATCAAATGGCAAAAATTATTATTTTACATGGAGCTGACATCAACCAAACTGATAATAATGGAAAAACTCCTCTTCATTATGCAGTAGAACAAAAGTACCTAAAAACAGCAAAAATTTTAATTTCTCATGGTGCAAATGTCAATATTAAGGACAAAAGCGGACGAACATCTCTTGAAATTGCGAAAGAAAATGAAACTGATGGGAAGATGATTGAATTTTTCCAAATAAATCAAAAACTATTTTTCTAAATATAGCTCAAAATGTTTTAAAAATGAATGGTTTATGAAAATATGCAGATTGGTAACTTTTTTTAATTACGACGTCTAAATGAATAAGGTATACAAAAATCCAATGAATTAATTTTCTTATTAGAACCCATATAATCAAACTCCCATTTTTGGTTTGCAATAACTCGGTTGATTGGATTGATAGCAATAATATTAACATGATGTTTTCCTTTTTGAGGGTTTTCAGGAAGTGGTATAACTAATTCGAAATATGGATTTAGATCATCATGATTATATATATATTTAATAGACTTGGATATAATACCGCTATCGTCAATTGAAGCATTAATGAATTGAATTGAATCATATCCAATATTTGATATGTTTCCAATAAGGGTTAGACTTTGTTCAATATGATAACTTGTAGTGATACTGAAAATAGGTGGACTCCTGTAAATAAACTTGCAACTTACAGTATTTGTTTCATTTCCTTCTTGATCGAATGCTTTTAGATATAGTATGTGTTCCCCTATTGCAAGGTTATTTGGTACTGTATATTGATAGTTAAAGCGTCGCTTATAAATTGGAAAATATTCAGAGAATTCATGTGAATTTTCGGATTCATTGTCAATGTATGAAATAATTTTAATTGTTTGATTCCTATAGATATATGCAGTTGTAAGCATGACGGAAAGGCTTGAATCTATACTTTGGATAATTGGATCATTCAAAATATCTAAATATGCTAATGAAATAGAGACATCAAATTGGGATTGGCATTGATAAGTTGTTAAGTGATTTATTTTTAATTCAAATATTTCAAATTCATCTGTTATTATGCATCTAGTGTTGTAGAGTGTTGTATTGTATATATTTTCTTTGATGTAGCAATTTCTGATATTGAATGAACCTTTATTTCGTGAATAAAATATATAATACCCTTCATTATTAATTATACTACAATTGAATATTTCTACAGAAACACCATTTTCATTAGTATCGCATCCAAAAACTGAATTTTTAGATTGATACTTGGAGATTAAATTGAATATTATATTGCAATGATGAATATTAAAAATATGATTTTCATAACCTGTCCATAATCTTATCAAACAGAATGATGTTCCAGAATTATTGAAAAATGTTGAAAATGATATTTCACAATTGTCATAAACAGCAACTGCAATTCCCCAATCATAAGTAGGACATGATGATTGTGTGATATTAACATTTTGTACTGTATTGTTTCTCCCATTTTGAACCACTGGAGCGTTTCCCCCTTCATAATAGAAATTGATGTTTGTTTTGTCATTGAAAATATTGAATCTAACCAACAGAAAGGATAGCGGCTTGATCCATTTATAGCGCATACCCTATAAATAATAGTTTTCATATGTGAAAATATTTGAGGTACAGTTTCAGAAGTATATATATGTCTATAATAATTATTTTCGAAAATTGATTGAGAAACCAAAAGGATTGAATCGTAAATACTCGATGTTCTTATTACACCACCATTCTTGTTTTTAAATAAAACTTCATAGACAAAATATTTCCCAGGTCTTTCAATATACTGTGCTGTAGAAATCATTGTGATATTTGATGTATCTTCGAAAAACATTTGCCAGACATCCAAAGGATTGTCAGAATGTGCCATAATTATTTTATTCATTTTTTGATTATATAGGGTGTCCAAAGGTGTGTTTAGCACAAACCTGAATACTGCGAATAGAAATAAACAAGTTACATATATATAAAGTTTATTTAAATATAATCACCATTGGATTCAATCACGCGTTCGCAGCGATCGATCCAGGCTTGAAAGACACGCTTTAAATCATCATGAGAAAATTGCTCAAATTGCTCTCTTACAAAATTTTCAAGATCATCTGGACTCGCGAATTCGCGTCCTTCAGCTCTCTTTTTTAGCGTGCCGAATAAATAAAAGTCAGAGGGTGCAATATCAGGTGAATAAATTGGGTTTGGAACAACTTTGACATTGTTTTCCACCAAGTAATTCATTACCTTATGACTTTTGTGAACTCTTGAATTATCAAAATGAATTGCAAACTTTTGTTTTTGTTGTTTGGATTTCTCAAACTCATCAGAATTGATAATTTGAGTAAGAACATTGTCAATTAGATACTGAGCATTCATCGTATTAGGTTTTTGAAGAATATCAATTGCGATGATGCCATTCACGCCCCAAAAAACCGACAACATCATCATTGGTGTGTCAATTTTTTTCTTCGGGAATGTTTGCGGATTTTCATCCTTCGGGATCCACATGATTTTGGCTTCTGTTGCATATTGAAACCAAGACTCGTCCCCTGTTACTAAAAAGCGAAACTTCTTGGATTGATACGCACCCAATATAGAGAGGAGCTCTTTCGAAGATTGGACTCTAGATTTTTTTTGAACTGAATTAAGGTTGTGCGGAACCCAACGTGTATACGCTAGTTTGTAGTTCAAATAATTGTGCAGATAATAACTGACTGTTGTACGTGGTATCTTTGTCATCTCCTCTATCCTTCTGAGTGATGCTCTTGGGTCTTCATCTAGCGCTTGAAGAATTGCTTTGATTTTTCTTTGATCCGGCGATTTTTTGTCAATTTTTATGATGGGCGCCTTTTTGTTCATGAAGTGATACATCCTAACATGATACGTTACAGTGGAATAGCTAGGAGCATCCATACCGAAGCATTTTACCAATGTCTCGTAGATTTTTTTACAGTCTTTGCATTTTTTTGCAAGAGCGAGGATGTTTTCTTTATGATTCATTAAAAAAATGAAAAAAACCGCCAAAATTTCCCGCGAAACCGCCTCTTGTCTCAAAATTCATTTTATATCCCGGCATGGCGCCAAAATACAACATACTCATCATATACATATATTCATATTTTTTATTATATATTTATAATCAGCATATATCTCCTTTAATAGTCTCATATAGAGCGCTGTGCTAAACGCACCTTTGGACACCCTATATGATAATACTGAACTGTGTATTCTTCTGGAATAGAACATGCATCCTTCTTTGTTAAATAAAGAACATGGAAAATCACGAAAACTCGTTATTTTGAGTCCCCCATTATATTTTAAAGATTTTTTATCGTTTTCGCTATTGTTTGTGAAATGAAGAGCTCATTTTGCTGATTGCGGTTTTTGAAAAATTTACAATACTTGTTTTCAACAGATTTTTTCCAATTATTATTGAATTCCCAAATGAAAAGTGGGTCTATTTGTAGTAAGAATTTTGATTCTGATTAAATTAATTCAATTTATTTTTTGAAATCATGTATGGGAAACATCAAATGTTGATTTCTACTTGTATAATTACTAAAATAAAACTCAATAAAAAAATAAATCACGTTTTAATAAAATAAATAATTACAAATCCTTTGATCCAAAAGGAACAAAGTGGAATCCGCTCGATGTTATTGCAACAATGAAGCTGTGCTGGTAAGAATAATACAAGTTATTTATCTTATCAGGAGCTTCTCCGTAAATCAAATTATTTTGTTTGAGTTCTGCAGCTTCAAAGAACAAAATTGATTTTCCATACGATTGTATTATATAATCAATTCCCTTTTCATCTTTGATGGCAATTGCAGATGTCTCAGGTGTCATGTGTTTGTTCATTTTGATGGAAGAGTTGATTGGTTCATCATTTCCACTGTTTGTGAACAAACACACTTTTCTTTCCTTTTCACCACCGAAGAAAACAGTGATGAATCCCCATCCTTCTGTAATAACAATTCTTCTTGGAATGATTTCAGAATCAGGAACTCCTGGGAAGCAATCTTTGAGGTTTATTACTCTGACGAAAGATTTCGTATTCAAGGAACAAATGATGATACAACCATCAGACATTCCGCAAACAAACATGTGGTATTCTTCTGATATCGCAATACTTGTTATTCCTGCTCTGAACATATCAATCGAGCAGTAAACAGATTTAGAAGGAATGTCGTAAACAGTTGCAACTCCTTCGATATCTCCTGTTATCAAGTATTTCTTGGATGATGCAATACAAAGGATATCTGATGGAGAAACTGCGTATTTGTTGACTTTCGCATCTGCACATATTTCGAAGATTTCTCTGTTAGTTGTTCCGACGACAAACAAAGATTTTCCACAAGCAGCAATTTTTGTTGTGTCGAAACTGTATTTTTTATCACTAGAAATCGCATTCAACGGAGATCTCTTGGATTTGTCTTCGTAGATCTCCCTTGTTGTGACATTAGTGATATAAACAGTTCCATCTTTGGAAATAATAGCGAAAGTGAACTGACCATTTTGGCATTCAATTACTTGGCCAGCAACAATTGTATGACTATCATCATTTTGTTGGAACAAAGGAACAGTGTATGAAGAAGTCTGTTGTGGTGTTGGCTGGAAAGAAAACATTCTTCCGTGGGATGCAGGTTTATTCCTTGGTTTATGGAAATCAGTAAATAATTGCTGAGGAATTTGTCCGCAGTGAGTTGTTTCTTGTTCGATGTAAACTTGCATTGAAGGATCGTTTTTAGAAACTTCCCATGCGTCGGCGTACAAAGCCCACAAGAAAAGATTGTTCGATTCAAGAGATTTCTGTTTCTTGCCGAACATTAAATCGATCCATTTATGCAATTTTTCAGAAACATACTCACTTTCAAGAGCTTTTCTCATCGTGTAAATGAAATGGAAAGGAGATTTGTTCGCCCAATTTGGCAAATCTACTTCCGAAATGTCCTTTCCTTCGCTCTTTCCAAGATCGAAATGGTTGTAGTTCCTCAAGAAATCTGGTTGATAGAAGAACTCAGGGATCAGCTCGGAATAGAAATTCATCTCATTCATCACGAGTTTGAAAACTTTTTCGACAGATCTGAATTGTCTGTCAGGATTGTCAAATTTTTCTCCTTGATGTTCGATGTGCAATTTGCAGAATGGCTCCGTTCTTATCAGATAAACAAATATTGTTTGTGGAGCCATTGGACCATTGGAATACAAATATGGCTTAGAGAACAAATCTCCAACTCCTGGTGAATTTTCTTCCAATTCTTTCATTTTTTGGCGGTTTTCTTCCAATCTGGATTCGTTCATTGCTCCAATTGGTTTTCCCATGTCTCTATAGATCTTTTTATCATTCAAGTCGATTGTATTTGATTCGTAATCAGTTAATATCCAAGGTAATATCGGGTATTGACTTAAATGATTAAAAGATCTTCCAGCGTATTTGTTTATAGCCAACAAATACTCGAAATTGGAGATTTCTCTGTTGATCCATTTCTGTGTCAATCCACTGGAAGCGAAGAAAGCAGGGAAGTCAGTTGTTTGTACTAACGCTGTTGGTATTTTGTTCTTCAAGTCTTTCAGGATGTTTATGGAATTAATCTCAGGGAAATTGACAAAATACGATTCACCGTTTTTCATGAATATTTCAATAGCTGTTCTCTTATGGAAAACTGTTCTCCAGAATATTGATTCTACTTCTTTAAATGGCAAAATGTGAATTCCTTTTCCTGTTCTTTGTATACAGAATTCAGTGTTGTTATAATTAAACGATGCCAAAGTAGTATGCGCACAAGTAACTAAAATACAATCGTAATGATATGGATAAACATTCAATGAATTACTCTCTGAACTTTCATCTTTTTCATTTTCATCGGTTTGTATCGTCAAAAGTACCGCTTTTTCTTTCAAACCGAATTTCTTGGCAATTTCTGCTTCTTTTACGACGTTTTCTGCTGTAGTTTTGTTTCCTGAGTCTCTCATTGCAGAAGCTAAAGAGTGTACATCGTAATGATAGTTTCTCTTGAACTTGGCAGGAATTCCTTGGCAAAGAATGTTGTCTCTCTTGAAATACGCAATTCTATCTTGTTTCGGAATGGAATTGAACCAAGGAGCTCTTTCTGTTGTCATCTTATGCCATAGTTTGGCCCAAAGAGTCTTTTGAGACATGACATCGTTGGAGTCTTCTTCGTCAAACCTTTTAATCAACTGGTCCAACAAAACAGGGAATTGTTTTGACAACAATTTGACGGGAGAAATTTCTTGATCTTGTTCTTTGATTCTTTCTTGGTCATCTCCCAATGTTTGTATGAATTCTCTCACGACTTCACAGTATTCTTTGTTCTTGGAGTTCATGTTCTCAAAGAAAGTATTCACCTCGTTCCATGTAACTCTATACAAACTTTCTATTTGATTCTTTTGTTCGATTTTAACAATTCCGACTCGAATTTGATATCTATACAACAAAATTTTGAAAATTGCACCGTATTTCTTTATTTTAGGGAATATTTCCTGGCACAATTCGTAATCAGTCCAAATTCCATCGTTATCGAATACCATGTTCACATCAGTTTTAATTATAGAATTAGTTAAGATGTCATTCAAATTGTTGTCCAATTCTTGGTAACTGACAGTTTTCAAGTGATAATTTTTAGTTGGCTGGTTAATAACAGCACGTGTTGTTAAATTAGGAAGGGAATCTAAAATCTGTGACAATCTTTTGATGATGATTTTAGATTGTGACTTTCTTTTTCCATCCAATTTCACTTCATTTCTTGAAACGTAAGCTGATCTTGAGAACAATTTTTGTATGCAAGGACTTAAGTAATTTAAGTCATCAGATTGATTCTTTCTATATTCTTGGATATAAAAGAATAAGTATTCTATAACAAATTGTTCAAAATTCTCTTGTTGGTCAGGATATTTATCGATATTATTCGCTAACGATTTTATCATTATTTGCTGCAAAAGTCTCATATTATAATCCAAAGCCAAAGAAACACTTACAATCGTGTACATAACTGTTGACCATCCATCAGGAGTACAATTAATAAGAAAGTCCATGAACTTCAACCGTTTTTTATTGTCTTTTATCGTATGTATTAAAATAACCGGCCAAACCGCCCAATTGAAATTATGCATGTAATATTGATTCGACGGTTTGAAATTCAATAAAATTTCGTAAAATTCCGGTTTGTCAAATTGCATTGCCATCCAACAGACGATGTTTAACAGGCTTGGAACTTTCGTTTGGCATAACTCTGCAAGCTTGAGGAAGAGTTCTTCGTTAGGAACAAATTCATCTTCAATTTCTCTCATGATAATCTCATAATAATTGAAAACTGTCACTTTTGAAGAAATTGACATTTCTGACAAAATCATGAACACCAAAATAGAAATATCTATATTGTTTTTGAGGAGAAGAACTCTTATTATCAACAAAGGTTCAATCAACTGTTCCTTATCCTTATAAACATTCTTAGTTTTTGATAATAAGTCATAAGTGAACTGTAAAAGTGACTTTCTTATTTCGTCATCTTTTACTGTCAAAATTTGATGAGCGATTATTTCGAAATCCTTTGTTTCCAGCCATGAATCCTTAGCTATTTTAATCAATGTGTTATAGATATTCTTTCTTACTAATTCCACATCGAATTCGCTTCTTTCCAACGAGATTTTCTCTTTAACTCTGTAGCAATAACGAATTAAAAGTGCCGTAAACCACCAAAATCTTCGAACTCTTCCTATTTCGCGGCCATGGTATGTTGCAATGTGGTCTGACCATTTCTCAGTGACGTATTCAGCCAATCTCGGGTCAGACTTGAACCAGATATTATGATTTGTCAAAATGATTTTTATCAAACTTTCTATCAATGATTTTTCATGAAGAAAATCTAATAAATCAACAAACAAATCATATAATTCTTTCGATTGATGCTGAGGGAACTGTTGAATAAAGAAACTCAGTATCGAAAAACAATTTTCGAACTTTATCTGGGCGTTCTGATGCAATGTCAATACAGAACAAATAATTTTCATCGATCTCATAAATGATTTTTCGATGATTTTTCCTTTCTGATCTTGCATGTCGCATTGTGCAAGTAAAGGAACTAATACTTGTACATTTCCATGGCTTGCAATGATATCTGGCAAATTCTGTATAGTGTGAACAATAAAGGAATTGTATTTAACATGTGCAAAATCATCCAAAGTCAAATAATTATTAATCAAAAACGGATTCGCGTAAATTATAAAAATTCCGTTGTTTTTCTTGAATTGTCTCGGTCCGTCTTTGTAATAATTAGTAAGATCAGCGGTGGGAAGACAAATTCCAAATGGCCCTAAGTAATAATCAGGACAGTCAACGTCATCCGCAAATATCCATGCCATTAATCCGTCTTTCGTTAATGGAAAATATGGAAAAGTAACGGTTTTTTCGGTTTGATTGTTTACGGAGACTTTTACTTGGTAATTCTTAGGAGAATTATGTGGTGTTGACTGTATTTGGACGGAAAGTAAGTTCCATTTGTTGATTTCGAAATTAATTTTCTCGATTTGCTCAATTGTCTTGTCTTCGCTCTGGAAAGTGATGATGATGTGCTGGGAATCAACTTTAAATGAAATTATTTGGCCGGATGAGTTGTCAGCCGTTAAAATTTTGACAGGTTGGGCTGAATTTTCTCTCATTGGAAGGAACCAAAGGACAGCTTTGAATCCCGATTTGTAGAGAAGCTCCGGGAGGTTGATGAATGAGATCTTTGAGTATTTCGTGAACGGATAAGCGGTTTCCGCCTGTTGATTTGCGGATGAAATCATATTTTCAAGAGTTTCAAGGGCGCATTCGTAGTACGAGGGCAGATATGCATTGGCTATTGGACTAAACAATGAAATGTACCTTAAAGCTGATACATAACTGGATGTTCGTATTGAAATTGTTTCAAATAACTTAAATAACTGGAGAACTGACCTCGGATCGATGTTTTTAACTGTAGCATCTTCTGGTTGTTCTTCTTTGATGGGAATTGTTGGGTCAATTCTTGTTTTTTCGATGAAAGAAACGATTGCGAGGTCAATTTCGTATTTATTGCAAATATTGCAGTTGTAGCCGCTCTCATCGCACTTCTTTGTAATTATTTGGACGATTTCTGGAAGTAGAGATGTGTATTTAAAGGAATTCAGCATTATAGAAATAACTTTTGGATTTACGAACTCAAATGGCTTCGAAATGTCCAATTTCGTATCATGCGCCAAGCACTTCATTAAATGCAAGTAGAGTTCAGGAGGAGGATGGTTTTGGTAAGCAGATAAAATCCAATTCGAGAAATGCATCTCTTCTCTATCCGAAATCGATACATCAACACCATATTTGATACTTGAAATGTTGAAAGAAAGCAACAGATCAAGCATATTCTCAATACAATGATCATCATTTGTAGAAAGGTCAGAGATTGACTCAATCATGATGGTAAAGATTTTATGGAAATCCCTTGTTAACTGCGGATGTGCCTGTAATATTGTTCTGACACTGGAAGATATGAAATTGAAAATTTGTTGCAATTCGTGCTGATCTTTAATAATCATGACAATTACTTTGAGCCTTGTCTCGAATGCAGCAAGGAGTTTGTTATCTTTCAGTTTTATCGATTTCCATGATAAAATTCTTGTAATTTCGTCAAAAATGAATTTCCTGCAGTTATCTTCCATAAGGAATTGGCAGATTGTCTCAGATAAATGGGTATTTTCGGATAAAATGGTCAAAAAGTCGTATTCGCTAATGAATATGTGGAACATTAAAAATACGTTTGTTCTGAACAAATTACATTGAGCAGCGAGGTCATCGAAAGCAGCCATGTTGACCATAGATACAGAGAACTTGAAAATAACCTCTAAAAGCGGTTCTGCAATTGGATGCAAAAATGTGAGCGAAGTTGGGATGATTTTGATGAGACAAGAGATTACATCTTGGAAGGATGATGGGAATGGTTCAAATACCTTCATAAAATCTGAACATCTTGCTCCTAACTGCTTGAAATAATTATCTAAAATTATATATCTGATTGAATGGACAATTTCAAAGTTATTAATAGACGGGGTCAATCTATCGCTAAATATGAATGAGTTAAAGAAGTTATTTGGGAATTTCTTCGTTTTCAGGAACAATGATAACAAAAATCCAGTAAAATCGTAAACAAAAGGAGATGGTTCAACAACTTGTGTAAATAAGGCTTTGGCGGCTTCATCGAAAACGTTTGTCGGTGAAATATTGAACATTTTCGTCAATTGTTCGGCAATTGGGGAAAATTGGCTCTTGTAAAGGTCATCTACTTGTATTATTTGGGAGTCTATGTGGTTTGGCTTGTAGTTCTCGAAGTTAAACTCTTTTTTGAAGGTAGATTTTTGAGGATTTGTAGATTGTGAGTAAAGTGGTGGTAAAGTACACGATTGAGGGAGTTTTACATTAATGTCGAATGGATTTACAAGTCCCGCTTTAGTCATCGATGCGCTAATGATGACTGCAAATTTAACCATGATTTCTCTCAGAATTTTTGATTCTGGGAAGAGGGGATACACGCGTAGGAAAAACTCGATTGATTGCGGGTGGAATTCTGCAAGTCCCGGTAGAATTTCCAGTACAATGAAATCAATAATTGAAACTTTAATACTAGTAGAGTAAATATCGAGCATATTTGACAACATTCTATGTAATTCTGGCGATGTGATATTCTTTTGGATATGTTCCGGTATGAATTTGAAGATACTGAAAAATTCACCATCGAAATCACTGGAAATGAAGTAGAAATCGGTGATTTTCTGCATGAATTCGCTCGAATAATCTAAAAACTTGCTCTGAAACGTGACAGTTAATAGATAAAACACTGAATTTATCAGACTTGGATGTGAATTTGGAAAATTCTTCCCTTGTTTCTTAAGATCAATGAGTACTTTAAATAATTTGCTCACATCTTGATCAATTGGATAACTGGGATCAAAAATCCTGTACATCGAAATAAATAAAATGTATTGTTCAACGAGAACATAGTTCTCATTCAAGTAATTCATGCTCCCTTGAAAAGTCTCGAATGCTCCGAATATTTTATGCTGAGATTTGAGAGCATTTATGTCAAATGACGTGAATGATTTAATTGCTGCGCTGTTCGGGGGAAAATTTAGGTTTTGAAAAAATATTTCGCCCTCTTTTCCAAGGCCTTTGCGTGTCGATTTGATTTTGGTGATCTCAACAGTCAAATCCTTGGAATCCGTAAGCGTCATTTTTAATTTTTGTCAAAAATGTAAGAAAAGATATCCTGTGAAATCTTACTACGCATTCGATTGTGATTAATTTATTAGCTGTAAATAAAACTGACGCAATAATTTCTTTCTGAATTTTGAATGCATTACAATTTGTGTGATGTGATAATAAATCGATATTTTGATTCCTATTTGTGTACTCATGTATTTATTCAGGTAAAAAGTTTTTTTGAGAGGCAAATTGTGAGTGAGAAATAAAGAATGAATCGTTATATGCAGAGATTACAATATAATTCCTGGACGCTTATTGATATCAAAAGATATAAATCGATTTATGTCCAGCCTACATTCGAATTTGAATTCTAATTTCGTAGACAACCATCTTCATAACCACCACAAATGATGCTTGGGCTCAACCATATACAAATCGTGCTTACGAGATACTTTTTCAACATTTCTAACCTTCAAATTTGAAATCTTCTACAAAAAAAATTAGTATAAATGAATATGAATTAAAATTATAAAACAAAAGCGGTATGATTTATTAGAATAGAATAATTAATACAAAAAAAAAGAGAAATTATTTTTGTCCTTCCAACATATCTCGAAGAATTTGCTTCAATCCGAGGTTTTGTTGAATTAGGCAGTCAACGTCCATTTTCTTTGACTCATATTCTTCGTTCAACTCATCATTCTCCTTCTGAATTTGGGAAGTTAAAGATCTGAGTGTTTCTAGCTCTGTATTACTTAACTGTAAGTTATCTTGGATAATGAAGGTTTCTGTTTTACGTTCTGTCATTGATACTCTTCTGCTCGACATATGAACTGATTTCTTTTGTTCTGCTTTGAGCTTTTGAGCTTCTCTTTTTTGCTCAATCTTCTTGGCTTGAGTCTGTAAATCTTTTACTAACTGTTCACTCTTAAGTAGTTCCGAAGTGGCAAATTCTTGTTTTCCCGAAAGTTTCTTTTTGCAAGCATCGTATTCATCGATAATTTTCTTGTTGTGTTCTGTAAGAGCCTCAAGATCCTTTTGTTTTTTCTCTACAGTTGATTGAAGATTTTTGAGTTTTTCTTGCAATTCTGCAAGTGTTACTTTGTATTTTGATGAATTGGTATTCTTTCCACGCTGATTCTCTATCTTTTTCTTTAATTCGCTGTTTCTTTCGTGTAATTTATTTTGTTTTTCTTTCAATTCACTGATTTCTTTATTTTCTCTCTCTAAAGACTCTTTCTGTTGAGCAATATCAGCTTGAACTGACTCCATATCCTTTGTATGATGCTCTTTTTCTAATAAAAGTTCGGATGCCTTGTTTGTTAAATTAGAATATGCTTTTGAAAGTGAAGCATTGACAATTTGATATGGTTCAAAAGCGTTTTCTTGTGTTTGCTCAAAATACTCTTTGAAATTTTTTAAATTAATTCTTGCAGTCGTAAAAAGATCTAAATCAGGTGGAGCTTCTTGAAACACAACTCCGGGTGCCTCTGTCTTGGCTTCATTATGCTCTTTTTCCTTATCTTTACGCTTGAAAGCGTTTCTTAACATAATTCTCCAATTATTGTCACTTTTATTATCGTGCAAAATTTGAATGTCTTATTCAACTCGTCCTTTCGGAGTTTCAATAATAAATATGATTTTCATTTAATTCATTACCAGAAAACTTTAGTAAAATAATAAAAAAAAGAAGCCGTTGGCCATAAAAAAGTTTGAAAAACCAATGATGATCCACATACATTTGTTGACTTTGCAAACCATCTTAGTAACTTGAACCTGTCAAGCACCTCGTAATAATGGTGTTTATATCGAATTTTTTACTTTGAATTGAAATATTCCTCTATCCAGCATAAATTATAAACTAGGAATTTTCAAATATCTTGCTTTTCGTTATATTAGTTTAAATATTATTAATTCAATCAACAAAACTCAAGTGAGCTCTTGAATCACTAAATCCAGGATAAATTATCATTATCCTTTAAAGCTTTTTCTTCCAAATATTTACACTAATGGCAAAATTAACTAATTTATATATTCTGGGAAATATATCAAGAATCTAAAATTCAATTTTTTACAATATGATTTGATCGATGAATTATGGATTATTTCATTTTTAAATGAAGGTTTTAATTAAGGTACAATATATATGTCATCAAAAAATTTGTATACATAAATCCCGTCTTATGATTTTTTTTTAATGATGGCTGAGGACCTTGTACCAAACTTTGAATACATCATAGCGTATGCCAAAGATTACATTGAAGAAGGTAAACTATTTGATATATTTGAAATAGAAGAAATCCAAACGATTCTTAAAAACATAAATTTAACATCACAGGAATTTGTTGGACTTCTCAATCAATCATCTCCAAATTTTAGAGGATATGGATTTTACGAATGTACCCGAGATGTAACAGTCCCCATAAAAAATCTTGATGAAGCCATTGCAATATTGAAATCGATGAGAGAACGCCTTGGGCAAAGATTCATTGATGATATTGTCAATATTTTAAACCAAACATCTAATCAAATGTCTGATTTAATGAGAGAGAACTCAAGTTTAAGAAATTTTATTAACAATTTTCAAGTTATGATAAAAAACACTCTTGACCAACATGAGAATGATGAAAAAGAAATAGCATCTCTAAAATCAGCAATTGGAGAAAAGGAAAGAATAATTGCTCAAATTACTGAACAGAATAATAAATTAAAAGAGGAAATCAAATATCATAAAGAAATCTTCCCGGTGATTGATAGTATGAAGAAATGCAACGATTTTAATACATTATATAATTTCTTTGATGGAGCTTCAAGACGAGAAAATCAAAATATAATGAAAAAAGCAATTGAAGAAAGACTCAATGAAAGGATAATTTGGGATGGTCAGAATGTTCTTCATTGTGCTATAAGTTTTGGAAACTTCAATCTTGTTGAAAAACTAATTGAATGTGGCTGCAATAAAGAAGGAAGAGACAAAAGTGGAAAAACTCCTCTTATTTGTGCAGCTTATCATGATCGTCTTGAAATCGTTGCATATCTTATCTCTTTAGGAGCTGATAAAGAAGCAAGGGATAATGATGGAAATACACCACTTCATCATGCATCGCGGAATGGCTATCTTCGTGTTTGCCAATATCTTATCCAAATAGGTGCTGATAAAAAGGCAATAAACTATAAAGGTGAAACCCCACGTTCCTGTGCTGATAGTACTGTAAGAAATTCAAAGCTATATCAGTCATTATAAGTAATACTCCATTTGAATATTCCCATTTTGATGCTCCACCGCATGAAACTTTGTTTGTCGGCTAACGCGTTAATATTCTTTGAAATAGATTTATATCATTATCATTATTTTTTTTTCCAATGATTAGGATAAAGATATTGAATGAGAAATTTCATTTCTCTTTGCAATTTAACTTCATTATATTGGTGTCACCACAAATTTTACAAAGTATGATAAGGACGATGCACATATTCTGTTTTTGAAATTCTTCAGCCCTCTCAAATGTCACAAATTTGAATTCTTGCTGTCTTGAATTTTGAGTTTTGCACTTTTTGCAGAAGAATTTGTTACATATCATATGTTTAGGTTATTATAAACATGACTTACATAAAAGAAATTCAAGACTCATTGTATGGTCATTTCACTTTCCAATGATGATTTTTTGATAATTTCTCGTTCATTTATTGGTATCCGTATTCCATTTCGTGAAGTCCAGCATTCCCATAGATATTCGAAGCATAATGACACCGCAGATATCGAAAATCAATTCGAAATTATATCTTCGAATTCCAATTTTCGTATTTCGGTGATTTGCTTTCGTAGAAGTTATTGGCATAATGACCCTGCTGATCTTAGCGTTAATCATTTTACAGAAATTATAGAATTGTTAATTTTAGAGTAAAGATTTATTTTTCTTCACAAAAGTCTCACTTTTTCAATAACGTAAACCTATGAAATGTAACAAATTCTTCGAAAAAAGTGCAAAATTCAACTCAAAATTCAATACAGCAAGAATTATCTTTTAGATAATAAAAGTGACATTTCTCAATGTAAAATGGAGGATTTGAACGATTTCTTAGTCAAAACTTTGTCAAACGATCAGAACGATCAAGACTTTGTTAAGAATATCATTGACTCTATCAAAGATGATAAGGAATCAATCATTTTATATTTAAATAAATTTAATGATCTCACTGAAAGACTTAAACGTGTTGCTGTAGTTCACATGGTAATTTTTATGAAAAACAATTGTCGAAAATACGACTATGATGAGATGAAATTGTTTAATGAACAATTTATTCAAATATTAGAAAAATATTCAGATGATATTATTATATCATCGAACATCCTTACTTTAGTTAGTATTATTTGCCTTTTTGTTCCAGATGTATTTGAAAATACAATTAATTTATTGAATTTATCAAAATTATTATATTTCCTTCGAGTAGTAACTACCAATAGCACCGAATATACTGATACAATTGCTTCTTCGCTATTAAATTCATTATTAAACGATACAAAAAATTTATCAAATTCAGATTTTACAAATTTGCTTTATATTTTGCTTAATATAAGTGATTCTATTGATATATCAGCATTTCCAAATATAAAACAAGTCATTAACGAACGAGCACTGAATAATTCCTTGTTTTTAAATTCGAATGAAATGAGAACTTTTTGGATGTTGATGTCTGTTATTTCAAACCAACATTCATTTGATGATGATTATATTTTGACTCTCATCAATGCCGCTTATTCAATTTTATTTAATGATGAATTAAATTGGGAAGAAAACAGTTCAGTTCTTTGTTTTCTTTCGATGTTCACGCAGTACATAACTGAAGATGACTCAATAAATATCATTACAAGGTGTATGAAGATTTCTTTAGACGAATATTTTGAAACAGAACAAATTACTGAATCTTTTGGTTTAATTTCAGACTTTTTGCAGGTAATTGATAAAGAAAAGGTCATAGAGATACTTCCATATATATTTAATAACTTTGTAGAACAAAATATTATGTATTTAATTCCATTTTTCTCTTTGACAAATCAAATCTTGGAATTAAATCAAAAAATTCCAAATGATTTCATTGTAGAACTGTTGGATGCCGCTTTTGGAAGTGAAAATAAAGATGTCATACTTGCTGCTTTGTTCTTTATCAGAGATTCAGAGATAATTGAAGTAATTTCGAAAATTGGAAATAATTTAATTTCTTTTTTGATGGATTTGATTGATAAAACTGATGATTTAACATTTCAATGTGTTTTATTTGATGCACTTGAAAGAATTCTAAAGATAACTAATGTTCAAACTGATGAAATCTTCAAAATTCTTCTTGATTATAGTGAAAAAGTTACAGAAGACTTAAGAGAAAGTTATTTAGATGTTTTAGCAGCAAGTATAGGAAATATCACGAAATTGGATGATTCAGAAACAGAGTTTTTGATTAATATTATTCAAGAATCTCCTGAAAACTCATTTTGTTTGATTAAAAGTTTATTAGCAAGAAATGAAACAAAAGAAGTTGCTGTTGAAATTGTTAAATCAACTTTGATTTCATTGATTGATTCTCAATTAATAGAAGCTGCTGTTTCCTTATTTGCACAATGTTTCGAGTTGAATCCAGATGTTTTCATTGATTTTGCTGTAGAAATGAAAGAAATAATTTCTCGGTTTTGTTTTGATGAAAATTCATCAACACAAATTCGATCTCTTTTTTATGTTGCATTATCACAGATATGCATGAAAACTAATGATGTTGAATTATCTTTACAGATATATGAGAATATCATGAACTTGTTAGAAACTCCACGTGAAAGAATAATTGAAGAAATTCGAATTTCTTTATCAAATATTTTGAATTTATTAGATGAAGAAAAAATTAATGAATTAGTAACAAAAATCAATGAAATTCTAATAGATTGTAATGGAAAGATTTTACAAGTATTGCTGTTATTAGGCAAACAGATAATTGAACAGAAATCTAATGATTTTATTTTAGATTCAATTGAAAAATTAATCATCAAGTTTTGCCAAGAAAATCCTAATGATTTATTTGATGAAAGTGTTTTTGAATCATTTACAGATATTATATGTTTTATATGGAATGCAAGAATTGCAGAAGTTTGTATTCCTTTCCTTCTAGGTTTGTTAAATAACAGCAAAGATAACAATGTTTTGTATCTTTCAATTGGATGTTTAGCAGACATTCCTTTTGAACTTTTCAGAGGAAATAACATAGCAGAAGATATATTAGGAAGTGTATTTAAAGTATTGGAAGCAACAGATGATGTTTATATAAGGCATAATTCGATTTATCTTTGTAACAAGTTTTTGGCAAAAAATGTAATTTCTGCCAAAGATTTAGAAAGTTTGTATCCAATTGTTGTTGAATGGTTTAACTCCGATAATGAAGAAAACAGTAGTTTTATGAGTGTTCTTGCTGTTTTCATTGTTTATTATACCGCAAAATCAGGTAATGTTGATGAAAACATTATAAAGGTTGCAATTGATCACTTACCAAAAAAATTTGATCCTGATGTCAATAGTTTTCTTGAAACACTCAAAAATATGAATGTTATTATATAAAATATAGAGCTTTTTATATTTATCTTTTTCTATTTATATTGAGTTTTTGATTTCCATGGAACAAAACAACTTTTATAAAGATTTTATTGATTCAAAATGGTCGAAAATGATTGAATTTACAAATTGACTAAATTAATGACTATTACAATGATCCATGGACTTTCTTACTGATAACACGGCATGGAAAAGTTATTCTCTTATTGTATCTTTGTTAGACAAAAACTATTCTGTGAATTCAGTTTATCCTGATTCTTCCCATAAAAAAACATTCGAATAACTTCAAAAACAAAAGAATTTTTATTTTGGAAACTTTTAAACGCCATATTATTATGTAAGACAGATAGAAATGCCAAAAGGCTAATTGCTTTTTTAACAAATGCATATTAATAAATAGTATTTTATTATCAAACATAAATAAATAAAAATAAACAAAAACAAAATTATAAAATAAATAATAAAAGTTAATGAGTACTTTCATCTTCCGAAACAAAGTCCTCATCAAAAGTTTCCTCTGTTTCTCCTCTTGCCTTTGCATAAAGCGAAGACAAGTTAAATCCATACTTAGCAGCATAATTCTTCAGTTGTTCGTCATTATCGAACGCCATGCCCTTCAAGTCTTCAACCATTTGTTTCTTGACTGTATCAGCATTGAATTTCGCCTTCATTGCGCGCATGTGTGCCTGTAATTCCTGTTTCTTCTGTATCTCGATATTCTTAAGTCTCTCCATCGATTCAGTCTTTTGTCTTGCAGCTTTAGACTCTTCAAGTCTTCTTCTTCTTTCAGCTTCGAGTTGTCTTCTTTGTCTCTCAATTTTCTCGAGAATTAACTGTTCTTTCAAACGTTTTTGAGCAGCATTTCTCTGTGAAATAACATTTTGAACGTGTTGATTCTGAGAAATCATTGCGAGTTGTGCTTTTTCTCTTAGTTGTCTTTCTGCTTGCATTCTTGCTCTTCTTGCTTTGATTAATCCTTCTTGGTAATTTAGTTTCTTCTCCAAAAGATTTTGTTGTTTTTCTTGGTCGATTTGTTTCAATCTGTCATTCATTTCTTTCTCTTTCATGTCGAGTTCTTCTTGTAATTGTAATATCTTCTTTTGTTCTTCTTTTTCGACCTTTCTTTTCTGTGCTTTGATTCTTTCCATTTTTTCCTGATTTTTCCTTCTTTCTTCAGTCAAATTCGCGTTCTTCATGTGCTCCTCCAAGTTCTTCCTTGATTCCTGTTCGCTTTCTCTCCATTGCTGCTCTTTTTGTGATTCTCTCGCCCTGATGAAGTCTATGAGCATTTTTTCGACCATTTTCTTCTGACTTTTTTTGTATTCTTCAGTTTGCAGTTGATATTTCGCTTCTACATTCTCGAAATGGGATGAGGATGATTGCGAGGATATCTGGGAGTTGTTCTTTTGTCTCAAAGGAGGTAAATTGCTTTTGTTTCGCAATTCAAAAACTTTGGATTGAACTTCTTGTATCAAAGAGTCAACTCTCGCGTTTAATTGAGCTGCAGCTTTGTCTTGGAGTGGACCACGAGGACACAAAGCGTTTAGTTCAAGTTGAGTTGGATAATGAAGGTCTTTTGGAACTAATCCCAAAATCTTTAGAGCTTTTTTAACAGTTGGATCAGCTAAATCGAAAGGAAGCTCTTTTCTTTCACTCTCCGTCCTTGATGCTTGCTTTTGTTTGCGATCTGAGTCGTTCTCATCAGCTTTATACGAAATTGCGTTGTTTAATTGGGTAATTAAGAATCCGCTTTCGCCATCTTTGCTTTCTTTTTCACTAGCATCTGTTTGCTGCTCATTCTGTTCATCGTCGTCTTCGAAATCGTCACTAAAATCATGATCATCGTTATTATTTGATTGTGGAACTGATTTTTGCTGGGAAATCTGTTTCTCTTTCTTCTTCTGTTCATATGCCTTGAGAGATTCCAGCTTCTTTTGTCTTTCTTCCGCTCTTTTCCTTGCCATTTCTTCAGCTTTCGCTTTCAAAGCTGCTTCTTTCTCTTCTTTCTTCTTTTTGGCTTCTAACTGTTTCTGTTTCTCTATCTGTTTGAGTCTCTCAAGTTCTTTTTGCTTCTCTTCAAGTTTCTGTCGTTTTTCTTCTTCTTGTTTTTGACGGTTTTCTTCTTCAATCTTTTTTTGTTCTTCAATTTGCTGTTTTTTCTTCTCTTCTGCTTTAGCTTTTTCGGATGCGAGTTTGGCCATTCTTGCCTTTTGCTCTTCGTTGGCTTTCGCTTGTGCTTGGGCTTTCTTTTCCGCAATTTGTTTTTGTTCATCAGATTGATTCCTTCTGACAGGTATTTTAGTCTTTGTTTGTAATTCTTCACCGTTTTTGGGCTTGTTATCCTGTGGATTCTTTGCCTGAGAGTCTGTACTTTTAGGTGATTGTTTTGATTGTATTGATTTTTGAGAAGTTTGCGGAGATACCTCTTTTTTAGGTGATTCCTTTGGTTTTTTAACTTCTTCTTTTGGTTTAATTTGAGTTTCTGCATTAGATTTTTCTGTTTTTGGTGTTTCTGGTTGATTTTGTTCGGCATTCATCATTTCTAAGTCTGCAAGTAGTTTAAGACGCTGTTTGTATGGATCTTCTTCTGAACTAGGTGATTCTATTACGAAATCATTTTCGAATTCAGCTTCGTTGTTGTCGTTGTTGTTTTGATCATCATTATTTGCTTCGAAATTGTTTGCATCGTTTTGATTTTCTTCAACCTCATCAGTCGGTTTATTTTCTGATTTTGATGAATCAATAACGAAATCATCTGCCATTTCTTCACCTGATGCTGGTTCATCAAGTGGCTCTGAAATTATATGATTCATTGTAGGAAGAGGATTTTGAGGAATTATTTGTGGTTTAATTGTTTGACTTATTGAAACTGGTGGTAGTGATGGAATTGGTGGCATATCATCTGCAAATGTAGGTGGAATTTGAGATTTTCTGCTAGCGTTTTGAGGAGGTTTTGTATTTAATCCGGCTAAAAGACTGTTCTTTTTGAAATTTCCGACTGGAGGAGCATCCTTGAAAAGGTCGTCGTCATTTCCATCATCTTCTAAAGTAAATTCGTCAAATCCCCCGTCGTCAAAATCATTCATTGATTTATAACGATCTTTTTATAAAATTGAAGGGAAAATTTTATTTGTACTGACTTTAAATATAGCTTCTTCAGCTTAACTAAAATCATATTTATTTGAGAAATTTCATAAATCCATAACAAAATCAATTTGTTATCGAATATTTTCTATAATATGGATGTGACTGAGAAGAATATTAAAGTACTTGAGTAGTATAAATGCCAGGAATTGATATATTTGGTAAATGATGCTAATTTATTAATAAATTTTATTTCTTTCATATTGTCATAGAAAACAACTTATACGATTTTTACATTCGCAATCTACAATAAATTAGCGGCATATCTTTATATTTTTTTATGACTTTAGGATTGACCAAATTAATCATATCGGTGCCTTACAGCTTAAAAAAATAAGATTGATTAAAATTATATTGATTTATTAAAAATTTTAATAATTAAGGATTGTTTGCTTGCTGGGAAGGTGTTGAACTAGAACTGGAGCTAGAAGGAGATTACTTTCCTTCTTCTTTTTCTTGATAATTTGAGATAAAGTAATCTCTGGGAAATGATTCCTTCGAATAGGAAGGTTGCCATCTCAAATCTTCCTTAGTTTCATTATAATATATCATAGAATGATTATCAAAGAAATGCTTTCTTTTTGTTGTGAACTCACTCCAGATTTCCCATAAATCTTGATTGCTAGTCAATAAAGGATAATAAACTGTACCATTTCTAATTTGTTCTTTCTTATATCCAGTAAAATAGGTGCCATTCTGCCACTTAACGAGAACTCTAATTTTATCACGGGGTCCATCATACTTCAATACCAATCCATAGAAACTATCATAAAATTTAGTTGGGTCTAATTTTCTAAATTTATTCTTTTTGGTTGAAGAATAGGGAGCAATATAGACATTCTCAGTGTCATCTGTTACAAATGCACACCTTTTTTTATAGAAATATATTCTTTTCCGGATTTCATATAATATTCATATATTGTATCATTATCATTAAATTCTTCGCTGAAATTAAAACTTAACTTTTCTAATGAAACTCCAACACATTTGTACTTGTAGTCCAAAGGTAGTTTGTCATTTATAATATTAACATCTTTATCATCATAAAAGTATCCATATTTACCTTGATCCCGAGTGCTTCTGGCACGATACCAATAATCACTCACTATATATGCATCTCCAGAAATATTATAGATACCTGTAGGAACATTATAACACATTCCTTTTATATAATAATTGTTTTCTTTTGAAGAGAATATTTTGAACTTAACAAGTTTCGTTGATTTAATTTGAATTGTAATATCCGAATGATCAACATAAAATCCTTCATATCTTGGTTGCACTGATGAAGAAACAATTTCAAGATCAGTCAAGTCTGGAATATATAAAATTCTTTTAGCAGAAATATCTAGTGTTCCATCTATTTCCAGCGAGTATAAACCTTCATATAAATAAATAACATCATTGGTTTTTTCGACTTTATCAGTGTTTGTGCGGAGGTTTAAATTCCTGGTGACTTCTTCCTCACCATTAGCTTTAAAAACAGTCATGGCGCCTTTCATTGACACACAACTATATAACCCATTATTTTTTTTCTATTTCCAGATCCTTTTCTTTATCAGTACATTTAATCGGGATTGTTGAAACTGCCATTATGTAACCATTATCAGGATTACGGCTTGGATAATCTTTGTTTTTGAATGTCCCAAATTCATTAATAATATGATGATCACCATAATCAAGACTTGGTGTTACTAATTCATTTGTTCGGGATTTTGAAGTTATAATGGAAGTATACCTATCAAAATTATACAAGGAAGGATTCCATACTGAACTAATCATACGTGAGCATAGAAAAGTTTCCTTGGTTGATACATTGCAAAATAACGTATGTCCGGCGCTTATACAAACATCATATGGTAAACTGTTATCATTTTGTAAAGATGATATATATTTATCTTTCTGAATATCCAATAATTCGGATGTCAAGCTCTGGTCAAGAGAATCAGCTCTTAATTTAAATGGGTAAAGGTCATATAAATGATACATTAATGCCTCATTTTTCTGTAAAAGCCATTCTTTTTTCTCTCCTTTGCATACATCCTCAATTGAAACAAACATAGATGAATCTGAATAAATTATTAGATTAATATGACTAAAATCTTTATAACCTACTTCAAGATTCTTTGGATTGTGAATGATATCATAACTATATCCAGCTAATTCTTCTCCAAAATCTGCGTAAATCAATTGAACACAGCTATCTGCACTGCTTCCTGCAGGAAAAGATATAGATTCAACGCCTGTTATAATTTTTTGATAATTTGTTTGAACATCATTACGAATGATAATAATAATGGCTCTGTTTGAAACAGAAATTGTTTTAGGTGATGTACCGACCGTTATTAAGTAAGTTCCACTAAAATACAATCGAAAAGAATCTGGTAAAGTATCGACTTCAGTAAAAAGATCATCAGATGGTTTGAAATAAAAGTGAGATACTTCTGGTAAGTATATATCACTGTTTCCTGCTTCATTGGTAATCATCTCATGTTGGAAATCAAAATCAACTTTAATTCTCCTTTGATCACTATTAGCAAGGTAAAGATTAGTTGGCTTTGAAAATGTATGATAATAATCATAATCTTCTGTCCATTTCCAGCATATTGCATATATCATCATTTTGACAACAACTTTTTTGTTAAATGTGTTTGTGAATATCAGACCCTCTGATAAATAATCTTTAAGACCGAGATCTTTGTAATTAATAACTGTAACTTTATAACATTCAGATATGTTCAGTGTTTCCCCTTGATCTAAAGTCATTTCGTGATAGCCATTAGTAATGCCGTATCCGATTTGAAGTGAAGATACTAAATTATATAAAAGAAGTAACATAAAGTAGAATTATAGCGACTATTTTTTTACATAACGGATTTTTTTGAATAACTGATCATTTTACGTTGTTACTTTATATTTGTATGCCTTCAGGGGAAAAAACTTTTATGTTAAGAAAAATAGTCGAAAGTTTTGAATTTCAATTTTTTCCGGTACCAAAAATCATAAATATATTCTTAAATTCATTTGTAGATATAATAGAAATAAAACGAAAATACATTTTGAAATTTTGAATGGAATAAAACAGCACGTTACCATCCTTTTGAGAACCTTCAAGTCTATGAGACTCTCAATTTTTGAATCACTCTTCAATATTGCCGTCACAAACGAAAGATAAACAGATTTGAACATGATATTCTGATTGTACATGTATGGAAAATATATACGCTTTATCAAATTCTTAAAATAAAACAAGATTTTGTTTATTCAATATTACAAAAAAAGAAACAAGACCAATTAAAGCAAGGAACAATCATTCTTTGGAAGCGACTCAATTTCACTCCCTTACTGAGAATTCTGGAATTCGGTGGATAAAAATTTATATAATTCATAATATTTGTGATATTTACAATTGGCATTTGTTTTTATGCTTGAATATAGTTTCCATATTCAAATTGAGTAATTTTAAGAATTTCTGCATCTGATGTCAAATTTTTTGCATGATGAATTAAAACAATTTGTCGGATCTGGTATTAAATTGTTGGAATACATTACTGTAAATTTTGAAAAAAAAAATCAAGTGTGCGGTATACTACTCTGAAAAAATTCAATACTTGTTTGACTTTTTGATACAACTCTCTCAATACTCTCTGAGGTAATTGTGTCGACTCTGAGGTTTGTGAAAGGATTCCTACAAAGATCTAAACGGCAGAATTGTCTAAAGTACGATTTTCACAAAAAAATCGTCTTTTGACTTTGGGAGATTGATTTTGGCATGAAGTGTTTGAGTTACGCCTCTGTAATTGATAGATATCTCATATCGTATGAATATGAATTAACAAATCAAGATATTAGATTATATTAATATCTAACTGCGAAATTATTGCGAAAAAGGTACATGTTATATATAAATTATGGAATGACTGAAGGTTTGTTTCTTAATGATCTTATTATTCCGCTTTGTCTAACAAAAGAGAATTTCGACATCAGCCTACTGCAATACATTGTATTACTTTACAAATCTGAAACTACATGCAATCGTTCATGTGAGGAAAACGCTGTCTTTTTTGATCTTTTAATAATTATATTAGGATTTTCCTAAAATAGGAATTTATTGTTGAGAATATGTGTAGCCTTGCAACAATAAGATAAATTTAATAAACAAACAACAAACAAATTTTTACTCTTTCTTTGCAAATTTAATGATTGGTTTTCGTGGGGCAATCTCGGCTTCTGAATCAGTCGAATAAGAATAATTAGGCGGTATCTGCTGACTTTCAACTGGAAAGAGGGGTAATTTCTCTGTAGATAATTTCGGCTCAGGTATTATTGTTGGTATCTGTTCGGGTTCAACTTCTGCTTGATTTTGAGCTGCAAGCATTTTATTAAGCACTGAGCCGAATTCTCTCTGTCCTTCCCATAATCGATAAACGTTGTCTGTCATCTTTGCCACTACAGTATTCTTGTTTTTATCGCTACGAGATAATTTGACTTCTTTGGTGGTACTCGGCTGGAACATTTCGAAAAATCTTTCTCTTTTTGAGGGATCTGGGAGTTTTTTCATGTAAATGATAATTAAATCACCATTATAAACTTTTTGGACTTGAAACGATAATTCGGGTCTGAGTATTCTACCTTTGTGGCAGTAGATAAATTCTGCATTTGGAAGTATTTTAAAGCCGCATTCCTCGAGCCCCTGAGCAACTTGTGCAAATATCGGAACGTGAACTTGGGTTATTTCATTTCCGTACATTTTAACATTCAAGAAAATCTCGGTCATGATGATATTTGATCAAATTTTGTATACCTCGCGGTTGGAACCATATATTTTAGATTTTATTTCACATATTTTAATCCCGTTAAAAATTCATCAAAAAAATCTTGTAAAAATAACGAACTTTTGTGAGGATTAGATTTTGAAAGGAAATAAATTTCACAAATCCTTTGATTTGACACTCTGATTTTTTGGAACTTTTTGAATATTAATCCTCCCTAAAATTTTTTAAATTTATGAATTTGTTCTACCTATGTCTTATTAAAGAAAAACTTCGATAAGTTATGAAATTCCTCTGAAAAATAGTTTCACACTAAGAATTTCGCATATTCAATTATTGACAGCTCTGATTGCTATGGATAAATTTTTTGGTAACATCTCAACTCATTGTTGTCAGATATTTTGTCAAAAATGGATATTCGAAATTCACCGAAAGAAATTATCTGTTTCGAGAAGAATTTGAATCACCACTAAGCTATATGTAATATGTTGAGATTTATGCAATGAATTTTGTTTATGAACTCCCCTTCCTCGTTTTCATAATTTATATAAGTCAGCATTATTCTGATGCATGAATGCTATCGGAATATCATCATATCCTCTTTGTAATGCCGAGTAACGATTTACGCCAACCCGAAATTTCTCACCCAGTATATCATTATATTACAATTAAATTCAACGTAAATGATACGATTTTAAATTGTAATTAAGTTTATATTATTAATTTATAACTATTCAGAAATATTTGGTGAAACTCATCAAATAAGGCCTTATAACCAAAATTTAACCATATTATTTAAATACAATAGTTTTCGTGCTACTCAATAAGAGAAATATCGTATCATTTCTTTTCATTAATATATTTCAATGGCTGAAAAAGAAACCACGATCATTAAAAAATCAGACATGAAAAAAATCCTTCAAGACAATCAAGAAATTGGACGCCTTTCTAAAGGAATTGATCAAGTAATGGCAACAGTTGTTGAACAATTTACAAAAGATCTCATCGAAGCATCTCTTAATGACGATAAAACATTTATAGATATGGATAAATTAATCACTGTTATCAGCGAAAATAAAAAATACGACTTTCTTGAAACTATGATTCCAAAGTTCAAAGAACTATCGGCTCCAAAGCGCAAAGAGTGAAAACTTAACGTTTTTGTGGATAACTTTGAAACAATAAAGATTTGTTTGAATAAATAAAAATAATTATTTTTATAGAGCAAAACAACACAAAATCATTCATTTAAGATTAATAATTGGTCGATAATTCATTTATTTGAGCATTGATTATTACTAAATATTGAAGAAATTTTAGTAATTTCAAATTTATTTGTCGAATTGAGTTCTTAACTGAACAATATCAAGCATTTTCTAATCTTATTGGGATATGTAATATCATTTTTCATATGTAAGAAGAATTAACAAGATTTGATTGAATATTTTAAAATTCTTGCTTTTTTTTTAATGTCTAAAAGAAAATATTGTAAAAAATATAGTAATATTTTAATTCATATTCAAAAGTTTATGGTAAATAAGCAATTTTAGCTCCTTCTCTTTCAAGGAATTGTCGTGTGATCAAAATCTTAAGTCTTCTCTGGAAAAGATCTTCAGAAACAGGGAACTCAACTTCCTTCTGTACGACAGAAATTAAATCTTTTTCTGTCATTGGGCCACCACCTTTCAAAGCTCTTGTAATTGCAGCATCAATTTGAGATTCTCTAGAAGCGTATGACTCTTTACTCTCAAATACTTGTGATGTTGGTGTCTTCTCGCTTATTGTTGGGATATCAATAATTCCATTTTCATCAGGTTTGCAGTCTACATTAACTTTGTAGGTGGATTTGGTTTTAGTAATCAATGATCCATACTTAGAGCTGGATAAAGCAGTAAGAATCTCTTCTAATTTTGGTTTTTCTAATCCGACAAGTTCTACAAGCTCTTCTTCTTGTTTTCCTTCGCCAATAACTGTTAATATTGATGCAACAATGCCATCGCATCTAACTTTTCTAAGACTTCCGCAGTTTTTGACCTCCAAATTGCATCTTGAAAGTCCAGCGTGCCAATTCAAAGCTCTTTTATTAACTTTGTCTGTATAATATTTTGTAAACTCTGTCATGGCTTTAAGAACCTCTTCTGGTGGTTTGACATTAAGATTTTGTTCATTTTTAAGAATATAAGATTGAATAATTGAAAATGAGAGATTAAACTGTGCGGGATATTTCTTAGTAAATTCCTGAACCGCGTCCTTATTTTGTTTGAAGTCTTCGAGGATATAAATTATTTTTGTTGCTAATTCAGGAACTAATGACTCAATACGTTGTGCAAGTAAGCAATCAGCCTGTATATCTTTGTTTTCGATCAATCTTTTAACGAGATCTGCGATATAAAGCTCTTCAAACAATTTTGTATTTCCCATCCAAGCAAAAGCATTAGATATTGCTTCAATGGCATCATCAGTAACTGCGGAAGGTCCAATATCAGCAATCCTTGATACTTCAGATGCTAAAAGACGTGTAACTTGTTCAGATGTGGCTCCAATTTGTCTTTCAAGGACTCTTGTGAGGTTATTGCGACCAACTTGGCCAATATGTTCAAGAGATAACAACTGGGATTGGAATTTGATGAAGTTCTCGAAGAGTTTGTCATCTTTCAACGCATCTTTTGAATTTTTAGTGATGAAATCAGTGAATTTTCGGTAGGATTCGCTGATCGTTGAAAGGCTCTTGAATATAATGGCCAGGATATTGGTGTTAACAGGGTCCGCGTTGATGAGATCTGGTTGGGATGAGATATTTGCAACAAAATCTTTTGCAAACATCGAAGCAATATTATAAAGGACCATTGTTTCGATATCATTGCCAGCAACTGTGTAAAGAATCCTAAATGCTTGGTAGATTTCGACAGCGCTCAGTTCTTTACTTAATTTTGTAAAGATATCTGTAAAGATTTTTTCGCCATGGACTTCTAATAGTTTTGTATCTTTCATGTATGTGATAAGTGCTCGGATATCTTCTTCATTGGAATCCTTGAAAAGTTTTTCAAGAATTCCTGTGATGAAACCAACAAAGAATTTGATTTCTGTTTCACCAAAGATGAGACCATTAATAAGGATATTGTAAAAACTCTCTTGATTTGGTAATAATGAAGAAAACGTGAATTGTAAATATGAAAATTTCAACTGGATATTCTTGATAAGAGCGATAAAACTATTGGTATCCTTGCTGGAACCGAATTTTTCCATTATCTTCGGCATATAGCTTGTGAGTTTTTCGTTAATGTAACTTAAAATTGAAGAAGGAGTGGAATAGATTGCTAACGAATAAACAAATCTCTGATCAACAATGCTGAACTTCGGTGTTTGGTCTTTTTCAAAAAGATCTGTTAACTTTTCATCAATAAATACAGTCCATTCTTCTTTTTGAGCAACTTGAACTGTAATTGATGATGGAACAGAGGTAGGCCTCTCTTTTGCAGAATCTGTGTATATTTGGCAAGGCTTAAAAGCAGAAAGCTGATTTTGCTTGTCAATTTGAAGTTTGTGCATTAAGCAAAACTGAGCCAATTTATATTACGTTATGTATGTAACTAGTTAATCAATATGTCTTCACTCCGCTTATTAATATTGGTCACTGAAATTAGAAATGAATTTTTACTATTTTAATAAATTTGCATATTTCTTAGCCATTAATCATATATTAGGATAGAACTTAAAATCAGGAAGTATCAACCTTTTCAACCAACAATGAATAAAATCTCAACAATAGATATGTGTTTACTCAGTATTTCTCATATGATTTTTAAAACTCGATAAGTGTCAATATTGTTTATCAATTGAATTGTTCTGTTTATCCATAAATAATAAATCAAGGTTCTATTTCATAAAAAAAATGCATAAATTTTTATAAAAGTTGTGCATGTTTAATTTAGAAGGAGTAGGGGTAATTTTAGCTAAAAGTGACACACCTGTAAAAAGTGACACACTTATGAAGGGTGTGATTACCGATCGGTAATTTCGACAGTTTAGAATTTAAAATTTTTTATGGAACTGTTGCGAGTTTCATAAAGAATTTAAGGAATATAAGCAAAGATTTGAATCAAAATCTTAGACCTAAGCCGCTCGATTCGCTCGCGGCTTCCGCGAATTACAGATCAGCAAAGATTTGAATCAAAATCTTCGAACTAAGCCGATCGCTTCGCTCGCGGCTTTCTTTATTATTTTAAATTTGCATATTTCCATCAAAAGTTCATAAGGTAAAAAATTTCGTTTATTTTTACTAAGAAAAAAAAGGTTTTTGATAATAAATTTATTTTATTTCGAAAAAGTAGCAATAATCGTAAAAGGGTATTGATAGGCTTGCTAAAGTAACTAATTTTAGCTGTCAAATACTTTTGTATTTTGAAGTAAATTAGTATAAATTTGTTTTTACTTTTATTTCGAAAAAGTAACAATAATCGTAAAAGGGTATTGATAGGCTTGCTAAAGTAACTAATTTTAGCTGTCAAATACTTTTGTATTTTGAAGTAAATTAGTATAAATTTGTTTTTACTTTTATTTCGAAAAAGTAACAATAATCGTAAAAGGGTATTGATAGGCTTGCTAAAGTAACTAATTTTAGCTGTCAAATACTTTTGTATTTTGAAGTAAATTAGTATAAATTTGATATTATTTTAACTCCCTTTGAAAACCTCAATTTTCCATACAGAGGGAACGGGAATAGCATCCAATATTCCCTGAGAATGGTTGCGCATTCTCAGTTCCCTCTATATTTCGAACGAAGCTCTCATCGGTCTTTTTTTTAATACTAAACGTTTTTTTTTTCCCTGTCACTTTTAGCTAAAATTTGGGTTTGCCAATTTAGAAGAGTCATCAAATGGAATTGGAGAGTTTTTATTGCTGGACGCGTTTAGCTAATCTTTGTAAAGTTGGATCTTGTAAAACTCTTAACTCATTTTCATCGTTTGTAACAATTTGAGAGTAGTGATCTCTAAGCTTCGAAATTAAATCTTGTACGTCCCTTTCATCATGAAAACTATAAACCATATCAGATTCTTGATCAGTTTTTATGTACAACTGATTACCTTGTATAGCATATCTAGTTTGTGGATTTAATTTCTTGTAAAAAGAGGACTCTTCATTTGTTTGAGTATTATTTAGTAAGAAAAGAGTTAAATCGGTTTGATTTTGAACCACACAAAGGAACAATGGTCCACCGATTTGAAGTTTTACCCAGCGTCCATCTTCAGACTTTTTATAAATGCAAACTTCTGGATAAACATTAAGATAGTCTTGTATGTATCCAACTTCCTGAAATATCTTTCTAATGACTCTTAAATTTGTATCTTTGCGGTATTGCTGATCAAAGTTAAGATGCAGTTCAAGATTTTCTTGCATTTTTTAAAGATTTTTATTGAAATGTCAAAAAAAATTAAAGATGCTAATTAGTGTTTTGAGGTCGAATATAGTAGAAATAAAATTAAGAAGAAATAAAATTTTTGAAAAATTTTCAAATTTTAATGTCACTTTTAACAATTTTTGACAAATGTAATTTTTTTTTCATTTTTCTTCATGACTGGTCCTAAACGCGTACTGTTAGGCATCATAATCGGTCAAAAGGTCTATAAATGCAATGGTAAGGGCCAAATTATTCTTCCAAAAAAAAATCCACGTCAATTTGTTGAAATTGGGTCTGCATTACTGAAGTTATCAGAACCTATTTCGGGAGTTCATCCAAATGAAGTTCCGGATGTCAATCTTTACCAAGAAGATTTCTTAAGTTTTGAAGGTTGTTGTGAATCTATACAACAACAGCCAAATCAATAACAAATTTCGATCCCGAATGCATGTATCGAAATTTGCAAAGAAGATCAACTTATACTTGATTCTAACGAAGCTTCAATTGATGAAGATGATCTATATTTTCAATCATTTGACTTCGTATGAATTTTCTTTTATCTTATTCATTGGGAATGGGCGATCCCAATTATAAAAGCGTCTTATATAATAAAAAAAAAACTTTTTTAACAGCGAAATGTGTAGTATTTATTCTGAATTGAACACGGTTAAGTCATTAAGCGAAATGGTACAATCTTTATCTCTGTCTGAGGAAAATGTTAAAAATTATCTGAAAAACATGAAAGATTTGGTTTTTGAAAACAAGCATATCAAGTTTCATTTCATCTAATTGAGTTGAATCAGATTTTAAGGTCAGCAATGTTAAAATAGCATTTACTTATGATTTTTTGTAAATTTTCGTGTACGTTACATAATTCGTATTACATTTTATATGAGGAAAGTCGATCTGAATGATGAAACAGGTCGACATAATCCCTTCATTATCAGAGATCCATGTAAGATCTTTTCAATGTCTCAAGTTAAAGAATATATGATTGAAAAAGATCGAGAATCAATCCGAACAACAACTCTAGCTCAAAGAGCCGATGTGCTCAAGCCTCCTGTACCTACAGGTGCTATTTCTCAGAAAAACACGCGATCAATTACGGCATATACTTCAATGAAATCTACGACTAGTAATTTCAATTCGGATGTATTAAAAAATGCTGGTAGAATCACCGATTTTATACGTCAAAAAAGAGAAATATATAAATTACAGTTACTAATTGATCAAAAAAGAAAAGAGATTAATACAATTTATAAAACTATGGAAAATGAAGAAAAGAAATGGGAAGACAAGGACAAAGAAATCGATAATCTTGGTGTAAAATACAAATGTATTAGCGTCCAAGCAGATAATCTTTATGTTGACCAAAAGAATGCATTTGAACAAGCACGTTCTAATGCCATTCAACTTCAAGCCACTAAAATGAAGAAAAAACGAGATATTATTGATCTACAAGAAGAATATAAGAAAGATTTGCTTACACTGCAAGAATACCAAGGATATCAGAGCTTTTTACAACAATTTGTTCCAAAGGGAAAAAAGATGTTCGATCATTTTAATGATGTTAAACAAATTGAAGCAGAATTAGCAAATGAACAAAAAGAAAACTTATTTTTAATTACGAACTGTATAGAGTTAGAAAGTCAAATAAATAATTGTCAAAATGATTATGAGCAATCGCTCAAAAACATCGAAAAATTGATTTTGAACATTAAGCCCATTATAGAAGAAACATATGATACTTCAGATGAAGCTTTGATGAAAGTGCAATACAAGAATGAATTTAACAATAAAAGTAAAGAAATTGAAAAAATTACAGATAAAATCAGGAAAATTTATGATCAATTCTTTGAACACGATGATCATATGAAAGCTTCAACAATGTTGAATAAAATTAATGCTGGTCTCGAAGATTTTTACAATAGATCAGCATTGCTTGACCAGAAATATATGAATCAACAACAAAAAGAAATAAATAAGATCCGTAGAGAGCAGCAACGCGCTGATCAAATGATGCAAAAAGAATTGGTGGCTCAAGTAAAGAAAGAACAAGCTCTTGAAAGAGCAAACAAACCAATTGTAAGAAGAACTGGAAGGCCGTTAGTAGCTAGGTCATTTATTCCTAAAGTTATTAAAAATAATGATGAAGAGCTTCGACTTAAAGCTCTTGCTGAGCGCAGACAAACTGAAATGCTGTTCGGCAAATTCGAATGAAGTTAATTTTATATAGTTGTATTTACCATGCTTGATATAATAGTAAATTTGTTTGTATATATTATCTCATTAATCTCTGGTATTGACAGGCTAATACTTGTATTCAAAAGTTAAATATGAAGATAATTATTGAACTGGGAGTCTGATAATTTTTAACAACCATTAACACATCTGTATAAAATATATTTACAATATTAGTAATAAAGGAATTGTCTTCAGTAAGTTAAAATATTAATTATTTATTCATCAAATACGATTAATTAAGTAGAAACTGTCATAAAAAGTGTGTGCTTGTTTCATCGATGGGACGTTAAAAGAGCTATTTAAAAAATAACAGAAAAGAAGTTTATTTGAGGAATTTAGGATGGATAACACGTGTTTCGCTTTGGGAAATAAAAATGCTATCAATTTGGCAATAGTGCATTCATGAGTTATATAAAATGGCGAACTCCATCAAAAAGATAAATTCGGATCTAAATTTCGGATGTTTACGAATTAATTTGGTTACTAAATTACTGTTTACTCATCAAATAAAATAAAATGGTGAATGTGAAAACCAGAAAAGTGAACATTATATTGCCATTATGAATGCTGCTCAAAATTAGACTTTCTAATTGTGGGTAGCATTTTACCTTCAAAATCAATGACTTTTCTTTCCGGAAAACTACAAGTTTTACATTTATTGAATTGTCGAGAATTTTTTGAAAAGTATCGACTTTACATTTGAAGAAAATTTTGAATTGATTATTCAAATTTTGAGAATTAAAAATTTTAGAAACGTTGAATTAAATTAACTAATATATGAAAGAAAAAAAATAAATCACAAATTTCAAAAGAAAAAATAATTAGCTGAAAAACCTATAGACAAGGTGAGTAAAAAACTCGGAAGATAATTAAACGAAAAAAAACAAACATTTATTAATATTAAAAGATGAATCCTAATAAAATCAGGATTTCTCGATAAAATAATTAGGGCAAGTTCTTACAAGATTAAGAGAAGGATGGTTCCCATTGTAACAAAGGAAGTAAATGTCATGTAACGGAGTTTCTGAGCTAATTTTGGATGCTTCTTATGGTGGTAGGCATATAAAATTAAGCCAGCAATAGGGCAAACGCATATAGCACCATACATTAAGACTTCAGAGAAGGATGAAATGCCCTCACTGCTATCAATCTGTGCATTGTCTTGGCTTGGTTCTTCTTCTTGGCCGATTAGATCGATTGGGAAGCCTGGTGGTAATGGATGATCCAACTCAAGAGTTTTTCCATTCTTAAGTGTATATGTGAACTTTCCAGCGGAAAGATCAATAGGTGGTGGAACTTGGGCGCCACAAACTGTGACGAAGAAATCAGGAGTAGGGATGCAGTAGTTGCATTCAATCTCTGTGGAGTAGCTATAGTCCTCATATGGATTGAAGGAGGAGGATGATTGTTCGATATTAGAGTATATAGCGTTTGGGCACATTATGATTTATAATTAGAATGTTTGAGTTAATATTCAAATATTTTGATGGCTTTCAATTTTGATTGCGCATAGCGGTTAGACAAACATGTTAAATTTTAATAAATATTACTATATATGCAATGATTACCACTGTTATGGTAAAGGCTTTCAAATGTATTATTCAATTTTGAGATATTCTTAAAATCTTCAATTCCTCTTAATTTGAGGAGGCATAACGTTAGATTGAAATTAAATATATTGATAATCATATATTCGTTGATATTATGCAATTAAAATTATGTATTAAATTTGAAAAGGTTATCGTTGGGAGTTCAAATGCGAAATTGGTACATTTTAGCTTGACCATACTATTCAGATCAAATATTATTTAAGATATTTTCAACTTTGAATGCCATCGTTTTTTAGCATATTATATCATTTATGTTTAAAATTAATTATTACATTAAATTAATGATATTTTTAAATTACGATCTTTTGAATTCAGCTGTTTTCAAATTTATTTTTCACTTCACATGACATAGTTTTAAATATTACTTAACTCATCTAGTTACAAATATTTTTTATCATCGACGGAAGTTTTCAATTTTGGCTATTTTACATTCGCTTTCTCAAAATATTATTACCTAGTCAATTCAAACATGTTGATTTTTCCATATGATAAATCAACTACTTTTTTTCAATTGAAATACAAAGTTTTCTTTCATTTCTCACTACATCTTCACTGCACATGATATCCATGCATAATTTTCAAAATAAACCTTTTCCCTCTAAATCAATTCAATTTTTTCATAAGAAATAACGATTTATTGCTTTTATATAGTTTATGATATCAATCATTCATTTTTCGATAATTCTTATCTTCTGCTACACATCCTCTAATGTATAATATATCCCGTATCATTCAAATCCGATCATAATTAATTTCAAAGAATCGACCACTCAAAAAATTACAATTAATAATTTATTTAACTAGTATTCCTGGATTCAGTTGGTCATAAGCGCGAAAGTTATGCTGATTATTCAGGTCATAGCTCACTAAATTATCATGACAATTTTAATTTTCATTATTTGAGCAATTTATTGTATTGTTTTTCGCGACATGTCCAAAATATTATGAATGCCCGTCTTAATTAGTTTCATTGAACAAGTCTGTTATGATTAAATTGAATTTTATTATGTTATTAAAAGTTTAGATCTGTAAAATAAAAGATTGCAAATTATAAGAATAACTTAAGAAAATAAAGAGATTTATAAAATTTATATCAGAATCTAACAAATAAAAACATTTCAGTAATTCGCAAGTAATCAGAAAAGGCTCAATAAATAGTGCATACATACAGTAATCTTTGATTTCGCTTACTTTTCGAATTTTTAGCAAATTTTCATAATATAAACCAATATTATAAAACAGAATTGGATCAATTGAGTCGATTGAGTGATTGTGTTGATGTGTGGTCGCTAAGTCTTGTAATTTCGAAAGTTTGTATAATTAAATATCGAACGCAAAGATCAATTGCAAAATTCGAACGATTAATATTCATGACAAACGCATATGATTTTGGGTGCTTCACTGTATCATGATATTTGAAGTCTTGCTCAGAATTTCAGAGTTCATCACCGAAAAATGTTATCTCAATTGATATGTTTAAGCTTTTTCTATTGGAACTTTATATCAATAATTAAGGAAGTCAATTTGGAAAATTGTTTTCACTTTAGGAGAATATAATTTTCCATTTGGAAAATTTAAAAAGTGAGACGCGCAGGATTCGAACTTTTTTAAAAAGTTGATTTAAATGAATTTTAGTGTGGAATATAAGGATAATATCATATTTAAAATAAGAATATACTAGTTTAGGTGGTATTAATTTTTTCGATAAATTTGAGAGTATGTACGTTTAGGGCATGAAAAGTGTCAATTCGCTCAGCGAAAGCTGAGCTAGCTTCGTTCTCGAAAGAATAAGGAAGGAGTGAAGGAGAATGATACAGAAGTTGACACATTCATATCATTTCAACAAATTTTGATCAAATTGAAATTCAATAAAATTCAATTCAATTCATATCCTTCAGTCAGTACATTGATATCCTTCTGCATCACAATGATAACTCGGGCATCAATAGTTCTACAACTAACTCAGAAAAAACAAGATTTTTACTTCCTGCTTACAGCTTTTAAAAAGTTTCGATGATAAAAATCATTCTACTCTCGTTTATCGACATATGGTGATAGTAGGTAAACATATTCTTATCGATATTAATAAAAATATTTGTACGAAAATCTTATCCAACTAGAGAGTTATTCATAAAGTATATGATAATTATAATTACTTTATCTTTGTTTTATCTTTGAATAAACAATTTAATTTAAATTGCATAATATTTTTTGGTTGAAAGACAGGAAACTTAGTTGAGTTTGTATTATTTTTATCGTTTAATTCATCGTATCAGTGAGTGATCCAGATATTTAAGATATTTAGAAAAAAAATTATTAATTTGATTAACAAATTTTAATCAAAATAGCAAAAATCTATTTGATAGCTGTAAACAAACAATAATTTTTATTTCAAGCAAAATCACTTATTTTCATCTAAACGTATAAAATTGTCAATTTTATGAAAATAATTTGAAAATCTCATGAAATGTATAGGAGAGTAATATTTTTCAATTTTCTTTTTTTCTTTGTCTCAAATATTTTCTGTTGGGAATTTTCTTGTTATCAAAAAATAATTTTAATATTTGTTTATTTCATTACATACAATAAAATTTTAAAAACTCTATTTCTTCTCAAGAAAATTTTTTCCTTCATATGAAGAAACATTTTGTTCTCCATTTGATACTGAGTCTAAATCTCGATTTTTGAATTTTCTTCTTTCCAAATTTCTTTTTTCCAAATTAGAAGTTTAATTCAAATTTTCAATAGTTTATATATTTTCTCAAACCGTCTCAGATTTTCTCACTTTTTAGGGATTTTCTCTCAAAATATACAAAAATAGTAATATCAATACATGTGTCTAATATACTTTAAAACCATCGTGACAAAATTCAAAAACGAAGCGTTCTTCTCTCCAAATTTTTTTCAAAATCAAAAAAATGAGATAAAAAAGTACGTTTGGAAAATTCATTTTTAGCATTTTAGGAATTTTCTCACTTTTCTTCCAAATTGACATCCTTACAATAATGCCTCGAAACTAGATTTTTTTTTGATTATAAAAAGTACCTTTTGGGACATAAATAATATTTCTATTAATGGCATATTATCTGATTTCAAAGAATCAATTGATTTAGAGTGATTGGAATAAAAATCTTGTATAATATAAGCATCCGGATAGCAATCCTATTGTTCTAGACTTTCCTATTGTTATCATGCCGTTTCTCATCAATAGATTTAATCAAAATTCATAAATTATATCAGAAATCTTTGCAGTCACTGCTTTCCGCATGTATAGCATAGGATTTTTTTCTTCTAATAAATTTAAGTGATATTTATATGGTAAAACGCAAACGTGTCCTTTATAAAAATTATTAATGTCCGACAAAGACGCTCATCCAAGCAAATACAGTGAATTGCGAAGTAATTACAAATATTACATCGATACATACAATGCATTATATCAGTTGAGAACGGAAAAAGAAGAAGAATTAAACTCGATTTACAAAATGATCAAAACAGAATTTATTGATTCAAATAAATATCCTCCCCAAAATATACTACGAGACATTTTAAATATTGTTCCGTATAATAATCATTATGCAAAGTCATATCTATCTCTTGCCAAACTCATATCAGATGAATATCATATCAAAGAGGTCGAACGTGTCATACATATCTCAAACTTCCTATTTTATAAAGAATATGGAATTAAATTATACAAATCTGATGACTTCGAAAAAGATGATATTAAAGATCTCGATATTCATACAGAGAATACAATATACAGAGCAATTATGAATAACGACAAAGAAAGTTTCATCATATTCACGGAAAGAGCTGGATTTGATAAAAATCAAACGCTTGCAAGTAGGTTATATCCACATTCTAATAAAGGATATTCATTACTTGAATTATGTTGTTACCATGGAGCTGTTGATTGTTTCAAGTTATTAAGAACGAAATTTAAGTCAGAAATAACTCAAAAATGTCTCAGATTTTCATTTTTAGGAGGAAATCCGGAGATAATGAATGAATGTTTAAAATATCAAAAACCAAATGAAAAATGCATGAAATATGCAATTATTTCACATAACATTGATTTTGTTACATTCTTGATGAATGAATACAATATAGAAATCGATTTAGATAATTGTGGGTTTTATAATAATCTTGAATCCTTTTTAGTTCATCTCGATCAAACTAATGATTTTGGCTATTGCTTTGTTTATTTATCGTTCTTTAATATTCCATCCCTTTTCGAATGCTTCCTTTCACAAGGTGTAAACATCAATGAAAAAGTTGAAAATAGAGAAACCGCACTTCATTATGCAGCATATTATAATAATATAGAAACTGTCGAATTTCTCATTTCACATGGTGCGAATATCAATGAAAAAAATGAAAATGGAAGAACCGCACTTCATTATGCAGCATGGAAAAATAGTAAAGAAACTGTCAAAGTTCTCATTTCACATGGCGCGAATATCAATGAAAAAGATAGAGATGGAAGAACCGCACTTTATGATGCAGCATATTGTAATAGTAAAGAAATTGTCGAATTTCTCATTTCACATGGTGCGAATATCAATGAAAGAGATAGAGATGGAGAAACCGCACTTCATTATGCAGCAAATTGTAATAGTAAAGAAACTGTCGAAGTTTTCATTTCACATGGTGCGAATATCAATGAAAAAGATGAAGATGGAAGAACCGCACTTCATTATGCAACATGGGAAAATAATAAAGAAACTGTCGAAGTTCTCATTTCATATGGTGCGAATATCAATGAAAGAGATGAAGATGGACAAACCGCTCTTCATTATGCAGCATTTTATAATAGTAAAGAAACTGTCGAAATCCTCATTTCACATGGTGCGAATATCAATGAAAAAGATAAAGATGGACAAACCGCACTTCATATTGCAGCAAATAAAAACAATACAGAAATTGTTGAAGTTCTCATTTCACATGGTGTAAATATCAATGAAAAAGATAAAGATGGAAAAACCGCACTTCATATTGCAGCAAATAAAAACAATACAGAAATTGTTGAAGTTCTCATTTCACATGGTGCAAATAATGTTCCTACAAGTTGGCCTTCACTCCGAGGTATTAACCCCTGTACCTACTTTCGTTGAAAATTCGATGATTCTTTGGTACATTTATTGATATTTATGATTTATTGTGAAATAGTTGATATTTATGATTTATTGTACAGGACATGATGTATAATTTTTTTAAAGATTATTTAGTTAAACATTTTCATCTACTTTTGATATATTGGAGATTTCTAACATGTTTATATATTTTTGGTTTTTTAGTCAGAGTTCCTCATGCAAATGGATTTTACATGAGAAATATGAATGCATTTCAATTTTGATATTCAATCATCTCATATCTCGACTTTGGCCTTGGGGATTTCCATAAAATTCCATATATTATTAGAGTATATGATGTTATTAATTTGTGCAAATTTACAGGGGAAATTGTGTAAATTTAGTCAACTTTACTGCACAACAAGAAAACACCGCACGCCTGTAATCCCCAATAAAGTATTCAATTTTCACTGATTTTCTCCTAAGTCTCAAGTTAAGCTTCTTATGATCTATTCAATCTATACTATAAATATGAGTCCTTTTCTCATGCTAGAAATGGTGAGTGCACACATGTTCCTACATAAAATACTATTCTTTTTCTTGTATTTTCGAAGATGTATTTTATTAGGAATTAAAAAAATAGTTAACTATACATAAAGCTATTTTCCCAACTCTCAATTTTATGGCTATTCCGTACTTTGTATTGGATCTAAAATAAAATGGGTTGCGTAATGAATACAATTAATTATATGAATTGAATTAAAGGTCGACAAAATATTGTGAGGGGAAAATTGAGTACTTGTTGACTATTGAGCACATATTCTTTATCAAATTCATCGCTTTCCGTAAAAAAGATGAATCTTTCTATGACATCATCCATAATGACTCTCTAAATTGTATTTTGAATTTTAGTTTTTTAAAAGATTCTGATGTATCACATGAGCCAGTAAAAAAAATAACAATATCATTTTTATTGCGAAGATGGTGTTAATGTGACTCTATATTGCTTTGTTTCTGCCGAATTAACTGTTGATTTAATCAAAACACGCATTGAACCATCAGAAGGTTCATCATAATCATGAGGAGGAACATTATCTGCAACAGATATTTCTCCATCAGGCGGATTTAATATTTTCAATGTACAAGATTTTGTTCCTTGAGTTAATGTTACAGTCTTAGCATCAACAACAGTAACATTTGAAGGTGTTGTCATGGTCCAAACCATTCTTTGAGGATTTTCCCCTCCAATAATATTATCTTTCATCGACCAAAACTACATCCCTTGTCACAGACTTCAGTTTTGTCCGCCTAAATAATTGTCAGATGAATTATAAATCTTTGTAATTCCTGAATATGCTGTTACATTGAACTTCTCACCTTCAATAGTTAGTGTATTATGAGGTGTAACAGTAGATTTGTATACAACCCATCTTTGTCCTTCTTGAGAATAGTCCCAATAATCAATTCCTTTATTTGAAAGATCAATATAATCCAATGTTCCAAGGTCTGATGCCCATCTTACACCATCTGAGTCAAATACAAATGTTCCTTGGTCCATGTGAGCATGAGGACTCCATGGTTTTCCACCTTTGAAGCCGAATGAAAGTCCTTTTCCTAATTCCCAAGATGTACGAACTAAAATCACAGGAGTAATGCCTTTGCCATAATACATTTTATTGGATGGGGCTATAGCTTCTTCTTTTCTGAATCTTGATCCAAAAACTAAAACTATTGGCAAATAATAATGTGCAATTCCTGTTTTAAGGACTTCTAATATGTAATTGTTATAGAATACTAAAGAAGGATCATTATAATAGTATGCAAACCAATATAAAATCGGTTGAAGAACACCTTTTGGCCCTGAATCGTAATAATTAAAATTTAAATTACTTGTTCCGACCATATATTGTATATATTTCCCTGATTTTGCAAATCCTGGCCATTCAGCTAATCCAAATGTATGATTAAATACACTGTGTAAAGCTGCAAACATTAAACCGGCATAAGTTGTTCCGTATGACCAGTAAGAGTATCCTTCTGGATAGTTACCATCTGGTGAGTATTCTATTAATGAATTCTTGATACTTTGAACAGATCTATTTATTAAATAATCTGATAAGTTCTTATCAGTATCTCTAATAGCGAGAGCTGCAATTGTTATACCAGAATTACAAATACGCCAATGTTTCATTCAGTGATGGCTAAATATATACAAACAATTTTATTGAAGATTAATATGTAATGACATTAGTAGAACCTTACAATCCAAGATTTGTCATTTACTTTCCATTTCACTTTTTCCTTTTCAGACTTATCAGATCAACTAAGAAATCTGTCTTTGGCACCCTCATAATAGATTCAGGGATTGTTGATCCATGATCCAAAAGGAATTCTGCGCAATCATATCTTCCATAGTAACATGCATAAAACAAAGGGATTTCTTTAAAATCGTTCTGTAGATTGACGTCTGCTCCTTTTTCTACCAGATACTTAACTACTGCTAAAGATCCTCCGTGGCAAGCGTTATGAAGCGATGGAAAATCTTTACCTTTTCCGCATCTATTAACATCGACATTAAAATTATCAAAAATATACGATACGATAGGCAGAGAACCGGCAAGGCATCCCATTTCGAGATATTTGTAAATTGAGTTACTATCGAGCACCGAATTTTCTGCTCTTTTGATAATCGACAAAAAAGCAGGAAAATAGGCATATGAGCAACATTTAAAGATAGCTGCTTCACTAATCTGTTCATTGAGATATACAACTGCTGTCGTATTAAAAGCAGCAAATGCGTCAAGAAATGTGAATTTTCCGCACTGAGAACAGTTTTCCATCAACCAAGAACAAATCTCATTCCTATGATATTTGATTCCCAATGGTAGACAGTCTGTAAAAGTACATCCGTTTTGATTTGCGAGTCGAATTATTTCGAAATTACCTCCGAACAGGCAATGTTTGCCACTGTTACTAAGATTGTTGTTTGGCGAGTTGAATAAGAGGTATTTGAAGCAATTTTCAGATCCATAAAATGCTGCAGCTTCAAGTAATGAAATTTCGTTGTCATCGGTATATCCATCAAACACTGATGGCTTAACTGTCATGTCTATTGAGAAATTCTGATTCAATGTCATATTATTAAGAGAATCAACGTCATCGTTCTTCAGAATGTATAAAATCGATTTTTCTGGATAAAGTTTGAGTAGATTCGATAACTTAAGTGATTTTTTGAAAGGAGGTTTGGAAAATGTTGACAAATAAGTTCGATAATCGATTTTTTCATATGGAGCATTATGTTCGACTTGTTCTGTACTGTAAACACCTGAATGGTACAGAATATCAGCGAAATATACATTCTCTAATGTAATTGGTATAATCGATAAAGTGATTTTTGTTTGTTTGTAGATTTCACGCCATATCTTAACAAGATCTGCTATATTTTTGGGTCTTATACTTGAGAAATACAGAAGAAGTCTATATGGAGTTTCATAATCGTCATTAAAATTTTCCAAAATGAAAGAGATGATTTCCTCGACTGTATCAGCTGAAATACTTGACAACATGTTCTCAAGTGTCACATATTTCGATAGATTTTCTGGAATGTCGATCTCTGTTAGAGAGTTCATTTCGTCTTCCAGAAAATTTTATGAGATTATGATTGAACTTACAAATAACATCAAAAGTGATGAATTTAAACACATTCTCATAGGAAATCATTGGCCGTTCGTTTAAAAATTCATTGGATTTTTTCAAGACTTAGTATTTTTAAATTGTTTCACAGATATAATATGAAAAATATGTGGAAATAAAAAATATTTCATTTGAAAGTATAATATACAAATTTTAGTTAATTCTGTATTTGATCTAAACAAACATGAAGTGGGACGATCTCGTCCATATTTATTTCTCCCTGTATAACTTTGCTGAATAAGGAAAGTTGATATTTTGCAATTTTTCTAAGTTCTGGAGAATCATTTTCTTCTATAAGATTTTGAATCGTTTTAGAGATAATTCCGAGTGAAGCAATAAGTTCTTCAAAGGTATACATCTGTATGATATGGAGATTAACGCCTAATGGACGTATCATACCAGGAATTTTTGTATTTGTGAAATTTAAGTCTCCAGAAACGAACAAATTTGAGTAAATTAGGTTAAATATCGATGAATCAGGGAAATTAGAGAATATTACTGTGAGTAAATCGTTAAAATTCTCTGTATGTTTTGGATTTACGCAAAATAGTTTGTGATACATTTCTAATATATCCTGCATCTTTGATTCTGAAGGGAATGAAGTAGCAGTGGGACAATCTTCCTTTAATTGTTGAATAAGAGAAGCATATGCTGAATTTCTAACATATTTATTAGATGGATCGAGATATGGTGCTAACATCAGGTTTAATGATTTCATTGATGCATAAATATCTTGGAAAAGGTATTTTTCATCTAATAATTTCCCTATTAAAGTATCATCGTTGGCTTTGCATGTATTTCTGTATGTATAATATATTCTTGATAGTGTGTATCCCGTATTTTTAATGATATCTTTGTTAGAATTCGAATGAATAAGCAAATTAAACATTTGTTTCATTTCGCTCATTTGATTCCTATTTACAGTCTTTTTAGGATTCATAAATAGTAGATTTTCTGCGGCAGATTCGTAAAAAGAGTCTTTAATTTCCTTAGTTGGTTCAGCCAATTGTAAGTTTATAAATTGAGTGTAGAATTCTCTTTGAGAGTTGAGGATCCCAATCCACTCTTCTTTTTTGAGAATTTCCTTATCTGTATTTGGAAATATTATAAGAAAGAATCTCCAAGCGATAGTTTTAATTTCATCGGAAGAAAATGACATGAAGAAACTGCTGGTAACGAGAGATTTCTTGTTTGCAATTCCTAATGGAAAAAATCGATCAAATTCTTCCATAATAAAATTTGTCACTTTTTGAATTTTAAACATCCTCAATTTTTTATTCCACATTTAATTTTAATGGATTAAAATCATCATAATCAGCTCCCACTCAGCTTACTTAATAAATCATTCCATATGAAATAGTCCCAAAACCAATTACATTTTCCGATCATTTTCGATTTTGCTATCATGTATTAATAATCTAATGCTTATGCAGAGTACTAACATAATAATTATGAGTTATTAGCATCTTGAGGTTCTATTTTCCAAAAATCAATTTTCTTTCATATTAGCTTTTTAACTCAAATTTAGCATTTTATACATTAATGTTAACGTTTTTAAAAGTGCATGGATTCAAATGTAAAGAAATAATTTTATATTTTTTTTGGTAAATACTTAGAAAAACTCGAGAAAACAGTACTTTTGAAGATAATTAAACTATATTTATTATATGAAAAATCTATTTATTTATAAGTAATCCGCAGAAAGAAGAGACTGCAAAGCTGAAGCCTCTTTAATATTGAACTTTCTCATGTCATCGCATATAGATGTAAGATTGATTATTAAAGAACCGTCAATCTTAACACCAGCGTTGATCATGTCGATCATTACTTCACAGAATGGACGGCAGATACGTACAGCGCTTCCATTATCCTTGACGCTTCTTATAGCTGTCATTGTCGATGTAATGTATGAGCGAATGAAATTTGGAGGGGCAAAGTTTTCGAGAACAAACATTTTGACAGTTGTTACAATATCAGGTCCTTTAGGAGCGTTGCTAAGGTATTCTGAGAGCCTCTGACGTTCATTTGGTAAAGCTTTGATGATGAGAATCGCAATTTCAGGATTGTTTTCGGCAATTTTGTCGAAATTTTGCTCGTTTGTGTCTTCTTCTGAGATAATAGAGTTGTCTGAGAAAACTAATGAATTCAGCGTCTGAATTTCTCGCTGAGTTAAAGCTCTGCTTATTGAATCAACAAGTAGCTCGCGACCAGCCTTTATACTTTCGGCGGAATGACTTTCGTCGAAAAGAAGAGGTGGAACGTTGAGAGATGAGATAAAAAGTTGATTAACTTCATTATCTGTAATTGGAAATACATCTGGAGGCGTATGAATTGTTGGCGGTTCAAACTCCGAGACATATGCAGGGCATGTGATAAGTTGCTCGAGAACTTCGTTCAGAGATAAGATCTCTGTTTCTCCTTGATTTGGTTCAGAGATAAGTGGTGAGCAACGAACGTTAAGTGTTTTGGAGTGCAAGATATCAACATTGTTTGCAGGATAAAATGGAAATGAATTTCCAAAAACACGATTAATCGTGTATTCGCCTAATATTGATATGTCAGCTCCGCTGATTAATTGTGTTAGAGTAGAATACATTTGCTGACTTGATGATCCTTGCTTAGTCTGATGGAGTTCGATTAATAAAGAAAATAATGCTTTATAGGGATGCTGATTGATATCAGGATTATAGTAATACTGATATATTATCCAAAATGAAACAAATTGCTGCGTATGTTCTAGGATACAATCTGCAAGAAAATACGTTAATATATTAATTGATTGAATTTGTTTTTTAAAGTCGAATTTATCGATAAATCGTTTATACAAACTTGTAAGCGTTTCGTCTTTTTCAGATATCAACGCGATGAGAAACTTTGCGTCCTCATCGCTTAGCATTCTTTGAAACGCAAATTACAAATTTGTAAACTTGATACTTTTGCCATTCGACTACATAAGAAAGTCAGCCGAAATTTTATCTGCTTTTAAAGTAACTGTTGCAGAGCAATTTATAAAATTAATATTAAGGGATGAAAAAGAACTTTTTATTTTGAATTCAAACGATAACTCAGTCAGATTGTCAAAATTTAGAATGCTTTAATTTAAACGTAATTGCTATCATTAGTTGATTTTCAATTTTTTTGAAGGTTCGGGTTCTGAAAAAATTCAAAGGAGACAGAACAATCATCTAAATATTATTGCAATTTAGATATATATGCAAATAATTAAAATTTCGCGAATTAATTTCAATATCTTGCGTTTATTAATTAATATTCCAAAACAAATAATCAACTTATAGCAAAATAGGAATTGAATTCCAACTAAATATAACGAATCAATGATCTGTAAAGGCATTGGCGCTTTAAAAAAATATTATTGAAATTTTTCCGAAAAGATGAATTAAATGGAATAAAAAAACTAACATATAACTTCTTAAAACTACGGTATTTAGGGTGAAAATCAATTCTTTTATTTAAAAAAGAAAGAATAATAAAATATCCAAAAATACGAAATAAAGAAAATAAAAAACAATTAACATACAAGTTCAAGTTGGTTGGCCAGATCATTTATCTGACCAGCAGTTGTCGAATTAATCGGTCCTTCGAGTAATTTCATAATCTTTGTCAGACCCTTCGTTTCATTACCCATGATTGAAGCAATTTCAACGGTAAATTGTTCGATTCTCCTTTTGTTTCTCTCTTCGAGAGTTTGTTCGATGTCAGATTTGTTCTGGGTGAACAAATCTGCATCATTTCCCCAATCTGTCATTCTTTTCACGGCTTTTTCGACTCTATTGCATTCTCTCTTTGATCTGTCTATGTGTTCTCTGAGCTGCTGTATCTTGTTGTTGATCTTCGAGAGAGTTGCAATACGAGCAGAGTTCGCGCTTTCGTTCTGATGAATGTTTGACATCATTGACATCATTTGGTTCGATAATCTCTCGTATTCGAGTCTCTGCAAAGCGACAATACTTGAAAGAACTGAATCTTTGTTGACTGCTTTGTCAAAAACTGCTGAAATTGCATCGATCGACCATGTATCTACGGAAATAGGGTCTGTTTGTGGTGGAGGCATGGTTTCTATTGTCTTAGAAATCTGTACAGCTTCATGTGGTCGTTGTGTTCTTTGAGATAATCTTTCAATTTTCTGATCGATCGTTTTGGAGAATTCGTCAAGCTTAGAAACAGGGGATAAACTTGGCGAAATCTGATGGGCTTCAAGAATTTTCTTGGAAAGACCTAAAACTTCGATTCTCAAATTCAAAACTTCGTTTTCGATTTCGCGAGCACGAGTTTCGTTGAAGATCTTGTTAAGGGCATCTGTTGTTTCGGCATTTACCTCTGATTTGTTGAGTTCTCTGAGATATATCAAAAGATTTGTGTTGATGAAAACGGTGGATGACTCTGCTTCCTTTTCAACAATAGAGGCTGCCTTATGAAGTGATTGAATCTTACGGAGTTGGGCGAATTTGGCGTCTAAATGTCTTCCGGCGTTCATATATTCAATTGGTCTGAGTATTTTATCATAATAAAGGAGTCCTTCTTCAGATCCAAAGACTGGAAATGATGTTTCGAACACTGAAAGCCTGATCCATCTTGAATCCCATTTCCATACATCGCCAATAAAGTTGTTTTCATCGTTTACACCACCGGCAATGCAAACACCATTATCGAAAAGGTAGGAAATATGCGATTTTCTTTGGTTGGGACCAATATTTGATAACAATGCCCAAGTTGGATTTAATGCATTACTGAAATTGAACTCCCAAAGGTCTCCAAGGCATTTTCCACGTGTATCTACACCGCCAAATAGGTAACCTTTATCGTTCATTTTGATGAATGTATGTCCAGCACGTCCGCAAGGGCCTTCTTTAAGGCAGTATGACCTGATACTGCACATAGGATTAATGTACTTAAACGAGTCTTTGCAGAAAATGATTATATCAAGAGATCCTAAAAGTTTTGGACCTTCAGAACCACCAAAAACGTAAATCATGTGGTAATTTTCGTCTAATGTTGAAATGCATTGAGTGTTTGTTCTAATAGCTTGCGGTGGAGCAATAATCTTGCACATTCTCCATTCTCTATCTTCAATATCAAGAATATACATTTCGTTCTGTTGTAAATTTGCGGCATAACCGCCATAAAGGAAAAGATGGTGTTTATCTAGAAAAGTAAAGCAAAATCCAGTACGATTTGAAGGTGCGCGTTTTGCTTGCAAAAGAGTAAAAGATTCTCCTTTTTTAGCGGAGTACACTTCTAAATATCCATGTTCGCCGAGTGTAATTTGATAAACGAGACCATTATAAAATGTCGAATTTGTTGGAGGAGCTACACTAATAGTTTCCTCTTCGTTTTCTGCTGCTGTTAATCCTTTACCGATTCTTGTACTAATTGGAGAAAGAAGTGGTAAGATTGGATTCATTTCTTCTGTTTTCGGGACAGCCTCATTAAGATTCAACCAATTTGAGGATCGTCTCTTATTGATTGAAGTAATAGAAGCTTGCCTTGAAATTCCTTTGAATTTCATACCAATTTGGGAGTAACATCTCTTGTTTATCATAAATTTTTATTGAGATTTTTATTTCATATATAAGTTAATTAATAAGTATGTCTCAATACAACCATTATATTTTTAATGAGATTCGCCGTAGTTAGGGAGATGATTTTTTCTAGAATCTAATCCTAGAACAAATTATTGTAATATTTGGCAGAGTCGTATCATGTATAAATCAATTTTCTTTCTTTTCGAGAGCTTCGATATTAAAAATATCAGATCATTTTCATTTTTTTGTTGTTTTCGTTTGCTGATGGTAATTTAAAATTACACTTCGTCAGTGAAACCCAAATCCAAACTCTAAGTTCTCATTTTCTGGTGCGCGCAGATCTGAATTCCGCAGAATGAGTCAAGTTGATATCGATCAGGCTGTGCAAAATCTAAGAAATCTGGCTTTCATAGCTCAAGGATATTTAAATAGGTATAAAAAACTCAAAAGCGACTTGGAAAATCTTGCTACAAATAGTCATTTGAACAGGGTTAAAGCTGAATCAAATGCGATGTACTTGGAAGATTTAATGGGTCATGCTGGCGATTTGACAGGATATTATAGCTCCTCACCTCGCTTTAAATCAGTTGAAGAAGGAAAATCCTATGTTTTACAGCTAATGAAACAAATAAAACAACTACCAAAAGACACAATTATTGAAAATAAGCAAGAACAAATTAAAAATCTTGTAGAAAAACTCAATCAACAACATAATCAGTTGCAAATTGAAGAAAAAAATCTACAGAAATTAAAAGAAGCAACAGAAAAACAAAAATTAAAAGATGAAGAAGAACATCAACAACTTCTTCAACAATTAGAAAAGGCTTCAGCAGAATATAAAACGTTACATTCGCAAAATAAACAAAAACGACAAATATATAAAGACAAACAGAAAATACTAGATGATCTTAAACAAAAACTGCAAGATTTAAATTTAGAAAATATGAAAATCAAAAAAGACATAGAAAACATCGATGATGACCATAAAAACTTAGACCAACGACGCAATGAAGTTCGTAGCCAAGTAAATCGGATCAGAGAAACAGAAACAAGTCTAGAAACTTTAAGGCAGCAATCAATAGAACTGACTAAAGTGAAAGATGATCTAACGCAACAACAACTCAGGCTACAACAAGATATATTAGACAAAAAGAAGAAAATTGATCAAATTTTATCTTTTATCGAAATTTCTCAAAAATGATCTAAAGGCAGAGATACTAAGTATTGCGATTTATTTTGTTATTAAAATATAGATTATTGTTTTATCAAAATGAATTTTTTTAGAAAAATATATCTAAAATAACATCAATAGGGAAATCCATGCTATGATCGCTTGTAGCAGATTGTAAAATGAGGATATCTCCATCATTATAATACATTTGGAGTTAATTAATGAAATTTTTGCCAAATTTACAACTTTTTGGCATTATTTTTTTGAAAAATCAAATCGATATCAGCTATTAAATACTTTGTCTTTTTCATCAGTTAAAACTTCATAAAATTTTTGTAAGAATGACTAAGAAATGCGAATTGCAAGATAAGGCTATGAAAATTTTAATGGATAGCGCGACAAATGATCCGCTAAAGCCTAAATTCAAAGAATTATTGAAGACTTTGCTTGCAAACAAAAGTTCTCTCTTTGTTTTATTAGATTGTATGCAAAAGAGAAACCAAATGCAATTCAGCATACAGATATTCGATATTCTTGCAGGACATTTTGCGAAATCACAGTTTAATGAAGAGGATTCTCAACGAATTGCAAATTCATTCATCTCAATCATAAATTCAGAGCTTCCTTCAAACATAAACAAACTCGATATCAATACAATTAACTATTTACAATCATCTGCATCAGCTGCGCAGTATTTTTCTTCTTATTTTAAAAATGTCGAAACAACTAATCAATATGTCTTAACATTTCTCATCTTTATTTACGTTTTCACACACAATACAGTACTGAAAGATAAAGTAATGCCAATAATGAATCAAAAATTAATTTATAATGTGACTTCATTAGCAATTTTACGCTCATTACCTAATTCAGAGTTAAAAGAACAGCCTACAGTACGCGCTTTATCATCTGTTTTTAAGAGCTCTTGCGATAATAATTTAGGAGATTACACAATTCCAATAATTCTCTCATGTTTGCCACATTACATTAATGAAACATTATCAAAAGAGTGCGCAGCAATGATACCTCTCATACTTAAAAAGCTAAAACGCGATAATAACAACATGATTCAATTTTCTCGATTTTTATTCCCTTTATTTGAGTTTAACGAGACATTTACAGTTGTCAAAGCTGCGAGCGATGACATTCTACAAGCATATATCACAACAGTTAACGATAACTCTCAAATAAATTCTACAGCCGAATTATCAGATCCATTGACATATGTGAATAGCCAAGTAGCAAGTTCATTTATCAAACTATGTGCTGCTCTATCAGTTAATATAGGTTTACTCTTCCAAACCAAAACAATTTCATATCCGACCGGAGTTTTGTTACTTTCTATATATGTAGCACGAATGATCTCAATAAATGAGTTCGATAGATGCGATAGAGAAGCAATGATTGGTGATTTATTGAGTGTTTGTCCTAAATCATCATCTAATTTCCATTTATTGATAATTTTAAGCGGTTACTTCGTAGTTGGATTTAATTCCAAACGAGGACTTGAAGTATTAGTTGATGGTCTTCAAATGAACTCTCGGCAGGCTTGCAATTGGATGGTTTCGGATGAAATGCCATATGACACTGTTTTTCCTGTTTTAGCAACGAATTTTGATGCCGACAAAAGTTGCGAATTATATCTACACACGTTGATCTCATTAATTAAATCGAATGTTCCTCAGATACCCGATGAGATGCCATTTGATGATAGTGTAACAGCTTATTCCGATTCCAATTTCGAGTTCATTTATGGATTGAACAAATTTGATTCAGATACAATGGACATTTCGGATCTCCAAGGTGTTCCAACTCCATCGACAACATTGTTTTGTCACGTGATATCTAAATACGTGAATCATCCAGAGCTTGGACCTTTATTACCTTTGGCAGCAGCAACTGTTTCTCAACAGTTCGCAATAGATTTGACGAAAAACATGAAACAACAAAAAAGAAAAAGATCAAAAATGGAATTGATCGCGAGTTATTCGAATGCTTTGTCATCATTAGATCTACAGACATTGCATTCATTAGCACAAACATTCTTATTACTAAGTCCAGGAGTATCAATGCTCTTCTTGGCCGTTTCTTTGCAGAGACTACCATCGGAAGCCATCAAAAGAATGATGCAGAAAACTTCAGTTTTTGCAACAACAAATCCGGAAAGTTTTGCAAAAATGATAGCTTTAGTTGCTCATTCTCATCCAGAAATAGCTTTGAACTTCTTGGATACATACACAGAACAGAACATTAACAAGAGAAGAGTCTTTTTCTTCTTGAGAAGTAACCCAGAAGACAACGAACAGAGTTATATTGCGACTTTTCAATCAATTGGGTACTTTTGCAACTTTGTAGACAATGGATTCTTTATTAATGACTTTCTTCCGTTTGCTACGAGGTTCTTGAACAAACATTTGACCCATCAATCCAAATCTTATCAGTTTAATTCCGCACAATTAAATGCGATTAGAAGAATCAGCTCAAGATTGGTTAAATACCAAGACGACCATAACGACCACATATTCCCCTTCAAGGATTTCTTAGTCCAGTTCGTTTGTTCTTTGTTTATGGATGTTGGTGATCAAATTTTGACTGGAACTTCCCCGGCCAATCAACCAAACAACCAAACAACCACCAATAAATCGACCAAGACTAATTCCAATATAGTAGTTATCATACTACAAACACTTACCAGCCTATTGCCTATCCATCCTATTAGAATTAATGATAAACACGACAGATCTCTAGAATTAATTGTATTAATTCTACAAAACGTTACAGGAGATGAGTTCAATTCCATTTTCAAAGCTGCATCTGCTTTTATATTAGAACTATTACGAACAAATCCAACAGTTTTAGTTCTAAACTCCATTTTAGGTCCAATTTTCCAAAATCTTTTGAATACAAAAGAATGGAGACCGATCTGTAACTTACTAAGCCAGATAACGAGCCAATGGGAATCCGTGAAGATAGTACAAGGTGGCCCTTATCTTTCCCAGTTAGTTACATCGATTTGTCCGATGTTGACGAATATTTTACCTCTGTTGCCAAGTGACATGGGAAACATCGCGATAAATTGTGTGGAAAACTTGTGTTCTCTGCAATGCGCGATAAGGAACCAGATCCTCAGCCTCCCAAGATCAATAAGACCTCCAATGCCATCAACAGAATTTGCAGATTCAGATGAAAGGTGTCATATCGGTTGTCAGTTCACTTCTAAAAATCTTTTGACTTCACAAGTCTTTGACATCATCAAGGGACTTTTGGAGATTGTTTCCAATGACAAGAGCCTCGATGAACACATGAGAGGATGCATTTTGGCTGCAACTTTCTTGTTGCAAGAAAGAGGAAATGAAGAATTCAGAGATGATGCAAAAATTGTGTCACTTTTGACAAAATTGTTAAATAAAAGTGACATAATTTTAGACATCTCGTTGAGAGCGTTCAAAGTATTATCAGGAATGCGATTCTTCTCAGTTGTATCCAGCTTGATCGCAAATAAATCAGAAGTTGAACCATTTGCATCAAAAATTATCACTTCACTTTTAGAAAATGAGAATTCTGAGATGCAATTATTGACTGTTGTTTGCGATATGAGCTGTGATGAGTCACAGGAGAATTCATGGTTCTCGACAGCAGCATTTCCTTTATTAGGAAAAGCTGTTAAAGAATCATCTGATGAACAATGGGCAAAAATTTTCATGGGTGTTGCAAAACACACAAAAGATTCAAATTCTAGTTTGTTCACTTCACTTTTCGGTTTCAACAACATGACAGAGATCTTAGAAAACGCAGAAGAAGAAAGACCATTAGTTTTCACAATGATCACTTCACTTTTGCCAGAAGGATTTGACTCTTATTTTTCACTTTTAAGTTTGGAATTAGCTGCAGCTAGTGTTGAGAATTGCAATGCTTTGTTGGGTTATTTCTTCACTGATTTAAGAGTTGCTGATGACCAAACATTCGAGCACTTGATTGTTATTCTTAAGAAACATCCGTTCGAGAGTTGGCGTGAACAAGCGAATTATTTGGCCATTTTAATTGCAGACAACGTTTTCAGTTCACAAGTTGCAATGAAATGTGCTCATGCATACATTGATTCATGTGATGATGACTCATTAACGTTTATATGGTCATCAATCATCTCTCATGTCATATCTGATTTCGATAGATGGCTCAGTTTAATTGACGAACTCAGTTACAGAGTTGACGCTGTTGCTTTCGGACCAATTATTCCTTTGTTGGTTGTTCACGCGAAAAACACTGTTTGTGCAAAAGTTCTTTCATTAATTGCAGAGAGAGTTTGCAAGGGAGGAAATGAAGATGTTGTGAGCAAAGTTTTGAAGAGTGACATCTACAAACACAGTGATTTAATCAGTGAATTCTCTTCGATGTTGAAGAGAGGAGATCATTGCGCTGAATCTGTTGCAGCTCTCGCAATTTTGTGCGAAAATGTTGTTGATAGTAATATCTATGCAATTGAGGCTATAATTGATGAAGCAATTAGAATGGATGGAAATGAAGATAACTGCGCAATATCTGTTTTACAAGGTTTGCTTTTATAATTTAGACTTTTTTTTATTGTATGTAATTTTAGTTTTTAATAAATATATAAAACTATTCGAACTTAAAATTTTTATGTTTAAGCACCAATGTATAGGATCAAATAATCATAGTCCCAAATTTCAATGAAAAATCCAACAAAATGAATTTGATATAAAAACACCCATTCGTTGCTCATTAATCCAATTTGATGAAGTTATATAATGACAACACTCTTTATTGTTGATCTATCTTATTTGTTGATAAATAGTTTTATATTGATTATTAACAAAAACAATAAATTTACAGGTATTTAAAATACAAACCAAATATATAAAATAAGTTATTTGAGCATTGATATTTGAGACTTAACAGCTGGTGGAGAAGGAGGAGTGATCACTGATCTTGATTCATTGGGGTCTTGTTTTCTTGTGAGTGCAATGAAAAGACCGACTAAACCAAATGATTTCATCGACTTTTCATCAGAAACATTTCCTTGATCATGCGATTTCTCGATCAAAGCCTTCTTTTCATCTCTAAGTATCTGAATCATATCAATAAGCTTGGTTCTGTTAGCGCATCCAATGCAAATATCAGCAATTTCTGTACGCAACTCTGGATCTGTTAATCCGCCTTTGTATTTAGGTAATGCGGCCTTGAGAGTTTCTTCAGCCCATTGTGGCCATTCTGACTTTTGTTTCTTCTTGTCAAGTGTCTGTTCAAGTAATTCAACTCTCTGCAAAAGAGCTTGAACTGTCTTGATGACTCTTGGTCTGCTCCATGTAATTTCCTGGCCAATGAATGGACTCAAAAGGTTTCCGAGTTGTGAAACAAATGCAACTTTTTCACGAGCGCTGTTTTGGCTAACAACTGAAGAGTTTCCTCCAATGATTGAAGATCTTTCTCTCATTGGTTGTGGAGATTTAGGCATTGGAGATAACAAAACAGATTTAGGCTGTGGCTTCTGTGTTTTCATACGTTCGATTTCTGCAAACAATTCTCTGTTTTTAACTCTTGCATCTGCAAGCTTTTGCTGCAATTCTTCAACGAGTTTGTTTGAAAGTGGTTCATTCTGAAGTTGTTCGAGAGTTGATGTTAAGTCTAGTTTCTCAGCCTGCATCTTCTTCATGATCTTCTGATGCTCAACAGACTGTTCGTTATAAAGTTTAGCTGTTTGGTTCGCGTTTGCTTTAGCTTCTTCGTATTTTCTTGATAATTCTTTGATTTGGTTTTCAAGAAGTTTCTGTTGTTCAACGTATCTCTTCTTCTCTCTTTCTTGAGAGCTCTCCATAAGATTTCTTTCTTTCTGGAGTGCATCAGTTAATCTCTTTTCATATGATTCTGATCTTTCTTTGATTGTAAGTTCCAATCTGTCTCTTTCTTTGATCAATCTCTCAACTGTTTCATCTGATGTCTGCAACTTCATTGTCAAGACTTGGTTGGCCTTTGTGTCTTCAACATGTTGGATGTTCAAGTCTTCGTTTGTATTGTTTGCTTCTTGGAGTTCAGCTGCAAGTTTTTCGAGTTGTTTTTGAAGAGAAATGTTCATTCTCTCCTTCTTAACAATTGTATCATTCAAATCATCAATCTTGCGATCCAAAACACATCTTTCTTTGTCGAATTTGATCAATGCATCATTATATGCCTTCTTTGTTGTCATTTCAACATTTTCTGTGATATCCTTGTATTCTTCGAGAACTTCTTGGAGTTTTGCAGGTAAATCTGTCATTTTTCCGTTGAAATTGATAAGTGGTCTGATGTTTTCATCGAGATACTCAATGACAAATGATGATTCCTCGATGAACTTGCACAAACAAGCGAAAACATCTTTGATGTCACCGTGGTAATGAAGAGTTGTTGCAATAACATTAAGTAATTGCTGGAAAACAGGCTGCAATTGGTTGATATAATCAGCAACAGCAGCAGGTAATTCGTAATCTGTGCAATCGAATGCAGGAAGAACTTTTCTGACTGTTCCGAGTTTGTCAACCATGTTCTGAAGGAATTCGCGGAATCTGCAAAGAATTTGTGCCAAAACTGATGACAAAGCAACATTATCTTTGTCTTCAAATGTGAATTTGGATGATGCATCAACTAAATACTTGGCAGCTGGTTCTTCACTGGCATCCGCATATGCACACTTCTCAAGGAATAATCTTGTTTGTTCAACTTCATGAAGAATGTCACGTTTATCTGCTGATGTAAACTTGATTGGTTTCTCTTTGAGGAATTCCAAGTTGGCTTTTCCTGTTCTGAGGAGGTCAACAATGAATCTACTGAGAGCATCGCATGATGAGTTCAAGCCGCGAAGAACTGAAGCTGTTTCTGGGTCAATTCTCGTTGAACCAAGGTCGTGGCAAGCGTCTGGAAGAGTATCTGGTGTGCATGCGAACATAGGAGCAAGGTTATTGCATGAGCGTTCAACAATGGAGCGGAGTTTATTGAGTTCTGTATCGGATTGACCAAGAGCTGTTGATGTAGAATTGAATTCATCGCGAAGCTCTTCGAGTTCGTCACAAACATCGAGGTATTGTTGGTTTACGTTGTTGTTGGATTCCTTTTCGTTTGAAAGTTCTTCTTCGTAACGGTCGAGAAGATCATTTTGTTTTTGAATGACAATTGTTGCTCTGCGATTTGTTTCAATAAGAGTGTCAAGTTGCTTGGCTTGGTTCTTGATGTAGCGGGCGAGCTTGCGTGTGGCTGCGTTTGACTTATCTTCGAAAATTCTTGATTGTGTAAAGAATTCTGTAGATAATGTTTCTTGGTCTTTCTCTTTCTTGATCTTGAACTCTTCAAATTCGATGTCTTTCTTTTGTAATTCGGCACGAAGTTGATTGATTCGGTTTGTTTTAGCCTCAAGTTGCTCTTGAAGCTCTTTGACCTCGCGATTGACATTTGATGTTTCATCTCGAGAGTCGTTCAAGAGTTTTCGGAGGCGAGAAATTTCTTCAGCATCAATTTTAGTTTGATCTGATGCTTGTTGGCGAGCATCTTCGAGTTTATTGTATTCGTATTTGAACTTGCTGATTTCGTCTTTGTGCTGATTGGCTTGTCTTGCGAGTTCGTTGATTAATTGATTTTTCTCGTTGAACATTTTCTCGTTTTCATCTTGATGAATGCGAATTTCTTTGCACAATTCTTCAATCTTGTTGGTGTAGTCTTGGTTATCGCGCTGAAGTTCAAGAATTTGAAGTTTTGCAAGAGTGATATCCGTTGGATTCTGTGCCAACAATGCTGCATAGTCGACAAGTTTCTTAGCCTTGCCAAGTGATTGATTAGCTTGTGCGGCATTCTCTTTCATAGTAATATAGTCGTGAATCAAATAACAAATGCCTTTTTCGCAGAGTTCGCTGTTCTCGCGAGAAATTGGCTTTTCTTGCGATGATTGGAAAAGATTATGAATAAGTTCGGCCAGCTTTGTTAAGTGCGGAACCTCTTGGAAAAGCTCGACCAACTGTGGTGGTGGTTTTGTGTACGATTCTTCTAAGTATTTTGTCAGTGCATCATTACTGCGTAAGTCTGCTGCTTCTGATGCCATCAAAAAACGACCCTTCCCCTTCCGTGGTGGTGAGGACGAATCCATAGATAAATTATAATTAAACTGATTTAAGCTCTCAAATAATTAAGGTAATTCTATGAGTTCTATCAAATTTCAATGTTAACGTCATTTCGACTTAATGTAAAGAATTTTTTATAAATTTAGGTATTGTTTTCGAAACTACTAAATGTGCTCAGTGCAAAATCGAAATAATTTTTATAAAATGACTCGTACGTTAAAGGCAAGCATTAATCTTCATTTCCTAATTTCGACAGAAATATACGTCTGACGAAACCAAAATCTAGTCCATATCATTTTAATCATTCATATTTTGTTATATTATTCGATTCTTCCCTGTTTATAATGAGATGTGAGAAATTATATATCTAATAGCTTATTAAAAATTGAGATCACTCAACATGGTGGATGTGAAGAATATATTTTGCTGAAATCCAGTCTTGATGACAAATGTTAATGTATTAATATCAATTTTTATAGAATTCAATATCGATTTCATTGAATTTTTGCAAAATGAATTAGGGTTGTGTGCTTCTAAGTTTCTATATGTATTTGCAAGAATCCAAATGAATAAATGTCTCGTTTTGATCGAAATCAAGCAAAATGTCTCAAATTATTGATTTCTTTGCCTAATTGCTTAAGAAATGCTTCACCATATATAATAGAAGATTATCAATCAAGGTATATAAAAATTTCACGATATTTGTAATTCCCCAAAATCAGCCTTCATTCAGTGAATGATTGAGAAATGGATTAGAATATAACTTATGATAAAGACTTTTTTCCCAAACTTTTACTCAAATGTGAGTGGAATGTCAACAAACTTGTGAGACTGATCTGTAATCTTTGTTCTTCCATATAACAAATAGATATATACGATATGTACAAGTATAATCAATTATTCCAAAGTCGAATATACAATCAACCACTCAAGACAATTTTAGATAAATGGTCAAAAAGTTCCCAAACACATCAATTCATAATATACATAATGAATAGATATTGTCTTTCAAAAAATGAGGTGCAGATTCATTTTCAATACAAAATAATTGGTTATCCAAGCATCAGATGAAAAATACAAGTGTAATAATAAAGCATCAAAAATTTTAAACAGTAATAAGATTTTGATTCTTCAAAATTGTGAGTTTTCAAACCGGTTTTGACGTCAAAGGATTCAAATAGAAATCTAAAAATATGCATAATTTATAATAAAATTTCTGATGTACGGATGAAAACCGATCAACTCATCAGTGTTTGAATAATTAATTTAGTAGAACATTTTCCTGTTGTATAATGAACCATTGATGAATCTAATGGTTCATTCAGTTTGAAAGTATATGAATCTCCCCCCGCTATAGTTTTATGCAAAATATTTTCATTACAATAACAATTAAGGGTCCACTGTAAAAATTGAAAGTCTCTCAAAATTGAGAGGCGATTTGCAAATAATTGTTATCGTCATTTTTCGAAAATCCACTTTTCCTAGTGTTCTGATTAATATTATGTGAATACAACAATGAAGCATATGTTTCAATAAGATGGTAATATATTCTATCACTTCAAATCTCATAAAAATTGCAAAATCAGTGAGTTTTATAAGAACATGATTTTTTCGAATTTTTTCGCTTTTGGATGCGTGTTTTGAAAAATAGATATTTTCGAATTTTAATTTTATCTTAAGTATAAGTTTTATATTAGGAATTTTTTGACCTATTTCCAATCATTAATTCCAATGTTTTTCAAGGAATTTAATTGAGAAGAAATTAGGAATTTCGCTTTAATGCCATTACAAACTAATATTATGATGCATAATATATATATTTATTGAGGCTAATGCCGGGATATCTTGCATTTAAAAAAAATTCAAAGAATTGACAATTGGATAGCACAAATTTAATTCCCTGGACAAAGTATTATTGTTTATATATTCAAACCATTATCCTTAGTTTAGATATGTTGGCCAAAAATTTTCGTGTTATTTTTTGTGTTTAAGCATAAATTGGGGAGAAGCTTCCTAAACTTTTTAATCCCATAAATATGGTCATTATCTGGAATAAAGAGTTAAGCGTCATATGTCACTTTTTGTACTAAGGAAACATCGACTTTATGCGTTATGACTTTTCGATGAGGAAACAAGTGTTCACGTATTATAAACTTCCTTATTCCAATAAACCGACCCTAAACATAATTAATTCTAAGCATGATAATGGTCTCTTTTCTATGATAACCAAATCAATTTGGTTATCATAGTAAAGCACCAAAAACTGGAATAGGAATCGGCAATATGGAATCATGAAGCAACTCGGATAAAATAAATATGGAACATTCATACATCCATTCCCTATTTTTAACCATATTATATTTTCAAACAAAATTCTCGTACTATTTTCAATAAAATTTGCATAACCTTGTTATTACTCTTAGGCGAAAGATGATTTTAATGTTAATTTTATAGAAGAACTTTTAATGCATAATAAAATAACCATTTCCTATAAATTTAGACTTAAAACGGTGACAATAAACAAGCTTTAGTCTAGAAATTAATTTTCTACTACTATAAATGCATCTTTATCTTTAATTAGAAAAAAATTTATCAATTTTATTATCCAGATGAAAAAAGAAGTGACATATGATATTTTATCTAATTTAAAATCTTTTATTGATTGTTTTTAAAAACTTTGCATTTTGTATGAGTATTTCATGTTTAAATCAGTATAAATACGCAAAATACTTATGAAATTCCAGCTGTTATTCAGTACTATTCATTTTTCAGCAATCATTAACTGTGGAAGAGTATGGCAAACGTTCGATAATGATCATGTATACTCAGATCATCAAGAATGAATTAAAGTCAATGCAGGGAAATGGATAATCCGATTAAAAACCCCAAAAAGGAAAAAGATATTAAAAAAAATTGTGTATTTTAGTGGGTATTATTCTGGATAATGCCAATTTTTACAAGATTTAATATTAACCATATCAATAGCCGACTCAATGTAAAAATTTCGATATTATTTTTTCATTAATCAAACTTTGATAAATTTTAGTATAATGAACGATTTTGTTTTGTGTATGATACAGAAATGAAAAGCTTAATTAATATCATTTTGCATTTTTTAAAGGATGTTAGAGTACATCTACATTAAAAAATCAGATTTGAACTGCGATACTGCATCAAATTGATGCATATCTGATAAGGATCTCAAAAGAGTAAAGTTAATTTTTTTATGTTTTTTTAAGTTTTGGGCCTTAGTAAAGCAATATTTTTGGGACGACGATAGACCTTATTTGGCCTTACAGTGGACCCTTAAATATATGCTTTTCCTTTATTTATTAGCTGAACGCAACGTTACACAGTATTGCTATAGAGTCGAAAAGGAAGGGCTTCCACAATGCAATGAAGGAGATATAAAAGTTGCATCCATTCAAGAGTTTTATGATACAATTAACGAGTCTGAGATGGTAAATCTCCGTATTATCTGCGACAGTACATCCGTAGTTGATATTTCATCCGCCAAACTTAAGGATGCCGAGATTGATTTCTCTGGTGTTGAAGGTACAGAAATTAATTTTCATTTGGATAACCAAACTGAGTGCAGGCTTGATGCCATCGGTTTCAAGAACATCACAGTAAAGCTTGATTGCCAGGAATACATCACATTCCGCCATATTTTCCTTGTTGGAACTAAATTTACTTTCTCAACTCCGAGTGTGACCATCCGCGCTCATAAAATCCACTCAGATCTTAGCTCTATTTCATACTTCGCCAAGGCTAATACGACAGAATTCCATTTAACAAGCGCTGAAGGACTTCCAGATTCAAGTACAGAAATTTTCGTTAGCACCATCCTCGAAATTGAAGCCCAGCACAAGGACTCCTCCATGTCAATCGGAATTGACAATTTGGAGATGACTTACGGTTCAACTGTTATTGATTTCAGTATGAAGACAAGTACACAAGTTACAATCAACCACAACACTCCAGGAGTCGTAATGAAGACATTTGTTCATAACGTTCAGTACAACAAATCAACAGATTCTGTTTATACAATTAATGTCGCAAATGGCGCAATTAACGAGCTCTCCTATGACTACTTCTACTCAGTATCAGCTCCTGCTGTTCGCTCTTACCTCGGAGACAAAGCAACTCTCTCAATTTCGAATACAAATTCCCAAGCCTCAATTTTCGTTCAGGGAGATGCTACACTCGATCTGAAGGACAGCCGTAACGATTGCGGTTTCTCTGACCTCACAATTCTTACAAATGGCTCACTTTTAATTCAAAATTCACCTTCTATCAAAACAATGTCATTTTTCAACTATTTATCACTGAATGGACTCGGAAATGTCCGTGCGGCCAATCCTGTCGATGTTACAGTGCCAAATGTTGAATTACATCAAACATTAATGGTAAATAATTTATTTGAGAACATAAATCTCAAGAATGTTCTCAAATTTGTTCAGGAAGATGCAGTATCCAACATTCCATCAATTTCATTTGCAAAGGACAGCAGATTCAAATATAATTACAATATGCAAACTAATAGCCACGTAACATTCAATAATTTCGATTTCAAAGGTACAGCAGAGATGTATTATACAGATTCCAGTGTTCCAACTGACGAAGATGCCCAACATCTTGTAGATTCACCACTTTATGCGTTTTGCACAACTAGTAACTACGATTGCAATGATTGGAACATCGCTGCAACATCACAGGATATCGATGGCCTCACTCCATCTACTTCTATCCTTAAACCAATCTGCCGTAAAACAAATGGTTACATCTGCGCAGGTTTCCAATACGATGATACACCAGGAAAGATCTTCCCACAGATCTGCTACGCCCAGGAATCGTATATGTGTCCTAAATCCACAATTTGGGTAAATTCGACATCATCTCAAAAGATTTCATCTTTAGTATCGAACAAAGTCAGAAGCATCAAAGTTAAGACAATGGAGTCCATGGAACAAGGCTTCTTCGACTTCTCCGGACTCAAACAGATGACTCCTATTTCAATTAAAGGTTTGACTGGTTCTGTAAATGTAAGTCTCAGAATTGATCCGAAAGAATCGATGATTTCAGAATTAACATTATCTAATGGTGTTTATGATTTTGTTGGTAATAATAAAATCAATTTACCATATATTGAATTCGGCCAATCATCGAATTTAGCAGAACACGCCAGATCAAATGTCAAGTTCTCTTCCACTACAGTTGTTGCCATTTCCATTGAAGTCCTCAACGAATTCGATGCATCAAGTATCAAGAATGCCGTAATTCCAATTTATAATCCAGTCGAAATCACATTTACAGAAGATGGATGGACATTCAAGGTTGATTTCGAGTATAACGTTACAGCAAAGTCATACTCAATCCCATTATGGATCGATACAGCTGGATCTATTTCACTTAAATCAAATCCATCAGTCAAAAACACCATCCCTCTCAAGCTGATGGCCAGAAAGGGTGTAAACAGCTACTCTGTCTTTATCGGTGATGGTTTCAAGGAAGGACAGAAGGCAATTACACTTTTAGACGATTCATATGCAAAGATCCATACTAAATCACGTTATCTACCTTTCGAATTCTCAGGAGATAAGAACAACTTCGCAATTGTCGAAGGAATTTCCGGAGTTCAAGAGTATTTCTTGGGAGATCTCAAATTAACTGAGACAACATTGAACCCAGACATGGAAATTCCAGGTCGCGTTGTTGTAAATACACTAGAGGCAGGTGGTACAGTCTATTTGAACGGTTCTCTTACGATTAATGAACTAATTCTTGGAGATTCCGCTAAAATCGACATGACAGATGTAATCATTAAACAAAATAACCTCACTATACCAAAACTTGGCTCAATGGCCGCAATTAAAAGTACTCTTCCAAAGAATATTCGTATTATGACAACACCAAACGATTCCGGCACTCTCCAAGTTGGCGATGATTCTACAAAGATGCCAGAGTCCATCATTGTCGACTGGTCTGTCGATAGTGTCCCATCAGATGGACTAAATCAGAAAGTTCCACTAATTTTCTGCCATTCGAACACAGCAACACTCTCAAAGATCATAAGCCTTACGAATACAACAAAGAAAGTCGGAAAGAAGGAAGTTACTGTTAAACTTGAATTCCAAGATTTCCAGGTCTCCCTTTTGTACTCAGCACCACGTGACAAGTCAACTGTCATGATCGCTATTGGAATCACCGCACTCACTGTAATTGTTATCGCTTCTCTTGTTGGATTAATTTCTTACCTCATCTGCTGCAGGAAACACATGAAGAGAGACTTGAAGCTCCTCTCTGCAGAAACACTCCTTCAAGGTGGACCACAATTTTAAACTTATTTTTCTTTTATTTTAATTTTTACAATAATTTTCTGTTTTTTTTTTTTAGTCAAATAATATAATAATCTCGATAAACCTATATTAATTCTGAATGAAATAATGCTGAAGTTCCTTTCTTTATTCTTTAATATCTTTGATATGAATCAAAAGATTCAAATATGGAGTGAAAAACATCTCAACAAAAAATCTTTTAATTTTTGGGGAAGTGATCGAACTATTCACCACTCAATATAATTTGAGATTATTATTGAATTGTGATTTATTATTTACTATTACTATTATTTGAATGCACAGAATAGAGAGACATCTGTGATCTTTCATAATTGTAGAATAAGAGGAAATTGAAACAATTTAAATTAATTTCTTTAATTGAATATTGATTAATGTTTAAGATCTGTACATTATTATTCTTTGATGATAACAGAATGTAAAGATAAAAGCGTTTTAAAATAAGCTCAAAAGAGTCCACTAAAATGAACAAGTTTTAATTTTAAGTTTAAAAGTGACAGTTTTTTGACTGCATTGATGAGCACTAAATAACAAAACTACAATCCAGTGAATACTCGTCAGATGGGAAATCTCTTGATCTGGTTTCTACGACGGATCCTTATATTATCATTTCCGCAAATTGCGAAAAGATTTCTGGAGTCAGTGCATCAAATAACGCATTTAAAGATGTCCAAACAACTCTCCGAGGATTCAGTTTCGAATCCAGTCCGAAATTAAAAGAGATTCAAAATTATGCATTCTATAGTTGTAAAAATCTTCTTTCAATCGATCTCAGTCCATGCACCAAATTGGTTTCAATTGGAAACAGTGCCTTTTGTGTATGCACTAGTGTCACATCTATAACTCTTCCACCAGCCTTGGAAAGAATTGGATATGCTGCGTTCCAGTATGTTTCAATTTCCTTGATCACGATCCCGAAATCAGTTTCCCTGATTGGCCAATTTGCCTTTTCAAACAATTTAAAATTGACAAGTGCAGATATTGAAAGTGATTCCATAATTACGATGATTGATTGGAATTTATTCTTTGCAACCAGTGTTTCCACCTTTAAAATTCCAAAAAGAGTCACGATATTTAATGGATTGGCTTTTAATGGTGATACAAAGATGAATTCGATTTCTATTGATAATGCTAATCCTAATTTATATACTGATGGCCGTGGAGTATATAGTGCTAACAAAACTATTTTGTATTATGTTTGCAGTGCTCCAACAACTCCTTATCGTGTTTCTTCATCAGTTGAAATTATTTATGATGGTGCATTTGTAAGTTACCAAGCTCCTACTGTTGAACTTTCTGAAGGAATAACAGCAATGTACTCCTATGCTTTCTTCCGCTCACAAATAACTTCTTTTGTGATGCCAAATTCTGTTAAATCCAGTGGAACTCAATGTTTCAACATTTGCCCAAATTTACAGACATGTGTTTTATCGAAGAATTTAACAAGTTTAAGTTATTCAATGTTTCAAAATTCTGGTTTGACAACATTAACTATTCCTCCAAGTGTTACTGTTGTGAATTCTGGAGCGTTAGCAAATTGTCCTAGCTTAACAAATGTTTATTTTCCGTATCCAATGCCTGATTTGAAGAGTGGTTTTGTAAATTTTTCTCCAAATTTTGTTCCAAAACTGTCAAATGGTGCGAAGTTTAATATCAACAATGATAAAGTTATGTTCAATGATGATAACACAACTGTTATTGGATATTTTGGATCTAATGAAACAATTATTCATTTGCCATCTGCATTAAAAACTATTGGTGAGAAATCATTTATGAGTAGAGAGCACATCAAAGAAGTTGTTGTTGAAGGTATTTGCAACATCGAAAAAATAGATAATTATGCATTTCAAGGATGTTTCAGCCTGACCAAATTCCCAAGTTTTGCAACCATTAAATATATAGGAACATTTGCGTTTGATAATTGTCAACTTTCTTCGGCAATTTCTTTTTCAAAAGATCTTCAATGGATTGGCGAATCTGCATTTATAAAGAATACAAAAATCCCACAAATTGAATTCTATTCAACAGGATATTTAGTCATTTCATCGCATGCTTTTGAAAGCTGCATTCTCTTATCATCTGTTTCATTTCCTTCTTCAGGAAATATTTATCTTAAAGACTATGCATTCTATTTATGCGAAAATCTTAGATCATTAACCATTACAAAGAGTATAATATCTATTGGACAATCATGTTTCCAGAGTTGTGGCATCCAATCAGTTATTTTTGAAGGTGATACGATTTGCAATGGAATAATTCCAGCTCTCTGTTTCAAGAATTGCAGCAGTTTAGCATCAGTATCCATTCCATCAAATTGCACAATTCTTGATGTCGAATGTTTTGCAATGACAGGAATCACAGATATAATTATTGCTGATAATGTTGAAGTTTTATCTCGCCAATGTTTTAAAGATTGCTTAAGTTTAGAGAGTATTACCATTCAGTCCAGTTCTAGATTAACTTCTATTCAGCCATTTGCCTTCCAAGGTTGTGGTAATCTTGCAAGTGTGAATTCTTTTGTTGCTTCAAATTTTTGTAGCGATAATGGAGCAATATATAATAATGATAGATCGAAGATCATCATTTATCCGCCGGCTGCGAAGAACAAATACTTTGGATGCAGAAATCTTGAAGCCGTTTTAATTCCAGATAAAAGTGTTGTGAATATAGGGCAAAGTGCTTTTGAAGGATGTACATCTCTAAAGCAAATCAACATTCCTTTGAGCATCAAAAATATCGAGGCGAATGCATTCCTTGGTTGTGGTAATATAAAATGTGGTGTTTCTCATGACAACAATACTAAGGAATATATAGATATGCTAATTAATGCAGGGTTAACGAAAAAATCCTTAAAAGAATGTATGATGATAACATGCTTGGTGCATGGTAGTTCACCAATGTTCTCTTATAACGTTCTATTTCCTTTTATTCTCATTTAATATAACTTAAAAAATTATTCTCTCAAATTGTTTTGAGATTTTCAAATATGTGATCAAGTCAAAATACATCAAGATTGGATATAAACTTATTTATTTGTATGGAATTTAGGTGTAGAGAGCCTTAAATAAACATAATATTAAAATTGATTTGATAATAATATAAGTTTCTGAATGTTTCCCCTAGACCCATTTAATGATGAAAATGTTAGTTATTTAAGAACAAAAATGAATGTACCCAAATGCATACATATTGCAAGTTGAATTAGATTTGAGATTCTCAAATATATCAATATATCTAAAACTATCTTGTTTTTTGTGAACACATGATATTTTATGTCGGTTTTGATAATGTGAGTGCTGTTATTTAGTTAATATGAATAAAATTTTCTATTATATACTTAAATTCTTTTGTTAATATATGGATGTGTTAAAAATATATGAGAAAAAAACAAATTCTCTAAATTGAGTTCTTTATTCTATAATTATCAATTATTATTCAAATGTGAAATCATACTTACTCATAATGGCTGGGATATATAAAAGAGTCTTTTCCTGGTATTCAACATTGTTATGAATTTGTATAAATTGTAATGCACTTAATTCATTTTTGCTTTGGATGTTAAAATGTGCTTTTTCTGGGAGCATTACTATATACCATTTCTCGATTTCTTTAGCTTGTGTAATATGTGCTGGAAGATATGGATATAAATACTCTGAAAACTGTGGACGGTACCATGTAGCGACATGATCACCGATATCGAATTCACCTTCGACAATGCGGAATTTCTTGGTGAGTATACGTTTAATAGCTGCTTCATCTTCTTCTCCAGTTCTAACTATTCCGCCTGGCATTTGTAATTTCTTTTTATTTTTGTTTTTGAGGAGTAATATTGTTGTAATGTTGTGTTCGTGAGCAAGAATAATGCAACGAACAGATTTAACTGTTCCTTCGACTGCAAAAATTTCTTTTATTTTTTCCATGCGATCTGTATGTGCCTTTTCCTCTTCTTCCTCATCTTCTGATGCACCAAAACGGTAATTTGATAACTTGTGGATCCTCAAACTCATTTATGTTCTTTCGAACTTGTCACGTTTTTTGCCAAAAAGTGTTTCTTTGGCTTTTTGCGGAATAGAGTATTCCTAAGGGGCTATTATTACTAAAATATTAATTGGCATGATGAGAAGCCATAGATTTTTGTATTTTTATTAGAAATTGATCAAGATAAAATTTTGAAATTTTAACAAATAAAAAATGAAGCTAAAACACAATGGTAAAAACTCATATCTGAAGTAAATTAAAGGTTTGGAAAAGTTTTTAGACGTGAATCTAAACTTAGATAAAAATTTTATAAGAATTTTCATCTTATAGATCTTAAATAATGTCAAAATTATATTAACGTAATACTTTATGAATAAGATGTAATAAAAACAGATATCAATATATGATACTCTACTTGAATGTAGGTATTGGTGGTAATTTTGCGTCAGAGTTACTCTTTTGACTTTCCATGCTTCCGACAAAGCTGAATCCATTGAATTCAGTGTGTCCTTCGATTGCTGGCGTTGCAACAGAATCACATGGCGTTTCTCTGGTGAATGCAGAGTCAAAGTTCTCTGGATTGAACTTGTCATCAATCGGAGGAACGTAGAGTGGCTCAACTTTTCGTTCTAAGACTTCATCGAAATCCATTCCTTCCCAGAACGGATGATCCTTCAAAGTATCGAAAGTAGCGCGTGTCTCTGGGTCTTTTGATAGAAGCTGGTTGATAAAATCGGAAACATTTGGATCAAAATCTGAAGGATAATACGGTTGATCCGCAGGGATTCTCATAAAGATCTTTGCACGGTTCTCATCGTAAAATGGTGTATGTCCAAAGATGAATTCATAGACCAAACAGCCATATGACCACCAATCTATGGCCATTCCGTAAGGTTCGCGACGTACAATCTCAGGAGCGAGGTATTCAACAGTTCCGCAGAATGTAGATGTTGCAGAGTCAAATGACATGTCTTTAGCAAGACCGAAATCGGTTAATTTGATATGTCCTTCTTCATCGAGTAAAATATTTTCTGGTTTGAGGTCGCGATATATGATACCATTACTATGGAGATGAGAAAGTGCCAAACCGATTTCAGCGGCGTAAAAGCGAACTTCTGACATCTGAAGTTTTCCAACTTTAGAGAGATATCTAAACAATTCACCACCAGGGATGTATTGCATACCAAGGTAAAATTTGGACATAGACTGAAATGCAAATGAAAGAGAAACAATAAATGGATGTTTGACTTTCATCAGAATATTTCTCTCTGAAAAGACTGTATGTACTTTGCGTGTTTGAATTAAACGAGCTTTATGAATTGATTTGATTGCATATAAATTCTTTGTACCTTTCTTTTGGACTAACATCACTTTGCCATAGTAGCCTCTTCCTAGAACTGAAATAATGTTGAAATCATCCATTGTTGTAGTTCTATCATTGATTGCTTGGGATTTGATGGCTAATATCCACTCCATTGTAACTTCTTCTGATTCGGAAAGGAAAACAAATGTGTTTATACCTGGAGAATCTATCTTAAACTTCCTTTTATCATCTTCTAATGGTGCAACCGTGGTGTCAACACCAATTGGGATTCTTTTTTCAATGATCTTTGATTCATAATTTTTATAAACAATGAATTCCGAGTTGCATACTTCACAATAGCAATTGTTCCATATTCCAAAGAAGCTTCCTTTCTTTTTAAGTGTTCCCTGATATGAGCCGACTTGTTTCTCGCTCATTTCGAAATTTTGTATCGTCCAAGAGTTATTGGTCATTTTTTTCGTCTTATCAGGGATTTAGGCGAATTATCAAGCGTTATAATGGAATCTTAATGAAGTAAGAATGGAGAAGAACGGTAGGATTGTCAAATTGAAATGTATTTGAATGAAAAATAATTGTTTTATCTCGAAATTCAAAGTTACATCGGGTTTGACAATGATGATCGATGCTCCGTAACATTAAGTTAAGATTGAACTATTTCCATGCTATGTAGTATCGATAGTATTATGCATGAAAATCCATATCTGAAATGAATAATGATGAAGAAAAAATGCAAAAGGTTTCATCATGAATGGGCAATATGAACGTGAAGCTTATGCATATATTTTCATATGTACGAAGACAAAATTCAAAACACAGCAATTTTATGTTAAGAAATATTAGATTTTTGAGGTTTCCAAGATTTCTCGATGAAACATAGGTAATTTCGAGCTTATTTAATAGAAACTAATTGATGCTATGTATGTTTGTTTCTTTTATAAGGTTTATGAATTTACCGCTTTATCTAACATAGAATTATTGAATTTGCATCACATATTTTAGATAAGGGGCTATATTTGTATCCTATAACCTTACAAATATTATGAAATAAAGGTTTAATTTGAATTTAAAAATATCAAAAAAAAAATATTATGATACATATACTTCAAAATGATTGACTAGGTAAAAATATAAAAATATTAACGCAATATAGTATTTGTTTAAGTAAAAGCTGTACACAATTAAATTAAATAAGTGGCATAGCAGTTTCGCTTCTATCATTTGTAATTCTAAGTTGCTTATACAATGGTAGAGTCTTTGTTAGATACAATACTTCGAAGACAGCTGCAGCAATAAATGAGAAAACAGCTAAAACAATAAAATATGTTCCAAAGAAGTTATTCTTGCATCCAAGGAAGTTTGTCTGTGCAAGAACCAAGTACTTCTTGAAATTGGCCTTATTTATTGGATAGTTATCGATAATTGCGATTTCGATTTCAGTTCCCTTTGGAAATACTCCAGAACTATGAGAAACGTATCCGTAAAGCTTTCTGAATGTCTTTAGAGGAGAAACTTGAAGCCAATTGATGAAATGCTCATTTTCTTGTTCTCCAGGGAATGTAAGGGATCGGTTATTACGAAGCCAGTAATTCAGTTCTGGGTTTGTTAAATTCATCGATTGATGGAAGATTTTCTTGTATGTTTTTTGTGTAATCTCTTTTTCTTTCATTGTAATGTTATCAGAAGCAATAACGAATGTATCATTGAATACAGTCATTGGTAGAAGTCCGCATGGTACATTTGTTGGTCCAGCAACGTCCGGCTTGCACTGGGAAGTTGCTTTTTTACTCGAAAAATTATTTCCTTTGAGCATATCCCAACTCTTTGAATGAGCATATGCTAAATGGTTCTGGAAGAAGTTCTCAAGTTGATAATAAAGCTTGAGATCTCCTTTAATTTCTTTATCCAGAACAAATTTCACTGAACATGTACCATTTGCGTGGCAATCATAATTTTGTTTGTATTCGAAAATATTTTTATTTGAAGAGAAAACAACAATGCCGATTATTAAAGATATAATCGAAAAAATCAAATAAATCATGGCAGCAAAGAAAGGAGTCAGAAAAGGCTTCATTGCAGGGACTTTTTGTTGTTTAAATTTGCTATCTGAAAATGGGATACTGTTCGCTTCTTCAGTCATCGGATCTAAGACAATGGCGAAATTCTCTCAATTTCTCAAAAAAAGTTACATTGTAAAGTGTCAAATTTACCAAACAAAAAAAACAATTTACCACTAAAGTATCATAATATCTTGGTGAAACACAGCTAGAATTGCCTCTAATAATATACTTGCTAAGATTCTATGCAGCTTTATCAGTAAGTAAATTCTGCCTCATCTCTCCACTTGTTCTTTCATGAAAGCTCTCTAAGCCAGAATCACAATATATAAGCATTCTAGCTATCAGTATCTAGTTGCTAGACTGTCTTTTTATTGTACTTTTTAGGATATTATTTATATTTTATTAACCTTGTGACTTATATTACTGCTTCCTGGTCTTCGAGGTCCATAGATGTAAATTTGCATGAATGAGACAGTATCCATAATTAAGCATCTAATTCAATGAGAAACTTCAGAAGAAATTGCACCCTTGAATTTAATATCTGTATATAAACAAGAAATAATGCTCCACTTGATGTCCGCATGTGTTTTATATATGATTGCGGAAAAATAAATTTTTTGGTGAAACGTTTACTGTATTGTAATTAAGTATTAATAAGACATGATAATTAGCATTTGAATTAACAATGAAGCAAATAATAATTATAAAGTTATTCCCAAAATTTCTAGAGCAATAACCAGAAACAAATAAAATATAACATAGATTTTACATGTAAAAAAATAATATATATTCCCGCTATTTTGCATATAGTTCATGGGTAATTTCATTAGTATCCACAGGCATGTTCGAACTTGTAGATTGCAGTATAACGCTGAATACCAACCTACAAGTAATGAGCGGGAAGTACTTTCGAGTAACCCTACTGAAAGTGGGGAAAGTTTATTAAATCAATTTCGAAATTACCACGATTTCAGATCAGAAATCATAGTTCTACAAACATACGATTGTGAAGAAGCAAGAGCTATTTACAATCAAACTAGAGAAAATGTCGAATTTATGTCATCATTGTATAATTATTGCTGCCAGGCAACAGATCACTTTAATTCTTTAGCTTCATACATGATAAATTCAGAAATGGATGTAAATATGGGAACTATTTATAGAAATAAAGTAGTTACCCAAAAAATGATAAAATATCTTGCGCAATTCTTTACGTTTGATGAAATAAAAATGAATACCCCTAATATGCTTCTCGATTTATCATTTTACAGAAGAACCACACAGAGAAATGCTGCAAACGCCTTAGTTGATGCTCTATTTGTTCAAACTAATATAGTCTCTATATTCCTTGGTGCTTCTACTCCATTTTTGGATTATCTTTATTCTCAATTCAATCATACTTTTGCCAATAATGTTCCAAGTGCTGTTAGGCTTTTAGGCTTGATAATTGAAGTATGCGCCAGTAATATAGTAAGCTTTGAAATGATCGAGCCATGTCTTAAAGCAATGACTGCTATGATCTTAATAATTGACAAAATAAATGGTAATGCTTTCAACTGTCACGCTCCTTATCCAGCGTACAGATGTCTTCAAATTTTATTTGAGACAACTCCTCGCCAAGATAATCTCATCAATACAATTCGTTACAATTCGAAGAATCTTAATAATGAGGATACTTTAGAACCGATAAAAGAATTGTTTGCTAGCTAGGCTTTGTTGAACTCTTCTTGCTTCCGAAAAATTTTATGTTTACGTTTTTACTCTCAACGTGAACCTAAAATGTCAAAGCAAAAAATGATATATGCTAGAAAAGGGTGCTTTTTCGGATGAGAAAAGAGTATACAACATTTGATAATGATTCTTAGATAATTTCTATTTTGTGCGGCTTAAATTCTTATTCTAAAAGTAGTGTTTAGTATGTATATTCTCGAAATTCTTTTAAATGTCTCGGAGTCCCGAAACGAATAAGATGACATGAAAACTTATCACTGTCATGAACCGAAGCGAAGAAACATAGAGCCTAGTAGAAACTATTATTATTTTAAGCGGAATCAACGCAGAAAAATGTTTAAAAAGTCGATTTTTAAAGATAGATAAAATCGTTTTATTCCGTTTCAAACAATATATTAATATAAATAACAGATATTTCGGTGGTAGGAAGCCTATTTAATTGGATAACTTATGGTAGCAGAAATCATCAGAGCCTGAGTGAGGAACTTTCTTTGTAGGTTGGTTATTTGGGTTTATGCTCTTGTTGAATCTTGTCTGGTTGAGTTTCTGTTTGTCGTTTGCGTAAACTGATTTCATTGTGACACTGAGAAAGCGTGACATTATATCAAAATGATTTTAGTATTGAAAAATTGAATGCTATCTAGCCATTGTAGGCAAGAAAAAGGAAAAAATTTAAAAATTGATGACAAGTAAGTAGTCAGCTAAATGAAATAGCTTTGGTCATTTTTGAAAAGAGGTCAACTTTTTTAATCACTAACAAATTTTCAATGTGTGAAAACGATTATTCTGAAAAATTGAATGAGTTAAATAGTATCGTTTTGGGAAAATTATTTGATGTGGATAGATGGAATCAAGATCGTGAAATCTTGTTAAGGAATGTTATACAAACTGATAAAGAAAAATTAATGGGGGTTGAGAATCACAAAATTTCAAATGCAAATTTATCTTTTAATAAAATTTAATTTTAATTTATGGAATTATTTCTAAATATCAATTTTTTAGAATTATTTGGGAAATTTATATAAATTTTCTATACAAGATTAATTTAAATAAAGATATGGAAATGTAAATCCGATATCGTTCAGCGGTTAGGATATGTGGTTTTCATCCACAGGATCGGGGTTCGACTCCCCGTATCGGAAAACTTTTTTCCCTTTTTTAGAATGATTTTTGTGTTTTCTTGTTTACTACGAATAATATGGTTAATTTTTGAAATTGGTATGTAGGCTTATATTTTTATGCGAGGATAAATATATCGAGATTGAACTTGTGAAAATATATTGAGATTCTTTTAAGCAATTGTATGAAATCAATATCCAAGCATCTGTCTGTTAAGTGTAGTCTCTTTTTTGATTTAATATTTATACACCAGCTTATTGATAATTGGGATTATTTGTACATATTGTTAGAATTTGTTTTTATTATCAAATCTTTCATTTCTAGACATATTTGAGTTGTTTGTTGTAAATATGAGCCATCTATTTCGATGATAGAAAATTTTTTGATGGGATGATTGACGAAAAAGATATTTTGAATGTCACCTTTGTTCGTCTTAAAATTTCAATTGTGATCGTCCATAGCACAATAATCCTGACATTATTGGTTGATCTATCGTTGGCTCATCAACATTTTAAATTTTCGATGGTCATACAAAAATTTCAAAGAAAAAATTTAATTGAGCAAAATCAAAATACAAAATAATGAAAGTCGAGATAGGTGTTATATCTGGCTTATCTTATGACTCATACCCGGTAGTTACTATCACTATTAATGATAAAAAGTACCTTTTTAACAGTCCTTCATTCACACAAAGATGTTTAATGAATGCGAACGTCAAATTATCAAATGTGAATGCTCTTTTTGTTACAAGTAACAGTTATAGAGCTATTGCAGGTCTTTGCGGTTATGTAAGCGAATGTCTAATGACTAGCCAAACAATTCCAATTTATTGTGCAAAGAGCTGTGCATCAGCTGTTATCTTAACATCAAAATATTCTGACATACATTGCGATGTACCATATAAAGATCAGTTCGTTAATATAGAACCAATTGAACTTACTAAATCTGTTTCTTATGTAATGACTATTCCTGATGAGCAGCCAAAATTTGATGCAAAGATTGCCAAATCATACGGTGTCAAGGCTGGTCTTGACTTTAAGAAGCTAAAAGAAGGTAATTCCGTTACATTAGAGAATGGTCAGGTAATTACCGCAGAAATGTGCATTGGTAATGTTGAAAAAGGAGGTAAAATACTTATTACTGAAGTTCTTGATCTAAAAGATCTCGAAATCCTCAAGAATATCGAAGATTATGTTTGTATCGTTCATTTCTCATCTCCTGAGATGCTAAAACAAGAACAATACCAAGCAAAATTTGCAAATGCGCAAACAAACATTGCTTTCAACATGGATGGAAGAATATGCTACTATACGGGCTACGATTTCTTCGAAAAGCACCATAAGAAAGATCCCAAGTTAGTTGATAAGCTTGCTGTAGGAAAACCAGCTGAAAACATTGGTATTTTCAAGTCATATTTCAATGGTGATGTTTTTGTCGCTTTTCCAGAATCAAAAAGAGGTTTTTCAAGGGCATATAAACTCAGAGACTTCGAAGAATACGAACCACCAAAGTTACAATTTAATAAATTAGCTATTACGATGTTAGGAACAAATGCAGGCTTCACACATCTCCACAGAGTTGCCTCTTCAATAATTGTCCATACAAATGATGGAAATATCATCCTGGACTGCGGAGAAGGATTTTTGGAACAATTAAGAAGAAAATACGGTTTGGAACAGGCCAATCAGATGATTGCTGATACATTAGCAGTCTATACAACACATTTCCACTGGGATCATTGTGGTGGAATCCAATCTTTGCTTGCTGAAAGAAGAAAATTTACAAATCGAAGGATTCCTGTGTTTTGTGATGATTTCTTCATCGAATACTTGAAGTGTGATGAACAAACAGATGGAGATTACAACGTAGATTTCATTTTGAGAAACGAAAATACTTTTAATTATAATAAATTTGTTTTGAGAACGATACCTACTGAGCACTGTGAGAATTCGATGGGCTGCTGCTTGGATTACGACGGATTAAGGGTTGCTTACCCAGGTGATCATCATATTTTAGATAAATTCGGAGAAACAGTTGGCCACTGCGATATTTTGATCCATGAAGCCACAAAAGGTGACAGAGAAGATTCCCATGAAGAAGCTTGGGGACACAGCTCTGTTTGGTCGGCAGAAAAAATTGGAAATAATTTGGGAGCAAAACTTAATGTTATTACTCATATATCAAAGAGATTCCAGGAAAAGGAAATCACTGCTCCTTCGCCAAACATGGTTTTCGCATTTGACTTCATGACAGTGAGACTTGAAGACAAAGACGAATTGAGAGCGGCTTTTGACAGGACAATTCCTTTTAAATAAATTGTTTTCTTTGTATTTTCTTTAAAAAAAAAATAATTTAATATTTTTACAAAAAAATAACAGAATAGAAGAGAGTATATGAGATTATTTGTGTGATGATGAGAGAATATGAGCAATTCTTTCCTTTTGCTTGTTCCAGTTCTTTGGTACATTCAATTCGCTTAATTCTGTGGGAGATGGTGGAGGAGGAAGCTGTTCAATAAGTTTCTTTGCATATGCATCACCTCCACGACGCATTTTACTTGCTGCTTCTGGATTTGGAACTTCTCTATTTCCTGGGATTAAAATTTCAATGAATGAATCGTAAATGTAGTTGATTAATGTGTATACACGAACTGAAACATTCCATTCTTTGAACATTTCAGATGTATCGAAAACTCTTGTTTGTGGATAAATTAATGGATGAACAATTCCTGGTTGAAAGACAATTTTAGGTACAGATGCTGGGAAATTATCGAAAATAATAAGATAAGTAAGAATTTGATCTTTGTATATTCCATTATTTGGCATCATCGTGACTTGCCATTGAAAAGTATTAGCAACTGATGGTTGAACTAATACTCCTTTCCTAACTTGCTGTAAACAGGCACGAAAATCTTGTAAAAGTAGTCTTTCGCTCGCTCCAGATTGCATAATTTTGATAAAAAAATTATTTCTTATCGGCCTAATTTTCATGAAAGATCAGGAAATTGATCATTTTAGTGTGATAGAATATTAGTATTATTTGCTTCTTATATAATTCCTTAATGAGACGTGCCAAATGAAAACTTGATGAAATTTTCTCTCAAAACCATTCTTATCTAGCGTCCCTTGTATGTACAAATTTACAAGACTAGAGATAAAAGTAATAATTTTATACAGAAATTTAATATCTTATGTCTGTTTCCAGGGATTGACGTGCTGCTATGAGTATCCATGTTTATTGAATTAAGAATATTGTTAACTTTGTTAAAATATGGAGATACCAAAATGAAATTTAAGGAAATTATGATATATTTTTGATATGATTTTTAAAATAATTCCAAAAACAAATCATTTGCAATTAACTTGTAATTAAATGAATTGTTAAATCATTTCATAGAGTTAAAAATTTCCAAAAATATTTTGAAAATCAAATTTTGAAGATTTTTTATTTTAATTTTAATTTTATTTTTCAAAAATCATCAAAAATTTGGAAAATTTTGGAGAAACATTATCATTGATATAGAAATAAATAACAATAATTAGTGTATCTATGAACTTTAATTTCAAAAACATGATTTTTTCAAAATCATTAGAGTAAAGAGGCATATTTGATCCATGATATATCACCTTTATGTAATACTCTATTTGATTGCAATAGAAAGGGACATAAAATCTATCTACATTCAACCTGAACGATTATTTTTGATGGACAGATGCCACTCTGAAAAACTTTCATGATTTTTTGAATACAATTTTATGTTATTTGCATGTTACATAACTCAGTCATTCATAAAAAAGCGAAAAATAAAAATTCAAAGCGATAAAAGATGAAGAGGTAAAACCGTCAAACTTTTAAAATATCAAAATGTCTAATGCCTTTAGCTTGAAGTGTATGAAGTCTACAGACACAGCGTCTGCTAAGACAAACTTCGTATATGTTAGCCCCAACATTTTTTCTCAAATTCAAGGAGCCAGCGAGAAATACGTAATTATCAAGGGTTCCATCTGCAGAGTTGAGTCTAATCCTAAGATTGATGATGCCTACATCTCACTCAACAGCAACCAGAGAACATTCTTCAGAGCTGCCTTCGATGAGTTGATGACAGTTCGTCCATACATTTTTGGTGCAGATTCAATGATTGCAACACGCGTCAAGATCGAAATCTCATTCCAAAAAGCCAATCATTCAGCCAAAACCCAAATGAAAGCTAAAGAACTTTTCGAATTTTGGAAGACAAACATGGGAACACTTCCATTCTGCGAGAACTTCATTTACTACGCCGAGTACAACGGCACAGCCTTCAATTTCAAGGTCTTAGAACTCGAAGGCGCCACAGCAGGTGATATTGCCAACGGAAAGGAATCTACGACAGTTATGTCCGCATTCTTCCAACCATCTGCTACCGTTTTCAAGTTTACAAAGACCGATAAGAACATTCAAATCGAAGATGAAGATTCCGGAGCCGGATCTGCTCTTTTCAAGCCAGATTGGGACTTCAAGAAGATGGGCATTGGTGGCCTTGACGAGCAGTTTGTTACTCTCTTCCGCCGTGCCTTTGCTTCTCGTATTTTCCCTCCATCCGTCGTCAAACAACTCGGAATTCAGCACGTCAAAGGTATTTTACTCTACGGTCCACCAGGTACTGGTAAAACACTCATGGCCCGTCAGATTGGTAAAATGCTGAACACTGTCGACCCAATTATCGTAAATGGTCCAGAATTACTCAACAAATACGTCGGTGAGTCCGAAGCGAACGTACGTAAGCTCTTCGAACCAGCCATCAAGGACCAAAACGAAAACGGCGACGATGCCCAGCTCCATCTCATTATTTTCGATGAATTCGATTCTCTTACAAAGCAGCGTGGTCGCGGCAGCGATAACACTGGTACAGAGGACCGTATCGTTAACCAGCTCCTTTCTATGATCGATGGTGTCGACTCATTGAACAATGTTCTTATTATCGGTATGACAAACCGTCGCGACCTTATCGATAACGCTCTTCTTCGTCCGGGCCGTTTCGAAGTCCAGATTGAAGTCAATCTTCCAGACGAAAAAGGCCGTCAGCAAATTTTCGAAATTCACACCGGCCCATTACGTCAAAACAACAGACTGGCTAAGGATGTCGACATCAAAGAACTCGCCCATGAAAGCCGCAACTACACAGGTGCTGAAATTGCAGGTGTTGTCAAATCTGCTGTTTCATTTGCTATGAATGAGCGAATTAACATCGACAACCTCAAGGAAAAGATCGATCTCGAGCATTTACTTGTTACCCGCCAGCACATGTTGCTCGCTCTCGATGAAGTTAAGCCTGCATTTGGTGTCGAAGAAGATACTCTTGCCAAGTTATGCGTTCGTGGCATTATTGACTTCTCCGATAACTTCAAGGCCCAGAGAGACCAGATGAAGCGCTTCTTGGACGCTTTGAGGAACGATCCTCATCAATCCTTGATGTCCTTCTGCATTTCCGGGCCATCCAAGTGCGGACAGACTGCTTTCGCTGCACAGGTCTGCCGCGATGCAGGATTCTCCTTCGTAAGAGCAATTCAAGCAAGAGAATTCATCGGAACTTCTGAAGACAAAGTTGCAGGTTCTATCTTGCAAATATTCGAAGATGCTTACAAATCATCATATTCAGCTATCATTATCGATGATGTTGACATGTTGGTCGATTATACCCCAATTGGACCTCGTTTCTCAAACAAGATCTTCCAGGCTATCCTCATCTTACTCAAGACAGCACCTCCGATCGGCAGAAAACTCGCAATCTTCCTTACAACCTCACAAAGAGAGGAAATGCAGACAATCGGCTTAGACCCACGTTTCTTCTACGAAGAAGTTTATCTTAACGCTCTTACAACATTCGACGAACTCCTTACTGTTATCAACAACATCGCACCAGAGAAATTCAAACCATCAAACGATGAAACAAAGGAGGCCGAAGAATTCGTATCAAGAAACTCAATACCAATCAAGAAGGCAATCGAGGCTATCGATCTCGTCGTTTACGAATCAAAGGGTGAACCAATTCAGTGGAAGGAACTCAAATTCGCTCTCGAACAACATACTAAGAGATTGTAAACAAAAAAGGATTATTTCGTACTTACTTTTTTTTTTAAAGTTATATTTGAAATTTTGTGGAATGAGTTAGAATTTTACATGGCATTTGCTTTTCATATTGAACAATATTTGACATTCCTTCCATTTCTGAGTATTTCTTAATAAATTCTTTTTCCTTCGTAAAGACTCGAATCCAAATTTTTCGAAAGGGTTTCACTCAACATTTATGAGAGGAGGAGAAGAATGAGGGGAGTTTACATAGGAAATTAAGTGAATTGATTGTGGCAACACCTAATCTTGCAGCAGTAAATAACAATCCATATAACAATCCGTTTATTGAATATTGGGAATATTATTCCGGTGGTGGTGGAAGATCAGCTGGCGGTGGTGGAGTTGGTCCAGCGAGATTTTCTTCGATTGGAGGCTGTTGCTGTGGCGGTGGAGGAGCACCATAATAAGGACCTCCTTCGGGTTGTGGGTAAGGCTGTTGTGGTGCTGTAGGATAAGGCTGTTGTAGTGCTGTAGGATAAGGTTGTTGTGGTGCTGTAGGGTAAGGTTGTTGTGGTGCTGTAGGGTAAGCTCCTGGAGGATATGCTTCTGCTGTAGGATATGGTTGTTGAGGTGGCATCGCGTAGTTGAAGTCTGATCCAGGAAATGGAGCACTTCGTTGTGCTTCTTCAACACGACGCAAGTAATCGTCCAAACGCATGAATTCGTCGTGATCGATAGATTTAAGCGTGTCTGGAACTGGTTGGTATGGAGTGAATTTGCCAGATTGAGAATTTGAAACTTTTCTTTTGATGATGACTTTCTGGTAGTTTGAGAATATAATGAAGAGATTCTCTACGATAATCGCTAGTCCAATACACTTAAGAATAGCAAGGAAAACTCTGCCAAAACATGAACTCCAGAATTTAACGTAAAGGCTTTTCCCTGCAAGGCAAAAGTATTTGGGAACCTTGTAGATATAGGATTTCACTTTGAATTCTCTTTGCCAAGAGGAATATGTGCAATTCTTTAATTGATCAATCTGACTTACCATATATCCTTGGTAATTTTCATCAAATTAAACCTTTATTTTGGCTTTGACAATAGTAATCTTGCTACTTGTATCAATCTCAACTTGTTCAGGAATTTCCCATGATGCGTAATTTAAGACCATTTTTTGTACAATTATAGCTGTGTTAACGATGAGACGCAATATTGGTGGGTTATTCGCAACCTTGCTTAGCATCTTTGATACCTTCTTTTCTTTAGTGTAACAATATTTTTCAGAACTACAGTAACAGCAAGCATCTCTGTCTTTTCCATATAATAATGCTCTAACCAAACCTAAATGGGTTCTATTTTCAACACCATCTTCTATGGCAAAGCACATAACAGATAATGACGTAAAAAGTATCGATGCGCCCAATAAAGCAATACCAGGAATTAAAACAGGTAACCTGGAGCTGTCGTAGATCATATTGACTATGCCAATTGGTATTAACGCGATAATTATATTTTTAATTAAACTTGTAATCAAATACCAAACACGTAAGTAAATTTTCCGAGATTTGAATCTTGCAATAATGTAAATTATAATGTTAACAGCCCAAATGGAGGCCACTAAACTAATAGGTCCATACGGAAAATCACCAACAAAGGCCCATTGAGCAGTATCAGTAGCTACGGGATTTGGGGTAGGAGTATCGTAGTCATAATAATAAGGCATTATGGAAAAATATAAACTTTTTTTTATTGCAACGGTCTTCTTCACAAAAATTGAATTTAGTTTGATAAAAAGCAAAACAATTCAGACCCGTAAAGACAAAATGACTGCCAACATGAAATAATCACCAAATGATACTTTATTATATTGATAGAATATACACACATGTTGTTAATAAAAATTATATCCCTGAAATGACCTGAATGCTATTTCAGGATATTCAAAATTAAATCTTTATTGTTCAGCTAAAAAATATTAATTAATAACATAAAGAAGTTATTGAAAAAAAGTGTTGCCGTTTAATTTTTCACATAAAACCGAACAAATTGATCAAATCAGATATAAGTATCTCAATAAGGTTTTTACATATTCACAAAGAATATGGAATAATAGATTAATCAAATAAACATTTTGTTTTTCTTTAATCTGTAAATAATTTTTGAAAATAAAAAAATGTGGGAGGCACAAATACAGTTTATACATAAATCAGGATAAAAACATCGATTATAATGATATATTATTATTCGGATTTGATGGGAGCTTTGGAGAGAAGAGAGAAAGTCCGTTGAAAATAAGATTAGGAGAGAGGCTAAATTGGTCTTCACGAAGTGATGGAGACCATTGCATAGGAGTGACATCTTTGTCAAGTGATGGTGATGGCTGTGGGAATGGAGATTTCAAGAATGGCGAAAATACTGGCGTCTGCAATGATGAGGCAAGTGTTGGTGTGGCCGGTGGTTTCGGCTCGTTCTGAATTTCGGCCGCAATTTCTTCGAGTTTTGGCGGCTTCGGGATATCATCTGCAGACTTTGGCATTTTCTGAAGTGAAGGACGTCCACGCTTTGGTCTTTGAATACCAAGCTGATCATACAATATCTGCTTCTTTAATGTGGAGTTCCATCTATTTTTAACACAATTGTCACTTCTTCCATTGAACATTTCCGAAATTTTTACCCACTGATTTCCGTATTTCTCATGTAGTTGAATCAATAATTTGTCTTCTTCAGGCGTCCAAGGTGATCTATTAACATTTGGATCAAGATGATTACGCCATCTCTCACGGCATTGCTTTCCAAGTCTTCCAGGTAGTATTTCAGCTAACTTCTTCCAATTTTTAGTTCCATTTTCTTGAACAAATTTGATAATCATTTCGTCTTCTTCGCGAGTCCATGAACCTTTAATCAATTTAGGGTCTAATACTTTGCACCATCTCTCTCCTATTTGAGTTGCAGTTTTGCCTGGAAAATATGGAAGTAATGATGGCCAATTGTCTGTAGGTTCTTCTGTCATAAGCTTTTGAAGGAGGGCATCATCTTCTGCACTCCATTTATTGTTGTGTGTTCTTGAAACTGCTTTCTGGCGTTGTCTGGTTGGCGCAAGTGCAGTTTCCATGAAAAAAAATTAATGATAAATAAACGGCAACTTTCTTGTAAAGAGAGGATTATGGGTGCTGAACATGAATTTCATAGTTTTCTCGTTTTTTCCGAATTTCCCAATAAATATCATTAAAAAATACAATTAGTGAATTGAGATTGAAATCGTTGGTAATTAATCCGATTCTTATTTTGCAAAAATAACCACCAATTCCGATTAATTTTAAAAATATATTTAAGTGGTCTATCGGAATTTAAAATTTAGATGATTATATAGGACTTTTTCCCTTGCATTGATTCATTTGCAAGTTTATATACTTTACCTCTTATATGAAACATATCATTCTTATTATGCCTCTAATCTTTTATGGGATTGGATATCGGATGTAAATTTAGATATTATCGCAAAATAAAGATATGTTTATGCGTTAATGCATTAGGGAGGTTTTCTTATTAATGTCAAACATAAATCATAAAGAAATTTAAAATGATAATAATTTACATAACAAAGATATTGAAAATATCAACATGCAAATGATTTGTATACATATATGCTTAGTCTTCTAAAGCCTTATCCCAATCTTTTGGATCCATCGGACTTTCGTCTGAATCACCGGATAAAGCTTGTACATATGCATCTAATTCTTTATCTATTAATTCATTTTCCTTTGATTTCGGAGTATTAGGCGATTTCATTAACAAAGGTGCATGAGGATCTTCGACATCATTTTTTTTCACTTGAATTCTGCCTCCAGCACGTAATGCTGCACGAGGATCATCTCGTAATGCTTCAGGAGTTTCATTTTTACAACAACTAAAAACCATACCCATATTTCCCAATTTGTCACTTTTTAATCACTTCACAAAATTTTATTGAGATTTTGAAACATTTTTAGACGTAACATCTTGATATCGAGCCATAATTCATAAATAAGATCTCTTGCATAAGAATCAGGATCGATAACAGTAATATCATATTGCTCTAGAAGTTTATAAATTTACCCGATTCATTTCAATTTTTGAATAATTTTTCTGAAGTTTCCGGAATGAATAATAAATTTCCCTTACATCCAAACTCAATGACATATAATTTACCAGACTAGTAATTACCTGAATATGATGACATCGATATGTTAAATTAAATGCATTGATAATTGCGATCGGCAGATTTGAGAGTTTCTTACAAAATTTCAAAAGTTTATAATTTGTAAAAAAAAGATCATTTTTTTAATAATGGGTAAAGGTCAGGCAATCGGAGAAGGATTATTTGATATAACATACTTAATATCAGTTATTACTATGGGCATTATCATTCTTTGCACCTGCCATACTCTTGAAAGCCAATTATTTGGTGCAATGGCTGTTATTTTAGGCTGTGGAGATGCATTCCACCTTATCCCAAGAGTATGGGGCCTAACACACGAAGGACTTGATCATTATCCAAGAGCTCTTGGAATTGGAAAATTAGTTACATCTATTACAATGACAGTTTTCTATTTAGTCTTCTACTTTGTCTTAGAACTTCGTTATGATTACGTCAATGATGCAATGAGGTATTCAATGATTGCTCTTTCGATTTTAAGAATTGGACTTTGCTTATTACCACAAAACCAGTGGACAAAAGGCGAAGGAAACTACACAATGGGAATTGTTCGTAATATTCCATTCTTTGCAATTGGAATCATTATTATGGTTCTTTGTTTCAAGTTAGCCAGATCCGATCCATTCATGAAATTATCATGGCTTGCCGTCTTCCTCTCATTCTTGTTTTATGCTCCAGTCGTACTCTTAGTCCATAAATTCAAATTTGTCGGAATGCTTATGATACCAAAGACCATTGTATATCTTTGGCTTGTTATTATGGGTTATCAAACTTATGTTGGAATTAGACTTAATTAATGTGGATATATTTTAAATTGAAAAATAAAAATCTTTTCATATTATTTTACACACACCAAGCCATCGCTATGATATTCTTTCTACTGATATTTTTAAGATAATATTTCCGATTTTTTTTTTACCCTTTCTTTTTCTCTTTTGCAGTGCTGGAATAATCCATTTCACATGTAAAATCATTTTTATATTCCTTTCATCTTATATTTAAATTGTAAAATTATTAACTAATTTGCCTGACGTGAAATCAAATGCTAATTTGACGGACGTGAAATAATTCTATTATAAGTGCTATATTTGTAATTTTCTTATAGTTGGCTACGTGAAATATGAAAAATTTCTCAATAAGCTGAAAAGTCATTAGAACCTTAACGAAGAAAACTGCACAAAATAGCTGATGACAATACAATGTTATCATTGAGCTAAGACATAAAAAAAATTTTAAAATTTAAGGGTCCACTGTAAGGCCAAATAAGGCCTATCGTCGTCCCAAAAATATTGCTCAAGATGGTGCTTTACTAAGGCCCAAAACTTAAAAAAACACAAAAAAATTAACTTTACTCTTTTGAGATCCTTATCAGATGTGCAACAATTTGATGCAGTATCGCAGTTCAAATCTGATTTTTTAATGTAGATGTACTCTAACATCCTTTAAAAAATGCAAAATGATATTAATTAAGCTTTTCATTTCTGTATCATACACGAAACAAAATCGTTCATTATACTAAAATTTATCAAAGTTTGATTAATGAAAAAATAATATCTAAATTTTTACATTGAGTCGGCTATTGATATGGTTAATATTAAATCTTGTAAAAATTGGCATTATCCAGAATAATACCCACTAAAATACACAATTTTTTTTTAAAAAAATTTTATCAATTGTTATGGTATATCTTTATGATAATGAATAAAATGCTTATTTTTCATAAGTAAATACATAATTTATGCTTAAACACAAAAAATAACACGAAAATTTTTGGCCAACATATCTAAACTAAGGATAATGGTTTGAATATATAAACAATAATACTTTGTCCAGGGAATTAAATTTGTGCTATCCAATTGTCAATTCTTTGAATTTTTTTTAAATGCAAGATATCCCGGCATTAGCCTCAATAAATATATATATTATGCATCATAATATTAGTTTGTAATGGCATTAAAGCGAAATTCCTAATTTCTTCTCAATTAAATTCCTTGAAAAACATTGGAATTAATGATTGGAAATAAGTCAAAAAAATTCCTAATATAAAACTTATACTTAAGATAAAATTAAAATTCGAAAATATCTATTTTTCAAAACACGCATCCAGAAGCGAAAAAATTCGAAAAAATCATTTTCTTATAATACTCGCTGATTTTGCAATTTTTATGTGATTTGAAGTGATAGAATAAATTATCATCTTACTAAAACATATACTTCATTGTTACATTCACAAAATATTAATCAGAACACTAGGAAAAGTGGATTTTCGAAAAAAGACGATAACGATTAATTGCAAATCGCCTCTCAATTTTGAGAGACTTTCAATTTTTACATTGGACCCTTAAATTTCAAAATATCAAGTTCAGTTCGACTATGTATGTAGTAATTCCTCAATAAAGTGCCAAAACCCTATTAAAATATATGAACATTTTCAACATTTTAATGTTTTTATTTAAAAATTTGATGGAATATGAGCTTCAAACAATTATTATGTAAATAAAAATAATTAAATATATGTATTTATTCGTATTACAACCGTAGTAAGTCGATTCTTCCTTTCTTCTACTGAGGTTTGAATTTGATTTCGAATTGTAAAGAGATTCAAAGGGAAAATACTAGCGGATAAAAACTACCTCCATGAAAGGGTCATAATGGAGTCAAGTTGTATTTTTTGATATTTTTTGCTTTTCGAGCCTAAATAGGTAGTCAAGATAATGACTAAAAATAAGGTTCTAAATTCTGAAGTTTACATGATCCTCTCGTGTGCACCCTTAACAATCCTTCGTTTAGTTCAACATTTGTGAGTTTAGTGCAGTTGTTGAAACAAAAATCTCCAATCGAAGTACAAAGATGATTAATTGATAGAAATTTAAAATTCTCGATCAATAATACTTTGGCGAAGATGTGAAAACATGTTTTTTACTTGTTAGCCTATTGAATATTAAGGAATTACTTTCATGAGTTAAAATGAGATCATAGTGAGTAAGAGATGTAAATCATTCAAAATTGAGCGGATGATGGCCATTAAAAAAATTATTGAAATATATAGTAGTAAAAGAATAGGACAAGAAAACGTATTTCATTTTTGAACCTCAATCCGATGTTTTGAGATGATCGGAAGAACTCAAAATTATAGTTTATTATGCTCAAATTTTAATATTTTGGATGAATGAAAATTCCTTATAATTTTGAGAGCATTCTCAATTTTAAATACATTTTCTAACCAATGTGAAAATATTTATTAAGTTATTAATTGGAATACAATCAATACCGATATTTCTCAAAAGTTGAAATTTTTATTATTATATATATTTGATTGTTATTTGAGAGTATATATATTTTCATCAATAAATTAATTGAGGGAAAATCTGTTTATCTCAAAAATTCAAAAAAATGATAGTATAATTTTTTCATAATCAGCTTCTCCTAAATAAATACAGACTAATATTTATCATAAATATTTTTGAGCCTTTCCAACGATATTTTACTGTACATATCTCAAAAATTTTTCATAATTTATTTTGAAAATAAGATATTTAAATTATGCTCAGACATATTTTCCAATTTTAAATTCTAACCTCTTCAATTTTATTTAAGTGTTCTCAATCTTATGAAAAGCCAAGTTGATAAGTTAAATTTTTTAAATGCTTTTTATTCTTTTTTTCCTAGCTGCTTCAGAAACTTTAACACCATTCCTGCAGCAGATTGGTCTGCCAGTTACAACTTTTTTTTCAGTAACTATCAATGCAAATGCAGTTCCAGCTTTTTACTATATTCAATCGACTTCATCTTCATATACATTCACTTTATATAAATTAGATGACTCAGGTACAGAAATTTCACGCGAGGTTGTAGATCCAACAACAAATCCCTATATATATATTACTGATTGCAAATCTTCTTTAAATTGCAAGATGAATAAAATTATTCCAGCTGGTGATTATGTATATGGAGCGGCTGGGTTTACAGGATGCGAAAATGGTTTCCAAATATTTCCAGGAAGTAATATTCACCTTAATTTTCGTCAAGGAATACCTTCAAATATTTTGCCAATTTATCCAAATCATAATAGATGTTTCTTGTTTTCTGGTATTATTAACTCTGCAACAATTACAAATAACATGGACTCAATAAATTCTGTCCAATATCATGTCGAACAAGCAACATCATGGACAACTGTTAACCAAGGCCAATCAGTAAGTGTTGCTACAAAAAATGGTGTGCAAGATAATGATCTTCTATTTGTTAAAGTATCACTTGGAAATTTTACAACAGTACCAGATTTAGATATTGCTTTTACAGCAAAAGAAGGTAATGACAATTTGGAACCTTCCCAATACTATCAAATCCCTCCACCTACTCCAATAGAAACTCCTTATGATACTCCTTATCTTTCACCGTTTGTGACTGCATTTCATACACCAAATGATACACCTTTCATTACAGCACACACAACTCCATTCAAAACTGTATTCGATACACCTTATTTGACTCCATATTCAACAAACGAATATACACCATCGATAACAGCTTTTAGTACACCATTTGATACAGTATCAAGTACACAAGCAACTACACCATATATAACTGCTTTTTCGACACCTCATTCAACACCTTATATTACTAACTTTAATACTCCATTTGACACCCCATTTTCCACTGCATTTTCAACGGCGCATTCAACTCCTGCTTCAACCGCCCACAAAACTCCTTTTTCTACCCAATTCTCGACTCCATTTTCTACCGCGTTTTCTACTCCATATCAGACCAATGGAGTCACTCCTCACGTATCTCCGCCACCTAGAACTAACAGCGAGACTCCTTTCAGCACGGCTGAGTCAACTCCTGCGATAACTCCGGTAGAAACCGAAATTCCAGCGACACCTGAAGAGACAGCTTCAACATCCGTATACATAAAGACACCAAGATGGACTGTTAAACCCACCGCGACCCCTTATTTCGATGGATACGAAGGAACTCCGATAGATCCAAATCCGATCATTGTTGCCATCAAAGAGACACATCCACCGATCCAAACAGATTATATAAAACCAACTGTTGCCAAAACTAAAAAGATTATAACTGTTTCAATGGGCACTGCCATGATTGTCTCCATTATTACGCTATCTGTTGTTAATATTATTAGACAGACTTTTAAGATAAGACAGATTATGAAAGGAAATGCTGATCAGGCATTGTTTTCAGATCCCGATAATTGGGAATCATTTACTTTCTCTTTTTATTCATATAGTGAAGAATAATAAATTGTTTGTATTTATTTTTTATGAATTTTATGTCTTTTTCTTCTTTTATTGTTTTGTTTTGGAGAATTTTTCAGATCATTTTAAAATAGTTCCTTGTAAATCATTGAATCAATTCAAAAATTATGAAAGAGACGGAATTATTTTTAATCAATGTTTCAGATCAAAATGAACAAACATCATGACTGTTTTAAGTTTGCTTGGCAACAAAATGAAAGAATTTTTCATAATTTTAATCAAACACTCATTATTGATCAAAACATCGAAAATTACATTTCGAAAAAATAAGATTATCAAGAATTTGATTAGTAATATCACAGGTTATATATTTACAAGCATAATCAAGTCAAAATTTGTAACAAAATAAGTCAATAAATTACTCTTTTCCGAGTTTGTGACGAAGATCATGAACTTCTGTATTGAGATTCTTTAACTTGTTCTGAGCTTCGATAAACTCTGGCCATTGGCGCTTATTCTGCTGTAATTGAGCACGAAGTTTCTCATTTTCAGCCATGAGTGCTTCAACATCAATTTTTTCATCAACTGGAGCTTCGTCTTTTGTTTCCTTGGCAGCAGGCATCTTATCAGCGTTCATAATTAATTTTCCTGCAAGTAAGTTAGCAGCATCAGTAGAAGCTTCATTTTCTAAGTCTGGAATTGATAATTCAAGAAGAAGGTTTTCTTTTTGAGCATCAAGTAAGATCTGGCGAATTAAGTTTACATTAATATCGCGCATGTGAATCAATTCCGTGTGCATCGTCTTTGCAATTGCTTCTGGAAATTCTGCAAGTGTCTTTAAGGCTTCTTTACCACCATACGTGTCATCTCTGTTGAATTTCTCTTTAAGGAGTTCATTAAGTTCAACTGAAATTTCGCCTCTTGTTTCATCACGATTTTGTCTTTCAAATTTGAGAAAATCAATAAGTTCCTTTGTTTGTTGAGGGGTAAGATCTTCCATTTCGAGATTTTTTATTATTGGGGGAGATATTTTTTGGAAGGTGGATATTAGGAAATGATAGATAGGAACTATGTTGCCGCAAGAATTACTTCGTCCAAGGCCAAATATATTACATCCTAATGAAATGGAGTTGTAAAAAATGGTAAGTATCGTAGAAATTCAAAAAAGATTACAAATTATCTCATATCTCAGCGTAGGTAAGAAGAAATGATGTTTCCATTCACTTCTCATCATTAAACTGCCTACAAAAAGAAAAAGGCAGCAATTTGTGGCCAATCATGTTTTAATTAACTGCTTATAGAAGAAATAGGGGAAAAAATAGATTTTTTTGTGGAAATGGACATGGAATTGTTTAATCGAGTTTAAAGGTATTGCTCAAGGCGGTGGAAGATATCAGCGCAGCGGCATGAGTACATCCACTCGTTATCGTACCAGGAGAGAACCTTGACGAGTGTGCCCTGGCCTTCTGGGTTTGGAAGGACCATTGTTGAGAGTGAGTCAACGATGGATGAGTACTGGCAGCCGATGATATCGGATGAAACGATTGGGTCTGTGACGTATGTCATGATGCCCTTGAGGGAGCCTTCCTCTGTAGCCTTCTTGAGGGCAGCATTGACTTCCTGCTTTGTGACCTTGGCGTTAACGTTGACTGTGAGGTCGACGAGGGAGCCTGTGATTGTTGGGACACGAAGAGCGAAGCCATCGAGGGACTTTGGTGGGAGACCATGGCAAACCTTTGGAAGAGCGATAGCAGCACCTGTGGATGTTGGGATGATGTTCATGCCAGCAGCACGAGCACGGCGGAGATCCTTGTGCATTGTATCAGCGACAACCTGATCGTTTGTATAGGAGTGGACTGTTGTCATGAAGCCGTTGCGGATTCCGAAGGCGTTGTTGAGTGTCTTAGCGACTGGGCCAAGGCAGTTTGTTGTGCAGGAAGCGTTGGAGATGCACTTTGTCTCTGGCTTGAGATCTTCATCGTTGACACCGAGAACGAGTGTGCATTCGATCTCATCAGCGGATGGGACGGAAAGGACAACCTTCTTAGCGCCGGAGATGATGTGGCCATCATAGCCATCCTTTGTGACCTTGCCATCAACAACTTCAGCCTTTGAGCGGAAGATACCTGTTGACTCGAGGACAACATCGATACCGAGCTCCTTCCATGGGAGCTGGGATGGGCCAAGGCGGCCACCGATGGACTTGACTACCCACTTGTCATCGCCCTCACCAACTGTGAATTCTTGCTTTTCCTCGTCGACTGTGACTGGTTCTGGGAAAGCACGGTGAGCTGTATCGTACTTGAGGAGGTAAACGTTTGTCTTGATGTCACCAAGATCGTGGATAGCGACAACTTGGACATCCTTTGGGTAGAGCTTGCGGCAAGCGCGGAAAACGAGACGGCCGATTCTGCCGAAACCATTGATAGCAACCTTAACAACCTTTGAAAATTTTTCACCTTATTATGATTGTACATAGGTTCAATGTATCAATCAAATATCAACATCAATCTCTTATTTTTCAAAAAAGAATGGTGAAATACGAATAACAACAATACAAAATAAAAAATTTATTCAAACAAACAATATTCAATAAGATTTAACCGATTTTTTATCCAAAATCTGTTACAATTTGTTCATGAAGTAATAACTTACTTTCCAACCTATCTTGACGTCTCTTTATCCTCAAGTGCCATAAAACAATCAATACTCCAACAATAATTATAATTATAACAATTGGACAGATAATTAAAGCAAATTTTTTGGAATTCTTGCTAGAATTATCACTTACAGGACACATATTAGTATTTACTGTGAATGAAACACCTCCAACCTCTTTCTTTGGATATGAATCAGAGCATTCGACGTTTTTCACCGACAAACTATTCTTTAAGAAGTTTCCTGTAATTTCATTCGATCCGCAATACACAAATCCATCAATACTTGTATTCGCAAATGCAAAATTATCAATAAAAGTGACATTGTCAAAAATGTAAACTATCACTTTTTGCGATGTCACAAAATCTTTTGGCAAAATTACATGACCACCACAATTTTTGATCGTAATTTGTTCTAACATTGTTGCATTGACCAGTGGCGGGATATATGAAATATCAGCAGAATCGAAGGTAATTGATGCTAATTGATCCATTAAATGACCAATCTTTAAAAATTCAAAACAATTTGATTTGAAAACGAAGCTTTGGAAGCTTTTGAGTTCTTGAAATCCATAATAATGAAGTTTCAACTCTGTTTTGATGCCAACAATGATAGTTTTCAATCCAAGGCAAGCAAAGAACGCCGAATACTGTATTTCTTCGACATTTTCAGGTAAGTATATACTAATTAACTTAAAGCATTCTTGGAAAGCTGCATAACGGATACTTTTGAGAGATTTAGGTAAATCTACTTGTAATAAACTTTTACACGCGGCAAACATGAAATTTCCTATGACAGTTATCCTATCTGGTATCGATATTTGCTTAAGAGAGCTGCAATCCATAAAAGTTTGGTTTTCAAGATTTAATAATCCTTTTGGAAGCGAAATTTTCTCGATTTTATCGCAATAACCGAATGAGCATACACCAATTGTATGCACACTCTCTGGAATTTCGATTGTTGATAATATTTCGCAATGATAAAAACAAAATTTTTCAAATTTTTCGAGTTTTTCCGGCATTTTTATATCAATAAGTTTCATACAATCAGAAAAAGAGTATTCTCCAATAGTTTTAAGGTTATTTGGCAGATTAATTCTTTCCAATTTTCTACAACCTTCAAAACAATGTTCTCCAACAATTGTATCTGGATTTAAGAAGTTCACATGAGTTACGCCACTTTTATAAAACGCATAATTTGAAATATTGCTTAAACTCTTAGGAAAAGTTAAAGATTTAATTGATTCGCAATTTGCAAACGCGTAATCTTGTATTTCATCGAGGAATAATGGAAACTCAGCAAATTCTAAATCTTTACAATATCTGAATTCTTCTTTTCCGATTGTTTCAAGAGATTTCGGAAAAATAATATTTTTAATTCCAGAATTTTTAAAGGCACAGGAACTAATTGTAGCAACATTGTCGTGAAAAGTGACTTTTGTAAGTTTGACACAGTTTTCAAACGTAGAATTATGTATTTTTGTCAAACTTTTTGGAATTTTGATTTCTGTTAATGATGAACAGTTGAGAAATGCTTCCTTATCAATAAAATTTATTGTATCTGGTAAATCAATTCTTTCTAAGCTTGTACAATTGAAAAATGAACTTAATTTGATATTATTTAACCGATTTGGAAGAATAACTTCCTTTAAATTGTAGCAATTACTAAATAAATATTCTCCCATATATGCTTCTGGATTGGTGAATGTAACTTTTACTAAATTTATGCAATTTTCAAGTGCACTATCATCAATATACTCTAGTTTTGGAGGCAAAGTTATTTCAACAATGTTAATACAGTTTTTAAATGCTTCATCTCCTATTGATATTAAGGAATTAGGAAAATTTACTGTTTTAATAATAAAACAATCCGTATATTTGCCAAAAGGAATTTCTCTAACACCTTCAGGTATATCCAGTATTTCAGTGTCTGGACATACACAGGACAAAAGCTTAATTAAAAGAAACGAAAACATGAATACAATTTAAAAAGTGACAAAATCTTCTTCGGTGAAGAATTTTATCTTTAAATAGTGCATAATGCATTCTATTAAAATTACGATGATAGGAATTTTCTGAATTCTCTCAATTATGTCAAAAATTAATCATTTGTATATTTTCCCCTTTCTTAGCTTATTATTTAAGGAAAATATCAAGATTTTCTACTCATGTTTCCAAGTTGCTTATGCATAGATACTTATCATACAGAATATGATGATGTATCATATTTCTACGAATTCAATAATAAATTCGCAATAAAAATTCTTTTTCTTAAAATTGACATCACATAGCTAAGCACTTTGACAATACCATTTGATCCTGATTAGTATGACATAATGTTTCGTTATATCAAACTATTTATCCAGGATCAAATTTTTGTCACTTTTCCAGACGACAATAAAACATCCTCATCAAAATTTTATCAACATCAAAAACACCATTTTCCACAGAATGTGAAATAGCATTTTTAACATTATAATTAACAGACAAATTTAACGCCATATGATATTGCTTTGAAGACTGCAGATTAACACCCATTCCAAATGCAAAATATACCAGATATGATTAAAACTCCCTATCAATACTATGAAATTTATATAAATTCAAAACCTATATGAAACATTGTGATGTAAAGAATTCAATGTTCTATAAGAAAACTAAAGCAGCAGCTTAATGAGAGGAATGTGATATAAATTTCCATATTGTAGATATTCATACAACCAATGAAGTTCCAAAACGTATTACATGTAATGCTAACATTGGATGTCTTTTTATGAGATATGTTTATATATTGAAGACATCGAAAAGTTACTGTGAAGAAGATTTCTGTATTTCTGACAAGAAAAAGCATCATCTTTTGAGAATTATCAGATACAATGACTCGATTAAGACTATGTAATAACTCTTTTAAGACAGAGTTTAAAGGAAAAGTATCTGAAGCTTATTCTATTAAGTGGAAAAATATTGGTAGGGGGAATAGTAATATTCCAGGAATTAGGATTAACATGTAAACTTTTAAGTATTTTTGCTCCCTACAGTTATTCAAAATTTTGTAAACATTTCAAAATTTTAGTCGATTTTAAAATTTATGATCAAAATTTACCAAAATTTCGACATTTTTTTAAAGAACAAAAACAACATTTTATACATTTAATTAATGAATCAATAAAAGTTTTCTTATGTCAAAAGTGAAGCGATTCAAAATTTATATTTTTGCAAAGGAAAGAATAAAAATATTATTTATAATGCAACATGAAATAGTTGTTTATATTACAGGCATATGCTCACAAGCAACAAATGAATCAGTAATTAATTTCTGCATACTTTTTACAGGAGAAATCTATAAAGTAACTGTTTTCCCATCATATAATGGGAAAACCACTTCTGCAAACGTATCTGTTTACTCATATAGCAGTGCGTACAATTTAATTAACGCAATTAACTATTGTGAAGTTGATGGGTACACTCTTTATGCAAATATTTGCGGATATGATTCTATTCGAATACAAAAAGAAGATTTATATTCTATTTTCATTTCCCAAGGTCATTTTAGCAGTGAGAGAGAATTGTTTGAATCCTGTCTAGTTTTTGGTCAAGTTTTTCGCGTTAAACTCTTGTTGGGCTGCGCAATTGTTCAATTCTACAATGAAGAATCAATGAATAAAGCATTGTCTGCACGACATATTCGTGGAGGAAAGATATCGAAAAAGACTCCAAGAAAAGTTTCAAATTCAAAAAAGATTGACAAAAATGATACACCAATCAAGAGTGACCCCGTGCTATTGTCAGAAAAACAAATAAATCAAAACTGGAAATCGATGAAAAAAGAATTGAAATAAGACCACAAAACTCTTCATCTTCTTTGTGAATTTTGTTTGAATAAACTAATCAACTATTATTTGGTAATCTATTTTTTCAATTTTTAAAATTTTGGTTGCGACATGTGACATAAAATACACCATTATGGATTATATTTTCTTCACTCTATTATTTGTATTGATATGCTATCATGTTGCAGAATACGTCATTCACAAAGCAATTCATCCTGATATAACAGATAAACGCTCATTTCTTATCACTTGGCAATACTTAGTAGCATTTTCAGTTGGATGTATCGAATATTTCATTGAATCATTAAAATTCTACAATTTCAAGCACAATAAGAGCAATCCTATGATTTGGATTGGCGCTTTTTCCATTATAATAGGACTATATATTCGATTTGCAGCAATATTACATGCAGGAAAAGCATTCACACACCAACTTTCAAGAGCGAAGCGTCCTGACCATAAATTAGTAACAGATGGAATTTACAAATATATACGACATCCCGGCTATCTTGGATTCTTTATTTTTGCTATTGGAACGCAAGTATTTTTATCAAACATACTCTCACCAGTCGCATTTGCTGTTACACTTTGGTATTTCTTCAAGAGGAGAATAGCTGATGAAGAATACACATTATATACGTTTTTCGGAAATGATTACTTAAGGTATAGAAGCAAGACACCCACATACTTCCCATTTATTGAATAAATTGTTTAATAAGTATTATTTCATAAAATTTTCCTGCAATATCGGACCTAGGTTAGTAACAAACCATTTTATTATAAATAAACTGTTTGGCTTTAGTATAAAAAAAGTTGTAATTTTCAAAATTGAAAAATATTTCATTTTTAAACCTCCATTTTTATAATCTACATTGGCAATGTTTGGACTTCTCAAGTCTAAAGAGACGCAATGAAAAAAAAGACATAATGATTTCCGAAAAAATATTTATATGGTATTGAGAGGCCAACTAATTAATTTTATTAAATTCTTAGATCCAACGAATAGGGAAATTGATTTAAAAATGCGATAATAAAAGGACAGTAAAAAAATATTATAAAATATCAAGAAGAGTACTGTTTAGTAGATCTTGAGAAGTTCGATCTCGAAGTTGAGTGTAGCACGTGGTGGGATAACACCTGGATAGCCTCTCTCGCCATAAGCGTATTCGTTTTGGATTGAGAAGTTAGCCTTTTCACCAACCTTCATTGTGGCGACACCAAGAGACCAGCCCTGGATAACGCCCTGGCCGATTGTGAAGTCGAATGGTTTTCCACGATCGCGAGAAGAGTCGAACTTCTTGCCATCTGTGAATGTGCCAACGTAGTGGCAGGAAACCTTCTGGCCTGGCTTTGGAATTGGGCCCTCACCCTCAACAAGGATCTTCTTTGTGACCTTGCCGTCCTTTGTGACGTTCATCATTTTTTTTTAAACCGTCACTTTTGACCAACAATATAAAAATTGACGCTTCCAGCCAATCTATTTTACATCATTTTAGAATATTTCTTTGAAATTTATATTCATGAGCGTTACGGAAATCTATTTTTGCAGGGAACGTCAGAATTTGAGAAAAAATAGGTCCACAAAATATAATCGGAAACAATTGAAAAATGGAAAATGATAATGAGAAGAAAGATCTTATATTAGAGGCCAACAAAAAATCACCTGCTGAAGAGTCCTCCTCAAGAGTTCTTTTCATGCATATTTCTTTAAATCTAGCAGCTCCAATAATTCTTTTATTTTTAACCTTTATACCTGCATTTGTAAGAGACTTACTAGCACTTATTTCATTAATTCCAGCAATATATTTCACTCATCATACTTTTAGCTGGGAATTAGTCGGAATTAAATGTATAATTGACAAAAATCAACAGCCATCATTCCCACATTTTGTTTACTCATCAAGATCATTGCCATTTGTTGCAACACTCGCTAACTCAAATGCATTCTGGCTCACGCTTTTTATTTCAAACGTTTCATTTCTTTTTGCACTCGTTAAATCATTAATTTCTTACGAGTATTTCAGAATTCTGGTACTTCTTGCAATGGAAGCCGCCAATGCTTTAAGCCTCCAGCTTTTGATTATTTGCCACGGAAGAACAAAAACTGAATCTGACGCCGTAGCAAGGAATCTTTTGCTCGATCCTCATGTTGAATTCCAAAGTGTCGTCATTGAAGATTCTAGCGAGGACTTTGATCCAAATATTCCACAACAAACAGCTCCTGTTAAATTAATTACTTCTGGAGGAATCGCAATCCCAGAAAAGTTCGCTGGAAAGCCTGCAGCTAAGCCTGCTCCAAAAGAAGAAGCTCCTGCAAAGCCACAAACAGAAATAAATAATCCAAATCCAATTCAAGAAAATCCAAGGCCAGTTGAAGAAAAGAAAGAACCACAAGAACCAGTAGTTAAGGTTCAACCTGCTAAAGAAGAGAAAAAGCCAGAACCAGAGCCAAAAGTTGAATCTTCAAAACCCGAAGTCAAAGAAGAGCCAAAACCAGAAACAAACGATTTCCCTACATTCGACTCTTCCGAATTCGATAAAATTAAGAAAGAAGAAGAAAAAATTGAATTTCCAAAATCAGATTTCCCAACATTTGGCAACGTTTCGTTCGATAATACAACAAAAACAGATGAAAAAGTTTCATTCCCAACATTTGACAATTCTTCCTTCGATACAGCAAATACAAACCAAGATACAACACCACAAGGCGAATCAGGAGGATTTTCTCCATTCGGTGGTGATGTATTTGCCAAATTCGGTTCAATGCAAAGCCAAAAAACAGAAATTCCAAAATTTGATGCACAATTTGGAACTGTTGACGATAATTTTGTTCCAGATGAGCTATCTGAAGATGAGGAAGATAATGACGATGATTTACCAAGTATTGATTCATTCTGAAAAATTTAATTTTTATTTGTTGATAAAATATCTTCTGTTTTGTTAGAAATATTCCATCATTAATGTCCTTTTTTATAGTTGTTTTCTACTTATCCTATTATCCTAATTCGAAAAAAATTTTATTATTTTTTTATTTCATATATATTAAGTATATCATGTAACATGCCACTTCTATACAAATGCTAGGCATTGCTAAGCTCTGCTTTAATGACCAATTTTGATAAAAATATTTTTCAGATACAAATTATCATTTTATAACTAAGTGCATAGATTCAACAAATTGAAACCATAACCGAAAATACGCTTTGTACCTTCAAAATCATTACTTTTTTGATGAGAATTTTATTTTTGATCCCTCTGACACGAAAATTGATATTGCTGTATATTATACGTGCTTTTCAGATTATGCATTTTTCGGAGTTTATTGATGATCATTCAAAATAAACAATGGAGGATTCAAATTTTTTCTACACTTATATTATATGATCCTTGTACATTTGTGATTCATATTTGATAATTTTTTATTATTCAAAAACTGATTTTGATCCCTCTGACATCGTTCAATTTTTATGCTATTGTAAATAGGCTCTACGATTGAAACTAATAATAATTTTTAATTTGTCTGGTCGTACAATTTTGGAAATTTTGTTTCTATTTTTCGTAAATTTCTTCATAAAATCACGTATCATCGCGAGTACTTGAAATAGAGCCGGATATCCATCGTTTATTTTGAATAGTTCTCATAATTTTCAAAGGATTTCTGTGTGATCCCTTTTTCAGAACTTTACAAAGAAATTTTACAATTCTCCTCTCAAATTGAAATTGTGTATAAAATTACTTCATTTTTCAAGATTCATGCCCAAGAAAGGAGCCAGCAAAAGACCCGTTGAAACCACAGAGGAAGATGACGAGATAGCCTTCCTTATGGCAGCAGCTGCAGCTAACAAAAAGAAAATCGCAGAAGAAAACAAAAAATCTTTATTCCCTGATGAAGTTTTCAAAGATCTTCCAGCACCACCGATCAATTCACAACCAGATGGCAACTCTTCAGAGAGATGCGTACTTAAATACACCGACGAAATGCTTTCCAAATTTACAATTAACCAATCAGACGAAGATAGGCTTAAAGAGATAAAGGCCACACTACCATTCTTCCGTGAAGGTGGAATTGTCCATCAATCCGTTCGTGAATGGGCTCTAAACAGTGGTATCATTAAACCAGGAGTAAATCTCAATGACATGTGTGGTCAAATCGAAGAAGGAGTAAGAAGAATGGTCAACTACGAGCCACCAACAAGATGTCTTGCCTTCCCATGCGGTTGTTCCATCAACAATTGTGCTGCACACTATTCTCCATTACCAGGAGACACAAGAACTCTTCAAAAAGACGATGTAATGAAGATTGATTACGGTGTTGCAATCAATGGATACATCATTGATAGTGCATTCACTGTTTGCTTTGATCCAAGATTCGATCCACTTATCGAAGCATCAAGAATGGCCACAGAAACTGCAATCAAAATGGCAGGACCTGAAATGAGAATCGGAGAAATTGCATCTGCAATTGAAGAAGTTATATCTTCTTATACATTGGATCTCAATGGAAAATCATATCCTCTCAAGCCAGTTTATAATTTAAGTGGTCACCAACTTGGACAATACATTGTTCATTGCGGTAAATCAATTCCATTAACAAAGAGAGCCAATAATTCCGAGAAGATGCTTCCAGGAGAGATTTATGCATGCGAAACATTCGCAACAACAGGAAAAGGAATTGTTTTCGATGATGGATTGACAAGCCACTTTATGACTGCAAAGCAACCACCAAAGCCAAAGACAGGAAGTGAACAGAGAATGCTTAAAGTGTTGACAGATAATTTCAAGACAATGGCATTTTGCCAGAGATTTTTGGAAAGAGCTGGTGAAAGAAATTATACAAATACACTTCAACAGATGGTCAAAGATAAAATTGTCAATCCATATCCACCGCTCTCAGATATCGTTGGTTCTTATGTTTCACAACATGAACATACTTTTATTTTACTTGAGGATCACAAAGAAGTTCTTAGTTTACCAGCAGGTGCATGGAGACTTGATTAAATTCATTATGCTGCTTTTTTGTTATTCTAATAAAGGGATTTTATTTTATATAAGACATTTTTTCCCTGATTATTTATTTTTAGAAAATGACCACTAAACAAATAAAAAGTTCGAATATCTCAATTTATGTATAAAATTTGAGTTTGATATAGAATAAGTAGTTCTGTTTTAATTCTTAAAAGATATGAATTGAAATCCAAATAGATTCTAGATCTTTCGTTATTAAATTTGGACCTTGCAAATCAAAATGCTCATCCAAATATAATCTTTTTGTCTTTTATTTACTTGTTTAATTTCCACTCCCAGAGAAATAAGAAGTTCCATTGCTTGCCGGAATTTTTGATTTTTTACACACTGTAGTGGAGTTTTATATTTGTTATCTACAGCATTTATTTTAGCAACATGTGATATAAGTAATTTTACAATTTCTATATTACTTGATTTTGCTGCCCAATGAAGAGCTGTTCTACCATATTTATCTCTTGCATCGTTTGAGAGAAGTAATTCAGTTATATTTTTGCATCGATGAATAAAAGCATTGTGAAGTGGCGTTTTATATTCATTATCCTTTGCATTAGTATCAGCTCCTCTTGAAATCAGAAACCTTACAGGCTCAGAGTAGTCTCCATACTCATCTGTTGCAGAATGAAGAGCTGTTTTACAATCGTTAACTTTAGCATGTATTTTTGCTTTTATTATCCACTGCATAATGAACTGCTGTTTTCATATTTATATCTTTGGCTTCAATATCTGCGCCATGCGTAATAAGAATTTCTATTATTTCTGGTTTATTATACTTCGCTGCATAATGAAAGGAGCTTGATTCTTGTTATCTCTTGCATTGATATCTGCATTACATGAAATAAGTAATTGCACAATTTCTTTACCATTATGTTTAGCCGCAAAATGAAGTGGAGTACATCCATCATTATCTTTTACATTGATAACAGCTCCAATTACAATAAGTAATTGAACTACATTTACCGTATTTTGAACTGCGGCAAAATGAAGAGGAGTTAAATTGTCACAATTTTTGACATTAATATCAGCTTCATTAGATATAAGATTTTCTGTTATTTCTGCACTACAATATCTTGTAGAATAGTGAATAGGAAACCATGAATATAGGTCTTTGATATTGATATTTGCTCCATATGAAATAAGTGTATGTAATGTTTCTTTCCATTATATTTTCTGGAGAATATACTCCTGATTCGATCAAATTGATTTTGATATTCTGGAATATATGATCAATGTCTTCTTCATTGAATGTATTTAACCTATATAATGAAATAAAAACATCATTGTATTTGTGGAATAACTTCAAAAGTTTATTATAGTGGTTTTTCATCATGAATAAAAACTTCGACTTTTTAAAATTTTTCACCCCCTCTTGAGAAGTAAATTAATTTCTTGAATTTTGTTGAATGAATTTTCAAGATAAATACATCCATGACACGGCAACAAAACAACTTACCTCCATATATGAAGTATAATGATGGAAATAACATATTATAAGCATAATGAGGGTTAAAACTTGATCATAAGCACAGTAAATGAAAATGTGATAGAAGGGACATTGAATAAAAATTTAAGGTAAATGTTTTGAAAGTAAAATTAATTTTTAAAATTTCTGAACTTTCATTACTTATCATCAATTACTTAGCATCAATTGATATTAAGTAACTTCTTACATTATTTTCTGCAAGTGAGAGAGCTGTTTTTCCATCACTTGACTTTGCATTTTTATCAGCTCCAACAGAGATAAGATATTTTACAATATCAAGTTTACCATTTAAAGATGCACAGATGAGTGGAGTATAGCCATTATTATTCTTTGCTTCTATATGAGCTCCAACAGAGACGAGGTACTTAACAACCTCAAGATGTCCATAATATGATGCACAGATGAGTGAAGTCCATCCATTTTTATTCTTTGCTTCTTTATTGGCTCCTCGTGAAATAAGATATTTCACAACCGAATAATATCCATTTTGCGAAGCACAAATGAGTGGAGTGTAATCACGATTATCCTTTGTTTCTATGTCACAATTATATTCGACGATAGATTTGACAAGTCTGAGATTTCCTTTTTCGCATGCAACATGAAATACATTCATTCCAGTCCAATCTGTTGTCTTTTTCCAGAGTCCTACTTCGCATGCTTCTGAAATCATCTCTTGATTATCTTTCTTTGAAATTTCATCAAAGAATTTGTAAATACTTTCAAAATCACCAGATTTCTTCAGTTCTGCGATCTGTGGGGAAATCTCTCTCGAATGATTTCGATTTTCATTAATTTGTTCGGCTCTAGAACCATTTCGTCTATGAATTTCATTAACTGAGTCTTGAGGTTTCTGATCTTGAACTTCATTCGATCTTGATTGAGGTTTCTGATCTTGAACTTCATTCGATCTTGATTGAGGTTTATGATCTTGAGTTTTAATTGGTTTTTCTTGAGGTTTCTGATTTTGGATTTCAATTGATTTTTCTTAAGGTTTTTGAATTGTTATGGCTGAATGTTGTGTCTCCTGTCCCTTTTGATTTAAAACATCAATAACTCCATCAAAAATATTAAATTTCATATATTTTTTGACAGATTTCATAATAGAAACTGCTTCTTCGGCGTTTTGGACAGATACATTTGCCTTTCGTGTACAAATGTATAATTCTCTCGCATTAATAGTTGAAGAAGATTGTTTGAGAAGAGTTTTGAATTGAGTAGCTGTTAATTTTGAAAGTTTCATAATAGTTCTGAGGTCTTCCATCTCAAACACATTAAAGAGGTTTTCATTTTGAATATAATCACTGATATGAGCAGCAATGTATTCATAATTTGGAGTAATACTCTGGCTCATTTTTTTTTTGAAAAAAAAAGTTCATCCACACTTTTTACCTTAAATATCAGAAAAACGGAGAAGATCATTTGCAAAAGAAATGAAGCCCGAGAAGCAAATCGCGAAGTAATATTGCTTGAAAAAAGAAGCTATTTTTTTTTGAAAATAACAAGATATATTTAAATTCATAAAAAATTTTAAAAAATGTTGAAAATTTGTAAAGGAGAACCGTAAAATAAACGATAATTATTTACTTTGTAAACTCAACCATGTGATTTAAGCCTAATAACACTCCATCATCAAATTCGTGGTTGTTGTAATCAGCTCCTTCTTTAGTTATATCTATGTAAAAGTGTGCAAGGTCTATAAGCATGATTTTAACGTTGTTTTCGGTATATTCTTTTGCATCTCCGTCATAAGTAACCAAAATTGAGCTTGCATAAATTCTGAAGCCAGGATATTGCTTCTGCATCTCGACAAATGCATCGCGGATTTGTGTTAATCTTTTATGGAAAATATCTTTCAAATTTCCAGGTAAAAGTGTGTGTAATGATTGAACAAACTGTTCGGCTGTGTTCTTTAGACCTTGTTTCTTATCTTGAACATAAATATCTTGCTTATCCTTGCGAAGATTGATTCCAATAACACGAACACCATGAGAATTTGTTGTAGAGCCTACCTGCTTGCCAACGAGGTAGTCAATCTTGGCTTGTGAAGAGTAGAAATCGTAATGACGTGTGCCTACTTTCAAATCTGCAACACATGGTGAAGTAAATCCATAAGTTAGGTCTTCAATTACAATCCAATCCTTGCCATCAACATTGTGTATGCCAAAATATCTTGGGACATATGGCTCAAGTGGTGTTTTCTGCAAAATATTATATGCATCTGCTTCTCTTTGATCAACTGGCTTAGCAATGCAGTGTGTGCTGGATTTCTTATCATAACACTGCATGATTTTTCCATGACCGCCTGCTTGGCCAGGAAGTGCACCGGTAAATTCAATTTCACACATTTTTTTTATTGAGTGTAAAAAAATTTTTTTTGATCGGAATGAAAATTTTTTTCAATTGATTCTATCGGCACTTCAGATGCTGAATAAGTTTTCTGGTCGACAATGAGTCAGATAATCACATCTGCATAAATTTATGTTGGGGTTTTCTGAGTACCCTTCATCATTTGAGAGATATCCTGATTACTCCGCCATAACTGAATTACATGCATGCTCTCTCGCTATTTGTGGGTCAAGTACCACAGTTACATTACCCCTGGGGCAGAGATCTTCCGAAGTCTCTCATCAAATAGAGATTTCGAAAAAACAATGCACTATTCGATTAATTGCAGAATCCTAGGCCTTTTATGAACTAGAAAAGAGCAGTAAGAGTATATTAAACCAAATTTTCAAAAATATAACAATAATCCTAACTAGGAATTGAATATCTATATTTATTTCACTTATTTGTGTATACAAGGCAATATCATTTATAGTATTGTGATTATTCAAATCAAATTTTTAATTTCAAAAAATTTTATGGATGATGAGTATAAATCCAATCCAGCAGAGGCGACAGAAAATTTCAAACTTATTCAGAAGATCAAAAAGATGCAAAATTTAGAGTTGAATCAAGTTAAATACATAAATTCTGAAAAAAATTGCGACATTGGTACCGAACAAGATATAATTTCTCTTATCCAAAGCGAAGAGCTGACTATCGATAATCTATCTCAACTACTTCCAAAAGAAATGCCTGTATTTAGTGAAGAATTTATTGACATTTTATTCGAATTCATCGACAACTCTCCAGCAAATAGATTCGATTTTATTGATGCGTTTAGTTGTAACAGAACAAATGCAATTAATCTCTTTAAACGAGGTATATTAGAAATTCTTATTTCATTCTTACCAATTACATATGAATTGCTCGCTAAGATCATTGAAATTTGCTCAAATTACAATTGTCAAAGCTGGTTTGTTGAAATAGGAGGTTTATTCGCATTAACATTTTTTTCCAAAACAAGAGACTATGATGACCCAATTTCAAGGATACTACTATCAATTTCAACATACAACTTTTATACGCAAGATGTTTTGAGTACTCCAGAGTCAACATTACATCCAATAGAAATTGTTGACCTTCCTGAAGATCCAATTTACTTAAATGAGCTCTTCTTTAATTTGCATAGTTCAGATGATCCTCAAATACTTTCCAGACTATATTTATCTTTATCAAATTTGTTTGAAAGATCTGATCCAGCTTGTATAGCTTTTGGTAGTCTTGTATTAGATGAATTTGATTCAATGATAAATAATATTGAAGTGAGAGCATCATTCATTCTTTGTATTTCAAAATGTATTCCTATCACTCCAATTGAGAATCCTTTTGTTCTTTTAGACAATTTAGATGAATATCTCCTTTGTGAAGATGATGATAACTTTGTTCTGGCTTCATTAGAAGTTCTTGATTCCTTGATTTCAAGATATGGAATTGAAATCTTCGAAGAATCGCCTGCAATCGATGCCGTTCTATCTCTTTGCAATGACTCAAGGTTCGACATTAAACTTCACGCTGCTCACAGCCTCTCCAACGTTATAGAATGTGCAATTCACTCACATTGCGAAATTTTGATACGAATGGGCGTAATTGAGTTCCTTCTTGAGTTCGTTGATACAATAGGTGGCGCTTCCATGAAGGAATTGATGAGATCTCTCGGTGAATTCATTGGTTACGCGTTAATTTCTGATTTACCTGATGATTTGAACGAAAAAGTCACTTCTTACATCGAAGAAGTCGAAAGAATGATGTACGACCATGATACAGAAGAAGTAAGAGATGAAGCTGAAAAATGTTGGAATCTTTTTGAGCCTTTCTTGGATGAATGTTCAAAACCTTTATAAATCTGATTTGTTTTTTGTTTGTAATAAAATATAAATTTTGAATAAACTTTTTTAAAGCTATGTTGTTCATTAGAATAAAAATATGAAAGAATAAAATCTTATCTAAAAAAATTTCATGGTATTTTGATAATATCGCTTATACATCTGTGTGTATATTCTGTAATGTGATCTATTTTAATGAATTGCTCATTTTTAATTCATTTTAATATTAATTTTGAATTGTAGCGTTTTTTACTTATTGGATATAATGCTCACAACATATATGAATAGATTAGATATACAACTACTTAAATCTGATTATATTTTTTCAGATTTTGATGTAAACTAAACAAAACAAACGGTATAGAAGTATTTCTTATTAACAACAGACTTTCATTTTGCGTTACATAATTGTTTATAATCAGAATGGTCGTAAAATATGATTTTCTTCTGATAAATTGAAGATGATTTTTGTTTTATATCTGTTTAGTAGTGAAATTCCGCACCATCTGCTTTTGATAGCCCTGAATATTAGATATTGCTTGAATTGGATCTCAAAACAATCATGTGTCAGTAAATTTCAGAAGAACACAAATTCTGAAAAGCTGAACTGCTACAATGAAATTCTTTGATAATTTTACTGTACATTCAATTATCTAAAAATCTTCCAAGGTAAAAAAAATCAAGTGAACTAAATTGAATTTTGCGGTTAACTCTTCACATGTTTTTCTTCTTATCTACTCAGACTCTCTCAACATATATTGACAGATCCGAATTAGATACCGAGTTCATCAAAGTTCTCGATGATAGAACAATGCGTGATACAATTAAGAAATCTAAGAATTCATTTGTCCTTTTCCACGCTGATCATTTAAGAATGTCAGATTCAGCATATCTCTCATATGCTTCTATTGCCAAAAAGTATGAAAAGAAGGCTGATTTTTATGTTGTTCCAGCTTCAAATGGTGCAGATGTTTCCAGAACATACAATGTTCCAGGAAATCCAACATTAATGCATTTCAACTTTGGCACAAAGACTGGCCAGCACCTTGGTATGTATTCTAAATCCAGCATTGAAAGATTTATCCAAAATTACACAACCACAAGCATCATAGAGCTTAACTTTGCCGAGGATGTCACCAAGCAGCAAATATTAGATAAGATTGCCGAGTCAACAGTCGACAGACCACACTGCATTGTTCTTTTCTGCGACAACGAGACCCAATTCGGCAGAGCAGCCTACAAAACCCAGAACGATCTTGGCACATTCTACACATACATCAACATCAAGAGCGAAGCAGCTGCCAAAGCTTACGGCGCAAGATGGCCATCAATTGTTTTCATGAGATTCGATGATGCCCAGACATTCACATACACCAAGGAAGCCGACCCAGATGAAATGTTCATTTGGATCCAGCATTGCGCTATTCCAAACTTCAGACCACTTGATCCAGCTCATCTCTTCTCAATGGATGGTGTTCCACTCAAATCCGTCATCTCATTCTTAGATACAAGCGATAACAAGCAGTACGATGACGTTTTCATGGCTCTCGGAAAGATTTCTAATGATGATAAGTGGATTAACCTTTACTACGTCGATATTCGCGAGAACCCAGCATTAGTTAAGCTCTTCGGCATTACAGAATTCCCATCAACTATCTACCTTTCCGCTAATTACTCAATCATCAAATTTTATTCAGAGAAAGGAGCCTTGAACGAGGAAACATACAAGAAGTTCGAAAGTGATGAACTCAAATACAGCATTGTTCCAACACCAGAAGCCTTATTCGACGACTTACGCCCAGTAAATGAAATCGCATTTGAAAAAATGCTCCAGGAAGGACCATTCTTCACCTTCTTCAACTCCAGGTTCTGCGTCAAGTGCAAGACAATGAAAGCCGCAGTATTCGACGCAGTCCACACCATCAGAAGAAACAGCGGAAAGCTCAAATTCGCTTCCTGGGACATTACATTGGCCACACCATCATTCCAGAAGGATTTGGACATCGGAATTCCTTCCCTCTACTACTACCCAGACAACAACATGACTCACGGCGAAGTCTACGTCGGTCCACAGAACTACTTGTCAATCATGGAGTGGGTGAACGCAAAGACAGCTTCATTCGACCTCGATGATGTAATGAACAAGGAAGTTGGAGGATCCTTCGATGAAATTTAACTTTTCTTTATATATATTTATATTTCATTAGTCAACCGGTTATATAATAAAAAAACTCTAAACAGATTTATACATTTACTTATTAATTTCTTTATTTCAATCTTTTGTAGAATCGTCCTATTTGATTCCTATAAAATGTATTGAAATTCAATTAATTAATACATATAATAATAAGAAAAATTGATTACCATAAAAATCAAGAAGTCGACTTCACGATATGTTACTACGTAAAGTTCAGAAAATTCGGAAGTTTACAGTGTCAATTGAAAAGATTTCAGAGGGCTCGCATCACGAAAAATGTCAATGCAGGTAATTTTCATATGCACAAGCAAACATTTCATATAACTTAACAAATGAGCAATGAGGAGATAATACGTCAGGGAACTCGGACCGTCAAATAGCAACAATTGGCTTCATTTTGTCGAATTCCTTGCATCTGAAGCACATTGTCTGGGCAAACACATCTGAATGAAGGAGGATTCGTAATCAAAGTTTAATTGCATTCTTAAGAATATATTGAAGAGATAGTTTCTTCTTAGTGGTTCAATAAACAACAAGTAAAAATAGGTTGCCAATCGAAATATGTACATGAAATGGATGTCCTGATGAGTATTTGAATCAAATTAGGATCCCTTGAAATTTTGCTAATTATCAAATGCATGAAAACACTCTTTATGGAATCAAGTGAAGCGATTAAATCAGGAGCTGAAGATAATTTTGTAGTGAACTTAGTTAAAGTGAAATGAGACCGAATAATCATTTGAAGTTGATGATTTAACTGATTTTAATCATGGGGAAATATTGTTATGTAGGGATAAATCAGACATAACATTGTATTTTAGTGAAATTTGCATTTTAATTTGTAAGTATGATATAGATGTTTAATATATATTTGTTTTAAAGAAATTTCTTTGAATACAAGAAAGTTTTATGTTTTTACTCAATTATCGTCTGTTTCTCCAATTTGGATTTTTTGTTGGATATAATTATGGAAATCTGATGATTTTGCTAATTCATCCATCTTTTCTCCCAAATTAACTGGCTCAAAATAGTTGAAAATTAAATTCTTTTGCTTTGCAATTTCAAAGTTTTGTAGGGATTTATTATGGAAAGTTGGATTCAATGGATCATAAGAACGAGCGAACTCTTAGAATTCTCTTAACTGTTCTGGGTCTTGTAAAACGTTTGAAGCGTTGTTAATAATATCTTCGAGGTTTTGTTGCCAGTCCAAATTAACGTTATCATCAATCTCCAAGAATGGTTTTAAGAGTTTGTAATATTTCGGACTTTTTGGTTCTAATTTAGGAATGCGTGTTGGAGTTTCAAGCCATTCGCTAGCTGCAACTGAGATAAATATTCTGGCCCAGCCAGCGATATCATAAATGGTTCTATAAAGAACAACACCCTCATTGTATGAAAAACTTGGTCGATATGCAGCCGTTCCTCGAAGTACTGTACGTTCACTCTGCATAATTGAAGTTGGTGAAGACTTTTTAGACTGTCCGAAGTCAATAATGAACGCTACACCGTCGGCATTGACCATAATGTTCTTCGGGTTAATGTCGCGATGGCGAACAATTTGAGTTTTGTGAGTGTTTAGCTCTATAATTGTTTTGTATGATGAAATCAATGCTTTCATGAGGAAGAGATCATAATTTGGAATGGAATGCAAATGCTTTTCATTGATTAAGTCATATAAAGTACACCCTGGTATGTGTTCATAGAGGAGCCAAGCCGGGCCTTTTTTTGATTCAGGGTTGAAAGATCTAATTAACTTGCACGTTGAGCAAATATTTAAACTTTGTGAAATATTTGCTTCAAGTTCAAATTCTTCTACTCCTTTATCAATTATTGGTTCATTCTGAACTTTAAGACAGTAATTAGTTCCATTAAATTGGATCGAAAAAGCTGTGCCGAAACCACCTCGTTTAAGGATGGGCACTCATAGGCTCCTGACAGCATAAAAATGTTATTATCTCACAATATAAAAGGAATCATAGGAATCTACAACTATATCTATATTGTTGGAAGACTTCTTAATGTATCATGCATATAAGTTATATCAATAACTCCATTATGTTATATGATTGTAATCATATTTTCGTTTCATGTTCAAAAACATTAAAATCATACTAACTATATGAGTATTATATTTAGGAAGCTGATATATAGATATGATAAAATGCTAGGTTTTGTGATTAAGAATATATACTTATCTTTTAGAAAATAATACTTTTATAAAAAATTATATCTTATATAATCTAAAAATTTTGGACAATTAAAAAACATTAATTAAAAATAGAAGGTGAAAGTGTTTATTCAAAGAAGGTGCAAGATTATGATGTTTTGAGGGTGAAATAAATTTAATAATTATTTATGTGATTTAAGAGTAATACGATCATCGGTAGCTTGAAGACCTCTCTTTATAGCTCTTAATGCCGCAAACTTTTTTTGAACTTGCTTTGAATTTTTGAATGCTTTGATTAAATCTTTTGTTGTATCATACATTCTGAAATATCTGTTCATCATTTCTGGCATTGTTGGTAAATTTAACCTGTATCTTATTGCTACAATCGTTTCAAACATACTTTCATTGAAATGCAATATTGTGACTGCCATCCTAATTGGCCAAGAAGCATGCCAATTAATATTTTTATTAGCAAGCATTGCTTTGATATGGTTTATTGATTCAACTACTTGAGTTGAATGAATCTTTTTTACCATATCAAAGATTTTTACGGTATCTTCGAGGAATTTTTTAAGTGTTTTTATAGCAGTTTTATTTTTTGCATATTTCCATGGTTTAATCATCTTGCATTTTTCAGGATCTGGACAAAATTTATGATTTCCGGCATAATGTTTAGCGGAATTCAACCATAAAAACTTCTTTGTTTTAATTGACATATGTGTGTCATTGAGAAGTTGCCTAAGCCAACGCAATAAATTCTTTGAAATGCTAGATAAGATTCTGAATTCTGGCAGTTTGAGCTTTTTCTGTATATTGTTAAGAAAATGTCCAGGATCTCTGTATTCTCTGATACCTTTGAACGTATTTTTGATTGTAGAAACAATTTTGACATCGCCATCATGCACAAAAAAATTTACACGTTTTTCATTATTCCAACGCTTCAGCATTCTTTTTAAGCCTTCAAATTCCATTTCATTTGATTTCCCGTTGAAATTACCTTTGAAATTTTTAAAAGATTTAGATATCACTTCCCAATCTACAATTTTTTTGAGTTTCTCTTCTACAAATTGTACATAGCAAAACATTGCATTTCTTCTCTGACTCCAAGAACCGTCAAACAAAAGTCCCGAACATTTTCTCATTCGAGATTTCCAATAATTAACAGATTCTCTGGCAACTTCTATGATAACACGACCAACCTTTTCTTGGACTCGATGAAATGTAGCTTCTGACGGAACTTTGATGTTATTCAGCATGAATTGAAATTCTGATTGGCAAAATGTAGCGCCGCTCAATAATACAGATAGCACAAATTCAACAGTGTTGACGACATATGGCTCTACCCTATTTTTCGCGCTTTGAACTAAGTTCTTTATACGCTTTGCAACTGCTTTTGTTCGCCGCGGCATGAAAAATGAAGAATAACTTGACGGTTTCTTGAACAAATGGTCGCACATTCAAATATTGTGATGTACGATCAGGATAAAAGAATGTTGTTGCCGTGAATTTAGAAAATAGCAAAATTTCAATTTACGCAATCGAGATATAACTTGATCGTTTGAGCGATAACCATGGCACCCATAGTATTAATGAAAGTACTCATACTTACAATTATTTTCTCCCATAGGAATATTGTTCAATATACTTCACCTTTAGAGGAAATCTCGAAATAAAATCGAATTTTTTCAAAAATTACAAAAATCAATTTTTTACAAAGATGTTCGAAAAATAACATTATATACGCATCAAATCCAAGCATTATATGGAGCATTATAATTCTATATATGATTGTCCATCTTGTTGTTGTGCTATTTTTTTAAACAATAATTTCATTGTTGAAATTAAATTTGCAATTTCAGTAAAAATTGCGACCCATCATTTTGAATATAATTGAATTAATACATTTATTGTAAGAATATTATATACCAAATATTAGACTTCCACATGAATCCTGGTATGATATTATAAGTATTGCAAAATTAGAAAAAAATATGCTCATGATATACTAAAATTCATGTTTCAAGGTTAACTTATAAATAAAATAAGTTCGAGAAATGCATCACTAAATATTTGAGCTTGTGCACTATAATGCTATATAATAGTCTTCACTGTTTTTAATATATTGACTTTGCTAGACTTGATTTTTTTCATCACCCTAATGAGTGCCCATCCTTAATACCAAATAAATTGCACTGACGCCATTGCTCATTAACGAATGCCTCTTTCAAAGCTTTGATAAAGTTAGGACGTCTTGGTGGAATTGTAGACATTTTAAATAATAAAAAATTTTGACTATATTACATAACTTCACATAACTTTTCATACAGGAGTCAAAAAATTTTAAAGTCTGTCTTTGCTTGAAAAGAAAAACAAAATTGATCCGGACTTCTTGAGTCAAATGCTTAAAATTTTTTTGTGAGGAGTATAAAAACAACTTTATATATAATAATTCATTTATTAAAAATACCCTAAAATTAATTTTGAATTCAAATATTTTGTGAACATCATCGATTGGTGAGATTATTTATCTCTCAATTTATTTTCAAGAATGCTTCTTTGATGCTCCGCGGGTATCCATATTTCCACTTTTAGATCTTTCGTAGGATCACTTAGACTACTTCCATAGGTAGCTATCCATTTGAGAATACCTCTCATTTTTCTAATTTCTTCCAAATTATCGAAATTCGTTTTTTCAAAATCGCAAGATTTTTAGTTTTTTAGGACATGTTTAATGTTATTGTTGATATTACTATTTTTTCTCATGCTCTATTCAATTTTTCAGAATAAAAAATTCTTTTTCTATTAACTCATAGAATTGTTTCAGTGTCTTAACTCAAAAGTCCGGAAATATCAATTTAGTTTCTTTTTAATCAAAGACAGACTTGAAAATACTCAATGAGAGTTTAGACGATCAGTGCTTTAATTGCCATTTACTTTCTAAAAATAACAATTCTCCAGCATACAATTATTTTTGATTCAAATGCTGTTCGGCATTAAAAACAAAAATAATCATATACTAGAGAATTACACTTTTCCAACATTTTTGAGTCGCTTCGTGCCCGCTGACAAAACGTTGGAAAAGTGTAAAATTATGGACAAAAATTGAATTAGTGAAACGATTTCAAAAAAAATTTACTTATTTGAATTCTAGATATGTTTTAGATTACCATTGTTTCAATCATGTATAGACTGACCTTTTTGATGAATATAAGAAATGCATATAATAAGAATGAGATAAGAAAAATTAATTTTTCCACAATAATTGAATAGATAAGTGTGCCCTCACCATTTCTAGCCAGAGAAAAGGACTCATATTTATGGTCTAGATAGAATAGATTGTGCAAGATAAAATGTTATAATGATGAGATTTTTGTCTCGTGAGAATCAAATGGCAAATCCTTTCTGTTTTATCTAACTCTAATTCATCAAACTTCAGTAAAGAAAATATTTGGAATTAATTTAGTTATATATCGTTAGCTAAATAATGAATGTTTACTAGTGGTGAACAAATTCTATGACAAACAAATTTGAAAATTACTTTTCTTCTGGATCATAATAATCAGAGTACTTTCTTGAATAGGATTTATAAGAGTATGTTGAGTATTCACGATTTGAATATGAGTGATAACTATTGCTGTAGCTTTGGCTGCCGGAAGATGATGTTCTTCCGTATTTATATTTCATATCATTTGTATTTGAATATTTGTCATCAGCTTGGCCTTCATCATGAACCTGATTTGGCATCAGCATTCCTTCACGTCTAATCCAATACGAAAGAGCTACAATGAAGAGTCCGAAGAAACAAAGCATGTTATAAATAGATATCTTTGATTGTCGGTAAGTCCATTGGTAAATTGGAGAACTTAAAGCATTCAAAGTTTTTGTTATTGTAGTCATCTTTAATATACCAAGTGTATTATATAGGGTGTCCAAAGGTGTGTTTAGCACAAACCTGAATACTGCGAATAGAAATAAACAAGTTACATATATATAAAGTTTATTTAAATATAATCACCATTGGATTCAATCACGTGTTCGCAGCGATCGATCCAGGCTTGAAAGACACGCTTTAAATCATCATGAGAAAATTGCTCAAATTGCTCTCTTACAAAATTTTCAAGATCATCTGGACTCGCGAATTCGCGTCCTTCAGCTCTCTTTTTTAGCGTGCCGAATAAATAAAAGTCAGAGGGTGCAATATCAGGTGAATAAATTGGGTTTGGAACAACTTTGACATTGTTTTCCACCAAGTAATTCATTACCTTATGACTTTTGTGAACTCTTGAATTATCAAAATGAATTGCAAACTTTTGTTTTTGTTGTTTGGATTTCTCAAACTCATCAGAATTGATAATTTGAGTAAGAACATTGTCAATTAGATACTGAGCATTCATCGTATTAGGTTTTTGAAGAATATCAATTGCGATGATGCCATTCACGCCCCAAAAAACCGACAACATCATCATTGGTGTGTCAATTTTTTTCTTCGGGAATGTTTGCGGATTTTCATCCTTCGGGATCCACATGATTTTGGCTTCTGTTGCATATTGAAACCAAGACTCGTCCCCTGTTACTAAAAAGCGAAACTTCTTGGATTGATACGCACCCAATATAGAGAGGAGCTCTTTCGAAGATTGGACTCTAGATTTTTTTTGAACTGAATTAAGGTTGTGCGGAACCCAACGTGTATACGCTAGTTTGTAGTTCAAATAATTGTGCAGATAATAACTGACTGTTGTACGTGGTATCTTTGTCATCTCCTCTATCCTTCTGAGTGATGCTCTTGGGTCTTCATCTAGCGCTTGAAGAATTGCTTTGATTTTTCTTTGATCCGGCGATTTTTTGTCAATTTTTATGATGGGCGCCTTTTTGTTCATGAAGTGATACATCCTAACATGATACGTTACAGTGGAATAGCTAGGAGCATACATACCGAAGCATTTTACCAATGTCTCGTAGATTTTTTTACAGTCTTTGCATTTTTTTGCAAGAGCGAGGATGTTTTCTTTATGATTCATTAAAAAAATGAAAAAAATCCCGCCAAAATTTCCCGCGAAACCGCCTCTTGTCTCAAAATTCATTTTATATTCCGGCATGGCGCCAAAATACAACATACTCATCATATACATATATTCATATTTTTTATTATATATTTATAATCAGCATATATCTCCTTTAATAGTCTCATATAGAGCGCTGTGCTAAACGCACCTTTGGACACCCTATAGTAAACATCATTCAACAGGTTGCCAACTACTTGTTGCAAAACATTCCATACGTTTCTAAAACCTTTTTGACCGAAAACATGTGATGTATTCACATAAAATGTATCTTGGACAAAGATTTTATTCAAAACATTTTCTTCTAATGAAACATAGAAAACGTTTGAATATGAATATTTCATGCATTTTTTAACAATTGTATCATTGCAATCAATTGAAACTCTAACTTCATTGATTCTATCTTTAATATATTGCTTTTCTTCTGGAGTAAGAGCATTATTCTTTTCTTCTTCGAGTTCATCTTCAATTTGTTGAAGCGAATCATAAATATTAATTAATTGTGTTTCAATGAAAGTTAAGTTATGCATATTTTGAGGGATGAAGTCATCAACCATTGATTTTACAGTTGAATTTAATATGTCATAAACCATGATCTTAATTACAGGTGGAATAATTGTATTTAATGTATAATCCAGAGCATTAGATAATGCAGTTGAATTTAGAAATGTCTTTAAACCGGATGTCAGCATACCAAAGAAAGTTGCATTCGGATCAGGATCTGCTGGCCAAATTGTATCAATAATTCTTCCTGTTGGATATGTCAATGAATAAGGAGATATTTCGATAGTTGTATTCGCAATTTCAAAAGAGTAAGATTGAGTAATAATATTAATACCTTTGGAACCAAAAATTTTTGGTAAAAAGACACTTCCATAAAAATTAATTGATTCAGAACAAAATGGTAAAAATAGAACAACTACACAACCAATTAATGTAGAACAAGAACCGCAGCAGCAATAACAGCTTGCACCACACATTACTTTAGTGCTTGTACATGATGCAATGCAGCAATTACAGTAGCCATGTCCATAGAAAACTTTTGACATCCATAAAATTCCAACAATTGCACATATGAAGGTGAAAAGGAACATAACAATGAATAAATTATTTATCATTTTCCCAATTTTTTCAACTGATGAGAAGTTGTATTGTTGGCAATATCCATTCAGTCGTTCATCAGTAACCCAGCTTTGAAGAAGATCAGTTAAATCATTTGACATGTTAGGAACATTTGTAGTAAGCAAATCTACAATCTGTTCCGAATAACCATCAACGAATTTATGTGCTTTTTTACGGAAGCTATCAATTCCATCTGTTTTCCATTTGGGAATCTTTTCAATCATTTCATCAACTTCTGCAAAACTAATATTTTTGACTTCTGTTGGCTCCGATGTATGTTTATCTTTGACTTCTTTAATTGCATCATTTAATTGTTGAGCTTTTAGTTTAATGCGATTGACGGCGTCCACTAATGTAAGATCTTTGATATCTTCTGGTGTTTTAGAGTCTGTTGCAAAGATTGACAAGAAAAGGTCATCCATCCATGTCCTGATTTCATCAACTACTCCATCAATGGAATCAGAAATTAAACCCATAATTTGTGTCACATTTGATGTTAAAGTTGTATTCAAACTTGAAATTAAAGCATTTCCATGATTTAACAAGCCTTTTCCTAATGACTTCGTCACTATGCATGCAGTTTCATTGATATTTACAAAGATATTTCCATAATCTTTTGCAGTCGTTAAACCTGTAATTCTTATGAATGCACCTGTTAAATATAAAGCTACTCCTACCCAGAAGAAAACAGTTGATTTGACTCCCGGCCAATTCGCTTTAATAGGAAGTTTGCAGCAAAGGCATCCAATTTGTGCTACACAATTGTAAATACAACTTAATATAAATAAAATAAGAAAAATTGCAATTACCCAAATATATGAAATTGCAAAGCTAGTAACAAATTTCTTGTAATCACCAAGAAATACAGACCCTTTTATATCTCTGAAAGATTCAATGGATCCTGAATTCATTTCCCCTTTAATTTCTTGAAGGTATTCTTTTAATTCTGAAAATGAAGGTTTCATTCCATCAGCTAAAGCTTCTGTAGCGTTCTTAAATAATTCGAATTTGCTTATAAATATGTCCGAAAGGTTGATTATTGGTTTTAAATTATTGTTCATATATGCATTTAAGCTATCGTTTAAAAGAGTTAAATCGTAATACTGAAATGGGCCTATCAAGTCTGTTAGTTGTTGAGCTTGTCCTAATTTATTTGTAATTTTTGAGAATCCCTTTGGTAAACTAAGTAGATTATCAAACCATTTGCTCCATCCTCCAGTGAAAGACTTTGTATCTGTAAATCCTGATAGTGTAAAAACAAAAAGAAGGCAAAACATTTTTTTTAAAGAGCCCGATAAAATCATTGAAAAGCTTTAAAAATTTGATTGATGTATAATAGGGTGTGCAGTGAATTTCGTATTATTCAACAAACGTTATTGAGAGAAAGGCACGTTTCATATTGTCATTTTATAATTAATTCAAACTTAGATCCATTTTGAATTGTTATCTATTCAGAATTGATTAAAACATTGAAAAGTCATCGATAAAAAAAATTCAAGCATGAACATTTGTATTGAATTGTGAAAAATCCGTGATTGTTACATGGTAATTAAGGGTTAATCAATCTAGTTCACAATAAATTTTTCACTCGTTTGATTAAAAACTGGCAATGTTGAATATTATAAATAGAATAATGATATGTATTTAATGCAGAAATTCTTTGAACGACAGTCTAAAATCTTTCATAACGAATCATATTGAGTTTTTATCTTTGAAAATATGAGAAATCAAGAATCTATGCGTAGTCAATTTAATTTTGCACCATTATTCAAATTAAATTTACGTTGACTAAAACATTTTTTGTCAAAATTTGACCTTAAACATTGCGAACATGAAAGTTCATATATTGTTCGAATGCTTCATCTATTGGTTTCATAAAACTTGAAAATACAAATTCAATATTTGGTTCAAACCGAAAAAATACTATGAAATTGACTCGTCATTATGTATTTTGTTTTACTATGTAGAGTATGCATACTTTCTCATTTAAAATGTTGCAAGATTAGATCCAAAAAGTATAATGAATGAGATGCCGAAATTCAAGAGACACAAAGAATCCATTATACACAAATGATAAAATGTTTTATTTTAGCTATTTGATGTGATCTTTGGAATCTTCAATAATGAATAATCCATTAAAATTGAATGTGAATATATAAAGCTAACCAAATTGTTTGTAATGATATAATGTGGCTTTTGTTTTAAATGTAGTATTATTGAAAAATAACCTACAAAAAACACTTTTATTAAAAAAAATTGATTAATTAAACAAACTCTATTTAAAAAACAAATTTATTCATTCCATAACATAGAAATGTATTTGATTGTCTCTACAAATTTAGGCTTGTTGAGCTTATCAATGTGAGGCATGATGTTGGAAACCAAATTTATTCGATCTTGGACTTGAAGTGATATAAGAAGCCTCGAGATAACTATATCAAAATGTGGTGGTAATGTAGGACTGTTTTCAATCAATTGCTGTAGTATTTCTGCAATTTTTTTGATTTGTTCGTTAGATCCAGTGACAATCATGTTAACTAGGACATTCCAACTTGGATCTCGCATTGAGAGATCGCGAATGGAAGGCATCATTAAGGCAAATATCTGTTCGCGAACGTTGGGAGATCCGTAATCAAGAAATGCGCAAATTGTGTGGACAAAATCGATATCTTGGGTCATGTATGATATCTGAGAAGCGTATTTCGTAAAGAGATTGTCAGTAGATGACGTTGGTAAAGTTGAAATTAATTCAACTGCAATTTCTTGATGTCCTTTCAATTCTGGCCAATTGAACTCGAATAGTTGGGAAATTATTTTGTCATTTTTCGAGAATTTTCTAATAATATCGATGTATAATGAAATATATTGTTCATCAGACTTTTCTCTAAGCATAGAAATGCATTCATATGCGACATCTTCGACAACAGATTCTGGTAGTAATTTAATTAAGTCGATAACTAAAAGAGGTCCCGTAGGATATTGTAAAAAAGCCGGAACATTAGAAATAATTGCACTATACCATGGCTCGTAAGGTTGTCTGACTTTGCGGTTAATTGAGTATAAAAATGTGATTCCTGATTGCCTTGGAATCAATACATCAAAACAAGTTAATAATTCGTCTAAAAACCATTGCTCAGCAGTGGTTCCATTATAAAGGCTAGTTAATTGCTTACGTTTTTCCGATATGCGGACTAATGTACTTAGTTGTCCTTTCGCTTCATAAAGTGATGTCAGTGGTTGTTCCGAAATTTCGGGTTTTTGCTGGGATTGTGGTATGTATTCCTGAGTGTATTTTCGATCATCAGATCTTTCTCTATCATATGGGGGTTTTACGTCTCGATCATGACGATGTTTGCTTTCTTCCCTATCATATCGCCTTTCTCTTGAATATTCTTTCTCTCTGTCTTTATTCCGATCTTTATCTTTGTATTTATCATTATCTCTTCTGTAATCATATTCTCTAGATTTATGACTTCTTTCGTGATCTGTATATTTGTTTCTTCTATCATCAGTCCTTTGTTGAGTTATTTGATATTCGCGATGGTTGTAATCAGGATTATAATTTCGCGACATCAAAAGAAAAAAAATTTTAAATGAAAAGTGTAAAATCTTCAAAAAAGTGACAATCTTCAGCATACTGAATTTGACAGCGACGATAAGGATAACGTTTAAAAATTAAAATTTGATAATGTGTGATGGTTTTCCTTTGCCCGACTTTGGGTTTGAAGACGTTCCACTTATGGCATTGGAAAAACCAACCAATTTCGCAACACCTGAATTTGCGACAACAGAGTTTGAAGAGATATGTCGAAATCTCGGTATGTCAATAGATCCATTCTCGCCTATCAGATCAACAGGAAACTCATCTGTATACAAAGCAACATCGATCACTACTAACGAGGAATGGGCATTAAAAGTTAGCAAACATAAATCTAGAATTGTCGAAGAATTTCAAAAGAGAAATTACCTTGAAAATTCAAAATACTTAGTGAAATCATACGAAATTTACGATAAGCCCAACTTTGCAATGCTTAAAATGGAATTATGCAATAATGGAGATATTGCCGCAATGGTATTAGAAGAACCATATTTATGGCTTCTAATACATGATATAGGCAATGCTCTGAATATAGTTCATAAATCAGGTTGGATGCATCTTGATGTTTCGCCATCCAATATATTAGTCGAAGGAAATCTCTTTAAATTAGCAGATTTTGGTACTCTAATTAGAATTGGGGAGTATGAGAGCGGCAAAGAAGGTGCAGGGCCATACTGCTCTCCCGAAACAATGGAATTTAATGGAACAGATGGAATTACAGTAGAACCAACAACAGACATATTTAGCTTCGGTGTGGTTTTATTAGAAGCCTCTACAGGTTACCAAGCTCCAAGAGGAGGCGATGATAGATACGGCCAACTTAGAAACGGCCAGATTTTACTTGGCGGCGATCTATATAACTGTGATTGCAGCCAGGAACTTATAGACTTAGTGAACGCTATGATTTCACGTGATCCGGCGGATAGACCAACTGCGGCTGATTTAGCAAATCATCCGCGTGCTATCCAGGCAGACAATGAAAGAAATAATTGATTTTTGTTACTTATTGTTATATTTTATAACGGCAAGTTAAGAATTTGTGTGTTAAATTTAAATTTATATCTATGAATTATTTTTATTAACTTTTTCAACTATTGAACTTAACTTAAATTGAAAAGATAAGCTCGGTTTTCCATAGCTATGAAGATAGAAGAGTTTTCAATTAAATACCAAAACTATGAATGGAATGAATTATAAAAAGAAATTAGATTAATTGTATGTAAAACGACTAGAAACATTGTTTATTGTAGCTGAGGAGCGATATCAGTTGAAGATCCTTGACCTGTTGGGAAAAGTTCGTTCAATAAACCAGGGATTTGTGCAGCTTCGACAGCATTTTTATGTTTTTCGCGAGTGCCGCGGGTAACCCATCGATTTTTAACGTTATTATCTGTTCTGGATTTGAAAAATTGTGCAATTTGAGCCCATTTAGGTCCCAATTCGTTGTATTTCTCAAGAAGGAGCGCATCTTCTTCCTCAGTCCATGGACCGTTTTCAACTCCAGAGAGATATTTTTTCCAACGATCTCTGCATTGTCTTGCTGTCCTTCCTGGAACCTCTTCGGCAATTGCGTTCCAGTCGTTGGGTCCAAGTTTAGCGTAAGCTTGCTTTAACAGTTCATCTTCGTAAGATGAAAATTTATGGCGGGAAATCTGTTTCTTGTTTGTATCCTTCATAACGTCTGGGATGACTTGCATAAGGTATTGGAGAGCTGCATCTCCGGGATTCGGATTATTTTCTTCCATGCTAGAAAAGATTAAACTGGAAAGAAAAATATGTTACATTCAAATTTTCGAAAAATTAGGATTTCATTATGACTATCATTCCACCCATTAAAAATTGAATTAAAAATAATGGTTATGCGTGAAGAAATTATTGTTTTTGAATTGGAATAGGGATTCAAGAATCCTCTTTATAACCGTTTGCTTTGTGAGGTCAAATATATGAAATCGATAAGGAATTCAGAGCAAAGCGTTCATTTTGCTACTCTATAATAGAATCATTAGACATACTGGCATTCTGAAAGTGAACAATATTGTGCATTATCTCCATTGCAAATAAATCTGGACTCATGCTCAAATAATCCAATATGCTTGATTAGAATGGAAAAATGCAAAAGAAATTATCATAAAGAAAACAAGTATTTAAAAGCTTATGAAGGAATGTAATATAAAAAACAAAAGAACAATATAGCAATGTGATTAATCAGAGTGGATATCTTTTTCATTGAACGACATCGATTTGTAGTCTTCTTTAATTTGCTTAGTAACTTCATGGAGTTTTTGGATATCTGACTTCAAAGATGTTGGTTTTGTATTTGCCTGATTTGAGACGTTTTCGATTTTTTCTTGAACTTTCTTGATGGATCTTGATATTGATGCTGGAGAAACTTCTTTGGTCTTGGTTGATATTTTTTCCTTGTGCTCATTGTTCGAATATTTTCTTTTTCTTGCTGAGCTGGCATCTTCGTCAAAGACATCATTCTCGATTCTTGTTATTTCGCCTGTTCTTCTATTATAGTATGAAGGATAATCGTGAAGGATTGCATCAAGATTATCGCATTCATGATGAACTGTTGAAATTCCTTTTGTGACTTTGGAATATTTGTTTTTGAGGGACTCGAATTCAGCATGTTCTGAAATTTCCTTGCCACCAACTTTGCAAATTTTTCTGATCAATGACATTACTACTTTTCTTTGTGTATCTGGGTGATTTTCTGGATACTCTGGGAAGTACTGAAGATTTGTTGAGGCTATTCCATATAAAAAGTAACAAAATTCTGACCAGCGAGCGTTTTCTCTCTCAAGATCTTTATAATCTTCTTTTAATGAATCATATTTCGAAACAAGTCTTTGAAGAGATTCTTCTGTTCTGGAAAGATCATTCATTGGATCACAATGGCAGCAGCATTTGCAACAGCAACATTGATTGTAATTTCTATCATCACGACGTGAATATTTTCGAGGGTATGTTTCCTCATGAATATCATGTTTAGATAATTGTGATCTAGACATTTGATCTTTTGTAATCCTTAATTCTTCAATTACTCTCTCTAATTTCTTAGTTTTTCTGTTTAATTCACTTCGCAATTCATCAATTTCTCGCCTCATTTGCAAGTTATCTTGTTCAAGACGATGTGCTTCTGTTGAAAATGGGCCAAATGAGCTCATTCCAAAATAATTTAGTGTACGTTTAGAGATTTTGGAGAGGATTGAAAATGTATTTCATTATAGATTTGTATGCATCAAAACTAAGCATCATTAAACAAATAATTAAAATGTCAGAACACCAAAATTTGGAAATAAAATCTCTTCATTATTTCTTATTTCAGTACAATTCTAGTATGTTTGTATTTTATTGATCTTTATAGACTTGTTTGTGTTACAGAATCGATGTAATATCAAAGTTGAGGTCGGGCGGTATATGTAAAGTTCAGAAACCAAAATGCTCAGCAGTGTTTTTCTTCTAAACAAGGATGCAATGATCCTCATCGAAAAGCAATATCGTGAGAAAGTACCTCGCTCAGAAATTGATGCTGCATGCCTAGCAATTCGTGACCGTTCTCATCCTCCGCCATCAATTATGAGCCAAGGTGATTATACTCTTCTTTTACACCAACAAAATGATATCTGGATGATTGGTGTTTGCGAAGGAGATGATTTTGCTACATATGGTGTAGCTCTTCTTCAGCATCTCGGCTATTTAATTAGCACTTTATTGAAAGATGGCGCAACAGAGCTTTCCATCAAGAATGAATATACACAAGTATACCAAATTCTCGACCTCGCTATTGATTTCGGTTTCCCATTCTTAGATGAATCAAATGCAATTTCTACTGTCATCAATAGACCACCTGTTGATCCAAAGAATCGTGGTGCTAATCGTATCCAGTTAGATTTCGAGAAGCCATGGCGTGCTGTTAACCCTCAGAACAACGCCAATCTTCAAATCTTAGTTGATTGCTTAGAAACAATAGATTTAGTCGTCTCACAAATGGGAAGAACGGAATTTTGCCATATCCGTGGTGAAGTTAGATGCAATGCAAATCTTGCAGGCAAACCACTTTGTAAATTAATTTTACCGAATAATATTCACTTCGAAGACATCCAATTCCATCGCTGCGTTGAAATAGAGTCTGGAGAGAGTAAGATTATTCCATTTGTTCCTCCAGAAGGACCATTTACTCTCATGAAATATCGAGTTACAGCAATACAATCTACAGTTCCTCTCTGGATTACACCACACTTTGTCTGGTCAAAGGGCAGTGTATCTTTCGATATTGCAATGAAGCCAGACGCTGCATTACCAAAGAATGTCGAAGAAATTGAAATTCGCTTCGCATTTCCACCAGGTGTTGGTACACCATCACTTGTTGCATCAGATGGAAGAGCTTCTTACGAGTCAGCTACAAGAGATGTTGTTTGGACAATCCAATCTTACGGAAAGAAGGAACCAGCAGTTTTAAGAGGTTCTGCTTCTACAGAATCAAACTTCGACCTCGGTGGAAGATATCCAATGGTCGGAGCTAGGTTTATTTACGTTGGACAAACTGCATCTGGTTTCAAGATTGAAAAACTCGATTTAGAAAGAGTTGACTACACACCGTTCAGAGGTGTTAAGTATATTATTCAAGCTGGAAGTTATGAATTTTGCTCCGGTCTTAATTAATTTTTTTGAATTTTTTATATCTTTTTTTTTTATTATCCAATAAATAAATTAACTTTATGTAATTTCCTTGCAAACATAGTCCTTTTTACTCGAACATAGCCTATTGACAACAAATTCAAATTGATAACCTAAATATTCGAATTTTGAAGTAAAATAACTCTCTAAACTGGTACTATATCATTATTAAATCGTAATTATACCTTGTACTTATATTACATTATTGAGATATAGCATCATTCCATCAAATCAAAAGTAAACTTAGAGAATTCTAGATAGATTCAACAATTGTACTTATTTCAATATCCAACAAGGCCTGTAATTTGTAATATCCAATAAAATTTACACAGTAATTTTTAAAATATTGTTTAATTTTGATACTATTGTGAATTATCAGAGAAAATATGTCATTCTATAAAATGATTTACTCTATATAACAAACAAAAACAAAAAATAATAAGTTAATTCTCTCCATCTAAAGTTTTTTCAATCATTGACTTGAGTAAAAGGGAGTTATCATCTGGTTCATCCTGTTCATCAATGAAATCACACAAATTTTCTAAAATATGATCAAGATCTATATCAAGCCATGATTTATCTTTTTTGAAGATAAAGAGAGTACTACTTACGAATTCTTTTGCATAATCAACATTAACTTGTGTCAACAACTCAAAACAAACTAAAAATGACTCATGATGAATGATTATTGAAATAAAATTTGGATTACATCGATCAATAAACATATTTATGAGTTTAAATGCAGGTTCAGCTACTTTAAACTCGCATTCTGTTATTCTTTCGCATGTATTTTGAACAATTCCTTGAATTTCGAAATTATTAATTATATCTTGGTTCAAATTCAACAATTCGCATGCAACATTAATACCTACTACAGCTATATCAGCATTATTAGACAAAATAAGGTCATTTACCTTCTCAACAAGCCTAGTTATTGTTGTTTCGTCCATTAAATATTCATCAGGAACTTTTGAAAGCAATAAAACGATTGTATAAGCAGTTTGTCTGGTCAGACTGAGATTATTAACTCTTAAAAGGCTTATACATGTTGGAATTATACCTCTTCTAGCTATAAATTCTATATCTCCTTGATCTGATTCGATATAATTTGAAATTAGCCTTAGAATTGACTCAGAAGTAGGTAAAGGTGTGTTTAAGTCTAGTATTATGTCATCAATGATCTTAGATTTCCGATTTTGGTCAACAGGAATTGACATATAAAATGAAAGTGCATTTAAAGCGTATTTTTTCGATTTTTCATCTGTATATGACTTGTATAAGCATCCTATCTTCCTTACATAGTTGTTACTTTCAACTAAATCGAAATTTATTGATGAAATTTGACTAAGTAAAAGTAAAGACCAATAACAAGGTAATCCCGATGTGTTGAATGCTATTATGAATGAATCGTTAATCAAATCTTCGGTAATTGCTTCATGTGAATCTTCATATTGTTGAAAAACTGAATATATGAAAAATAAAGCTCTGGCAATATCGTTATCTTGTAAGTAATTGCAGATAGTAAGTTTCATCTTTGGCTTTAAAGGATTCTGTATAATTTCGGCATTTATTACTTTTTGATGCAAAAAGAGGACGCAATTTTGGAAAACTTGTTGACTCTCAAGTAATGCTTCCTTAATTTTCTTCCAGTCATCAATCAAACAATCAAGTTTTGAGATTGGAAAATCTAAAGGGTCTTCATACGGTAATTGTAGAATATTTAATGCTTCAACTATCTCCTCATTGGAAACATTAGAATTTTCGAGTTGATCAATAGTTAACTTCAAAATTTCATCACTTTCTTCAGCTTTGAATTTTAACATTGAAAAGTGACAAGATTTTAGATCCAAATTTGTGATTTTATATGAAGTTCCAACTAGAAAACACTTACAGATGTCAATTTAATGATATCTTTGTCTCCATGACCTCAAAATAAAATAATCAATTTATTTCAAAAATTTCAAGAAAATTTCTGCATTTTCAAGATTTTAAAAGAATTTTGGTAAAATTAAATAAAGAAAAAGTAGTTATAAATCATAATACAATATTTTTACATGTAAAAATTGGCTATTTTTCAAATCTTTTAATATCAAAAATTTGAAACTTATTTATTAAAGCTCAATCTTCAATATCTTATCATTTTTATGCAAATATATTTGTATATTTTTATGAATTCAAGACTTCAATATCTTTTACACGAGTCGATCAACCTTACATTGATAAATTCGGAAATATTATAAATTCATTAAAATAATGATATTAATGAAGCTTTTTCATATACTTAATTTCAGAAATATTGAATGAGAAACCTAATTCTCGCAGGTTTTCTCATTGTAACAATATTTCGATGCTTATTTATCCCAACCATACCACAAGGAAATCGCGAATTTCAGAGTCTTGTAGTTCCTATCCTCAAAAGACCACAATTTAATAATAATTCAATCGCAACTTACTTAAACATCACACATGATGTTCGAAATCCGAAAATATTTAACATGGAGGCACCATTCAAATTCAAAATAAACCGTGAACTTGGTGATCGATATTTATATAGTACAAATAATTATTCAGAAGCCATAATTAATCAATCAGATTCTGAATTACCAGCACGACTGATCAATCAAGCATCAGTTGTTATGACATTTGATGCATACACTGCGAGAATGTGCGCAACATATACCACATACTCCATACAATGGCGGCCAAAAAGCTGCTACAAAGATTACATACACAATGGATCAGTAGTTGGAAAATACGACACCGTCATATCTATTTGCCATCATTGGTTATATATGTATGGACACCAATACTTAGATTTTATGAGCGTTGTTTTACTGATTCCAGAACAGATACGCAATACTGCATACATTGTCTTACCTGCAAAAATGGAAATCACTAGACAATTGATAGAATTGCTAGGTATTCCAAGAGAAAGACAAATCGAGGTACAGAATAGCGATTTTATTCATGCTAATGTATTATACTCTATAGTACCTGGCTTTTGCATTGATTCTGTTGGAGAATTATCTTTAATCGTCAGATCTTTCTTATTTAGACATTTCAATCTTGTCAGTATCAAATGCAACAGATATGTCTTATACAACAGAGATAAGAAGCCAAGAATTGTCCAGAATTACCCAGAACTTTGCGAACTTGCAAATAAGACATATCCGAACTATCCATGGGAGAAGAACATTGAGCAACATGATTTGAAAGGTTCAGCTCTTTATTACGCAAGTATAAAGTTTATGTGGACAATTTCAGGATCTGTGCTTGGAAACATCGTTTACTTCCAGCCGTTCTCAATAATATGTGAAGTAACAATGAAAGAATCAAATTTGGTGTTCTTTGCAGTATCTTCTGTATATAAAATTCATCATGTGATTCTTCATTTGCCAAATAATAAGCATTTCGACCGAAATGACATAGTAATGAATACTACTTTGTTCCTTAAGATAATGGACAAAGGTGTTAGCCTCCTCAAATGATTTTATTTCCGAATTATTTTTATTATAAATTTTTAATCATATATGGCTTGTATTTTATCAGTAAAAAGCTATTGTTTACTATAATCTTTCCAGTATTTCTGATCATTCTGCTCAGTTATTTTCAATGACTTCCGACGACAATTCAGATCTCGAAAACTTGAAGAGAGAATTACAGTCGTCGTTAAATGCATTGAAGCAACAGGAACAGACATTAGCATTCATTGATTCAAATGAAGCAGAAAAGCAAGAAATCGAAAATCAATTTCATTCTGAGCTTGAAACAGCTCTTTCTTCATTAGAAAACATTCCTGCCTTATTTAATCAAGCAACCAATCAAATTAATAATATTTATCAAATTGCTCAAACGCTTTCATTTCAAATTAACTTAGTAGACCAAGCATTTTCAAGATGCAGTGCTGCTGCTGAATACGTTAAGATATTTGCAGATCTCAAAGAATGCTTAGGTTCAATAGAATCAGCTTTAAGTCAAAATAATGTTTCTCTTTGCTGCAATTACATTTCAAGACTCGTTAAAATACCATCAAATCTATTAGAGAACGATGACATCCAAAAAATCGATAATTACAAGAAACAAACTCTCGATTTATTACGAAATTCACTTAAAAACGATTCAGATCCTCAACAGATCTTCAAATATTTCCAAGATTGTGACGCATCATTGGAGGGTATAGAAAGCCTCAGTTATTACCAATTCAGAAAAATTTTGGAAAAAATACAACCGGATTACATGAAAATTGTTCAACTTCCGAAATCAAGTACACAAACAGGTAACCAACACATTGATGTTTTTGTATCATATTTAGATTCAATTTCAACATCGATAAAAGAAGTTACTCCAATAATTCAAGATTACGGCCAAATAGCAGTATTTATTCGAATGATACTAAAACAAAGCGATGACAGAGCGAAAAAGATTCTAGAATCTTATTCTGATTATCGTTCTGTTTCTGACCTTTGTAATGAAAAAATAACAGGTGATGCACAATCACTAAACCAAGTATGTGATGAAATTTCAGTTTTGTCCCAACAATACTTCCTTTTCCAGAAATTTTTGAAACATTTAATAAAACCAGGCTTAAACGATCAATTTTTCAAAGATTACTGCAAATCAATTGCTCCAGGTGAATTAACAGAGTCACAGACAGGTCTTCCAATGAAATTAGATGCTAAAAACACAATTATGGAATTATTATCAAATTATTTCATTTTAACTCGAAAATTCTTCATCGATGTCATCGAAAACAAGCTGATTGCCTCACTTTCGGAGCTCAAAGATAACAATAAAGTTACAGAAACTGTAGGAGATATCTTTTTCTTTTTCTTGGACATTTTGGCAAGAACTATCAAGACAAACTCCGCAAATATCACAGTTACTATCTTAAATATCATTACAGAGCATATAGAACAAGTTTGTGATAAAATACCAAAATTAGATTTAATTTTAAAGATAAACTTTATAGATATTACTGTTGCCCACCTCACAAAGCTCACAGAAATGGTCGAAGGAGCTTTCAAACATTTTACAGGAGATGATCTTTCAGTTTTAAGCAGTACTTTGAATGTTCTTCGAAGAAAATCAGAACAACTCAATGCAGAACAAGAAAGAAACTTCAATGAGTTCATGGCGAAGCTTTCTGATAACGTTAGAGACTTATTATACAAATTCAGAGGAAATTGGACAAACGAAACAGTTGCAGAGATCACAATTACACTTGAAACAGAACTTGAATCATCTTTCTCAGAAAAATTCGATACAAATATTCTTATTTATAAGAAATCTTTGAATCGTTCAGCATATAACAAATTAATTGCAAAAATTTCAGATCAAGTAGCAATTAATTTCTTAGAAATCATCAAAACAAAGGAATTCGATCATCGTGGATCGATTTTATTGGATAGAATTGTTAGATTTTTGGCAAGTGAGCTAAAGGAGTCAAGCTTCGAACGCTTAAAGCAGATTGCTCTTATCCTTACAAGAGAATCACCAGAAGAAGTAGTAAGCACATGGAATAATGCAGATTTTGAACGAAAATTGAAGAAAGAAGAAGTAATCAAATTCGCTCAAAGTAAGATGGAGTGGAAAGATGAAAAGTTTGCTGATTTGTCTTAAAATTAGACTAAAATGTTAAATAATACTATTGTAAAATAATTATTTTTTTCTAATTTTTCTGGAAAATGCTTTTAAGATAGCATTGAAATACTACTTTTGTTGTAAGGAAAATGTTCTGATTGATTATTCTGCTGATTAAAAAACATTGATGTCCGATATCGAAATCAACTTCATTAAAAAATAAAAATTTGGAAATAACATATAGTAACATTGAATATCTATACTGATACAAATCTATTAAGCCTATGAAATGCTGCTAAAAACCAGAATCAAAATTGTCATTTTAATTCATCCACTTTAAAATGATGGATTTTCAAGTAAAAACAAACGAACTGGTTATGAAAAAGGTAGTAGATTTATGAAATAGACCAAATTTGATCGTTTTACTAAAGTCAAATTCAAATTGAGGTTTTAATCAACTTGGTACTCCTCCCACTGCTTGAGTCTTTCCTCGAGCTTTGGAATGGAAGGATCGTTGATTGTAGAGAATTTCTGTCCGGCGTTATAAATTGCTTCACCGATGTTATAGTATTGTCCAGCAACTTCCTTCTCGGCAGCAATAACCTTCTTCATCTGAGAAACCCAATCGTCAACGAAATCGACGGCGTGCTTCTTCTGGGAAGCATCGTAATCTGAGTGCATCTTGTTGGCTGTTTCTGTTAATGTATCAGCTTTCTGTCTGGCAGCCTGCTGAATATTTTCTTGCTTAGCGATCTCAGCCTGGTTTCCCTTTGAATTTGCGTTTGCAAGCTTAGCCTCTTCCTTAGAAGCTGTTTCACGGGCCTTTCTGGCTTCTTCCTCCTTAGCGTTCATCTTGTTGTATTCAGCAAGAAGGGTTTCTTGTCTTTGCTTTAAGCTGGCAAATGCTGTTTGGCAATCTGTCTTAACAGAGAAGTCCTGTTTGAGTGAGTTGATAAGATCTGTTGAAACCTTTCCGATTGTTTCATAAGATTCTTGAAGATCCTGTGGTTGCTTCTTGTAGTAGACATTATAGCATTCTCCGTAGCCGTTTGTGTAGCCATCGATCATTTTAACTTCGTCGCCACGGAGCTTGTCGCTCTTGTCAATCATATCATGATACTCTGGGAACTGTCTGACCTTGTTTAAGATACTCATTGGCAGATATCTGACGATAGTCACTTTTACTTCACCTAAACCTCTTTTTTTTGAGATTGCCAAAATCAGAAATGCTCTTTCCGTAATGCTAATCACTTATTACATAGTGACAGTAAGGATGTCAATTTGGAAGAAAAGTGAGAAAATTCCTAAAATGCTAAAAATGAATTTTCCAAACGTACTTTTTTATCTCATTTTTTTGATTTTGAAAAAAATTTGGAGAGAAGAACTCTTCGTTTTTGAATTTTGTCACGATGGTTTTAAAGTATATTAGACACATGTATTGATATTACTATTTTTGTATATTTTGAGAGAAAATCCCTAAAAAGTGAGAAAATCTGAGACGGTTTGAGAAAATATATAAACTATTGAAAATTTGAATTAAACTTCTAATTTGGAAAAAAGAAATTTGGAAAGAAGAAAATTCAAAAATCGAGATTTAGACTCAGTATCAAATGGAGAACAAAATGTTTCTTCATATGAAGGAAAAAAATTTTCTTGAGAAGAAATAGAGTTTTTAAAATTTTATTGTATGTAATAAAATAAACAAATATTAAAATTATTTTTTGATAACAAGAAAATTCCCAACAGAAAATATTTGAGACAAAGAAAAAAAGAAAATTGAAAAATATTACTCTCCTTTACATTTCTTGAGATTTTCAATTTATTTTTATAAAATTGACAATTTTATACGTTTAGATGAAAATAAGTGATTTTGCTTGAAATAAAAATTATTGTTTGTTTACAGCTATCAAATAGATTTTTGCTATTTTGATTAAAATTTGTTAATCAAATTAATAATTTTTTTCTAAATATCTTAAATATCTGGATCACTCACTGATACGATGAATTAAACGATAAAAATAATACAAACTCAACTAAGTTTCCTGTCTTTCAACCAAAAAATATTATGCAATTTAAATTAAATTGTTTATTCAAATATAAAACAAAGATGAAATAATTACAGTTATCATAAACTTTATGAATAACTCTGTAATTGGTTCAGATTTTCGTAAAAATATTTTTATTAAAATCGATAAGAATATGTTTACCTACTATCATCACATATCTATAAACAAGAGTAGAGTGATTTTTATCATCGAAACTTTTTAAAAGCTGCAAGCTGGAAGTAAAAATCTTGTTTTTTTTTCTGAGTTAGTTGTAGAACTATTGATTCCCGCGTTATCATTGTGATGTAGAAGGATGTCAATGTACTGACTGAAGGATATGAAGTGAATTGAATTTCATTGAATTTCAATTTGATCAAATTTGTTGAAATTATATGAATGTGTCAACATCTGTATCACTCTCCTTCACTTCTTCCCTATTTTTTCGAGAACGAAGCTAGCTCAGCTTTCGCTGAGCGAATTGACACTTTTGATGCCCTAAACGTACATACTCTCAAATTTATCGAAAAAAATAATACTACCTAAACTCGTATATTCTTATTTTAAATATGATATTATCCTTAGATTCCACACTAGAATATATTTAAATCAACTTTTAAAAAAATTCGAATCCTGCGCGTCTCACTTTTTAAATTTTCCAAATGGAAAATTATATTCTCCTAAAACGAAAACAATTTTCCGAATTGACATCCTTAGTGACAGTTATAGAAATAGATAAATTTCGTTATTTTATTTGTTTTCCAAAATTACGCATTTCTTTCCTTTTCATTCTATTCAGATTTATTATCCAAAACATGCTAGTAAGGAGGTTAGAATGGGCATTAGGAGTTGTTCACAATACATTCATATTGAATTCATCAATTTTTTTATGATCCTTAATTATATCTACATTTCAGATTACAAATCAACATCCTACAGCATTTTCTAACGTAATAGCATCTAATTCCCTACAAATTATTGAACAACATCAATATAACAATTATTAAATATATTTTTGATATAAAATTTTTGAATCTTTTGATACTATTTTTAAAAATTTGCTTGTGAAAAGTGAGTATTAAGCTTTTAACATCGACTGTTTGCGATAACACAAATATTCTTTGATGTTGTGGATATAAATCTATTTTTGTAACACTATATTCCACAAAAAACCATAAATCTTCAAAAAGTCAATTTTTTTATGTTAGTATAGTTTGAATTTAATTTCTGATTATGAAAGTATATATTTATCATTATTTCTTTGATTGAAGATGACTTTATTCTTCTTTAGATATATATTCACCAACTCTTGAGATTATACCTTTGTAAGTCAGAATACTAAATTTAATCAACTAGTATTTCCCGCAAGTTAAGGGAGAATTTCCGAAATGATGCTAGTCCAGACCCCTTTGGGTTCTCATGGAAAATTGTATCCATTTTCTTGTGTAATTTTTTTTGGCATCATAACATAAACAATTTCAATTTACTTTTCCATTAATATTTGCGCCATGAGAAATGAGAAATTCTGTTATTTCTTTCCAATTATTACATGCTGCATAATTAAGAGTGGTTTTTCCAGTATTATCTTTTTCATTAATATTTGCGCCGTGTGAAATGAGATGTTCGACTATTTCTTTACAATTATGTAGCGCTGCATAATGAAGAGCGGTTTTTCCAGTATTATCTTTTTCATTAATATTTGCACCATGCAAAATGAGATGTTCGGCTATTTCTTTGCATTTATTTTTTGCTGCATAATGAAGAGCGGTCTTCTTAGTGTTATCTTTTTCATTAATATTTGCACCATGCGAAATAAAAAATTTGGCTATTTCTTTATTATTTCTTGCTACTGCATAATGAAGAATGGTGCTTCCACATATATCTTTTTCATTAATATTTGTGCCATTTGGAACGAGAAGTTCCGCTGTGTGAATACTATTATTAAATGCGGCATAATGAAGAGCCGTAAATTGACATTTATCTTTTTCATTGACATTTGCACCATGCGAAATAAGAAATTCAGCTGCATTTTTCTTATTAACTTCGGCTGCATAATGAAGAGCGGTTTTTCCTTCTCCATCTTTTGCATTAACGTTTGCACCATGTGAAAGGAAATATTCACACAGTAATGGAATATCAAATAACGATGAATAAACAAAACATTTGTTGATATCGTTAGTTTGATCGAAATAAACTAAAAATGATTCAAGATTATTATACAAACCACATCTTAATAAATTAATCTCCATATTGTACTCATTCATTAAGAAAGTAACAAAATCAATGTTGTGAGAAGCAATTGCATATTCCATGCACAATATATTTGGTCTTTTGTATTTCATGCATTCACTCATGATCTCTGCATTTCCTCATAAAAATGAAAATATCAGACATGTTTCAGTTATTTCTGAATTAAATTTTGTTCTTAATAACTTGAAACAGTCTACAGCTCCATGATAACAACATAATTCAAGTAATGAATACCCTGGCATGGAACCCAACGGATAATTTATGCAGCATAGTATTTGATTTTTATTAAATTCTTCACTTTCAGTGAATGTGATGAATTTTTCTTTGTCATTATACATAATCGCTCTGTAAATTGTATTTTCTGAATGAATATCGTAATATGCGATATTAATTTTTTCATAATCATCAGATTTGTCTAATTTAATTCCATATTCTTTATAAAAGATGAATTTTGATATATGTCTAATACCGTGGATATATTTGACATGATAATAATCATATATGAGTTTGGCAAGAGTTAAATATGACTTTGTATAACAATTATTATAATGAATCATATATAAAATATCTTTGATTATATTTTGAGGAAGGTATTTCTTTGAATCAATCAATTCTGTTTTGATCATTTTGTAAATTGAGTTTAATTCTCCTTCATTTTCAGTTTTTAACTGATACAGCACATTATATGAATCGATGTAGTATTTATAGGTACTTCGCAATTCACTATATTTATTTGGATTAGTGTCTTGATTAGACATGAAAAAATTTATTCAAGTAGTTTACAACTATTCAATTTTTAACGCTTTAAGATACTTTTTTCCATATTATAGAATTGATATTTTTATACATAAACGGAAATACTGCATACAACAATCATACTCTATCTTTTCACTATCTCAAAGGATGCTATTTCTATAATATTACTAAAACTCGTAGATATACCAGGTTCCTTATGTCATACATGAACAAAAAGTCTATGTAATGATTCCTAAATTATCATTGCTTAGCTTGATATTTAAAAACATTGGATAATCTCGAGATGTTTAGATCTTGATGACGATATGATGCGGACCCCAAAATTTTCACACTTTTATAATTTTTTTTTGCTCTTCAAATTAAATCAAATTATTAGTCATCAATGTATGTTTGTTTATTACAAACTTGTTTATGGTCTCCAAAAAAAAAAAGAAATGGCTGGGTTTGTTGGTGGAATTCCATTTTTAATTATTGGATCAATGATTACGTCTACAGTCTTAATTTTGCTCAACAAATACCTTATGGCCTATTATCAGTTTGATTTTCCAATTGCTTTAACAACATTCCATTTTGCATGCACTTATTCAGTTTTAGAAATATTATGTAGATTCAGGTTCTTCGAACGTGCTGAAAACTATCCTTCAAAATTAGGTTTAATCACTGCATGCGAATGTGTATGCGGACGTTTATTCATGAATATTTCACTTAAATTAAACTCCGTTGGCTTTTACCAACTTTCAAAGCTCCTTTGCATTCCAGGAATGGTCCTTGCAAACTTGATTTTATTCAAGAAGAAAACATCTCCAAGAACATGCATAACCCTTATTATATTACTTATTGGTGTCGCATTGTTTACAGTCAGTGAAGTTTATTTCTCAGTTTCAGGCGCTATTGTCGCTCTTATCGCCATTTTCTTCAATGTTATTTTCCAAGTTCATACAAATTATATTTATAATCAATATCATGTTGGTGGTCCAGCATACCAACTTGCAACCTCCGGTTACATGTTCTTCTACGGAATAATCGCCACAATGTTAGAAGAAGGTCGTTATCCACATTCAGTCTTCGAATACGTTTGGTCAGTACCAGAACTTGTTCTTGCTTTCCTTACAGGCATGGTCGCTGTTTGGTCAAACGTATTTGGCATTTCATTAATTGGAAAATGCTCAGCCATCACATTCCAAGTCGTAGGACACGCAAAGACAATATTAATATTCGTTTTCGGCTTGATTTTCATTGATGACTTCAAGCACGAGCCAATAAGATATAAAATCAGAAAAATTGTTGGTGTTTCACTCGGTATGGTCGGAACCATCTTATACTCTGTCTGCAAAATGCAGGAGAAGGCTGATCAGGCCAAGAAAGAGAATAAAGATGAATTAGATCAAAAATACGAGGAAAATAATAGTCTTAATATGAATGAAAATGTTAATGACCCAGAATTACAACCAACAGATAATATCAGCACACTATATGCATTCAAGGCAGTTCCAGAAGAACCGGCTCCAGAAACTGCTTAATTTTTGATTTTATAAAAATTTCATGACTTTTAAAAGATACATTTATATTTTTTATTATCTATTTATTCTTTTTTAATCCTATTTATCGATCCAAGTTAGTTTTGGCCAAAATTTCAATAATTTGAAAATTCCTATAGGTAAAATCAGTTCACAACAGGACCCAATGAAGTACTAGAATAGGTACTTCATTATGTGTTTTGTTTCCAATAAACAAAAGCATTTTTAATGTAATTTTAAGTAATTTCTAGATTTCATATTGTAAAATTAAGTTTATTAAAAAAGCTAACGTAATATATATCGTTTCTAGAGGGATTATCTATGATTATTCATATTAATAATATGAAGAAAAAATAATCTAGAAATATATAAAAGATTAAGTACAAAAATACATCATTTAACAAATACAGCAAATATATTAGATGTGGTTACTGAGTCTTAAGACTTTTGATCATTTCAATTTCAAATTCCTGAGCTTCGATTAACATTGCAGCTGTTTTTTCTTGAATTTCTCTCACAGTATTCAAATGCTTCTTTTGATATTCGTTGATTTTTGTTGAATATTCCGAAACCTGATTTTCAATCTTTTTCGAGTCTTCATCGTCTGGAGATTTTACTGTAGCTTTGACAAGTGAACTTGAACTTTTACGATTTTTCTGGATTTTTTCAAATTCTTCTCTAATATCATGCAAATATTGTTTTGCTTCTTCAGTTTCTTCTTTGATATCTTTGATTTTATCAAGCTTTTGCTGAGATTCATCAATCTTCTTGATTCCGATTACAGAGGAAGCAACTGCAAGGATCTGATCTTGAGTGAGAGATAATTGACTTGAATTTTTCATAAATAGATTCAAATCTTTAACATTAAATTGACGATTTTATTATGCAACGAAATATTTATTTTATAGAGGATTTTCAATATATTTTAAGATATCATATCGGCGTGAATAATCAATAGGGCGCAATTTCTTGCTACGTTTCCAAGTTGTTATTTAAAGCTTTTTACCACATGCATTCTAAAGAAAGTTACATTAGGCAACAACATGAATTATTTGTTCTCTATTTTGGTTAGCTTTTGCTCATATTGAATAGCCATTAAATTTTGACTGAGATATCTAAATGAAACTACATAATATTCAATGAAGCAAACGAAAAATAAGCTAGGATACATATATTTTGCTCTGAATTTACCTTATTTTTATTTTGATTTCAAGAATTTTTAAAAAACCTTGTCGCTCAGGAGCCAAAAACGAGTTTTTCCTAAATGATATAGTGATTCCGAGATACCCTTCTATGTGAAATGATATCAATTTATTTGGAAATAAAAAAGTGACAAACAGATGCTCGCTCTTACCTTGGCCGCATTTGTCCGCGCAGCAGAGATAAGTGCAATTAAATTTATTAAATATGATGACAATGTCGAGAATATGACTTTAGATGCTAAACCAAATCAAGTTGTTTCTTTAGATTTAACAGAAAATCAGACATTAATTGCCAAACTCGAAGGACTTAAAGGCGAAGCAAAGCATGCCTTTTATGTCCTTGAGCAAGGTACATACTCAATTGTTGAAAACCTTCAATCAAAAGGAACATATGCCGCCAAACTTAATCCACGCGCTTTAGCAGGTCTTTACAAACATCCAGGTGAGTATTCACTTAAAGTTTCAATCACTTACGAAGGTGAAAAGCCAATTATGACAGAAATTGCTAAAATCAATTTCATCGCCAATGGCGAAGTTATTGACAACTTTACAGACGTCGAATGGGACTTCCAAAAGCCACATGAACAACCAGGAGCTTTCCTTGTCTTCGTATTTGAAGTAGCTTCCTTTGTTCCAATCTTTATCTTGTTAGTTCTTCTTTTAATCAACGGATGCAACTTCGGATACTTCCCAAGAAACTTCTTCGATGCTATATTCTCAATTACTTTTGTAGTTGCTTTTGGCGGATTCTTATACTATTTCATTTATTTCTGGAAGCATATTCACTTCGAGGAGATGCTCAAGCAATTATGCGTAATATTCCCAGCTTTACTTATCTTACTCCGCCTTGCTCTTATTGGCCGTGCTAAGATGGTTGCTAGAGATGTTCCAGCCGAGGAAAAGGTTAAAACAGAATAAATATTGCATTGATCGTTCTTAAAATTACTAAACATTAAATCTAATTATATACATTTTTCTGACTTGCATTTCTTATTTTTTTTTTTAAATGTATATAATATGATACATTAAGGGATAGAAAAATGAAAGAGCTGATTTAGTGGCTTATTGTTCTGTAAGCTTCATTTCATTCAATCATTATATTTTCTGAAATGAGAAAGAAATATTGGTTTCTTCATTTGTATTTTGCTGCCTAATGATTGTAACTATTTGCTCTAAAATAGGATAAAAATGATTATATGAGAAGCATAAAAAAAAATCAGAAATGACCATGTTTAGTATGAAAGAATCGCGTATTTCCAAAACCAACCAAAGCTCAAGTAAGAAAATAAGCCAAAAGATGTTTATTAAGCGCATAGTGTAATTTTAATTAATAAAACCAGAACCGCGCCAAACTGGATTCGTAGGATAAATTGACGAATGAGTAAGATTAATTTCCGCGCAACTTTATTTTTTTTGACAAATTAATATCAAACTCAAGGTGAAATTGCAAGATTTTCATGAAAAAAGGACTTTTGGTCCTCTGTTTCAAAGGATTCAAAAGCATCAACAAGTTGCCCAAAACTTCAAGAAATCGGAGCTAGAGAAGCATCTTATATCATTAAATAACGGACTTTTTTTTTAAATGGATTGCCCTGATGACGACCATCTTTTATACAATGAGCTCACAGAAAGATATAAAACATATCTGGAAACTTGCTCATCATTCATGCGAATCAAAACGACAAAAATTGATGAAATACAAAAAATTTATCAAATGATTAAAACGAATTTACTTGATATGAAGATATTTTCACCACAAAGAATATACAGATTAATTTTTACGGCTTATAAGTACAATAATGAATATTTAAAATCATATTTTACTATTCTCAAATTGACTTATGAAGAATTTCAAATAAAGCCAAATTTTTTCGACAATGATGTTTTAGAGTATTTCTTTTATAAAGAATACAATTTACCAATTGATGGATATCAACAGAAAATTTTTGAAAAATATGAAAACGAAAACTATTCATTGGATATTCATGAAAAGAATACAATATACAGATCAATTATGGATGATGACAAAGATTCGTTTGTTAAATTCATAGAAGATGAATCATTCGATAAAGATCAAATTCTCATCAACGAATTATATCCCATATCAGATGAGGGATTATCACTTCTTGAATTATGTTGTTATCATGGATCAGCTGATTGTTTTAAGTTGTTAATAACAAAATTCAAATCAGAAATCACTCTTAAATGTCTTTGGTTTTCTTTTTTAGGAGGCAATCCAGAAATTATTCATGAATGATTGAAAGAACAAGAACCAGATGAAATTTGTATGAATTATGCTATTGTTTCATACAATATTGATTTTATATCTTTTTTGAAGAATGAATATCAAATTGATATAAATTTAGAAATTTGCGCAAAATTTTTAAACATTCAAGCTTTCTTAATGAATCTTGATATTACAAAAGACTTTAAGACAAGTTTTATATATTCACCTCCATTTGGACTTCTTTCTCTTGTCAAGTATTTAATGCCAAATTGTGATGATATAAATGCTTCAGATTATGATGGAATGTTGGCTATTCATTTGGCTGCTGCTTATAATTGTAAAGAAATTACTGAACTTCTTTTATTGAATGGCGCAGATATTAATGCAAAAGATGGTTCTGGAAACACTGCTCTTCGTTTGGCTGCTGCAAATTGTTGTAATGAAGTAGTAAAACTTCTTATATTATATGGTGCTGATATTAACTCCAGGGATCTCAATGATTATAATCCTCTTTGCGCAGCTGTAGGCAGAAATAATATTGAAATAGTGAAACTTCTTATTTCACATGGTGCAAATGTTAATGAAAAATGCAATGATGGCAACGCTGCTATTCACATTTTAGCTGATTTGTATGACAATAAAGAATTGATGGAACTTCTTATATCAAATTCGGCAGAAATTAATTCAAAAGGCAATCTTGGATTCACTGCTCTTCATTATGCGTGTATACATGATTCCAATCAATTAGCAGATACTTTGCTATCACATGGTGCAAATATTCAAGAAAAACAAGGTACGGGGGTGGTACCTCTTCATTTAGCTGCAGCTCGAAACAGCCTTAAAACTCTTAAAATTTTACTTTCTAAAGGTGCCAATATAAATGAAAAAGATAATAATGAGTGTACTGCTCTTCATTATGCAGATGTGGTCAACTTCAAAACAAATATAGAAATCCTAATTTCTAATGGCGCCGAAATTAATGCAAAAAATGCAGACGGACAAACTCCTCTTTAATATGCATCAATGAGAAATAGTAAAGACGCCATAGAAACATTAATTTCACATGGTGCCGAAATTGATTCTAAAGATAATTATGGAAAAACTGCTCTTCGAAATGCAGCAGAGAAAAACAGTAAAGAAGCTTTAGAAATATTAATTTCACATGGTGCAGAGATTGATGTTAAAGATAATAATGGAAAAACTGCTCTTCAATATGCAGCAGAGGAAAACAGTAAAGAAGCTTTAGAAATTCTACTTTCACATGGTGCAAATATTAACGAAAAAGATAATAAAGGATGGACTGCTTTAGATTATGCGACAAAAAATAACTCTGAAGAAGTCCAAAAGATTCTTATTTCATATGTCGCAAATATTGGTCAAAAATGATGTTTCAGAAATGCATATTTTCATTTTATAAAACTCAGGAATAGCCCTTAGTCCTACTTGAATTTTCGATTGTGAGATGTAAAGCTTAAGTTTTGAACGCTAGTATTGCAATAAATTATATTTTGTGTGAGCAGACTATTGCATGTATTATTTCAATGAAAGTTAAGGCTGCACTTACGCCCATCTGACTTTAATTCAAATTTTTGACATCTGATGTGCAGCGTCATTGAAAATTAACCTTAAACATATGAGTTGAAGGTTTTTTGATGAAAAAAAATCTTTTCGTGAAAAACGGCAATTCTAATGAATATACCCATGACAAAAATCGGAAAAAATTAATTTTCCATCAAAAAGCGGACTAAACTTGGTGACATCACCATTTCGTATGCGGTTGAGCGATAAAATACATTATATAATACAAAATATCACTTAGTTTATATAGGATAAGAAAATTATTTCCTTTCAGATCCTATTAATTTATTTGATCTGATGTTCAAAGTTTAATAAATTGTCAGATATCATAAATTAGCTTAAATTATACTTTGAATCTAACGATATTATCATTTCATGATAAATTCGGATCTATTTTTAATAGACGAATAGAATTTTATAAAAACAAAAACAAAGATATAATAAAAGTATGATAATTAGCAATATTATTGTAATCCCATATGGTTTCATTGTTCTGTAGGTTGTTTCACATGATCTTTTAGATCTGGTTGTAATAAAGGATCTTCAATGCCTTCAGTATAGAACACAGGTGGTAGAATACTTGCTCCAGCAACCGATTCTGATCTAACATCTTCTTCATCTTTATTAACTCTGCAAAATTTACCGAAACAGCAACAAATGATCATAAAAATGAACATTAAGCTTACAATACCAAGTACACTGTACAAAATGATTGATTCTACTGATGATTTATCTAAAACAACCCTTGCTGCGCCTAAACTTTGCATTTTAAAATGTTTTATATCGTCTAAAAAAAAACTTTTTTTTCTTGAAAATGTCGAATTTTTCTTCCCCAAAGCAGTCTTCTTCGAGTCTGCAGAATTCGTTTTTGGCGGCCTTGGGGAAAGCAGATTTAGATCTGCAGCACGCTGAGCTAATAATTCAATCGGTTTTTGAAACAGATTCTTCATCCTTACCAATTTTTGAAGAAAAGTTCAATTCAAAGATCCACAAACTGATAAGATCGAATAAATGCCCAATTTTCTATACAGATTCGATCAAAAAAGATGAAGATAATGTAAAAGTCCAAAAATTCATGGATATACTTAATATTTTTCACTTCGTTTTAGAACCAGAAGATGCTAAAATACTATTTGCAGATAAAAATGTCCATTTAAATGCAATAATTAAATTAATATATTCAAATTTATTGCATTACAATGAAAAGAAATCAAAATACTTCAACGAATTGTTTTATATTGTCAAGTCACACCTTACTGGCTATCTAAATTCTTTTGTTGTCACTCAAGATTCGATAAATCAAACATCTCTTACGACAATTCAAACAATATTCAATATTTTCTGCATAACAGAGCGAAACGAAGTGAAGTACAGGTCATATGTCCATGATTTTACCCAAAAATTACTTGCAAAACACGATGAACTCGTAAATTCAAAGGCAAACTTGAATTACTTCAACATGCTGCTATACATAGCCAACAATATATCAAAATACGAGCCAACGAAGTCATTTGAATACTTAATTATAATTTTTGATAATATACCAAAGACAAACTCATCATTATTCATCGAATTGTCATCATCGATCGTCAATGTTCTACGAAAACTTGATTTCCAAGCTCTTTCCCAACAAATTTTCACAATTTTTTACCAAATTTCTGCAGATTTTCCGATAACAACCGCCAATTCATTACAAATCTGTATTTTGTCACAAGAAATTTCAACTTTACTCACAAAAAATAAACTTTTGAAACAAAAACATTTGAATCAATTATTAACTTTATTAAATCGAATAATACATGCTGATATAGGTATAACAAAGAAGATGGACTGTTTTATGCTCATTTCCGATAAAATTTTCTCCAAATTAAATTATCAAAATAATAAAATCGAAAAATTTTACATTTTAGAGAATGTATTACCTTGTATTATGATTATATGTGATGAGATGACACCTTACAAGTTCCAAAACAATACAGTTTTCACTGAAATTTGTTCCGAATTCAACAATTTTTCAGAAAATTTAAATTTCTTCAAAAATTTTGTGTTTTCTTTGACAAATTTGCTCGGCAACATCATCAAAACAAACACAGATAATGTAAACTACAAGGTAACATGGAATATGAAAGGTTTTCAGTTAGATTTGTTGAAAAATACAATTTTGAAATTATTAAAACGATACAACACGATTTGCAACGATTATACGTCATTCTACAAGGGTATAACACACTTAGATCATCCTAAAACTGATCCACAGTATTATCTTTACGCTGCAAAAAATTATGATATCAAAATCACAGCAAAAACATGTTTAATTGATTACAATGTTACATCAAACAACATTATATCATTTGTATCTGATTCTCCTGATGATTTTAGGTCGTTTTTGGCTTCAGAATTTTTAAATTATTTAATTCAGTCAAAAACCGAAATTAGTTTTGCCGTTGAACAGATATTGTTCAATAACTGCTTCGTTGGATATTTTTTTGATACTTTAATTGAGAATTTTTCGAAAATTGAAATATTTAATCAAATAATTTCAGTTTTATCGCCATCTATGACTGAAATGAAGAAATATTCGAGCGAACACACCATGTACTGCGATAAAATCAAGGAAGTTCTGCTCAAAATCATTGAAAATATTCAAAATACGTTTCAATACAAAGAAATCTTCAATTTTCTCATAGATTTCATTGAATATGCCATTGCCGCTGGATGTTCTGCAGAGGAGATCATTTCTGAATCGTTTATTGGTAAGTTATTTAATTATTCTCATATAACTTATCCAAAATCAGCCGAATACCTTCATTTCCTTGAGTTCTGTGTCACAAAGAACAAGGAAATTGTGTCTGTTGACAGTTTTGTTGAGAAAATCATCTTTTTCATGCCGAATAATTTGGAAAAATGTCTTGAAATACTCAAAGAAACCTCTTTTTCAACGGATTATTTCGCAAACAGGAAGTTCTTCATGGAAATGGCCAACATTTTGTACCATCAACTCCCTATTTGTTCAATTCCAACGAGAACATTCATTGTTCAGGTCATTCGGACATTGACACCTAAACAGTTCAATGATCTCTCAACAATTCCTATGAATATTGATGAAAAAGTCACTTTTTCGTTAAATAATTTTGGATATTCGGCCACAACCGACACAGAAACCTTTATCGTTGGCTTGATTGAATCTACAATGAGCAAAACAACAAAGTTTACTAATGATTTGTTCCAAAATGTCATAATTGAATTATTTTCTCATTCATTAATGAACAAAAGGTCGAAATTCATCTCCTACATACTCATTGATGGACTAATTAAGAAGATGGCCACACAAAACTTTGATATTTCTGATATTTACACGAAAATATTATCAAAATCAATTTTTGTGGCTGATCTACTGTTTTCTGTCTTCTCAAACAACTACGATCCACAGAAACTCCCTGTATTCCAGTTGTTTGACACAGAAGAAGGAATTTCTTCGGTGATATTTGATTTAATTTTGTTATTTGAGTTTTATCCATATCACAACGGCTATTTCGCCCTTAAAATAGCCGAATACTTGGGATATATCATCAACCAGCGCAAATTCAAATGTCCACCGTTCATAGATTTCGTAAATTCCCATGTCATCCCATTTTCTTCGACAAACGTGCCATTGAAGATTAAAGAAGACGAAATCTTCAAAGAAATTTTCTGTTTCGACGAAAAAATCCAAGAAATTTTTCGAATTTCGAGAGAAATTTCGTTTAGAAGCGAAAATAACAATAATGAACTGAAACTATTGATTGCTCAGGAGTCATTAGAGAACAGACTGTATTTAACATACTGTATCAACAAAGAAACAACGAATTCTGAAGAAATTATTTCAGATTTACTTCAAGAAGGGAAATTTGAGACTGCAGGATTATTACTTAGGTTGTATAATAACACAAATACAAATATTGACTTGAATCAGTTCACGAAACAACAAATTTCCAGCAAATCTGATTCAATATCTTATTATATTTCAATTTCTAATGATTTGACAGGAGATTTCTTAGAAAACATAATGCCAATAATAGAAAACACGATAACAAAAGGTTGTCCGATCAAACAGATTCAATCTACAATTTTATTGAATAATTTGAAAAATTTTGATAAGATTTCTTTTGTTAAATCAATGATTGAACCAAATAACATTGATAGAAACATGATATTATATAGAGTTGATAAGTATTCAGTTGCAAATCAGTTAATTGAAGAATTTAATTCTCTAAATTTCGAAAAAAATCAAGAAAAATTTGTTAAAAATCTGACAAATGTTATTATTAACTCAGATGTAACAAACTACTTGTCAGAAATACATACAACAAATCATTTACACAAATTAATTGAAATTTGTGAAGTTTACAACGGTTTTTCAGAAAATTTGACTTCATTTTTGAATTCTAATCCACTATTATCATATGAGTATTTCGACAACAGTCTAAACGAGTTTGATCAATGCTACAAAGTCTATAAATTGACAGAGAACAAAATATTTAAAGAAAAATTACAAAAAATTTTGGAAAATTTACACAAAAATTTCAAAGAAAAAATTGACGAAAAAAGTGTCATGTTTTTATTAATTTACACTGAATTAAAACAAGATATATATGATCACAAGGATGATACAATATTAAGACTGATTTATCCATCAATTCTCAAAGTTTTAATTAAGAAAATTTCAATTTTTTCTTCAAAAGATTTATTACAACTTTTGGAGTTTTATCACAACAAATTTTTCATTGGAATTTATGAACTGGTAAATTTAATTTTAGAGAAATCCGAACCTGTTTTTGTAGATTCCATGGAACAATTCATATCAAACAACTGCTCAACAAATAGATACAGAGCTAATGATATAATTTCTTTCATCTCTAACCTAAAAATACAAAAAACTAAACTGTTTTTGTGTTTTTTGGCAAAAAGTGTCTACAAATATGACATCAAAAAATACATCAAACATCAATTCCAAGATTTTCCATTTTTCTCAATCCAAACACTCATAAAAAACGAAATGCAAGATAAAGCAGGTGGTTCTTTTGATAGATTATTCACTTCACTTCACTTTTATATAGACGATAACGCTTTAACCGCTTTGTCAAATTCTCGGATATGGAATTCATACAAAACTGAATCTTTACAAAAATTTTTATCTGTTTATTATAATTTTTGTTATTATCCGAACATTGTTTTGAAATTATTTGAAATGATACAAGAAGACAAATACGAAACGTATCATTTAGATGTTTTCAAAGAAATGATTTTAAATCAAGTTTTGATCATAAGATCGAATGAAAACAATTTAGTTTTTTGGTACAAAATTATTATGGTTTTGATTAATTTGATTACGAAAAATTTCCTTAATTTCGACAGAGAATTTCAAGCAAATGTTGCACAGCATTTAGCTGTTTCTCTTTCAATGATGTCCAATGATTTTTCAAAAGATTTCATTTTGTTTAAGGACAAAAACATTTTTGAAAACATTTCTTTCTTTGTTGATAATACTTTCAAAGCAATGCCATTAGTTGATTCATTGTTTGATGTTTGTTTGAAGGATTTGAATGATTATAAAACAAATCCTCTCAAAACAAAGTATTTGTTGGAAAGCCTTTCTTATGTAACAAGATTTACTTCAACAAAAATTCCTGAAGAAATCATCAAATTTTTGAAAAATTTGAGTTTGGAAGAAAAAAGTGAAATTTGGCCTTATGGAATTTTAGCTTTAACTGGATGTTTGGATGCAGATAATGGTCTTTTAAAGGTTATGATACCGAAGTTCTACAAGAAATCGTTGATTTACAGAATTTTCCCAATGTTGAATTTAGTTTCAACAAAAATTGGAAACAAAAATTTGGCTTTGGCGAATTTCGCAATTTCTTTCGCGAAATCTTTCGATGTTTTTAGTAATTTCGATACCACTTATTTCCTTGGAATCATCTTCGAGATAAAATCAAGTGAAATATTCGATTTACTCAAAAAAGAACTACAAAACGCAAAAGAAAACATTGAAAAAATTGAAAGTCAAAATTTCATTGTCACGTTTTTTGTGGCGGTTTTTACGAGTGGAATTCAGAACAAATATTTGAAGAAACTTGTTAATGATTACCTTAATTTCCCACAGATAATTAACTTGTTTAGATCCAACAAATCATATGCAAAATTCATTTTTGATCACGTGAAATCTCCAGGACAAATAAAAATTTTGCAAAAAATTGAAATTCCTGGAGAAATAAATTTGAGTCTGAACTTGATCAAAGAAAGCCCTGAACAATATACAGAACAAACATCAATCTTTGCTGCAATGTTTTCTTACAAAAACAACTTGAAATCGTTTGAAAATTTGTTGAGAACTGATTTCGGATTCAAAGTAAAGAAAAATCCACAACAAAAAGATTTTTCTATTAAAATCAAAATCGGTTTTGACAATTTATCGTTGGAGAATGACTTGACTGTTTGGCCAGAATTACAAACAGCGAAAATAGAATATTTATCGTCAAAAATGACAAAAATTTCCAATTTACAACTTTTGAATTTGATGAAAACTCCGAAACAAGATGTCGACCAAAAATTTTTAGTCAAAATCAACAAAATTTTAACGAATATCTTTAATTCAACAGAAGATGTCAAAGCAAATGTCTTGAAAACAGTTGATAACCAAGTGAAATTCTCAGGAGATATGAAAGAAATGTTTATTTTGACTTTGATTTGCGAAGAATACAAAAATGCTTTGAATGGATTCCAAATCTTTAATTACACAATTCCTCCGACTTTTCCTATTATTTATCATTTGACTTTGAAAACTTTGAGAAAATTGGGATCAGAAGTTTTGGATGAAACTTTGGAAATAAATCACGAAAAACAAATAGAAAAATCAAAGTTTTTATTCCAAAATCAACTTCAAAAAATTCAAGATGACCTCACTTTTGAAAAAGTGACTCCCGAAAATCTGAAAAACTTTATTTTGTTTAATATTTCTTTGGAAGGCTTTAATTCATCAAAAGTTGTTCAATTACTTAATGCAGCATTAAGATTATCAACTTCTGACATTTTATTGTCACTTTTGTATAAGACACAAATTCCATTAAATTGGAATGTTCCTTTTGATTGGTCCATTTTGTTTTTGAACAAGAGAAACAACGTTGGATTCATTTCTTCTGCTTTTTATTTGGCAATGCCTGAAGATTTTGTGCCAACAGATCATTTGCCATCAATTGACAAATTTAAACAGTTCTTGACTCGAATATCTGAAAATCCAATTATTAAACAATTATCGGAAGCTGATAAAACAGATTTCGAAAACTCAGAAAAATTCAAAAAATCTGTTTTAAATGGTAAAAAAGTGACAATAAAACCGCTTTCAATTTCAAACGACCAAGTATTTGCAACTACATGTTATTTCAGTAATTTAAGGAGTCCATTAGTTAAAGAGAACCTGAACTTGATAAATGTTGTTTGTTCGATCAAATCTCCACGAGAAAACACGATTAGTTTGGATGGAAGATTAAGTAATGGAAAATCTGTTCATTATTTACTTTCTTTCCGATCGAATTTCAATCCTTCTTTTTATGTTTTCTGCCAAACAATATCAAGAATATTAAAGAAATGTCCTGCATCATCAAATAGAAACATGATAATTAGTTCTTGTCCTTTCTTGAGTTGCCAAGATTTCACTTTGATTTTGACTGACGGAAAACCAATGATTAGTAAAACTTGTATGATGAAACAACAACCTGCAAAAGTCAGAAAGATCCAAAACATTAAGACATTCACTGATACAAAAGAAAAATGTGAATGGCAGAGGTTGTTGATAAATCGTTATGCGGCTTTGTCAATTTTACAATATGTGGTCACTTCACCTGTAATAAATCCACTTAATATTTACATTGATTTCAGCTCTGCATCATTGTTTGTCAATGATTTGAAGATCAATGGTGAGAAAGAAGAAGATTTCGTGTTTCCCAAACTGACTGGACATATTAGAAAGTATTTAGGAGTTTTCGACGGACAAATGACAATTGCTATGTGTTCTGCTGCTGTTTCTATGATGATGTTCACTCCAAAAATCAAAGTTTTGGCTCATTCTTTGATGAATTTCTCAGTGGAAAGCACTGAATTAATTGAAGCTGCTTTGGATGACATTGGAAACTTCTCTGAAGAGAACTACAGTGAGTCTTATTCAAGAATACAAAAACTTATTCAACAAGGAATGAATGAATCTATAGATTATTCAATTCCTTGGCTTTAATTTTTTATTATTTTTTATTTTTATAAAATGTGTTTTATTTTTTTAATTTATCAATGTTTTATTTTCATACTTTATGTTTCCTTGTTGTTTTAAATACTCAATACTTAAAGTAGTGCAAACAATAAATCAGAAGGAATATTTTTGATTGCATATATTTAATTCCAAGTTAATAGTTTGTATTTTCGAGGGAACATTCATAAACTTCTATACAACTACCTAAATGATTATTCTATCTCTATTATCTATTCTAATTAAAGAATTTTTTTTCTCGATTTTGTTTTTATTGAATTTTTCTTTATGGATGAATGATGATACACGTCTAAAATCTTTCTATGTCAAGTGTTAAATAAATATAGGAATGAAATCTACGAACGAAATTTCTCCAATTCAAATTTAGCATTAACAACATTTTCACTGAGATCTAGATTATTACGTTTTTCATTACGATAAACAAATGTAAGCAAAATCTTCAAATCACGTCTTATTGTTTGTAAAAGATATTTTTTTTGCTACTTAGTTCAAAATGAGGAACATATATATTAGTGATAATATAAATGGGCTTAATATGGCGTAATAATTCAGCCATGGCCTAGCATAAGACGGGCATATTTCAATACTTCTCAATAATTGAAAAGTAATTGAAAATTTCAATAAATCCAGTTTTTTAGATGATTGAGTATCCGCCCGATTTCGTTTTAACGCGAAATGCGGGAGAAAGAATCAATAAAATCAAACAATTTACCGGTTTGGGCATACCTGTTCTTTTGGAGGGCCCAACAGGGTCAGCAAAAACTACATCCGCAAAACTTGCGCTGAATAATCCCGATATTGTAAGTTGTAGTTCCGAAACAAGTGTTGAACAACTTCTCGGACGTGTTACACTTGACAGTACAGGAAATGAAGTTACAAAATTTGAAGAAGGCCCATATACAAAAGCATTTCGAACTGGAGGAAGCCTAATCATTGATGAAATTAATCTAGCGCCACCAGATGTTCTTCAGTGCATTGAAGCATCACTTGATTCAGGCTCTCTCGAACTTAATTCTGTCGGCCAAAATACCGATAAATCAATTAAGAGGCACCCGGATTTTAAACTTGTAGCTACTATGAATCCTCCTAATGAGGATTACGTGAAGAATCGCAACAAACTTCTTAATAAATTTCAATCAAAGTTCAAAATCATCAATTTTGACAATTTTGATAAGATCGAACTTAAAGAAATCATCGAAAAGAAAGTAAATGATAATAATACTGTTACGAACTTTATCAAGTTCCATGAGTTCTGTTACAAAAGAGCATCAAAAGAGAAGTCTTACAGATGCTTCACAGTCAGAGATATAAATCTCGTTTTAAACTGTGTATCTGATGACATTCCTTTAGAGCTTGCAATTTATGTTGTTTACTGTTTATGCTTTTCAAAGCAAACACGTGAACAATACGAAGAAAAATACAAAAAGTATTGGCCCGAAATTCCACAGATGTTGAATGACAACAAAGTCATTGATGATTGCATCAGAAACAAAATCCTTTCTAGAACATTGGCAACTTCAAATCTTTTGTCAATAAGAAAGAGACAACCTTTGCTTCTCATTGGTGATATAAGAAGTGGAAAGACATCATTTGCAAGATGGCTTTCTATGCATTATCATGTACAAGGAAAGCAGCCAAAAACTGTAATTTGTACTCCAGAAACAACTAATGCTGATTTACTTGGAAAACATACAATTGATGCTTCCAAGCAATCTCAGTTTAACAATGTACATGATACATGGGTTGATGGACCAGTAATTCGTGCTATCACAGAAGGATCGATGCTTCTTCTTGATAACATAAATAATGCTCCTTCACAAGTAATTGAGCGTTTAAATTCTTTGATTGATAAGGCTTATTTACCTGGCCAATCATTTATTGTAAATGAACGACCAAACAACAAAATTGTGGAGATAAATGATGATTTCAGAATTGTTGCAACAGCGAGCAGAGAATCGATCAAACAAATGAGTCCAGCTCTGATCAATAGATTTGCAATTTTATTCATTGATAATCAGTTTGAAGACAAAGAAGAAACAAATAAAGCATTCAGTGATTACATTGATAAAGTTATTCCTTCAAAATCAAGACAAATCGTCATGGAAAGTCTTCTTCCTTGTGTTGACAAAATTAATGTCATTGAGTGTATCAATCTTTTCAGCAAAATCAAAGGAAAATATAAAGATATTAAGGATAAATCGATTATATCTTTCAGCAAGAATGTTTTCCTTGGAACGAATGAACATGTTGATGATGACTTGACTGAGAAAATTTTGAAATCATTAAAGAAAAATGACACAAAATTATTCCATTTCAAGGATTCTCCAAAGATCAAACAACTTATTGCATCATTGATTGCCCTCTACAATGCAGGGAAACATGTCGTTCTCCAATCACAAACAGGATTTGGAAAGACATCAGCTGCAGAAGCTTTAGGAGAAATCATTGATCTTCGTGTTTTCAAAGTTGCATTTAATAATGAAACACAAATTGGAGAATTATTTGGTAATTACACAATTAGTGATAAAGGTTTTGATAATAAGAAAGGACCTCTTGCTGAATCAATGAGCAAAGGAGGAATTTTCATTGCTGATGAACTAAATCTTGCAGAGGCAAGTGTTCTTAAATCATTAAGAATTGCTATTGAACCAAAGGAAGGAGATGATATCGAACTTCCAAATAACGAAAAAACTGTTACTGTTTCTCCGAACTATTTCTTCATTGGATGCCAAAACGACATTACAATGAATGGCCGTAGGCAATTACCAACTGATCTTTCTTCTAAAATCGTGATGTTAAAATATCCGCAAATTGATGAAGTGGATATAAAGAACATTCTTAAAGACATTGTTCTAGAAATGAATGTTGATCTTATGGTATACTTGCAGAACACAACTGATTTAATAATGAAGATCAGGAGCTCTAATTTATTGAAATCAAAACCATGGTCATTTAGAGAGGCAAGAAGATTCTTAAGAAGAATTCTTTACTTCAAAAAGAATGAATCAATCAAACCATATCATCATGCATGCTTCATGATTCTTAGTGTTCATGACAATGAGAACGATGAACTTATCAATGAAGTTCATAGAGTTGTGTCTGAATCTTTCAGATTAGATGAAACAGAGAAGAGAATTCTTCTTAATGATATCAAATCTGATGTCATTGTAAATGATATGACAAGTTCATTCGAACTCCAAAAAGGAAGTATCAGAATAATTACTGATAAAGTCAATATTAATCCGAACTTAAAGCAAGTTTGGAAATCATACTTTAACATTCTTATGACTCATCCACAGGAACCGATCTTGATTTGTGGTCCTTCAGGATACAAAGAGTACATTGCGAAGTTAATTACAATAAATAACTTCACATCAGTCAATCTTAGCAAAGATTCAACGACATCTTCCCTTATTGGAAGCATCAATCTCACTGATAGGAAATCTGTAATTACAATGCTGTTTGATATTCTTTCTAGAATAGATAATTCAAACACTAAATTCATGGAATGCAATGAAATCAAAAACAGTTACTTTGCAAAAACTTTCAATCAAGAAAGATTTGAAAATTTCATTGATTCAATCCAAGAAAATAAGAATGAAACATTTGTAAATGTCATCAAACAAATCAGATCAAATATTGTTGATATAATGAAGCAAAATGATAATTTCTCAACATTTTTGTCACATTATATCACAATTTTCAAACCAGGTTTGATAACATCAGCAATTTTGCAACAAAAAGCTCTTATTCTTAAGAATTTCTCACATCCACCAATCTCCGTCATAGAGAGATTGAATGAACTCTTCTCAATTACACCAGAACTTACATTGAGTGAAGATTTCACGAATACAATTGTTTCTCATGAAAGTCAAACAATTCGCGTTGACAAATTCAGAGTTTTTGCTACAACAACTACTCAAGAAAAGTCCAAATTATCAGAAGCTATGCTTTCAAGACTTACTGTTGTTAAGACTTATTCTTATAGCAAAGATGACTATCAATACATATTTGATCCAATGTTCTGGAAGAATCTTCAAGAAGAATATTGGGACAATATGACTCTCAATCAAAAGTTCATGATTAATAACATTGCAAAAAGAGTTTCAGATAGACTTCATGATAAAGATTCAGATAAATGTTTTGCACTTGCATTAAACATGATGAATATGATTCCAAATAATGATCTCTACGAACCACTTGAATTTGATGAAAAACATATCATTTCAAGAAAAATGTATGTGATTCCTAATAATTTCATTGAACCAAAGACTAAACTTGTTCAGACAAAATCAATTAATGCAATCACAAATCTTTTGTTCTCAGCTGCCAAGATGAAATACAGTTCAATCATTCAAGGACTATGCGGAACAGGAAAATCAACTGTTATCAAATATTTGTCAGAAATATTTGATGCAGATTTAATAACAGTTAGAATTTCATCATCAACAACTGTTGAACACATTTATGGCCAGAATGAACTTGTCCAGAAAGAGAATGGTGCATCATTCAACTTCAAGAAAACAGCATTACTTGAGAAGATCACAGGAAATAGTTCAAATGGTCGTCCAGTTTGGGTTATATTAGAAGAAATTGATCAAGCTTCTGATAGTCTTATTGACTCTCTTATCCAGTTATTTGACTCAGAATCAAATCAAATTTTATTACCAAACGGAAGCACAGAGACAAAGAATGAATACATCATTTTCGGCTTATCTTCAAAGCAATTCTATAACGAGAGCATCCTTAATAATGCTGTTTGCTTTGAACAAGAAGATTACTCAGAAGAAGAATTTGTTAAAATCTGTGAAGAATTGTATATAAACAATTCAAACTTTGCAAACGATGAAATCAAGAATTTCCCACGTAAATTATATGGATGGAAGAAAATTGCTAAAGAAAAACAAATTTCATTCCCAATAACAATTCGAACTTTCAAGAACTTCATCAATTCCGTGAAACAAAATCCA